TACTAGTACCATTGCCCTTCACCCTTGTTGACTTCCGTCTCAATCCCTTAACGCCCTCCAGAATTTCATTGTACTGGGTGCTGGAGGTGGGAGGTTGTTGGCCGTTGCCGCGGCTTGAGCATCTTCAGATTCTTGTCTTGAAGCCAGTCTCGTTAACCACGTTATCCAGTTCGCTTGCGATGCTTTTCCTGTGTGCCAGTCGCCCACCCTGTTGTCGAGAATACAGACTTCAGTTCGTTGCCAACCTGTCTCACTGTAGATGTTAGCGCACACATTATTCCGCGGCGGCTTTTTGCCACTCTCCATTTTGCATTTTGCGCATTGTACGTCGCACTCGCATACGCATTTTTTTCTGAGCGACAAGTCGTCCTTCTGCAACGCCTCATCCTTAACATGCTTGACTATTCCTTTTGAGCCCTCCAGTTCCTTATCGAGCGCGTTGGCAATTGTTTCACAAAGCTGTTGGACGGCGGTGATATTTTGTTGAATTGTGCCGCTAACGACATCAACATTTTGGAACACATCTGTGGCTATACCAATAACATCTGTTTTAAAGCCTCATTTCAATCGCGAACTCCTTTATATTGCTGTCTCTACTCTCATTATACTCCTGCTGCTTCATATTGGTATCCTCCGCACGGTGCCGTTGTACCTCAAGTTGTGGCTTCCAGCCAGCCCTTCACGATATCCGCCTATCTCCACTAAAGGCCTGCGCATAATTATACCTTACTCTTAATACCATCAGGCCTGAGCCCATATTATTACTTTCCCATGTGCCATTTGGAACAAACATTCCTGCCTGCCTCTTAATCTCCCCAGCTTTCCTTTAATCTGTTTAAAATCTCTTCAAGTTTCTTTTCACTTCCGCCACTCAACTCAAACTTCCCATAAGCGTCCCAATCGCCGTGTCAACTGACTTGAAGGTTAAGCGGAGTCTTGATGTAAGTATTAAACTTACTTTCAAGTTGACCCATTTCCTTATCAATTGTGCCAGTTGTCTTGCCAGTTACTGTTTCAAGATTTTTCTTCTCTTCCGCAAGAGTTTTCCAACTGAGCTTTAACAAGACCATTACTCTCCACATCCTTGCCAAGCCCCTCAATCTTCCCCTCAGCTCCCCCAAATCATCCTTCACCAAACCATCCAACTTAGTAACCTGCAAAACGTAATAACCCTCTTTAATCCCTTCATCTCCATCTTCACGCTCTTCAAATCCCTCTTGAGATCTGGTCCATTCTCACAACAGCCTCCAACGCATCGGTGACCAAATTCCCAACTTGCTCCTTGGCCTGCTTCGCGGCCTGCAAAGTATTGTACCATCATCTCGTAACAATTCAGCTTGCAAAATTGGACCTTTTTTGACTACTTTTCTCTGTATTAACTTTCTCCAAAATGTATACACTTCTATCTGCTTGTCAATGACACTCCCGGCCGCAGACTTCCAATCTTTCAATCCTTAACATGACCAGCAAGTTGTGATTCGCTTCTTCAATTTGTCCCTTGGCAATCTCAATACTCGTAATCTTCTGGCCAACTTCTTACTTCCATCTAGCAAAGCATCATGTACACTCTGCGCTTTTCAATCGCCCCGTCAAGCACCTTCTTTGCTCATTTCCACTTTTCCAAATTGCCATGGACAGTAATCAGACTTTTATTAACATTCTTAATTTGCTCATTTGCTGTCACAATCTTCTTGACATTGTTGCTCAATTCAGCGTTAACGTCCAATTTCTTGTAAGCATCTTCTGCTTTTTGCTGGGCCTTGGCACGGATGTCCTCGGCGGTGGAGATCCATGTACTCAGACTGTCGACATGGCTTTTAAGGTCCTCATTTGCTTTTTTAATCGCTTCGTTGGATGTGTGAATCTTCTCGATGTTGTGACCAATAGGATGGTCATCAGCTTTATTCTCAGGATCCAACTTGTCACGCACATCTCTTGCTTTGCCAACCGCTGTGGAAAGGACACTGTTTGCTGCAGACTTCCACTTACCTAAATCGGTGTGAATCCCCTGAAGCTGTTCATCAACATTCTTAACTTTATCCTTGGCGTCCCTAATCTGCTTAACCCCCTGACCAATCGGAGTCTTTGGATGACCATTATTATCACTATGATCCAACCTCCCATGTACGTTTTCCGCCTTCACCTTAGCCGCCTGAACGGCGGCGTCCGCAGCCTCAATCCACTGAAAGGAGGGATGAAGGAGGCTGCTTTGGGAGTGACGGCAAGGCGAATAACGGAGAAAGGAGATGACAAAGCAGCGAGTAGGTTGCATCATAGGTTAGGTGTTTGGTCAGCCGTTTGGTTAAGTACTAGGTTAGCCTCTTGGTAGTGTACTAGGTAAGCCACTTGGTTATGTACTAGGTCAGCCGTTTGGTTAGGTGCTAGGTAAGCCTCTTGGTTAGGTGCTAGGTAAGCAGTTTGGTTAGGTGCTAGGTAAGCCTCTTGGTTAAGTGCTAGGTGAGGCGTTTGGTTATGTGCTAGGTGAGACGTTTGGTTATGTGCTAGGCCAGCCATTTGCTTATGTGCTAGGTGAGCCTTTTGGTTAGGCAGTGAGTCAGGTGCTAGGCAAGGCACGAGGTCAGCCACCATGAAGGACATGACATGGCATGTCAACACAATAAGAGGAATGTAAACGTAAATAGCTACGGTAATTACTGTCATGAGTGAAAGTCATCGTCAAAGTAATCGACATCACCGTATAGTGAGAGCATCCTGCGGCTGCCGGCGAGCAGCGCCTTGACGTCGATGAGTGTGAGGCCCTGGTGGTAAGTAGGTGCGAGCGGATGCGCAGCATCCATGCGATAGAGCAGTGAGTGGATGTAGAGCGTGGCGGTGAGCCAGAGCGCTATGATGCAGAAGAGGAAGGGGGCACGGATGCCGTAGAGGTACTCGGGGATGGTCTCGTGCGCCAGCTTGTGGAGAGGGTTCATGTGCTTGACGGCGACTTACGGTGCCCGGCAGAAATCCTCGCAGGTGCTGCCTTGGTGGCCGCTGGTGGAGCCGGCGAGGAGTGTGGTCCCTGAGGACGAATCCGTACTGGAAGAGCGTGGGCGTGGTGTGGTGGCAGTCCGCGATGGAGGGGCATGATTCAAGGTGATTGGAGTCAGGGCCAGTGGCCGTCGTTTGGCTGTGCAGTCGTTGTCGCAGCTCCTGGCGTGGCAGTTGGACGTGGCGTCAGCGCAGTTGCGCTCGCAGTCTTGGAGCAGTGAACAGAGGAAGTTGTAGAATGTCTCCGTGAGGTATACCACGAGAGGTAGAGGTGGGCGTGTGCCTTGGCGAATGTGGCGCGGACGTCGTGGCCGAGGGGCTTGAGGTGGGGCCGCAGGGTGTGAGGAGAAGGCCTGGACTGCCGTTGCACTCGACGAGAGGTCTCAGTGAGGTGAGGCATATTCTGCTCAGACCATGGTTGCTGCTGCCGAAGATTGTACTGACGTCCAGTGTGACGCCCCGCTGCCAGAAGCACGCAGTGCCGACGGCGCCCTCGAAGGCCGCCCACGGTGGGCAACGCCGTCAGTCAGTCCTGTAAGAGATGATAATAAAGGCGAACAGGTCGGCTGGCGTCCTGGTGCGGTGAGGAGGCAAGTCAGGAAACTGCACAGCCTGGTGAGGGGGGATGAAGCGCGCCGCCGCAGAAGGCGCCGAGGACGTCCATGATGGCTCTGCCTTGGGAGGCACGGGAGGCCAGCCTGGTAATGTTGGAAGGCCCATGGGCGTCTTGCACGGTAGGCCAGGTGACTTGGTGTCTGGGCAGAGCACTTGACGCAGGTGTCCTTGGGGACAGGTCATGCGGCAGGAAGCCCACCAGGCCGTCCTCTCAAGAAGGACTGGAGCGGCGACTTGACGCCACTTGGGTGTTGGTCACAGCTTTGGTTGCATATTTGGTCACAGGTTTGGTCACATATTTGGTTGGCACACTGGTGTTGCACTTCCAACTGGAGCCACCGACTCCCCCGCCGTACCAGCAGTCAAGCCATCCTCCGTGCCGGGTGTTGTAGAGGCACCGGCGGTGAGGAGATACAGCTGTTGGTGGAGGCGTTTGAGCGTACAGCAGGCCAGAGCAAAGCGTCGGCGTCACAGGGATAGAGCAGGCCTGCCGGGTTGGTGTTGAAGTCGCAGGCGTAGATGCCATCTGCGTGGCCGTAGCCGAGTAGGGTGGTGAGCACTGAATGCGATCGGTGGCAGACCTCCGTGAGTGCGTCGGTGAGGAAGTGACGGTGATGTGCTGCGGGTGGGCCTTAAGCGCCAGGCTGCTGAGGTCAGTGAGGGCCACTTCGGAGTCCCAGGGTCCGGCTCCTCCGCCTCGAACAGCAAAGGCAGTGCTTCGGAGTTGAGGCCCAGGTACACGGCGTTGTGCGGGAGCCCGCAGCTGAACGAGCATCTCGTAGATGGAACACGGCGGCCGGGGTGAGGGATGCAGTTTGAGTGGCACGTCTTATAGTACTGGTGGAGGTGGTTGCAGAGGCATTTGAGGCTGTAGGAGATTACATGTATGTTGTACGGCCAGGCATTTTTTGAGGTGTTTGTTGGCTTCTGTCTCCTTAATCTTCTGGCTGACCAGGACATACACGTCGCGGCCGTTGCAGTCGTCGCGCAGCTCGCCGTCCTGGTCAAAGAGATGGAACCTTGTAGCCGCAGCGTTGGAGGAAAGCGCCGAGTTTACTGCTTAATTATACAAATCCCTCCACTTGCCGCCAGTCTTGCACTGCTCCGCCAGCCTGGTGAAGGCGTCGTGCAGTGTGGGCAGCACTGTGAGAAGACCTTGGCGTACTTGTCGGCGTCAGCCTCCCGGCACTCCGCGCCCGAAGAGACGTACGCACCGCCGAACTCCCGACGAAGGCACTGAGTCCCCTGCTCACGGGTCCAGCGTGGGGTGGAGGGCTTCTGGAAGCCCTGCGGCCTCAGCTGTGTGAGCGCGTCGGTGAGGTTGTGGAGCAGGCCTCGCAGCCTGTCGTCGAAGCCCTGCGTCACGCAGAGGTAATTGAGCAGGGCGTTGACATCGCTGTGCACGGCGTCCCACTCGGCGGCGTAGGGCTCTTCCGACTTCGGCAGTGAGGATTCTTTCGTCGTCACTCTGTTTCTTCACTCTCAATCTCCTCACGGAGATGCTCGTCGAGCGGCGCGAAGAAGCTGTGTGGAATGCGATATGACGGCAATTTCTTTCTCTTCCCTCGTTTTGGAGGCTGTCAAAATGTCCGTACGCATATTTCATGAAGCCCTTGTAGCCCACGAGATCCCTGTTTATCTCGCCGGGCAGCTCCCCCCCAGCTCCTCGGCCACCTTGTCGGCGAAGTGTTTCAGCGCGTCCTTCGCGGACTCCGTAGTCCCGCCGCGCCTGCTTGCTGAGCTCCGCGATGCCTTTTCAATCTCACTGTCTACGAAGCGTTCAATGTTTTCTACTCCCATTTTATGTAAACGGCGTTGGTTAGGAAATTGTCGCACATGGCGATGGCCTTGTGGAGGTCATCTATGCGGAGGGTGTCAATTTGTGACTTGATTTTTTCGAGGTCTTTGTCGATGTTATTCTCTTTGAAAAGCCCCAACTTCCAATCCACACTACCGGCTTCGCTCGCAATCTTGGCGCACAGCTCATTGAGCTTACTGGTCACAATGGGAACCTGAGTGTTTTTGACATCGTTGATTTCTTTCTTAATTTTTCTGAGGCTATTAGGATCGTCATCATTTGTTCCAATCTTCTCTATCATAAATTCCATATTCTTGATCACGCCTCTTTTATCTGGCTCACCGGCATCCTTATTTAGGTACTCATTCCTCAGCCTTGTAAGCTCCCCGTGATTTGGGTGACGCCTTGCTCTATGTTCTTGGGTTGTCCAGTCAACTCACTTTGTTGAGCGTGAAGGCCATCTTTAATATTCTCCAAGCCCTTTGCTTTGTTATTATTTATGTTCCAACTTGTCACGTTACTCATCCCGTTGTCCATCAAATTGCTCAGCTTGTCGATGACCTCTTTGTCCAGCGTGTCCATCCGCCCTTTGAGTTCCCCCTTGATTGCCTCGTTGGCTTCTCCGATGGCTTTGGGGTTCGAAGTAAATTCCCCTTTTTGTAGTCCACTTATCACGTCATGAATTTTCTGCAGTCCTCCTTTTCCACCTTTATCAATCTCTTTTTTAATTTTTTGCAATTGATCCATGTCATCGGGGACGAAGTCATGGTCAACTTGAATCCAAGATATCTAAGTTGCAACTGAATTTTCTTACAGCATCTCCAATAATCTTGTTTTGCTCGCCCAGTTGCTTATTCTGCTTTTCAAGGTCACTCTTAATATTCCCGAGACCATTAACATCATTTTGTCCAACTTTCCATTTTGCAGTGTCACTGTCACCAAGCCCAGTGACTTTCATATATTGCAGTCTTTTGATGACATCTTGATCTGTTGCTCCATTTTCATTTTGCAGCGTGGTTCTGATAGTGCCAAGCTGCGCCTTATTGCTCGACGGCTGAGTCGATTTCGCCGGGTTTCTCTTTGAACGTCCCTGTTTGCAGGCCGTGGATCTTGGACTGAATTGCGGCGAGGCCTTGGACTTTTTTCTGTACCATCATCTAGCTTGGAGGAAATACTATGCTCACCATTTTTTATTAGTAACCATCTTCTCCAAATCCCCAGGTAATCCTTGACGCCGTCTTTTTGGCCTGCCGGCTGTCCCTTCCCCTTGTCTACCAGTCTGGCGATTTCTTGCAGTTCTCCGTCTATTGTGGAGATGTTTTTTAATTTCTTCTGTTTTGTTTTATGATTCCTTCATTCTTTCCGTTGTCGACATGAGGCGCAAAGTCCTTAAGTGCGTTGGGGATATCAGTTTTCAGCAAATTGTGATATTTATGGTCACCGACACCGTTTTCACCCTTCGCCGCTTCATAAAGTGGCATGATTTGTTTGAAGTTCTCATCAATGCTCGTCGTTTCCTTCATCGCACTTTTAACCTGCTGCTCAACCCTTAACTTTGTTCAAAATTTCATTGTCCTGGTTGCCGGGGGTGGAAGGTGATGATTTTTCGCCCTTTTTCCGCCTCTCCCAGATTATCGTCCAGCGTCCTAGTCAGGCTGACGACGCTGTCCAATTCCCTGCGATGCTTCTGTTGCCGCCCACCTTTGCACCGCCGCCGAGAAATACAGATTCCAGTTCGTTGCCCACTTGCCGCACTGTAGAGGTGAGCGCGCACATTATCAATTCCGCGGCGGCTTTTTTGCCACACTCTCCATTTTGCATTTTGTGCATTGTGCGTCGCACTCGCAGACGCAATTTTTAATATTGGCGACGAGCCGTCCCACGTTCAACGCCTTTTCCTTTACATAGTCGACTGTTTTTCGTTCAGCAGTATAAAGCTCTTTATCCAGCGCCGTGGCAATTTCTTCGCAAAGCCTTTGGACAGCTTGAATACTTTCAGTGATACCGCCGCTGACGATATTAACAGATTTGAACGCCTCTTTGGCTACACTATTAACATCATCGCTGAGTCTCGTTTTCATTCCAATTGCGAAAGCACTGATGTTACCGTCATATTATGCCCATGCTTCCAGAGTATCCTCCTCACGGTGCCGTTGTGTTTTAATACAGTGGCCTCCAACCAGCCCTTCGCAATTTCTGCAAAATTATCGTTGCGAAAAGCAGTGGCATAATTATGCACTGCCTCCTCAATTCCCAAAAGACCTGAGGCGCCTGAATTTCCCCAATCACCCCTATCCTTCCCCTTAATCTGTCCCACTTGCCAATCTGCAAAAGCATTTCACCAACATGCTTTTTCATACTGTTCACAATATCCTTTTGCAGCCTCCGCAATCATCATCTCATGCCGGCTTCCAAATCTTTAACGGCCTCAGTAACTTTACTTACTAAACCAGTAACATTCCCATGCGCCTGGCTGTAAGCGTTCAAAGGCTCTCCGCTTTTTTCCGCAATGCTTCTTCCTGCTCTTTAATTGCAACTTGGCCTGATCCCTTCGTCTTGTCATCCACCCTCTTAAGTATCTCCTCACACTTCTTTTGCCCAGCTTGGACGATTTTCTCAGCCGCAGTCTTCCAATGCTCCAGACTGGTGACATGTTCTTTAAGTTGTTCATTCGCCTGCTTAATTGCAGCATTATTATCTTCAATGTCACCGATTTTAATGCCAACGTGACCATTTGTACCCGCCGTTTTCTCGGGATTCAGATTCTCATACACCTCATTGGCCCTGTCAATCGCCCCTTGAAGCACTGTATTGGCCTCCTCATTCCACTCTCCCAAATTGCCATGGACACCATTCAGACTTTTATTAACTTTTGTATTGCCTTGTTTGCATCCACAATCTTCTGAACATTCCTACTCAATTCGGCGTGAACGTCCAACTTCTCATAGGCTTCTTTGGCCTTTTGCTCAGCTTTACTGCGGATGTCCTCCGCGGTGTTGATCCAAGAATGCAGACTGCCGACTTGTTTACCAAGCGTTATATTTGCTTCTTTAATCGCTTCGTTGGAAGTGTGAATCTTATCAATGTTCTGACCAATTTTATGCTGATCATCTGTCTCATCTGGGTTCAACTTCCCATGCACGTCTCTTGCTTTGCCAACCGCTGCGCCAAGGACGCCGCTTGCCGCATTTTTCCAGTTACCTAAATCGTGTGAACAGCTTGAAGCGCGTCATCAACTTGCTTAACTTTATCCTTGGCATCCTTAATCTGCTTAACTCCTTGACCAATCGGAGTCTTTGGATCACCATTATTATCACTATGATCCAAGTTGTCATGCACATTTTCCGCCTTCACCTTAGCCGCCTTAACGGCGGCGTCCGCAGCCTCAGTCCACCGACAAGGTGGGATGAAGGAGGCTTTTTGGGAGTGACGGCAAGGCGGCAAACGGCAAGGGAGACGACAAACCAGCGAGTAGGTTACATCATAGGTCATGTGCTAGGTGAGACGTTTGGTTATGTGCTAGGTAAGCAGTTTGGTTACGTGCTAGGTGAGCCACTTGCTTAGGCAGTGACTTAGGTGCTCGGCAAGGCACGAGACACAGTCACAAGGAAAGACGTGACATGACATGGCAACACAAAGAGAGGGATGTAAATGTAATGTAGCTGCTATAATTACTGTCACGAGTGAAAGTCATCGTCGAAGTAGTCGACGTCCTTGTAGAGTGAGAGCATTCTCCTGCTGCCGGCGAGTAAAGCCTTGACGTCGACGAGGTGTGAGGCCCTGGTGGTGAGGAGGTGGGAGCGGATGCGTAGGACGTCCATGCGGTAGAGGAGTGAGTGGAGGATGTAGAGCGTGGCGATGAGCCAGAGCGTTGCGAGGGCGAAGAATGGTGTTCTGGTCTTCCACAAGAACTCGTCACACTCCTTGAACAGTACTCTGAAATACTCAGAGTGGAGGACTTGGCTCAGCTGCGTGGAGAAGCTGGAGCACGTCGCGTCTTGGGATAGCAGCGCCGATGCGTCCCTGAAGGCGAGGCCGTACTGGTAGAGCGTCGGCATGACGCCCCTGCACTGGACTGTGGAGCGGCAGTGGCAGCCGGAGGCAGGTGGCTGCGGGTTGAGGACGCCGTGGCTGCCCTGGTCACAGGGGCCTTCTTGTAGGCACGCATCGCAGCCCCAGTCGCGGCAGGAGATGTTGCAGAAAGCGGTGTACAGGCACAGCAACAGATCATAGAGTGTCCACGGGAGGTAGACGGCCCATGAGAGGAGAGGCCTGAGTGTCGGTGGGCGAGGCTGTCGTAGGAGTCGCGGCAGAGGGCTTGGAGGAAGGGCGAAGCTTGGTGCCTGGTGCAGACGTCAGTGCCTGCGAGGTGCGTCAGGTGCGGGTGCTTGCAGCCGCCGTGTTTCGCGGAGTCCGAGCCGTAGGCGGCGGTGAGCGCTGCGGTCAGGTCACCGGTTTGGTTGTAGAGGCGAAGTGACAAGTCCGTGGCGGATGCCTCGAGGGCCTGTTGGAGGGAATTCTTGGGCACAATATTGCCGTCGTGCCAGTCGCCGACGAGGGACAGGGCGAAGCCTATGTGCTCAGCCAAGGTGGCCGGCGGTCTGGGACAGAGGCTGAGCAGTGATGAAAGATGACGATGGGCGAAGAATTTGGTCAGCACTTCACATATCTCTTTGCCCGTCTTGGTGCTGCCGGAGAAACCCCGGGCCGAGGGCGTGAGACAGGGCGTGCCATTTGGTGCACTGGGACAGGTGTTACACTGAGGCTCGCAGCCAACAGAGACCAACTGGTGAGGCAGGTGGCCGGGGAGGCAGTCATTGAGGTAGGACATCAGGGGCGATTTATCGAGCACTCCGGGTGAGGGTTGGGCAGGGCGGTGAGTGGAGGAGCGCACTGCCACGTGTATGGTGGGACACCCTTGCCGTACCTGCACTCCGCCCAGCCGCCGTGGTGAGCGGGGAGAGAGCACTGAGTGAACAGATATCTGAGCACGGGGAACACTAGGCGGAAGATGTGAAGCAGCAGATGGAGGCAATAGTCGCCGTCCTGCGGGTAATACAGTTGCGTGGAGTTGTTATGAAAGTCACAGGCGTAGGTTGTCATAGCGTCACCAAAGCCGAGCACCCTGGTGAGGATGCTGGGAGAGTCTGCGGCGAGCCTGTCAACGGCGTTCACTAAAGCGTCGGCAACAACAGTGGTGGGATGTAGGCTATTTTTCGTCTGCTCATCGTAACACAATTTAATGCATTTACGCAACTTATCATAGACACTGTTGTACTTAAGGCCTGTCAGCCAGCAGAGCATCTCGTAGACGTTGCATGGTGACTTGGTGGCGGATAAAGTGGCGTAGTGGCACGCCTTGTAGTAATCATTGAGACATTGGACAAGAATTCCGAGAGCATTTTTAGTGTCCTTATCAGAGTTGAAGACACGCTTATAATCGCCGACAAGGAGCATGGTAATTCCCTACCGGTCACGTTCCTATTCAACTCGCCGTCCTGCTTGCCGTCGTCTGGAACTCTGTAGCCCATCCCGGCGAGGAGATTGCCGAGATCCGTAGATCTGTTGAGATGCTGTCCGGCGAGGCTCATACACTCCATCCTCAACACGGCGAATGAAGTGTCAAGTAACGGCACTATGCTGAGGAACACCTTAGAGAGCTTCTCGCCGTAGGGCGTCAACACGGTGACGCTTCTCTCGCTCACGGCCTCACTGCTGACTAAGTCACCGGTGAGCGCGGCGCCGGAGTACGCACTGATGTACGCGTTCCTCAGCTCGGCGGCGAAGGCACTGAGCCCGTCCGTCACGCCGTCTATCACAGCCGTGCTTGGCCTGGCGAAGCACTCCGGCCTGAGGCCGGCGAGTGCCTTGTCAAGCGCGTCAAGCAGACCACGGACCTCATGGCCGTAGCGTTGCGCACCGGTTATGTGGGTGAGCAGAGCGCTGAGCGCCGTGTGAACTGCACTAAGTCTGTCAGCGTAGTGATCCTGGGACTTGGGGAGCAGGGACTTTTTTCGCCCTCACGCTCCCTGTGCTCTCCGGATCTCACTGCCGAGATACTCGTTGACCGGGGCGTAGAAAGCGTGGAACGCGGAGGATATGACGGCAATTTCTCTCTTCCGTGACGCTTTCGAGGCTGTCAAAGTGTCCGTGCGCATATTTCATGAGCCCCTTGAAGCCCACGAAGAGATCCCTGTTTATCTCGCCGGGCAGTTCCCCAGCTCCCGGACGCCTTGGCGGCGAAGTGTTTCAGCGCGTCCTTCGCGGACTCCACGTAGTCACGCCGCGCCTGCTTGCTGAGCTCCGCGACTGCCTTTTCAATCTCACTGTCTACGAAGCGTTCAATGTTTTCTACTTTCTCCCATTTTATGTAATCGGCGTCGGTGAGGAACTTGTCGCACATCTCTATTGCCTCCTGGAGGTCACCGGTGCTGAGGGTGTGAATGTCTTTCTTTATGCCTTGCAGTTTATCATCAATGTTATCCTCTTTGAAATAATCCAGTTGCCAATTTGTCTTTGCAGCATTGTCCGAAATCACACCGCACAGGTCCCCCAGATGCTTGTTGACGTCAGGGACTGTCTCCCTGTTGAGCCTGTCAATCTCATTTGTGATTTTATCAAGTCCATTTCCTTTACCTTTCCTCTTCTTTATCATAAATTCCATATTCTTGATCACGCCTCTTTCTTTTGGCTCACCGGCATCCTTACCCTGCAACTCACTCCTCAGCTCGTCAAGCTCCGCGGTGATTTGGGTGACGCCTTGCTCTATGTTCTTGGGTTGTCCAGTCAACTCACTTTGTTGAGCGTGAAGGCCATCTTTAATATTCTCCAAGCCCTTTGCTTTGTTATTATTTATGTTCCAACTTGGCACGTTACTCATCCCTTTGTCCTTCAAATCACCCAGCGTCTTGATGACGTCAGTGTCCAGCGTGCACATCTGCGCTTTGAGTGCTGTTTTGATTGCTTCGTTGGCTGTTTGGATTTCCTTTGGTTTTTCGTTAAACTCATGGTCATGAAGGTCCTTAATTGCCTCCTGGATGCTTTTAAGGTTGACAGTGTAATTTCTTCCATATTTACCCTTATATGTACCAAGATGCTTATTTAGCTTTTTCAACTGGTCTAGAATGTCATGATCAGTGTGGACATTATTCAGCTTGATGCCGATCCGCGCAAGTTCACCTTTGATTTCTTTTATAGCCATATCGATGTCATTCGTTTGCACCGGTAATATAGCATTCTGTGTTTTAAGTCGCTCCTGGATTATTGCTAGACCCTTGGTAGTTTTCCAGTCTCCATTATCAATAGTCCAATGGCCACCAAGCCCCTTCTCTTTCAAATCTGTTAACCTTTCAATTACATCATCTTTACTATCAGCGCTTTCAATTTTCAGGGTAGTTCTGAGAGTGCCAAGCTGCGTCTTAATTGTTGAGACGGCTGTGCCGATTGAATCAGTTTTCTTGAAGTCACCGGTCTGCAGCTCGTTGATCGTAGTGTAAATTGCATCGAGGCCTCGGACTTTTTTGTACTGTGAGTCTACATCAGACTTAATTTCATACTCACCACTTTGCGTAACCATCTTCTCCAAATCCCCCAGGTAGTCCTTGACGCCGTCTTCATTCTTCTTCAGCGTGTCCTTCCCTTTCTTAACCATCCCGGCGATCTCTTGGAGTTCGGGTTATTTTGGAGAGATGTTCTTGGACTGCATTTTTAGCCTTTTCTACTTTTCCTGCCTTAAGTTCAGATTGTTCTTGACTGAATCCACCCATCTGCTTGAAGGGCTCCATCGCCTGGGGGATGTCTTGTTCAGTCAGCTTCTTGTAGAGGCCATCTTTATCATTTGCTGGTTTTTCTCTCTTTTCTTTATAGGACGTCATTGTTTCTTCAACCTCTATATCGTTGCCTTTTTGTTTCATCGCCATTTTAACCTGTTGCTCAATCTCGTTTACTTTCTTCAGAATTTCATTGTTCGGGTCACCGTAGGTGGAACGTTGTTGATCATTTGTCTGTTTTTCCGCCGCTTCGAGATGCTGGTGAAGCTTCTTCGTCTCACCAACCACTTTGTCCAATTCTTGTGCGATGCTTTTGCTGCCCTTGCCGTAATTTCCCACCCTGTTATCGAGTAACACAGACTTCAGTTCGTTGCCGACCTGTCTCACTGTAGAGGTGAGCGCGCACATTATTAATTCCGCGGCGGCTTTTTGCCACAATCCTGCTTGTTGCAATTACCGCACTCGCAGACGCATTTTTGAATCTTAGCGACGAGGGATCCCTTAGTCAGCGCGTCATTCTTAACATACTCGACTGTTTTTTTTTGTGCTAGTATACAGTTCCTTATCAAGCGCGTTGGCAAAATAATTGCAAAGCTTTTGGACAGCTTCAATACTTTTAGTGATGCCGCCACTGACGGTATTAACAGATTGGAACGCCTCTTTGGCTACACTAGTAACATCATTGCTGAGCCTCGTTTTCATTCAATTGCGAAAGCCTCGATATTACCGTCCTTCCTCGTCTCATCAAACTCCTGCTCCATGCCGAGTATCCTCCGCACGGTGCCGTTGTACCTCAAGATTGTGGCTTCCAACCAGCCCTTGGCAATTTCTGCAAAATTATTGTTGCGGAACCCACTGGCATAGCTGTTCACCAAACCGTGGACAATGCCTTCCAGACCACTTGGAGTTCGCTGCCACTCCAACTACTTGTGTCACTCCCTTAATGCTCTCCACTTGCCCTTAATCTGCAAAAGCATCTCACCAACATGCTTTTTCATCTTGCTCACAATATCCTTTTGCAGCCTATCAAATCATTTTTCATGCCGGCTTCCAACTCTGTGATGGCCTGTTCAACTTGCTTTTCAAACCTTCTACTTTAGGATACGCCTGGCTGTAAGCGTTCAAAAGGCTCTCCGCTTTTTTCTTCAATTCGTCAGCATTCTTTAATTGCAACTTGGCTGATCCCTTCGTCTTGTCATCCACCCTCTTAAGTATCTCCTCACACTTCTGCTCCGCCTTGTGTAATAACATCCTTGGCGGCAGCGTTCCAGTCTCCCAGACTTGAGACATGTCCTTGGAGTTCTTTATTTGCACGCTGAATTTCCTGATTGTGTTTCTCAATCCCTTCAATATTTGTCATTACAGTCTGACCATCATTCAAACCATTATACACTGTCGTAGCATTGTCAATCGCCCCGGTAAGCACCTTCCCAGCCTGCTCCTTCCACGCTTCCAAACTTTTATCGACACTATTCAGGCCTTGTGAACTCCTTCAATTACCTTATTGGCGTCCACAATCTTCTGAACATTCCTACTCAATTCGGCGTGAACGTCCAACTTACTATAAGCCTCTTCCGCTTTTTCCTGGGCCTTAGCACGGATATCTTCCGCCGTGGTGATCCAAGAACGCAGACTGTCGACTTGTGTTTTCAGTTGTGAATTTGCGCTAATAATGTTGTTTTTTGCGTCTTCAATTTCTCCGATTTTACCACCAAGCGTCGACTTACTTTTATCAGGATCCAACTTGCCATGGACTTCCGTCGCCTTCTTAACCGCTGTGGAAAGGACGTCACTTGCCGCATTTTCCAGTTACCTAAATCACTGTGAATACGTTTCAACTGACCATCAACTTGACTAACTTTTCCTTTAGCCTCATTAATCTGCTTAACTCCTTGACCAATCGGGTCTTTGGATGACCATTATTATCACTATGATCCAACCTCCCATGTACCTGTTCCGCCTTCACCTTAGCCGCCTGAACGGCGGCGTCCGCAGCCTCAATCCACTGAAAGGAGGGATGAAGGAGGCTGTTCTGGGAGTGACGGCAAGGCGACAGAGGGAGGAGGGAGATGACAAAGCAGCGAGTAGGTTGCATCATAGGTTATGTGCTAGGTAAGCCATGTGGTTAGGTGCTAGGTGAGCAGTTTGGTCAGGTGCTAGGTATGCCATTTGGTTAAGTGCTAGGTAAGCCGTTTGGTTACATGTTAGGTCAGACGTTAGGTTAGGTATTTGGTCAAATGCTAGATTACCTGTTAGGTAAGACGTTTGGTTAGGTGGCAAGTATGGTGTTGCTGACGTAAAGCATAACCTAAACCTAAACCTCGAAATTGAAGGTGACGCCGGTAGTACTTCTACGTCGAATGTGAGTTTGCTACTGGATGGCTAAGTGGACTGAATGATGCTACTGGTGTCATGTCGTGGAGGTGGCCGGACAGCTGCGGAGAGCAACATGTGCAGTGTTACTGGAGTCGGGAGTAAAAGGATGATATGGAGATGAAGGATGTGGGTACAATGACGCCACGTAATTACAGCAACATTACAAATGTATGCAACCATGTTGTAAGGAATAGTAATTCAATCAATATCCAATGCTAATTGATGTAATCACGCAGCGTATTAATGTTCGCCATCTGAGGAGATAGGTGACGAGGCAAACGATGAGTGCAGCTGGGAGGGTAGTGACTACTGTATTACCGGCCGCCACAATGTGGTCATAGATGCCGCTTGACTAGGCTGTACAATGGCCGTCACAACGATTTCACTGCCTGCGAACGCACATGGTAACGGACGTGTGAGACACTCGCCCGGCACAGCGGTGGGGAGATAGCAAGCAGTCATCTTCACGGTGTTTTGAAATTAGGCAACAGCGTGGACACGTTCACGGGTGGCGTGTGAAACAACGAATATACCAACGCGTCTACTAAATTATGGGTTAGGTTTTAGGTTGGACATCAGGTTAGTCAGTGAGTTGGGTGCTAGGCAAGGCACGAGATAGTCACGATGAGAGACGTGACATGACATGGAAACACAAAGGGATGAATGCAAATGTAGCTACAATAATTACTGTCATGAGTGAAAGTCGTCGTCGAAGTAGTCGACGTCCTTGTAGAGTGAGAGCATTCTCCTGCTGCCGGCGAGCAGCGCCTTGACGTTGGTGGGAGGCCCTGGTGGTGAGGAGGTGAGATCGTATGCGGAGGACGTCCATGCGGTAGAGGAGTGAGTGGAGGATGTAGAGCGTGGCGATGAGCCAGAGTGCTGTGATGGCGAAGAGGAAGGGCATACGGATGGTGTAGAGGAGTTGGTCGATCTGGTGGAACAGTTGAGTGAAGTGGTCGGAGTGGAGTGCCTTGGTGAGTTGGTCGTTGAGGTCACTGCACCGTATCTTCTGGCTGCCGGCGAGCAGGGCGTGGGCGTTGCGATACGTGAATCCGTAGCGGTAGAGTGTCGGCAGAGGTCCGCCACATTCGACGAGTGACGGGCAGTGGCAGGCGTCCTTGTCGCCGTGGTTGCCTGGCTGACAGAGGCACGTGGCGCAGCCGTGGGCCGTGCAGTCGATGTTGGACAAGGCTTCTAGCAGGGACTCCAGCAGATCCCATAACTGCCATGCCAGCCACACTACCCACGAGATATATAGCTGTGCGTGCTTCTGCGGGAAGGTGTGGTTGGCGTGCAGCGCCAGCGGCTGGAGGAAGGGGGCGCATCCACTGGGTGATTGACAAGGCGGCTCGGCGGAGAGGCTTGAGAGGGCATTGTGCCCTGAGTTGTCATGGTCGTGCCCGGCGAGTGCCTTGAGCGCGTCGGTGAGATTGCTGTTCTGGTAACTGCCGTGGAGCTGTGTCCACAGAGGGAACAGCTTGTCGATGGCCTCACCGTTCAGATGCGTTTGGTAACTCTCATGGTGAGAGTACGCACGCCGGGACGATTCGTGGTTCCACATTCTCAGCAGATGACTGAACAGCGCGAACACGTCGCCGAGTGACTGCGGTGCTGAGGGGCACAGCAAGCGCAGCGTTCGGCAGAGTTGGAAGAGGCAGGCGTCGGCGTCACTGCAGAGACGGCCGAGTGACTTCGCAAGTTCCCTGCCGGAGCGTGCCATGGAGGCAGCGAGTCCAAGGTCCCAGAAGCCGAGCGGGGTGAGGCACTGCTGGCCTGGTAGGTTGGCAGGGCAGTCGGCACATTCGATGGCATTGTCAACTACACTGAGCTTATGCGGCAGGAGGCTGGGACAGCTGTCGGTGAGGAAGGACTGGAGCGGCGAGGTGGGCGGGCAGTTGTGAGTTGCGTCATCGGGCTGCTTGTTTAATGGGTTACATTGCCAGTGGGAGGACGGCACCTGCCGACCGTAGTGGCACTCCCGCCAGCCCTTGGTTGTGGCGGTGGCACGGCAGCACTGGGCGTAGAGGAAATACAGCACGGGGCACAGACGGCAGACTATCTGTCTCAGCATATCAAGCAGCTCGTCGGGGTCGGCCGGGTAGTACAGCTGTGCGGTGTTGTTGGCGAAGTCGACGGAGTAGGGGTAGGCGGCGAGGTCAAAGCCGCGGCCGTGGCCCTGGATTGCGATGAGCAGCGAGTCGGCGTGTGAACACGCTGATGCTATGACATAAGGCAGACTATTAATACACTGTGCCATGACATCGTCGTCCCTGTTGGGGGCATCGTTATCGTCGCACTTGCGGTTGAGCAACGCCCTGCAGTGGTCAGGCAGTTTGTCCGCCACCGGAGTGTACTGCAGGCCTGAGAGCCAAGACAACATGTCCCTCACCGTGCAGGGGTACCTGGGCGATTCGTGTACTTTAAGGTGGCAGACCTGGAGGTAGCGACAAAGCATGTTATAGAAAAGCGCAACTAAGTCTACGACATTAATTCCATTTTCTGCAGGCTTGCCACCGACCAGCATTTTGGTGGTCACGTCGGCAACTGGGGATGCAAGTAGCTCATGAACTGCGCCGCCCGAAAAACGATTTTGCAATTCCCCCACCTGGAGTCCGTCGGTGGGTGACACCTTGAAGCCGCATTTGGTGAGGTAGTTGCCCAGGCCGTTGTCCCTGTCGTCGCCGGTGAGCTTGCATATCTTATAGCTTCGCCAGTTGTTGCCGCATTTCTCTGCCAAGTTGCTAAGCGCCTCGTGCGTCATCGGGATCATGCTAAGCAACACCTTGGCGTACTTGTCGGCGTCCGCCTCCCGGCACTCCGCGCCCGAGTAGCGAGAGACGTACGCACCGCCGAACTCACCGGCGAAGGCACTGAGTCCCCTGCTCACGGAGTCCAGCGTGGGAGTGGAGGGCTTCTGGAACGACTGCGGAGTCAGCTGTGTGAGCGCGTCGGTGAGGTTGTGGAGCAGGCCTCGCAGCCTGTCGTCGAAGCCCTGCGTCACGCAGAGGTAATTGAGCAGGGCGTTGACATCGCTGTGCACGGCGTCCCACTCGGCGGCGTAGGGCTCTTCCGACTTCGGCAGTGAGGGATTCTTTTCGTCGTCACTCTGCTTCTTCACTCTCTCAATCTCCTCACGGAGATACTCGTCGAGCGGCGCGAAGAAATTCTGGAACGCGGAGGACAATGCTTGAATTTCCTTCTCTTCCATCACGCTTTCGAGGTTATCAAAATGTCCGTACACGTATTTCATGAAGCCCTTGAAGCCCACGAAGAGATCCCTGTTTATCTCGCCGGGCAGCTCCCCCAGCTCCTCGGCCACCTTGGCGGCGAAGTGTTTCAGCGCGTCCCTGGCGGACTCCACGTAGTCACGCCGCGCCTCCTTGGTGAGCTCCGCGATTGCCTTTTCAATCTCACTGTCTACGAAGCGTTCAATGTTTTCTACTTTCTCCCATTTTATGTAATCGGCGTTGGTGAGGAACTTGTCGCACATGGCGATGGCCGCCTGGAGGTCACCGGTGCGGAGGGTGTCAATTTGTGTCTTGATTTTTCCGAGGACTTTGTCGATGTTATTCTCTTTGAAAAGCCCCAACTGCCAGTCGACACTGCCGGCTTCGCTCGCAATCTTGGCGCACAGTTCACCAAGGAATTTGTTGATGTCAGGGACTGTATCCCTGTTGAGCTCTTCAATCTCTTTCTTGATTTTTCTGAGGCTATTAGGATCGTCATCATTTGTTCCAATCTTCTCTATCACAAAATCCATATTCTTGATCACGCCTCTTTTTTCTGCATTTTCGCCTTCCTCACCCTGCAACTCACTCCTCAGATCGTCAAGCTCCTTGGTGATTTTGTTGACGCCTTGCTGGATGTCAGTGGGCTGAGAGGACAGCGTAGTTTGTTGGGTGTGAAGGTTATTTTTAATATTTTCAAGGCCCTTAGTTCCCTGCCAACTTGCCTCGTTACTCATCCCCTTGCCCATCAAATTGGTCAGCTCCTTGATCACATCACTGTCCAGCGTGCTCCTCTGCTCTTTGAGTGCATCCTTGATTGCCTCGCTGGCTTCCCCTATGGCTTGTGGATTGGAAGTAAAATCACCGGATTGTAACTTTGCAATTTCATCGTGGATTGCTTGAAGATTGAGACTGTATCCATTTGTGCTTTTGCCTTTACCGATGTAATTGGCCAACCTTTGCAACTGGTCAACGACGTCATCATATGATCCATAATCATTCAACCTGTATCCAATTGATGCAAGTTGTCCACGAATTTCTTTTATAGCCTTGCCAATTATTTCTGTTTGCTGAGGCAAAATAGCATTTTGATTTCTAAGGTCAATCTCAATGCTTTTTAAATTGTGCGTAGTTTTCCATTTTGTGTTGCCTAATGTCCAATCACTATCTCCAAGACCAAAGCTTTTTAAGTCATTCAAAGCATTTATCACATCATCTTTCTCAGTCATCTTCTCTTTCTTCAACTTCTGTCTAAGAGCCTTAAGCTCCTGCCTGATTAGGCCGACGGCTTTCTCAATTGCTTCGGGTTGGTTAGTGAACGGAGTTTTTTGCAGACCGTCAATCACCTTTTTAATTTGTTCAAGACCTTGTTGGTTGGCGAACATAGATGGTTTACTATTGTTAACCATATTCCTCAACTCACTTATGAAATCCTTGATACCTCTGTTTTGTTCACCTAGGAATGTACTCCCTTCATCATCAACCAATTTCTTGATCGCTTCAACCTGATTCTTAATTTGGCCGAACGGAACGGTGAATGTTTTGTCATCTATCTTATTTTTGTCCAGGGTGCTGTCACCTAATGTATTTTCAAGCTCTGCCAGACCCAGAGTCTTGATCTTCCCGATCGCCAGTGGAAGGGAGCCTTCAGCAGCATCTGGTTTACCGGTTAGAGTTGTGCCGGGCTTATTATCTTCTATTTTTACGTGCGTTCTATATTGCTGAAACCTGTTACCAGCAATTTTAGATATTGTACCACCTGAACCACCTGCCGGACTTGTCGGATCATCCTTCCCAATGTGCTCTTCAACTTGTTCATCAAGTTGCCGTTTGAGGTTCTTTTGAATCGGATCGAAAGTGTCCTTGAACTGTTGCATAAGCGCCTTTGCACCGCCAAGCTCAATTGTACCACTGGCATCGCTAATCTGCTCAGCCGCCGCTGTAATCGCCGTCTTGGCCGCAGCCTTGATCTGTGCTTGAGCTTTCTCGTCGAACTCTTTAACGGCGGTGGGAAGATTGTCAACCTGAGTTTTAAGTTCTTTTATGACGTTATCTTTAAAGTTTTGAGTAAGCTTATCTTCATTCACGAATTCCCTCACCGCCTTCAACTTACTGTCCACGGCTTGGGCAGGGCTTTCGGGTTGGCCGGAGGTGCCGGGAGGGGAGTTGCCGGGTAGCTGAGTCGCCTTTTCAAGCTGCTGGTTAAGTCCATCAACAACCGGCGTGATAGTGTCCAGGATGGATGCGATGCTTCCGGGGCTGGGGCTGCTGCCTATGGTTTCATCAGGTATGTTGAGAAACACTGAATTGAGTTCGTTGCCCACCTGGCGGGACACCGCAGAGAGTGATCCCAAGATGACAGCAGTGAGGGAGTTTTTCGTACATTCATCGCCGCTGCAGTGACTGCAATAGCATATGCATTTTGCGTCGCGTTGTATGTATGTCAACAGCCCCTTAACCTTAGAGACTATGCCAGAAGTAGCACTGTCCGGTTCCTTCAGCTTGTTATCAAGCGCGTTGGCAAAATTCTCGCAACCATTCTTCACAGCTTGGATGCGTTTTGCCATTTCTCCTGCAGCGCCATTTTTTATTCGTTGAACCACTTCACCGGCTGCATTGGCTTCCGTCTCAAGCTGTTTCTTAATTTCACCTGCGATGTTCTGGTTAATGTTTTCTAGTTTCCCATTTAAAGGCACCGCAAACTTATCCTTCACCAAACCGTTATGCGGCAAAATAGTCTTCTCAATCCAGCCCTTCACTATATTCTTGAACGGCCACTCGCCGCTGAACGCATTGAAATAATTTCCCACCTTACTCTTAATACCATCCAGGCCTGAGCCCGGGGGATTCCATTGACCATTTGGAGCAAACATTCCTGCCTCCCCCTTAATCTCCCCAACCTGTCCTTTAATATGCTCGAAAATCTTATCAAAAGTCTTCAGATCACCAGTATCTTTAAACGTCCCGCCAAGCGTCCCAATCGCCTTGTAAACTGCTTGGACTTTATCGCTAAGCTCATTCTTGATATGCGTATTAAACTTATTGTCAAGGCCATTAGTCAGCGAAACGATTGAGTTATTCTTACTCTTATCAGCAAGGTTATTCAGCTTCTCATACGGCTCTTTAAGTGCTTCCAACTGCGCTATAACAAGGCTCTCACCGTTCGGTTTATTAACCTCCTCTGCAAGCTCCACAATCTTCTCCCTCAGAGTCTTCAAATCATTCTTCACTTTATCATCCAATTCCTTAACTTCCAAAGTCGTAATCACCTCCGTTATGCCTTTCTTAATATCCTCCCTCACCTTATGCAAATCCACCTTAAGAGATTTGTCCATGGCCACAACAGCCTTCAGTGCGTCACCGACCAATTCGCCAACTTTGTTTTTAGCCATAGTCGCAGCATCCAAAAGTCTTTTACCATCTTTGTGTAACTTCTCAGCTTCCTTAAAAATCTTGGCATCAGGATCATTTTCTGTCTTAACTTTCTTAAGTATCTCATCACACTTCTGCTCCGCCTTGGTAATGACACCCTGGGCGGCGGAGCGCCAGTTGACTAAGTTGGAAACTTCCTTTCCAAGACTATCATTTGCGTCTTTAATCTGTTGATTATCTCTTTCAATTCCTGTAATTTTAGTGTCAACTTCACTTTGCAATTTATCATGAACATCCTTGGCATTTTTCACCGCCCCTTCAAGCACTTTCCCAGCCTCCTGCTTCCACGCTCCCAAGTTTCCATGAACCTTTCCCAGCGCAGTATTAACATCTTTAATATTCTGATTAGCTTCCACAATCTTCTGAACATTCCTACTCAATTCGGCGTGAACGTTCAGCTTACTATAAGCCTCTTCCGCTTTCTGCTGGGCCTTTTGGCGGATCTCCTCCGCGGTGGAGATCCAATTACTAAGGCTGTCGACATGGCTTTTAAGGTCCTCATTTGCTTCTTTAATCGCCTCGTTGGATGTGTGAATCTTCTCAATGTTGTGACCAATAGGATCCTTACCATCTGGGTTCAACTTGCCACGCACCTCTTCTGCCTTTTCAACCGCTGTGGAAAGGACACTGTTTGCCGCAGATTTCCAGTTACCTAAATCGGTGTGAACAGCTTGAAGCGCGTCATCAACTTGCTTAACTTTATCCTTGGCATCCTTAATCTGCTTAACTCCTTGACCAATCGGAGTCTTTGGATCACCATTATTATCACTATGATCCAAGTTGTCATGCACATTTTCCGCCTTCTGCCTGGCCGCCTTGACGGCGGCGTCCGCAGCCTCAGTCCACCGACAAGGTGGGATGAAGGAGGCTTTTTGGGAGTGACGGCAAGGCGGCAAACGGCAAGGGAGACGACAAACCAGCGAGTAGGTTACATCATAGGTCATGTGCTAGGTGAGACGTTTGGTTATGTGCTAGGTCAGATGTTAGGTTATGTGCTAGGTTAGCCTCTTGGTTAGTCAGTGAGTTAGGTGCTGGGCAAGGCACGGTGTACAGTCACGACGAAAGACGTGACATGACATGGAAACACAAGGAATGTAAACGTAATGTAGCTACGATAATTACTGTCACGAGTGAAAGTCATCGTCGAAGTAGTCGACGTCCTTGTGGAGTGAGAGCATTCTCCTGCTGCCGGCGAGCAAAGCCTTGACGTCGATGAGGTGAGAGGCCCTGGTGGTGAGTAGGTGGGAGCGGATGCGCAGCACGTCCATGCGGTAGAGGAGCATGACGAGGATGTAGAGCGCGGCGATGAGCCAGAGTGCTGTGATGGCGAAGAGGAAGGGCGTCCTGATGTGCCAGAGGAACTCATCACACTTGTGGAAGAGATCTCTGAAATACTCAGAGGGGAGGACTTGGGAGAGCTGCGTGGAGAAGCTGGAGCATGATGTGTCTTGAGATACCAGCGCCGATGCGTCCCTGAAGGTGAGGCCGTAGCTGTACAAGGTGGGCATGACGCCTCTGCACTGGACGATGGAAGGGCATCGGCAGCCGTGGACGGGTGCCTTGGGGTTTAGGACGCCGTGGCTGTCTGGATCACAGGGGCCTTCGTGAAGGCACGCATCGCAGCTCCAGTCCCGGCAGGAGATTTCCTTGAACGCGGTGTATAGACACTGCAACAGATCATAGAACGTCCACGGGAGGTAGACGGCCCATGAGAGGTAGAGGCCTGAGTGTCGGTGGGCGAGGCTGTCGTAGGAGTCGCGGCAGAGGGCTTGGAGGAAAGGCGAAGCTTGGTGCCTGGTGCAGACGTCAGTGCCTGCGAGATGCGTCAGGTGCGGGTGCTTGCAGCCGCCGTGTTTCGCGGAGTCCGAGCCGTAGGCGGCGGTGAGCGCTGCGGTCAGGTCACCGGGTTGCTTACACAGGCGCAGTGACAAGTCCGCGGCGGATGCCTCGAGGGCCGTTTGGAGGGAATTCTTAGGCACAATCTTGCCGTCGTGCCAGTCGCCGACGAGGGACAGGGCGAAGCCTATGTGCTCAGCCAAGGTGGCCGGCGGTCTGGGTTCGAGGCTGAGCAGCGATGAGAGATGCTCGTTGGTGAAGAGTTTGGTCAGCACTTCGCACAGCTGTTTGCCCGTCTTGGTGCTGCCCGAGAAACCCCGGAAGCCAAGGGGAATCAGGCAGGGCATTCCACTTGGTGCACTGGGACAGGTGTTACACCGAGGCTCACATCCGATGGCGCTGACCTGGTGAGGCAGGTGGCCGGGCAGGCAGTCGTTGAGGTACGACATCAGGGGCGACTTGTCGGAGCACTCGGGGTGAGGGGTAGGCATAGCAGTAACAGGAGGAGCGCACTGCCAGTTGTATGGCGGCACGTCCCTGCCGTACCTGCACTGCGCCCAGCCGCCGAGGTGGACGGGCAGTGAGCACCGGCAGAGCAGGAACCTGAGCGCTGGCAACAAGAAACGTAGCAAGTGCAGCAGCAGATGCAGGCAGTCCTCGCCGTCCTGCGGGTAGTACAGTTGCAGTGAGTTGTTATAGAAGTCAACGGCGTAGGTTGTGAATGCGTTGCCGTAGCCGAGCACCCTGGTGAGCAAGGTGGGAGAGTCGGCGGTGAGGCTGTTAACGGCGGAAACCAAAGCATCGGCAGTCAATGCGGTGGGATATAGGCTATTCTCAGTATGCTCCTCGTGACACATTTTAATGCATTTACGCAACTTATCATAGACACAGTTGTACTTAAGGCCCGTCAGCCAACAGAGCATCTCGTAGACGTTGCAGGGCGCCCTGGTGGCGGAGTAAGCTGCGTAGTGGCACGCCTTGTAGTAGTCGTTGAGACATTCGAGGAGAATGCCGAGCGCGTTTTTGGCGTGCCTGTGGGAGTTGAAGACGCGGCTGTGATCGCCGACGAGGAGCACGGTAATTCCCTTACCGGTCACGTGTCTGTTCAACTCGCCGTCCTGCTCGCCGTAGTCTGGGACTCTGTAGCCCATCTCGGCGAGGAGTCTGCCGAGGTCCGTGGATGAGTTGAGATGCTGTCCGGCGAGGCTCCTGCAGTTATGTTTCAACACGGCGAATGAACTGTCAAGTATCGGCACTATGCTGAGCAAGACCTTACACAGATTCTCGCCGTAGGGCGTCAACACGGTGACGCTTCTCTCGCTCACGGCCTTCCGGCCCCCAGAGGCTTCGGCCGCAGTCACGGCCTCACTGCTGACTAAGTCACCGGTGAGCGCGGCGCCGGAGTACGCACTGATGTACGCGTTCCTCAGCTCGGCGGCGAAGGCACTGAGCCCGTCCGTCACGCCGTCTATCACAGCCGTGCTTGGCCTGGCGAAGCACTCCGGCCTGAGGCCGGCGAGTGCCTTGTCAAGCGCGTCAAGCAGACCACGGACCTCATGGCCGTAGCGTTGCGCACCGGTTATGTGGGTGAGCAGAGCGCTGAGCGCCGTGTGAACTGCACTAAGTCTGTCAGCGTAGTGATCCTGGGACTCGGGCAGCAGAGGATTTTTATCCCCCTCACGCTCCCTGTGCTCCCTCCTGATCTCGTTGCCCAGATACTCGTTGAGCGGCGCGTAGAAAGCGTGGAACGCGGAGGACAATGCTTGAATTTCCTTCTCTTCCATCACGCTTTCGAGGTTATCAAAATGTCCGTACACGTATTTCATGAAGCCCTTGAAGCCCACGAAGAGATCCCTGTTTATCTCGCCGGGCAGCTCCTCCAGCTCGCTCTCCGCCTTTAAGGCGAAGTGTTTCAGCGCGTCCCTGGCGGACTCCACGTAGTCACGCCGCGCCTCCTTGGTGAGCTCCGCGATTGCATCTTCCACCTCGTAGTCCACGAATTTCTCAAGCTCCCTCACTGTGTTCCTCTCTATGTCGTCGGCGTCGGTGAGGAACTTGTCGCACATCTCTATTGCCTCCTGGAGGTCATCGGTGCGGAGGGTGTTAATGTCATTCTTTATGCCTTGCAGTTTATCATCAATGTTATCCTCTTTGAAATAATCCAGTTGCCAATTTGTCTTTGCAGCATTGTCCGAAATCACACCGCACAGGTCCCCCAGATGCTTGTTGACTAGAGGGACTGTCTCCCTGTTGAGGCTGTCAATGTCCTTGGTGATTTTATTTAGTCCACTACTTTTGTCTTTCCCAATCTCCTTTATCATGAATTCCAAATTCGTTATCACGCCTCTTTCTTTTGGCTCACCGGCATCCTCACCCTGCAACTCATTCCTCAGCCTATCAAGCTCCCCGGTGATTTTGTCGACGCCTTGCTTTATTTCAGTGGGTTGTCCAGTCAACTCACTTTGTTGAGCGTGAAGGCCATTTTCAATATTCTCCAAGCCCTTAGCATTGTTATCATCATTCCAACTTGCCTCGTTACTCATCCCCTTGCCCATCAAATCACTCAGCGTGCTGATGACATCACTGTCCAGCGTGTCCATCTGCTCGTTGAGTGCCACTTTGATTGCCTCGTTGGCTTTGCTGATTTCGTTAGGTTGGTTAGTAAATTGATCGTCGTGAAGCTGTTTAATTGCCTCGTAAATTGCTTGAAGATTGAGACTGTATCCATTTGTGCTTTTGCCTTTACCGATGTAATTGGCCAACCTTTGCAACTGGTCAACGACGTCATCATATGATCCATAATCATTCAACCTGTATCCAATTGATGCAAGTTGTCCACGAATTTCTTTTATAGCCTTGCCAATTATTTCTGTTTGCTCAGGTAATATAGCATTCTGATGCTGAAGTTGTATCTCGATTGTTGTTAAACCTTTAGTGTCCTTCCAATCTCCGCCGTTACCATTCCAATGACCACCAAGCCCCTTCTCTCTCAAGTCACTCAAAGCGTTTATCACATCGTTGTCTGACGCTCCACTTGCATCTTTCTTCAACTGCTTCCTGAGCTGTCCAAGCTGCTGCTTAATTTGGTCGACGGCCTCTCCGATGTGCTTAGTTTTGCTAAATTCACTGTCATGCAGCTTTTGAATGTCCTCCCTGATTTTCTCAAGGCCTTGCAGATTTTTGTCGCCATTGATTTTCTTACCTGTCCAGTCACCCTTTCCAAGCCCCTCCCTCAGGTCACTCAAGTGCTGCTTGATGCCATCATCGTCCAGACCTTTGTAACCGTCGGGCTTACTGTTCTTGCTTTTATCCACGAACCACGCGATGGCTTTGAGTTCTTTTTCGATGTTGGTGACGTGGTCGCCGACTTCACGTTTTTGTGGATCGACATTTTGGTCTTTGAGTTGGTCCTTGAAACCGTCGACAGACTTGAAAGGCTGCAGCGCCTGGGGAATGTCTGCAAGCAACTTTTGATATTGGCTGTCTATTTTTCCTGCCCCCTTTCCATCTCTCTTCGCTTTATAAGTCTCCATGATTTCATCAACTACAAATTTACCATTGCCCTTCATCCCCTTGTTGACTTCCGTCTCAATCTCCTTGACTTTCTGCAGAATTTTATTGGGGCCTTGGCTAGTCGGGCCTTGAGTGGGAGGATTTCTAGTTGCATTGTGCGCATCTTGCAGATTCTTGTGCAGCGTCCTAGTTACACCAACCACCGTATCCAATTCCTGTGCGATGCTTCTGTTGCCGCCCACCTTTGCACCGCCGCCGAGAAATACAGATTCCAGTTCGTTGCCCACTTGCCGCACTGTAGAGGTGAGCGCGCACATTATCAATTCCGCGGCGGCTTTTTTGCCACACTCTCCATTTTTGCATTTTGTGCATTGTGCGTCGCACTCGCAGACGCAATTTTTAATATTGGCGACGAGCCGTCCCACGTTCAACGCCTTTTCCTTTACATAGTCGACTGTTTTTCGTTCAGCAGTATAAAGCTCTTTATCCAGCGCCGTGGCAAATCCATTGCAAAGCCTTTGGACAGCTTGAATACTTTTAGTGATACCGCCGCTGACGATATTAACACCTTCGAACGCCTCTTTGGCTGCAATTGTAACGTCATCGCTAAGCCTCTTTTTCATTTCAATCGCGAACTCCTTTATATTGCTGTCTCTACTCTCATTATACTCCTGCTCCATGCCGAGTATCCTCCGCACGGTGCCGTTGTACCTCAAGATTGTGGCTTCCAACCAGCCCTTGGCAATTTCTGCAAAATTATTGTTGCGAAAAGCCTCCGCATATTTTTGCACTCCAGCGACAATGCCATCCAGACCACTTGGAGTTTCGCCACTCCAACTACTTGTGTCACTCCCCTTAATGCTCTCCACTTGCCCCTTAATCTGCAAAAGCATTTCACCAACATGCTTTTTCATACTGTTCACAATATCCTTTTGCAGCCTCCGCAAATCATCTTTCATGCCGGCTTCCAAATCTTTAACGGCCTCAGTAACTTTACTTACTAAACCAGTAACATTCCCATGCGCCTGGCTGTAAGCGTTCAAAAGGTCATTGGCTTTTTTCTGCAGTGCGTCTGCTTCCTTTTTAATTACAACATCATTATTATTATTCGACTTTTTACCAACTTTCTTAAGTATCTGATCACACTTCTTTTCCGCCTTGGTAATAACACTCCCGGCCGCAGACTTCCAATTACCTAATGTCGTAACTTCATTTCCGAGATTCTCATTCGCAGACACAATTTGCGATCTAGCATTGTCAATATCACCAATTTTTTGCTTCAACGTCTTACTCTGTCCATTCGTCTCTATATCCAATTCATTATACACGTCCGTCGCCTTGCTAATCGCCCCTTGAAGCACTGTCCTAGCCTGCTGCTTCCAACTATTCAAACTCCCAAGATGTCCACCAAAATTTTTATGAACATCTTTAATTTTCTTATTAGCATCCATAATCTCTCCGATTTTCTTACTCAGAGCCTCATGAGGTTTTAGCTTTTTATAAGCCTCTTCCGCTTTCTGCTGGGCCTTTTGGCGGATGTCCTCCGCGGTGCCAATCCAAGAATGCAGACTCTCAACTTGTGTTTTAAGGTCCTCATTTGCTTTTTTAATCGCCTCGTTGGATGTGTGAATCTTCTCAATGTTGTGACCAATAGGATGTGTGTCATCTTTCTGATTAGGATCCAACTTGCCATGGACATCTCTTGCTTTGTCAACCGCTGTGGAAAGGACACTGTGCGCCGCAGATTTCCATGTTCCCAACTCATCAATATGCTGACTGAGCTTTTTGTCAACTTGCTTAACTTTGTCTTTAGCTTCCTCAATTTTACCAATCCCCTGACCAATCACGGTCCCTGAAGCATCGTTTTTATTATGATCCAACCTCCTGTGCACATCTTCCGCCTTCACCTTAGCCGCCTGAACGGCGGCGTCCGCAGCCTCAATCCACTGAAAGGTGGGATGAGGAGGCTGTTCTGGGAGTGACGGCAAGGCGACAAAGGGAGGAGGGAGATGGCAAAGCAGCGAGTAGGTTGCATCATAGGTCAGGTGCTATGTCAGCCGTTTGGTTAAGTGCTAGGTAAGCCTTTCGGTTATGTAGTGAGTCAGGTGCTAGGTGAGGCACGAGATACAGTCACCATGAAAGACATGACATGACACGGCAACACAAAAAGGGGAATGTAAATGTAATGCAGCTAAGATAATTACTGTCACGAGTGAAAATCATCGTCGAAGTAGTCGACGTCCTTGTAGAGTGAGAGCATCCTGCGGCCGGTGGAGAGCAGCGCCTTGACATCGATGAGGTGTGAGGCCCTGGTGGTGAGGAGATGGGAGCGGATGCGTAGCACGTCCAGGCGGTAAAGCAGAGTGTGAGCAAACAGGAGGAAGGTGACAGACCAGAGTACGACAAGGGTGAAGAAGAACGGTGTTCTTATCTTCCACAAGAACTGATCGCATTTGTCGAACAGATCTCTGAAATGCTTTGAGTGGAGGACCTTGCCCAGCTGCGTGCGGAAGGTAAAGCATGTTGTGTTTTGCGATATCAGGACCGATGCGTCCATGAAGGTCAGTCCGTATTGGTAGAGCGTCGGCATCACGCCTCTACAGCTGACGATGGAGGGGCATCGGCAGCCGTGGCCAGGAGGCTCGGGGCGAAGAACGCCGTGGCTCCCCCGATCACAGGGGCCTTCATGAAGGCACGCATCGCAACCCCAGTCCCGGCAGGAGATTTCCTTGAGCGCGTTATACAGCAATTCAAGATACTCCCACAGTTGCCATGGGAGGTATACGGCCCATGAGAGGTACAGGTCGGCGTGTCGGTGAGGTAAGCAATGATACGCATCGCGGCAGAGTGCGGTGAGGAAGGGCGAAGCTTGGTGTCTTGTGCAGACGTCGGAGGCTGCGAGATGCATGAGGTGCGGGTGCTTGCAGCCGCCGTGTTTCGCGGAGTCCGAGCCGTAGGCGGCGGTGAGCGCTGCGGTCAGGTCACCGGGTTGCTTACACAGGCGCAGTGACAAGTCCGCGGCGGATGCCTCGAGGGCCTTTTGGAGGCCGTTCTTGGGCACAATACTGCCGTCGTGCCAGTCGGTGACGAGGGACGTGGCGAAGCCGAAGTGCTCAGCCAGCGTGAGCGGCGGTCTGGGTTCGAGGCTGAGCAGCGATGGGAGATGCTTGTTGCCGAACCATTTGGCCAGTGCTTTGCACAGCTGCTTGCCCGTCTTGATGCTGCCCGAGAACCCCCGGAAGCCGAGCGGAGTGAGGCAGGGCGTGCCATTTGGTCCACGGGGACACGTCTGACATACAGGCTCACAGCCGATGTTGGCAACCTGGTGAGGCAGGTGGCCGGGCAGGCAGTCGTTGAGGTACGACATCAACGGCGATTTATCACTGCACTCCGGGTGAGGGGTAGGCAGGACGGTGACCGGAGGAGCGCACTGCCACGTGTACGGTGGGACGCCCTTGCCGTACTTACACTCCGACCAGCCGCCGTGGTGGGCGGGGAGTGAGCACTGGGAGAGCAGGAACCTGAGCGGTGGCAATAAGCAACGTAGCAAGTGCAGCAGCTGATGCAGGCATTCCTCGCCGTCCTGCGGGTAATACAGTCTCATGGAGTTGCTATAGAAGTCGCAGGCGTAGGTTGTCAGAGCACTGCCGTAGCCGAGCACTCTGGTGAGGATGCTGGGACAGTCGGCGGTGAGCCTCCCAACGGCTTTAACCAAGGCGTCGGCAGGGAAAGTGGCGGCATAGAGGCTATTCTCAGTCTGCTCGTCGTAACACAATTTAATGCATTTACGCAACTTATCGTAGACACAGTTGTACGGGAGGCCCGTCAGCCATACGAGCATCTCGTAGACGTTGCACGGCGACCTGGTGGAAGAGTAAGCGGCGTAGTGACACGCCTTGTAGTAATCATTGAGACATTCGAGAAGAATCCCGAGCGCATTCTTGGTGTGTTTATCAGAGTTGAAGACACGTTCGAAATTGCCGACAAGGAGCATGGTAATTCTCTTACCGGTCACGTGGCTGTCCAACTCGCCGTCCTGCTCGCCGTCGCCTGGGACTCTGTAGCCCATTTCGGCGATGAGCCTGCCGAGATCAGTGGATGAGTTGAGACGCTGTCCGGCGAGGCTCTTACACTCCATCCTCAACCTTGTCAATGAACTGTCAAGTATCGGCACTATGCTGAGCAACACCTTACACAGATTCTCGCCATAAGGTGTCAACACTGTGACGCTTCTCTCGCTCACGGCCTTCCGGCCCCCAGAGGCTTCGGCCGCAGTCACGGCCTCACTGCTGACTAAGTCACCGGTGAGCGCGGCGCCGGAGTACGCACTGATGTACGCGTTCCTCAGCTCGGCGGCGAAGGCACTGAGCCCGTCCGTCACGCCGTCTATCACAGCCGTGCTTGGCCTGGCGAAGCACTCCGGCCTGAGGCCGGCGAGTGCCTTGTCAAGCGCGTCAAGCAGACCACGGACCTCATGGCCGTAGCGTTGCGCACCGGTTATGTGGGTGAGCAGAGCGCTGAGCGCCGAGTAGACTCCATTGAGTTCATCGGTGTAATCGTCTTGGGACTTGGGGAGCAGGGGATTTTTTTCGCCCTCACGCTCCCTGTGCTCCCTCCGGATCTCACTGCTGACGTACTCGTTGAGCGGGCTGTAGAAAGCGTGGAACGCGGAGGACAATGCTCGGAGCATTCTGCTCTGCACGTTCCTTAGCCTATTAATGTTTTCGCTGCGCTCACCCTCCATCTGCTTCATGAAGCCCTTGAAGCCCACGAAGAGATCCCTGTTTATCTCGCCGGGCAGAGTCTCCAGCTCCCCGGACGCCTTGGCGGCGAAGTGTTTTAATGCGTCCTTCGCGGACTCCACGTAGTCACGCCGCGCCTGCTTGCTGAGCTCCGCGATTGCATCTTCCACCTCGTAGTCCACGAATTTCTCAAGCTCCTTCACAGTGTCCTTCTCTATGTAATCGGCGTTGGTGAGGAACTGGTCGCACGCCTCGATGGCCGCCTGGAGGTCACCGGTGCGGAGGGTGTCAATTTGTGACTTGATTTTTTCGAGGTCTTTGTCGATGTTATTCTCTTTGAAAAGCCCCAACTGCCAGTCGACACTGCCGGCTTCGCTCGCAATCTTGGCGCACAGTTCACCAAGGAATTTGTTGATGTCAGGGACTGTGTCCCTATTGAGCGTGTCAATGTCTTTCTTGATTTTTCTGAGGCTATTAGGATCGTCATCCTTTGTTCCAATCTGCTTTATCACAAAATCCATATTCTTGATCACGCCTCTTTTTTCTGCATTTTCGCCTTCCTCACCCTGCAACTCACTCCTCAGATCGTCAAGCTCCCTGGTGATCTTCTGAACGCCACTGCCGATTGCAGTGGGCTGAGTGGACAGCGTAGTTTGTTGAGTGTTGAGCTCACTAATAATATGATCAAGGCCCTTGGCATTTTTCTGTCCACTAGGCTGCCAACTTGCCTCATTACTCAGCCCCGTGGTCATCAAATTGGTCAGCGTCTCAATGACATCACTGTCCAGCGCGCTCATCTGCGCTTTGAGTTCCGCTTTGATTGCCTCGTTGGCTTCTCCGATGGCTTTGGGGTTCGAAGTAAATTCCCCTTTTTGTAGTCCACTTATCACGTCATGAATTTTCTGCAGTCCTCCTCGTCCACCTTTATCAATCTCACTTTTTAATTTTTGCAATTGATCCATGATGTCATCGGGGACGAAGTCATGGTCCAACTTGAATCCAAGATATCTAAGTTGCAACTGAATTTTTCTTACAGCATCTCCAATAATCTTGTTTTGCTCGCCCAGTTGCTTATTCTGCTCCTGAAGTCCCTGCTGGATTTTCCCAAGGCCACTGAGAGGTTGACCTTTACCATTCTGCCAATCTTGTTTTTCAAGACCCTTGCTCTGCAGCTCTGTCAAGGTCAAAATAACATCCTCACCGTTATTCTTTTGCAATTTATCTCTAAGGTCTTTAAGCTGCTGCCTAATTGCTTTGACGGCTGTGTCAATTGCTTTTGGTTCACTGTCAAACTTACCGGTTTGCAGCTTATTAATTTCATCATAAATTTCTTGCAGACCTTTATCAGCTTTCTCCAACTTCTCTTTGCCAAGCCCCTTCCGAAGCTTCTCTAACAAATCCTTTACACCATCATGGTCCTGTCCTGGCGGCTGCTGCTGCGTCTTATTCTCAACCAATTTCTTGATCTGTTCAATCTCTGATTTAATTTTGTCGAACGGAACGGTAAATGTTTTATCGTCAATTTTGTCTCTGATACCAACAATGGCACTATAATGTGGATCAATCATATTCAAAGCACCGCACACCTCCTTTTTGATGTTCCCGATCGCCAGTGGGAGAAGGCCTTCGTCTTTAATGCCTTTTAGATTTCGGGTCGCAAGGCCTGCTGAATTTTGTTTAACATGATAATCGTATTCCTTAAAATTTATATTTGTAATGATGACTTTATCGGCTCTAACAAATGGCGTAACACCCTCCAGGTAATTCTTCCCGATGTACTTGTCCACTAGGTCTTTCAGTTGTGGTTGGAGGCCTGTTTTGTTATGGATGATATTAGAGAACTGATCGTGAAACGTCTTCATCTTCTCCTTCAAGTCAATTTGTTGACCGGTCTCACTAATCTGCCCAGCCGCCTTTTTGATGGCCGTCTGGGCGGCAGCCCTGATCTGATGTTCGGCGGTGGAGTTGAACGTCTTAACGGCGCCGGGAAGTCCGGTGACTGCAGTCTGAAGGTCATGTTTGACCGTCTTAAATTTGTCATCAAGCGTTTTAACCTCATCCCTCACCACCGCCAACTTGCTGTCCACGGCTTGGGCGGGGCTTTCATCTTTGCCGGGAGGGACGGATTTGCTGGTCGCCTGGTTATGCTGCTCGTGAAGCGTCTTTGCAATCTTTAGAGCATCATCTATTTCCTCTGCAATGCTTTTTTTGCTGCTGTTATTTTTGCCCACCCTGGTGTCGAGAAGTAGTGAGTTAATTTCGCCGGCGGCTCGCCTGGCTTTGGCGGCAACGGCGACAAAGATCGCTTCGACGGCGAAGGTGAGAACATCGTTGTTTGTCTTTTGGGGTGGTTGATTCACAATCTTCTTATCTTTCTCAACCTGCCCGACTATGTCAGAGACGAACGTATTTGCTTGACCACTACCGCTGACAGGCTTAAGTTGCTTATCAACTGCGTCGGCGTATTTCAGCAGAAAGTCTTTAAGTGACGTCAAATCATTTTTCACATTGCCGTTAGGTATGACGTTGTGCTTGTCCTTAACCGCATCATAAACCTCTTTCTTAAGCTTCGCCTTAATCTGATGTTTAATGGTCGGACACAATGACGCCGCATCAGTGATACCACCATTTAACTGCCCCGAGATCCCTACACCGCTCTCCATCCACCTCTTAATTGGTTCCTTCACCGGTTGCTTGTCCTCCCCCAAAATTTTAGGAAGCCAGTCATCCATTGTGCTCTCTCGCATATTTTCCCCAACAGCCGTGACGTACTCCTGCACCGCATTCTTAATGCCCTCTAAAGCAGAGCCTGTGTCTGCCCATTTACCATTGTCCCCTATTTTCCCTCCCTTCCCCTTAATCTTCCCAACCTTTGTTTTAATATGCTCGAAAATTCCTTGAATACTTGTAGCCGTCGTGCGATCCTTAAACTTCCCGCCAAGCGCCCCAATCGCCGAGTAAACTTGTTGGACTTTACCGTTAAGCTCCTCTTGGATATGCGTCTTAAACTTCTGGTCAAGTTGCTTTTCCGCATTCTGAATTGGGGTAACTCCATTCTTATTTAACTCGTCTTTGGCATTTTCAAGTTTTTCTAAATGCTCACTTACAATTTTACTATTCTTTTTTTCACTCTGATTAACCTCTCCTTTAAGCCCCTCAATCTTACTCTTCAAACTCTGCAAATCAATCTTCACTTTCTGATCCAACTCCTTAACCTGCAACCTCTCAATCACATCTTCAATCCCTAATTTAATCTTCCCTTTCACACTCTTCAAATCCGTCTTGAGAGATTTGTCCATGGCCACAACAGCCTCCAAGGCTTCAGTGACTTTCTGCTCAACAAGGCTCTTAGCCTCACTCGCAGCCCTAAAGAGCTCAACACCCTTCTCACTCATCTCATTTGCATATTCAAAAATTGTATCACTTTTACCATCTTTTTCTGCTTTAACTTTCTTAAGTATCTCCTCACACTTCCCATCCGCCTTGTCAATAACACTCCCGGCCGCAGTCTTCCACTTACCTAAATTGTCAACTTCGCTGGCAAGTTGTGAATTCGCAGTGACAATTTGCTGTCTAGCACTATCAATTTCACCAATTTTATTCATCACAGCGTGACCATCATTCAAACCATTATACACTGTCGTAGCATTGTCAATCGCCCCGTCGAGCACTTTCTTGGCCTGCTGATTCCACATTCCCAGATTATTATGAACCTTACCCAGCTCAGTATGAACGTCCTTAATTTTCTTATTAGCATCCATAATCTCTCCGATTTTCTTACTCAGAGCCTCATGAGGTTTTAGCTTTTTATAAGCCTCTTCAGCCTTCTTCTGGGCCTTTTGGCGGATACCCTCTGCCGTGGTGATCCAAGAATGCAGACTCTCAACTTGGCTTTTAAGTTGCGAATTTGCTTTTTTAATCGCCTCGTTGGATGTGTGAATCTTCTCAATGTTGTGACCAATAGGATCCTTACCATCTGGGTTCAACTTGCCACGCACCTCTTCTGCCTTTTCAACCGCTGTGGAAAGGACACTGTGCGCCGCAGATTTCCATGTTCCCAACTCATCAATATGCTGACTGAGCTTTTTGTCAACTTGCGAAACTTGCTTTTGAGCTTCCTCAATTTTACCAATCCCCTGACCAATCACGGTCCCTGAAGCATCGTTTTTATTATGATCCAACCTCCCATGTACATCTTCCGCCTTCTCCTTAGCCGCCTTAACGGCGGCGTCCGCAGCCTCAATCCACTGAAAGGAGGGATGAAGGAGGGCGTTTAGGGAGTGACGGCAAGGCGACAAACGGAGAAGGGAGATGACAAAGCAGCGAGTAGGTTGCATCATAGGTTATGTGCTAGGTGAGATGTTTGGCTAGGTGCTAGGTGAGCAGTTTGGTCAGGTGCTAGGTATGCCATTTGGTTACGTGCTAGGTCAGATGTTTGGTTATGTGCTAGGTGAGCCTTTTGGTTAGGTATTTGGTCAAATGCTAGATTACCTGTTAGGTAAGACGTTTGGTTAGGTGGCAAGTATGGTGTTGCTGACGTAAATCATAACCTAAACCTAAACCTTGAAATTGAGGGTGGCGCCGGTAGTACTTCTACGTCGAATGTGAGTTTGCTACTGGATGGCTAAGTGGACTGAATGATGCTACTGGTGTCATGTCGTGGAGGTGGTCGGACAGCTGCGGAGAGCAACATGTGCAGTGTTACTGGAGTCGGGGAGTAAAAGGATGATATGGAGGTGAAGGATGCGGGTACAATGACGCCACGTAATCAGTGCAATATTAGAATTGTATGTAACCATCTTGTAAGGAATAATAATTCAATTAATATTGAATGCTAATTGAAGTAATCACGCAGCGTATTAATGTTCGCCATTTGAGGAGATAGGTGACGAGGCAAATGACAAGTGTAGCTGTGAGGGCAGTGACTACTGTATTACCGGCCGCCACAATGCGGTCATAGATGCCGCTTGACTAGGCTGTACAATGGCCGTCACAACGACTTCACTGCCTGCGAACGCACATGGTAACGGACGTGTGAGACACTCGCCCGGCACAGCAGTTGTGGGCTAGCAAACCGGCCATCTTCACGGTGCTTTGACATTAAGCAACGGCGTGGACACGTTCACGAGTGGCACATGAAACGACGTCCTAGGCAACTAACATCCCAACGCATCTACCAAATTGTCGGTTACGTGCTAGGTCAGCCTCTTGGTTAGGTGGTGGGTTAGGTGCTAGGCAAGGCACTGGATAGTCACCGTGAAAGACGTGACATGGCAACACAAAGAGAGGGATGTAAATGTAGTCTAGCTACAATAATTACAATCAAGAGTGAAAGTCGTCGTCGAAGTAGTCGACGTCTTTGTAGAGTGAGAGCATCCTGCGGCTGCCGGCGAGCAGCGCCTTGACGTCGACTTGGTGGGAGGCCCTGGTGGTGAGGAGGTGAGATCGTATGCGGAGGACGTCCATGCGGTAGAGCAGTACGCCGAGGATGTAGAGCGTGGCGATGAGCCAGAGTGCGACGATGGCGAAGAGGAAGGGGCACGGATGGTGTAGAGGAGTTGGTCGATCTGGTGGAACAGTTGAGTGAAGTGGTCGGAGTGGAGTGCCTTGGTGAGTTGGTCGTTGAGGTCACTGCACCGTATCTTCTGGCTGCCGGCGAGCAGGACGTGGGCGTTGCGGTATGTGAATCCGTAGCGGTAGAGTGTCGGCAGAGGTCCGCCACATTCGACGAGTGACGGGCAGTGGCAGGCGTCTTCGCCGCCGTGGTTGCCTGGCTGACAGAGGCACGTGGCACAGCCGTGGGCCGTGCAGTCGATGTTGTTCAAGGCGTCCAGCAGGGACTCCAGCAGCTCCCACAGCTGCCATGCCAGCCACACTATCCACGAGACATACAGCTGTGCGTGCTTCTGCGGGAAGGTGTGGTTGGCGTGCAGCGCCAGCGGCTGGAGGAAGGGGGCGCATCCACTGGGTGATTGACAAGGGGGCTCGGCGGAGAGGCTTGAGAGGGCATTGTGCCCTGAGTTGTCATGGTCATGGCCGGCGAGTTCATTCAGGGCGTTGGTGAGATTGCTGTTCTGGTAACTGCCGTGGAGCTGTGTCCACAGAGGGAACAGCTTGTCGATGGCCTCATCGCTCAGGTGCGTTTGGTAACTCTCATGGTGAGAGTACGCACGCCGGGACGATTCGTGGTTCCACATTCTGAGCATTTGGAAGAACAGCGCGAACACGTCGCCGAGTGACTGCGGTGCTGAGGGGCACAGCAAGCGCAGTGTTCGGCAGAGTTGGAAGAGGCAGGTGTCGGCGTCACTACAGAGGCGGCCGAGTGACTTCGCAAGTTCCTTGCCGGTGCGTCTCATGGAGGCTGCCACGCCAAGGTCCCAGAAGCCCATCGGGGTGAGGCACTGTTGGCCTGGTAGGTTGGCAGGGCAGTCGGCACATTCGATGGCATTGTCAACTACACTGAGCTTATGCGGCAGGAGGCTGGGACAGCTGTCTGTGAGGAAGGACTGGAGCGGCGAGGTGGGCGGGCAGTTGTGAGTTGCGTCATCGGGCTGCTTGTCGAGAGTGTTACATTGCCAGTGGGAGGACGGCACCTGCCGGCCGTAGTGGCACTCCCGCCAGCCCTTGGTTGTGGCGGTGGCACGGCAGCACTGGGCGTAGAGGAAATAGAGCACTGAGCACAGGCGGCATATTATCCGTCTCATCATCTCCAGCAGCTCGTCGGGGTCGTCCGGGTAGTACAGCTGTGCGGTGTTGTTGGCGAAGTCGACGGAGTAGGGGTAGGCGGCGAGGTCAAAGCCGCGGCCGTGGCCCTGTATGGTTACGAGCAATGAGTTGGCGTACGAACACGCTTCTGCGATAGTGAACGGCAGGCCATTTATGCACTGCACCATGACTTTATCCTCCCTGTTGGGGGCATCGTTATCGTCGCACTTGCGGTTGAGCAACGCCCTGCAGTGGTCAGGCAGTTTGTCCGCCACCGGAGTGTACTGCAGGCCTGAGAGCCAAGACAACATGTCCCTCACCGTGCAGGGGTACCTGGGCGATTCGTGTACTTTAAGGTGGCAGACCTGGAGGTACCGACAAAGCATGTTATAGAAAAGCGCAACTAAGTCGACAACATTAATTCCATTTTCTGCAGGCTTGCCACCGACCAGCATTTTGACGCTGACATCAACTGGGGAGTTAAGCAAAGCATGAATTTGCTCACCGTTCATGTCGCCGTGGTTTTGCAACTCCCCCTCCTGGAGTCCGTCGGTGGGTGACACCTTGTAGCCGCATTTGGTGAGGTAGTTGCCCAGGCCGTTGTCCCTCCCGTCGGGGGTGAGCTTGCATATCTTATAGCTTCGCCAGTTGGTGCCGCATTTCTCTGCCAAGTTGCTAAGCGCCTCGTGCGTCATCGGAATAAAGCTCAGCAACACCTTGGCGTACTTATCGGCGTCCGCCTCCCGGCACTCCGCGCCCGAGTAAGTGGAGATATATGCATCGCCGAACTCAGCGTCGAAGGCACTGAGTCCCCTGCTCACGGAGTCCAGCGTGGGAGTGGAGGGCTTCTGGAAGCCCTGCGGCCTCAGCTGTGTGAGCGCATCCTTGAGGTTGTGGAGCAGGCCTCGCAGCCTGTCGTCGAAGCCCTGCGTCACGCAGAGGTAATTGAGCAGGGCGTTGACATCGCTGTGCACGGCGTCCCACTCGGCGGCGTAGGGCTCTTCCGACTTCGGCAGTGAGGGATTCTTTTCGTCGTCACTCTGCTTCTTCACTCTCTCAATCTCCTCACGGAGATACTCGTCGAGCGGCGCGAAGAAATTCTGGAACGCGGAGGACAATGCTTGAAGCTCTCTGCTTTTCACGTTTTTGAGCCTGTTAATGTTTTCGCTGCGCTCACCCTCCATCTGCTTCATGAGGCCCTTGAAGCCTATCGTCAGGTCCTCGTCGATCTCCTTTGGCAGAGTCTCCAGCTCGCTCTCCGCCTTTAGGGCGAAGTGTTTCAGCGCGTCCCTGGCGGACTCCACGTAGTCACGCCGCGCCTGCTTGCTGAGCTCCGCGATTGCCTTTTCAATCTCACTGTCTACGAAGCGTTCAATGTTTTCTACTTTCTCCCATTTTATGTCGTCGGCTTTCTCGAGGAACTTGTCGCACATGTCGATGGTCTTGTGAAGGTCACCGGTGCGGAGGGTGTGGATGTCACTCTTGATTTTTGCGAGGTCTTTGTCGATGTTATTTTCTTTGAAAAGCCCCAACTTCCAATCCACACTGCCGGCTTCGCTCGCAATCTTGGCGCACAGTTCACCAAGGAATTTGTTGATGTCAGGGACTGTATCCCTGTTGAGCTCTTCAATCTCTTTCTTGATTCTATTTAAGCTTCCGTTACTGTTTTTTGCGTCTTTGTCAATTGCAGTAATCACATCCCCCAAATTGTTAATCACGCCTTTTTTAGATACATCACTGTCCTCCTTTTGTAGGTAATTATTCCTGAGATCGTCAAGCTCCCCGGTAATTTTCCGGACGCCGCCGCCGATATCTCCTGGCTGTTTGGTCAATTCAAGTTGTTGACGTTTAAGCTCACTCTCAATTTTTGCGAGGCCTTTTTTAGTCGGAGGTTTATGCCAATTGTCACTCAGCCCCGTGGTCATCAAATTGGTCAGCGTCTCAATGACATCACTGTCCAGCGCGCTCATCTGCGCTTTGAGTTCCGCTTTGATTGCCTCGTTGGCTGCCTGAATTTCGTAGGGTTTGTGGGTGAATGTACTGATTTGTTGCCAATGAATTTCATCGTAGATTTTCTTTAGATTGACACCATAATTTTGGGCGTCCGCTGTGCCAAGCTTCCTTTGCAACTGAATCAATTTGTCCAAAACGTCATCGTAGTCGAAGGGCTTATTCAACTTTATTCCTAACTGAAACAGTTGATCCCTGATTGCGCTGATGGCGTTAGTGATTATTTCAGGCTGTTTGCCCAATTCAGTATTCTGCTCCTGAATTCCCTGCTGGATTTTCGTCAGACCCTCAGTGCCTTTCCAACCATTTTTACCTTCGACACCGGCAGTCTTCAAATCATCCAACACGTCAATCACGCCATCTTTAGGGACGCCACTATCTTTCTTCAACTTCTCCCTAAGCTCTTTGAGCTCCGCCTTAATTTCATTAATGGCTGTGTCGATTTTCTTGGGTTGTTGTGTAAATTGCCCTTTTTGTAACTGTTGAATCTTTTCATGAATTGATTGGAGTCCTTTAGTAGTTATGCTATCAACTTGCCAACTTGGCACACCACCAAGCCCCTTCTTAAGATCATCCAACAGTTGCGTGATGCCTTCTTTTTCTTGAGGTTCGGGTGCCAGCCCACCCGGCCACTTCTTATCCTTATTAACATGGTAGGCGATGGCCTGGAGTTCTTGAGTGATTGTGGTGACGTGGGCTTCGACTGCTTTTGTGGCTGTTTCTACTGTACCGCCCTGAATTTCTGATTTTCCTTCATTTTCTCCGAAAGCATTCATTGACTTGAAAGGCTGCATGGTATCTTGAATATCTTTGGTGATTAGCGTATGATACAGGCTGTTGCCTGGCGCCTTTCCAGATTTTTTGTTGTTATAATTCGTCATCGTAGTTTTAACCTCCAGAGAACCATTACCATTTTTCATCGCTGTTTCCACCTTCTCCTCAATCTCGTTAACATGCTTCAAAATTCCATTGTCCTGGTTGCCGGCAGGGGGACCGGGCGGTTGTTTTTTCGTCTCATTTTCCGCGTCTCCTAGATTCTTGTGAAGCTTCTGAGTCTCCTCAACCACTTTGTCCAATTCCTGTGCGATGCTTCTGTTGCCGCCCACCTTTGCGCCCTCGCCGAGAAATACAGACTTCAGTTCGTTGCCGACCTGTCTCACTGTAGAGGTGAGCGCGCACATTATTAATTCGGCGGCGGCTTTTTTGCCACAATCCTGCTTGTTGCAATTATCGCACTCGCAGACGCATTTTTGAATCTTAGCGACGAGTTGCCCCAATGGCAACGCCTTTTCCTTAACATGGTTGACTATTCCTCTTGAGCCCTCCATCAGCTCCTTATCAAGTCCGTTGGCAAATATCTCACAGGCTGTTTTAACAGCGGTGATATTTTGTTGAATTGTGCCGCTGACGGTATTAACAGATTTGAACGCTGCTTTGGCTATATCAATAACATCTGTTTTAAGCTTCTCTTTCATACCAATTCCGAAAGCACTGATGCTACCCTTCTCACTCTACTCATCATACGCATCCTTTTTACCGAGTATCCTCCGCACGGTGCCGTTGTACCTCAAGATTGTGGCTTCCAACCAGCCCTTGGCAATTTCTGCAAAATTATTGTTGCGAAAAGCAGTGGCATAATTATGCACTGCCTCCTCAATTCCCAAAAGACCTGAGGCGCCTGAATTTCCCCAATCACCCCTATCCTTCCCCTTAATCTGTCCCACTTGCCCCTTAATCTGCAAAAGCATTTCACCAACATGCTTTTTCATACTGTTCACAATATCCTTTTGCAGCCTCCGCAAATCATCTTTCATGCCGGCTTCCAAATCTTTAACGGCCTCAGTAACTTTACTTACTAAACCAGTAACATTCCCATGCGCCTGGCTGTAGGCAGTCAAAAGGTTCTCAGCTTTTTCTTTCAACTTGCTAGCATTCTCACCAATAACCGTTTGATCACCGTTGTCCTTAAGAACTCTATCCAAAATTTCTTGAGATTTATGCTGCGCCTTGGAAACAATCTGTTGCGCCGCCTTGTGCCAACTCCCTAAAGCCGTGACTTCAGTGGCGAGAGTGTTATTTGCTTCTTTAATTAAGTTGTTGTGTGTGCTAATTTGCTGTATATTATACCCAACAGGATGGCCTACAGCGTCACTTTTTTGATCAGTATCTAACGCATCATGCACTTCCGTCGCCTTTTTTACCGCTTCGTCAAGCACTGTCCCGGCCTCAGACTTCCACTCCCCCAGATTTTTACTAACACCCTGCATACTTTTATGAACTTCGTTAATTTTCTTATTCGCTGTCACAATCTCTCCGATTTGCTTACTCAAAGCTTCATGAGGTTCCAACTTATCATAGGCTTCCTTGGCCTTTCTCTCAGCCTTTGCACGGATATCCTCGGCGGTGTCGATCCAAGAATGCAGACTGTCGACTTGTGTTTTCAGTTGTGAATTTGCGCTAATAATGTTGTTTTTTGCGTCTTCAATTTCTCCGATTTTACCACCAAGCGTCGACTTACTTTTATCAGGATCCAACTTGCCATGGACTTCCGTCGCCTTCTTAACCGCTGTGCCAAGGACGTCACTTGCCGCATTTTTCCAGTTACCTAAATCACTGTGAATACGTTTCAACTGACCATCAACTTGCTTAACTTTGTCTTTAGCTTCCTCAATTTTACCAATCCCCTGACCAATCACGGTCCCTGAAGCATCGTTTTTATTATGATCCAACCTCCCATGTACGTTTTCCGCCTTCTCCTTAGCCGCCTGAACGGCGGCGTCCGCAGCCTCAGCCCACTGTTTCAGCTCCGACACTTTGTCACTAAGTGTCTTATCAATTTTCCCGGCGGCCTCATCAATCTTCTTTTTATCGTCTCCATAAATCTCCTCCAATATCTTGTCAACATACTTCTTTACTTCATTAATATACAGTTTTGCGTCATCCATCCACTTCACCAGATCCTGAACATATTTCGCCAGGCTCTCACTTATGTCTTCCAACTTCCTTTTAATCTTCCTAACACGCTCCTTCAACAATTCGACAAGCGCGTGCACTTCTTGTTTAATTCTATCCTTGACTTCCTTTCCGAGCCTCCTAAGCCTTGTCTTGATTTTATGAATCATCTCGTCCAACTTCTTCTTCTGACCCTTGCGAGACCACTTGCTCAGCCAGCCCACGTGATTGAAGAAGCTTTTCCTGGCGTTCTCAAGTTTTGATCTCAGCTTCGGGTTCAGGTCACCTATGGCGGTTTTAGCAGACTCCAGCTTTTTGGAGAAGTCCCTGGCAACCTCTTTGCACCGGTCCACCAAGGACGCAGCGGCCTCCACAGTCTGCTCATCTTGGCTAGGCGTTGATGTATCCGACACCTGCAAATCATTAATGCCTCTAGACAACTCACCACCATCTTTCACAAATGCGATAACGTCGTCAATCGGCTTCCTGACCTTTTCGTTAGAAGCCTTGACTTTTTTGTTATACTCCCCGAGGCCTCCGGCCACTTTGGGGACGGCAGTCTTGAAGCCATGGTGACCACGCCACCTGGCTTTTCCAAGCTCACCAACCACACCACTCAACGCAGCTCTACCAGCGACGTACGGCTGGTTTTCATAGACATCACTCAACGCGCTATGCAAAAACTCTATGATGGCGTCGCACAGACGGCAGGCGTCGCCGTACACAATCCCGGAACCATCGTAGGTTCCGGGAGGCTTATAGCCTACAAATTTTGCAACGGAGGAACAGAGACGATGTAAAATGTTTTGATTAAGATTCGCAGAGTCTTTCGGAAAAGAGCTCCGAAACTCTTTAAGCCTGGAGATAACATCTCCGGCGGACGGGTCATCTGACTCGGAGGAAGACGACAGAGATTTCTGAGCGTCCTGAGCGACATGGTCGAACAACTTACCGAGAGCGTTGGACATCGCTGGGATGCCTCCACAGCAACACAACTGGACGAGCCAGTCAATCGACTCTCGAAGGTTCTCGGGACAGTCCGTCAAGGCCTTCGGCGCCATGCCTCTAGCACCGAACCCTGACGGCAAAACAAATTCGGTCTATGGCGAGAGTATTATGTCTCCTGTAACGCCGAGTGGCAACGAGGTGAGTAACTTTGGACTAGGGCTGGCGCACGTGGCGGCGCATTGCCGTGTCGGAAGCACTGGTGTCAGGGTCCGGTGGCTGGTGGCACCACTAAGCTAGCACATCGCAGTGACTAATGTGGTTTGCTTTAACCTAACCAAACAATCGATGTAGTGAGCTATGTGTATATGATAAGCAATTCACGCCATCACCGTCTGCCTCCCTGCCGGTTGGCTAGCGTGGGCACTCACTGACAGTGGTTACCCACCAGCACTGGTGGAGTGAGTGAAGCTCACTTTAAGATGGCAGGTAGTATTCATCGTCACGTGTTAACGGCATTGCCGGTATTTTGAGACGTGAGCAAATGTCCAAACGGTGATGTGGCACCTTTGTGATCACAGCAGTGCAATCGCGCCACCAAGGTATGGAAAAGCATTGTTTCACTCCACCTTAACAAACAGACTTCCCACTTCTTATACGCATAAGAGACACCCATTATAACACACAAACATGTTATTAAAGTGGCAGCCTCCTTAAGCCTTTGACAATCTAAAGCGATGCTGCCACGGTGGATACACCACTTATCATAAACAATGAAAACAATTCTCACTGACCAGTTAATTGTCACATCTGAGATACTCATTGTCTGGAGTAATAGTTCCTTATCTGGATGGTTGAGAGTATGACGCCCTTGACAGTGACGCTGGGCGAGAAACAACGGAGGCCTCTGGCGCAGGGTCTCACCTTGCCCTACGAGGAAGCTGTCTAAGCTCAAGATGACGAAGTGGTTGGATCGTGGCGCCACCAACGACTTGCTGACGTCTCTCCTGTTTTGACCATGCCGTCACACGACCAACCTGTGCTGAGATCTACATCGGCGACGTCAGAGGGTCAGGCGATACCACCCGCGCTGTCATCCCACATCGTGCAGGGCACAAGCCGCCAGCAAAAGCGCATACCGTAACATTACTAACACGGCGACTCAATCTGACTATATATAACACGATACACAGCCCCCTAACAGTATCTTTTTAGTCTTATAAATGCCTGTCCAGCATGCGACGACAGCTGTAAAACTCAAGTTCTACCATAGTCTGTTGCTACTGAAGCATCAAATATTATGGAATGGCAATACGAATAGCTGCGAAGACATTAATGCGATGTGTTACGGGTATGTACCCGGACATCAAGGCCAAGCGATTTACGGAGCGCCGTCAACGCATTGCAATTTTTGAAGCGTATTATGGTCGACTATTGTTTCTTACGACGCTCCTTCTCTCTGATAAACTTATCGTAAGAGATCTTTTTGTGCTTGGTCGTGCGAATGACGTAGATGTTAGAGTCTTGACCGAGATTCTCACCTTCAATTTCATGTTGCACGGGACGTTTATTGACGGTCCTGTCACGTAGTTTCCTCAGAAGTTCCCGATTTGAAGGGTTGTGCCAGAAGTATTGGCCTGCCGGGACTTGGGACTCCTTTCCCCCTTGACTCGATGCGTCGGATTCCGCGGATTTGTTCGACTGCGTTCCCTTTATTTCCTTTTTCAGTACAGCCACCATTTATCTAATCGTACGAAGCAGTTGAATGTGCTTCAAATGAGCGTATATATTAGAGATGGCGCCGACGTGGTATTAGTCTTCTAACAATGGCATTTGTGTGCCAGCTGGCCATTTCACGGGAAAATGTTGACGATTCAGTTGGATATAAAACTATATATTTTTACTCTGTTCGAATAGGCAAAGCGGTGCCATGGGCGATGTTTGACTCCACTGATCAGGTGCTGCCGGGGCCGGCGAATATGACGCGCCACACGACGAAGAATTCCTACCATCATTCCACACATCACGGCTCTGGTAGTCCCAGGGTTATTATTGAACAGTTTTTGACCACGAATATTGCCGTAGATCGTAGCTATGCACAACTTCTACGGGGCTCCGGGCGGATACGGCTACGCGCCGCCTGGCCAACCAGGCGAACTGCTGGGAGCTCCTATGGTTAATGTGCCACAATACATACCGTTACTGGGGGTAAGTTGAGCTTTAGTGGTGATGATGACATGCCGCACAGCAACCAAGAGAAGTTGAGCCAACCCCCGAGCAGCAAGGCTTCACGACGAAACTCCAGCTTACCATTCCCGATAACTTCCAGGTCGGGGTTGCGTGTATGCCAGATCTGATGCGCCACTTCACCCTAAATTCGCTGCAACGCGTAGTCAAGGTAGTGACCCTATAGTATACCGTAACGAGTAACAGGACAAGAACTCAGCAGATAAAACGGATCCAAACGTGGAAAACTGGAAAGGATCCGGAATCGGTCGCAGTGACACATTTGAGGAACGCGACTTCAAATCCAGACCCGCAAATGTCGATGCAGACTGCTATTTCATGCTGATCGAGAATAAGGTACGTGGAACTATTTTGTCGAGATTTAGCAGCGTGAACAGGACGAAGACAGCGCGATGGTGGTACCCGTCTCCAATTATCTAATGTTGGACCCCGTGGCTACGCCTCGGACAAACAACTCCACTGTGAGACCTTCGCTAAAATCGGTAGGTAGCTGAAGGAATCATTACAATTCTCGAAGGATATTGTCGTAGACGCCCGTCTTAAGCGCCTAGCGAAGAATGAGGACTTCGGCAGCGCGGATGATGCTGCGCGTGGCAGAGATGGCAACGCGGCTAATGGGGATTCTAGTCAGAGGGTGAACAAAATACACTGGGACTACGAGGGGGCTCCAAGCGACGACGAAGAGTTGTACCCACAGGTAGAGGCCGATGAACCCGATGAGGACCCCTTGAACCAGCCTCGCTTGTCGTTATATGGCCACGTGAGTTTTGCCTTTGGGTATGGACATGGGCACGCAGAAACTGAGGAGTTTGCTGCAGCAGCAAGCTGAGCGCGAGGTTGATGACGAGCTGGAGGCATACTCCGACGACGAAGACGGGTCGCAGGTGTCTGCGCCGGGCAAGCAACAACGCTCGCAAGATGCTTCGGAGTCGCAGTCGGCCAAGAAGGCCAAGATAGAAGCTGAGAAATCTAACAGCATTGAGGAGCGCGTGACCAGGTTCCTGCTCGAGAACAACGGCAAGGTGCAAGTTAAGGTAGGTTCAAGGTTTTCACTGGGTCAGCGCCGCGCAGAGCATCCTATCACATTTCAACATCATCGCCAAGAACGATGACTTCCGCCTCATACAGACCATCATCCAGAAGCGCTGCACCATGAGCGTCGAGGACAAGGACAACAGGAAAATAAAGTACATCGCATTAAAGCCGGAATTCATGAGATAAGCGGGGATACACACCCGACGGCTGCTGCTCCCTATGTCGCGGCGGCGGTCTCCGTCTAGTTGAGCAGGTGAATTGCCACAATGGCAGCCCGCAACCCAGGGCCAATCATTTTGGACCCTCCGTTCGGATTTCCTTCCTTCAAGAACTGGGTCCAGCGCGACTCTCTATCGCGTCGTCTCTTTCGCGAGTCGGAGGTGAACACCCGCGTTTACAAGGTTGTGTACCGTAACATGGGATTAAAGGGGCACATACCAATAGACAACAAGGTGGGACTGTACCGGGTTCGGATGCGTTGCATTTTCGGCGGATACGGCCACGGTGTGTTTAGGTTCACCCGCATGTCCAAGATGGCCTTTCAGCAGGTGGCACGGGAAGGCTGGCTGCGCCGATATGGCTACCGTCCGGACTTGTTCCGATGATTCTGTATAATGTTAATTTTGCGCACATGGCAGGCCTAGGTGGAGCCTGCAGAAGGGACACCCTGATGCTCTGGGTCTATCGTCACCAGGGGTACGTCTGACCTGGCAACTCTTTTCGGCTCAGACGTTGATAATTGGTAAAACTGGACATTACAGTCGCCATACAACGCATAATTTTGTTATGAATCATGCGACGCATCGCAACGTATCTACTGCCTCATTCATCAGGAGCCCGCCTCCCGTGTGGCTTAGACACCAATGGCGCCTTAGGGCAACTGATACACTACATACTGGCCACGCAGTGGCTCAGATAATATCTAACATGCAAACGTTATGAACCTCACATATGTTATTGCATAATTGTTAGTGGTGGGACGTTCTTAATGTTCTCCCATACGGATCCCAGCAGCGCCATTGTTGCGGAGGGCTCCTTAGCAAAGTAGTTGACTGGGAACGTGTTTCCACAGAGGTACGGTGGCGGAAGATCGGCTACGTTGTACGTACGGTTTACGACAGCACAGTACGACTTCAGGTCGTAGAACTCGCGGTGCAACGCGAGCAGCTCCTCAACTCCTGCATACAGATGACTCTGGTTTTGTCGAATTTACATCCTACCGTGGCACGGTATGCTGAACAAGACCGTGAGGTTGGCGAACACGGAGCCTTCCATCCAGTACCCGGGCCTGCACTATGCTTTGCTCTGCGCTATTACTCCGCACCTGTGGTTGAGTGAAGGCAGCTCGTTCTGCAGAATGCGCTGCAGCTCCCGCAACATCAGCGCCAGCTCTTTGAGCGTGAATGCGACGTCGGAATACCCGCACTGCGCACACGCCTTGGCGATCTCCCTCGACCTTTTGTTGAATACGTAATATCCGTACGGCCAGGGCGTAGAATTGACGACAATCCTCTTGGTAACATTTTGCGATATCTTCGGGAACACCCAGATGAAAAATAGTACGGCGTATCGCAGGTGCTTCTCGACATACACGGGGAGAATGGAGCTGCCGGTGTGGTAGGAGCGCGGCTCTCTTGTGGCTTCTGCGCTGCCATCAGTCTTCTTGCGCCCGTCGTAAAGCGTGAACCTACTGCTCAGCTGCCTCCGAACTTCCTCTGAGCCGGTGGGCACGTTGAGCAGCAGGTGGCTCATCAGGCTCTCTTGACGCAGTGGCGCTCCCCCGTAACAGGTTGGGTCGCCAACGTACGCCGCCGGCATCGCGCCACCGACGAATTCGTCGTATACAGACGGCGACAGACGCAGCTTGCAGCCAGTAACGCTGCGCAACAGGGAACACCAGAGCACATACGGCTCTAGAACGACCTCAATGGCTCCACCAACGTCAACGTCGCCATCCGACTCTTCACTAGAATCGATGGGTGGAGGCAGCCGATAACGGGTGTAGTGCACGACAATGGGAGTATCGCACGTCGGCACATCGCCATATTCCTCTTGCCTCGGCCATATTCCCTTCAGCCAACTTATTGGCGATAGTTGCGTCATAGTTAGTCCCTCTCACGATCACCGGAGGGCTCAATTTAGAGCAACCTCATGAATATAAGGATGATACTATGCGTTTTAAATCTCAGCTCGTAAAAATAAGAGCACCGTCAACCACGGCTCTGCCACACCCAGCTACCGGAAGGTCGGGGTTGCTGCGGAGTTTATAAGCCTTACCAAGCAACCTACTTTTCTAACATAGCGTCAATTATGGCGCACGATGTGCACTCGATGCGTTTGAACCGCCGTCCTACCCACCCGCAACCTGCGTCGGCCTTACACATTACACGGCGTCCTTCCTACCGATTTGGGGGTTGTCACAGTTGCACTGCTGTACGACATTGAACGCACTACAAAACGAATTGTCTTACCTCGCAATATAGGTTGTTGCTAATGAGCGTGCCGCTGGCGTATGACGTGAAGGCGTTGACACACCCGTTCTGCGTTGCCTTGCAGCAGAGTTGGCAGACCGCGGCCGTGCAAAAGTGCGCTCTGGCTACACTAATCAGGCACCAGTTCAACGCCAGAGCGGTGATCGCCAGCAGCGCCGGGCGAATCCGCCTAGTCATAATGGGCAAACGACATCGGCGGATGCGGAATCACTACGTAACGCCGCAAAATGCGACAGGGACGTACAATAACAGTATTGGTGTTGATGCGTGCCCCCGAATGCGCTATCGGTAGAAGGCAACGGCCCCGACAGCAACAAAGCTTCGTTGGCGTGTCTAAAGAAGTGTGTGTGTGGTGATGCCCGAGCTTCCAGACGGATTCACCAGACATCACAGTATCAATGTATACATATAGTAATAATGCAGTTGCGACGTCTTCGTGAACGCAAAAAGGCTTTGTGACGTCACCAGATCGTCGGTGGTCGATGTACAGGCCAGCACACGCTGGCTCGAAATCGCTTATATGCGACACATCACTCGATCTCATGTAGAAGATGGTCGACGAATCCTATTTAGTCAACATTGTTCTCTAATACTGCCTGGATGTATGCAGGCGTGGCCGCCGCAGTCAACTCATTACGCGTCTTCCTACAGATGCTACGGGCGAGACGCGCGCCCACAACTCGGTGTTTCACACCGGCTTAATTCGGCGTCCCCAGGCAGGCGCCACCTGCGTCATTTGTCACCTTAGGGGCCAACAACTTTATCGGAGAGGTCCCCACATTGCGCGCAAAGGAATCCGGAGGCCGGGTGGCCCCGGGGGCGCGGCACGCCGACGGCTTCCATTACACGACCCTTGACAGCGTAAACTCTCAAATTAAGACAACACAGTTCACTACGGCTGTGGAATCCACCCGCTAAAGCAATACGGTGGTTTGTCAGACGCTGTGTCACGACGCGCGGCTGACTGACTTCCTTCGTGTCATCGTGCAAAACATCGCGCGATTTCAACTCAACTCAGAGAGCGCCTATATGTGAGCGCAGCAAACTGCGACTGTAGAACAAGCATCCGAAAATGAGCTTCCTCAGCAGGCTGTTCGCGGTGGGCTCGCCGGCCTACCGCAACGCCCTCGTGCACCGCAGGCTCACCACGTCGCGCCTTCTCCGGTCAAAGGTGCAGGGCGACGTCGTCGGTATCGACCTGGGTACGACAAACAGCTGTGTCGCGGTGATGGAGGGCTCGCACCCTAAGGTCATCGAGAACTCCGAGGGAATGAGGACCACGCCCTCGGTGGTGGCCTTCACCGACGACGGGCAGCGCCTTGTGGGCGTCGTCGCCAAGCGCCAGGCCGTCACCAACCCGGAGAACACCGTGTTTGCGACCAAGCGGTTCATCGGACGTAGATTCGACGACGATGTCACCAAGAAGGAGCAGAAGACCCTCCCCTACAAGATCGTACGCGCGTCGAACGGCGATGCGTGGATCGAAGCCCAGGGCAAGCAGTACTCGCCCAGCCAAATCGGCGCCTGCATCCTGTCGAAGATGAAGGAAACGGCCGAGGCGCACCTGGGCAGGAAGGTCGGCAAGGCCGTCATCACCGTCCCCGCGTACTTCAACGACTCGCAGAGGCAGGCGACGAAGGACGCTGGTAAAATCGCCGGCCTGGACGTGCTTAGGATCATCAACGAGCCCACCGCTGCCGCTTTGGCGTTCGGCCTCGAGAAGAACGACGGAAAGACCATCGCCGTGTACGACCTTGGTGGCGGTACCTTCGACATATCGATCCTCGAGATTCTCGGCGGGGTGTTCGAGGTGAAGGCCACGAACGGCAACACCTCACTGGGTGGCGAGGACTTCGACCAGCGCATCCTGCAGTATCTCATCGCCGAGTTCAAGAAGCAGCAGGGCATCGACCTGACGAACGACAAGTTGGCACTCCAGCGTCTCCGTGAGGCGGCGGAGTCCGCGAAGGTCGAGCTGTCTAGTAAGACTCAGACGGAAATAAACCTTCCGTTCATCACTGCAGACATGACTGGTCCCAAACACATGCAGTTCAAACTGACCCGCGCCAAGCTTGAGGAAATTTGTGACGACCTCCTCAAGGGCACCATAGAGCCGTGTGAGAAGTGCCTGAAGGACGCTGGCATCGGCGCCAAGGACCTCAACGACATAATCCTCGTGGGAGGCATGACCCGTATGCCGCGCGTGAGCGACATCGTGCAGCGCATATTCGGGAAGGAGGCGTCTAAGTCGGTCAACCCGGACGAGGCGGTCGCCATGGGTGCCGCCATACAGGCTGGTGTGCTAAAGGGCGAGATTAAGGATCTGCTACTGCTCGACGTGTGCCCGCTATCGCTCGGTATCGAGACGCTAGGCGGCGTGTTCACCAGACTCATCAACCGCAACACCACCATCCCCACCAAGAAGAGCCAGGTGTTCTCCACTGCGGCTGACAACCAGACTCAGGTGGGCATCAAGGTCTACCAGGGTGAGCGTGGCATGGCTGCGGACAACCAGATGCTGGGCCAATTCGAACTTGTGGGCATCCCTCCGGCTCCCCGCGGCGTGCCTCAGATCGAGGTCACCTTCGACGTGGACGCTAACGGCATCATGAACATCAGCGCCGTGGACAAGTCCACTGGTCGCAAGCAGGAGATAACGATCCAGAGCAGCGGCGGGCTCAGCGACGAGCAGGTTGAGCGGATGGTGAAGGACGCTGAGGCGTTCAAGCAGTCCGACGAGCAGCGCAAGCAGCTGGTCGACGCGCGCAACGAGGCAGAGACGCTCTCGTACTCCGTGGAGAAGCAGCTGTCTGACTTCAAGGACAAGATTTCTGAGGAGGACAAGAAGTCGCTGGAGGAACAACTCAGCGAGCTGCGCCAGCAGATGACCAGTGAGGACCTGGAGCGCCTGAAGGACTCCCACAAGCGCCTGCAGGAGCTTTCGTGGAAGGTGTCTCAGCAGATGTACCAGTCTAACCAGCAGTCTGGCGACAAAGGAAGCTCTGAGGGCGATGCCGGCTCGGAGAACAAGAGCTGAGTGGCGGCTGCCCTGCACGCATCGAATCGGCCGTGGTGCGACGCACCCTAGTCATATGCGATAACTACCATTAATTTAACGTTGTGAAAGCCATTTACGCTTAATAGGCGCTAGTTATTATGTGGACGCCAGCGGCCTCTATAGGCCGTGTCTACAACTGGCAGCAGCGGCCAGTTGTAGGCACGGCTGCGTTGCCGCGTTTTAGCCTTCTGGCTCGACCAACAGGTCCACGTGATACGGACCGCAGGCCGCTTCCGACCTGACGCGCTGAGGGGATACCGTTGCGACAGCCTGCTCCACCTGCTTGTGCAGCCTTGACGTGCTTATGCCGTCTGGAGTGCACGTGGCGGTGGTGGATCCATTAGAGTCCTGCCAGCAGGCGAACCCTCCCCGAAACCGCCTGGATACGGAATCCTCGTAGTACTCCACGGTGTCACGGCGGCCGTGCAGGCGATAGTCCACGAGACGCGACACCCGCTCCGCTTCTTGCCGCAAGGCTACTGCCGCATTGCGATGCTCCCGCGGATGTACAGCGCGGCCTAAGTCCTTAGCGTTGTCGAAGTGGTCCCAATTCAGCTTTATGCCGCTGCGAGGCGGATGTGCCACGTCGATGCGTGCGTTCCTCAGCTTTGCACCGGAGAGACGCAGCCGCCTTCCACGATCCTCCTCAAGTTCGCGTAACGTGCGCGCATCGGGTGTGCACATCAACCGCGGGTCCAGGTACGCGCTGTCCGTCGACCCTATCGCCTTCAGAATCCGGTGGTTGTAAGACCCATCATCCACGCCGTATAGGGTATATTGATCATCGAGAGCGTGGAATCTTGCAGACAGCACTGGCACGAGGTGGTTGTGCGCCATTAAAAAGTGTTTTACCGTCTGGAGCTCGTTTAGAGACAAATCACCATAGGGGTTGACAAGCTCCCTGCAGCCAAAGTGGTGATAGATGCACAGACTTCGGTGTACCTCCCTAAGAACCTTCAGCACCTCAGAGGCACTGTTGCTGGATTTGCCATTTGCAGACGGCGCATTCGTGTCTTCTTCGATCTCCAGAAGCTCATTATTTCCATGCCCTTCCATGGTCGTATTGTGCCAATCCTGATTGGCAAGGGCGGTACCCTCCCTAGATACGTTGCGAACTGTGTCACCACTGCTATATAGCTTGTTGGCAGCCTTGTTTCGACCGTCTGCGCGGCTATCGCCGCGTTTCAGGTACTTGAAGTTAGAAGTCACCGAGGGGTCGTACAGGACCCTACTATGGCTATCGGCGGCGATAGCGCCCACATTGCCTGAAGCGACCGGCGGCGCTTTAACGGAGCACACAATCATTTTCTGGTCGTTTGCGCCGGATAATTCGATTTCCGCTGCCATGGTTTTCGTAATGAACGACGACCTTGAAAGCATGGCCAGCGCTGCGGAGCACATCGCGGGAATGCAAGCAGATATTTCCTGCAGCGATTCCCCGCGTGATGTGGCGTCCACAGCGAGCGAGTAACACATAATAGCCTTCGCAAGCGCTTTAGGGCCCAAATGCCCGACGTTCGAAATCAGCAAGCTGGTGACATTGACCCTCCCGACGCCGTAAAGCCAAGGTGCCGAACTAGATGAGCCGAGTATGGGAGCATAAATAGATGGCTCAATACCGCTGAGGACGTGAAATAGCTCCTCCAGATCATGCAGGGAAGCTCTTGCCAGCAACCAAGGGGCCCGGTCCTGGATTATATGAGTTGCCCACGATCCGGCCGGTCCTTCCAATTGGGGATACGTTGCCACAATTGAACGTAACAAATTCAATACTTCCGACATGTTGCATTTCTGTATATCACGGGCAATTCCCTCCTTTTTAGGGCCGCGCCGCTGCCGACAAACGTATCGGGAGACGAACATATCAGTTACCACGGCGACGTCCTCAGAGCCCAGATGCAAGAGGGCTCCGATTATGTGGCAGATATCGCGACTGGGTATAGTGTCCATCCCAATTATGCCCATTTCAGCCTCCTCTTGGCATTCTAGAAGGGTCGAAACTATGACATCCAGGAACCCCATATGTGTCACATCCAACTCCACCAAGCAATCCAGGACTTCCAACTTGCGTCGCCACGACAGCTCTGCAACACACAGGGCATCTACAAGGGAGTATACAGCGCCCATGCGTCCCCTTTGGTCGCCTACTGCATCGTTCGTCACGTAGCGTAACGCACCGATCAGTGAATCGCATGAAAAGAAGCTGCTACTTTCATTTATCTCCCTCAGAAGGTGTTTTGTGAAATCGGCGCTAAGAATCGACAGACTATACATGACCGAGGCGAACCTCGCCAGCATCTCGCCCTTGCACGTAGAACCCACATGCTCACAGATGTAGAGAGCGCACTTGCGCGAGTTTACCGTCACTGCATTTACGATTCCGACGGTGGCTGTGTCGCTACGGCGCCTCAGAACTTGGTAAGATGCACGCACTATGCTATCGCAGGCCTCCAGAACCCCCAGAAGGATGCGCGGGTCACACCGGTTCAGGCCATCCCTTGAGCTCGTGAGGATGTCCAGCAGCCGGTGGAGGTGCACGCTGACGGTCAGAAACCCGCTCTTAGACAGGTGGGATAGTGCTACGGCGGCGTATTTCACCATATCGTCGCCGTGGCGTATGGCAGACGATCCAGGAGGCCAGTCGCAGGGCTGCTGGAAACCCGATGGATTCCACGTGACCTTCAGCAGCGGCAAGAGGGGGTTGCCAGTTGCGATTTTCTCGGAAACAACACGGCAGACGATCCCATTGACCAGATGCGGTTTCCGCGGCGCAACGACGTGGAGTAGCCTCCATACTGCGGATTTGCCGCGAAACGTGACAGCCATCGCTGGCCAGTCACGGTTTACTGAGGTGCTGCTTCAGCACATGTTGCGCAGCATCGATGCGTTCGACCAAGTACGGCGACCCTTGGAACGTGCTCGAGGCCATGTTTATGTTGCGCAGCCTTTCGTGGGCCTTCTCGATCTCGGCAAGGGGAAGGCCACCGGTAGACGGCAGGCCGAGAATCTTGGCCGCCTCGTCCGGGGACATCTGCCGGCGCAGAATTGAAGTGCTCGCCACTGCTCCGTTGGCAACTGACTCGCGGTATGCTCGCAACGTTGCCTTGACGACGCTGCCGCCCGCGATCCAGAGCACCTGGGTGAGCACGCGCGCTAGCGGTCGAATGGGAACCATTGTATCAGCGCACAGGCCATCCCATACTCATCGGATCGTCCACAGCCGCCGATTCCCGCCGAGATACTTGCTGAAATGATGCTTCTGATCCCTGTATACTCCAGAAGCGATGTTTGAGGGCCGAACACCGGCGGCCGTAGCACATGCTGCGACCTATCCAACTGAGCCCTGTCTTGCTCGGGAATGTGGCACTTTGAGCCTGGATTCCTCGCTTACAGCACTTAAATCGCAGTCCTGAGCACAGTACGATGGCAATATTCGAGCGTAGCGATGCCCTGCCACGCCGCGTTGTCACCGCGCTGACCGTGGTGTGACGAGGTTCCAAAATCGAGCTACCGGCTCAGATTCTCGCAAAAATTTGCAGCTGGTGCTTGTTTCACACGCATATAGATTGCTGAGGGGATGGCAATTCCTCTCGAGCCGCTATAATTGCCGCGCGATGCAGCGCGGATGTGTGGTTAGACGCGCGTGGCCCCTTGAAAGGCGCCCCCTTGAAAATCAACTCGACCGCCGCGTGGCGCAGTCTCTCACAATAAAAGACACGGGCGAACCTACATCGCGCCTCTGAAAAGCTTCGGCGAACGACCATCGCAGGGTTCACGAGGCAAAAAATGGCGGAGTCCGACAAAAATATCGAGCAGTGGAAGATCAAGCAGCTCATACGCTCGCTGGAGGCAGCCAAAGGGTTAGTTTGCGCGCATATAGCGCTCCCGGCGTGCAAGGGAGGGGCTCCTCACCCGCACCGCTGTGGAATCCCGCACTCCCGTTCGTTTTCGCTCGACTCATGAATTGTGCAGAAATGGAACGAGCATGATCAGCCTCATCATCAGACCCAAGGATGAAATTCCGAGGATCACCAAGATGTTGGCGGATGAGTACGGTACCGCGTCCAACATCAAGTCGCGGGTCAACAGGCTGTCTGTGCTCGGCGCCATCACCTCCACGCAGCAGAGTAAGTTCGCGTTGCGCGGCACTCACCGTTGGCAGAGCTGAAGCTCTACAATCGCACGCCACCCAACGGGTTGGTGCTATACTGCGGGACCGTCATCACGGACGACGGCAAGGAGAAAAGGGTCTCACTCGACTTCGAGCCCTTCAAGCCGATCAACACCTCGCTATACCTCTGTGACAATAAGTTCCACGTCGAGGCGCTCAAGGAGCTGCTGGAGTCAGACGACAAGTTCGGGTTCATCATCATGGACGGTAACGGCGCGCTATACGGCACGCTGCAGGGGTCCTCCAAGGAGATCCTGCACACCTTCACCGTCGACCTGCCCAAGAAGCACGGCAGGGGTGGTCAGTCCGCGCTACGTTTCGCGAGGCTGCGTATGGAGCGCAGGCACAACTACGTGCGAAAGGTCGCAGAAAATGCCGTGCTCATGTTCATCACCAACGACAAGGTCAACGTCACGGGGCTCATCCTGGCGGGTAGCGCCGACTTCAAAAACGACCTCATGGCCTCCGACATGTTCGACCCACGCCTCTCGGCGAAGGTTCTCAAGATCGTCGACGTTTCTTATGGAGGCGAAAACGGTTTCCAGCAGGCCATCGAACTCTCCGCGGAGTGCCTCAGCAACGTGAAGTTCATACAGGAGAAGAAACTTATCATGCGCTTCTTCGAGGAAATCTCACAGGACACGGGCAAGTACGTATTCGGCGCCAAGGAGACCATCAACGCTCTGGAAAACGGCACCGTCGAGACGCTCATCGTCTACGAGGCGCTCGAGGTCATGCGCGTCGTCCTCAAACACCCGCAGACGGGCGAGGAGACCGTGCTGTTCCTCACAAACGACCAGGAGCGCAGGGACGAATACTTCAAGGACACCAAAAACAACGTCGACCTGGAGACCATCGATCGCAAGCCCCTGACGGAGTGGATTGTCGAGAATTACTCCAACTACGGCGCAGCGTTGCACTTCGTCAGCAACAAGTCGCAAGAGGGAGCGCAGTTCCACATGGGTTTCGGAGGGATTGGAGGTTTCCTCAGGTACAAAATGGACATGGCGGAGTATTACGACGACCAGATCGAGGATGACGACGACAACTTTATGTGAGCGCCGCGGTCGTCGTCGCCGGAACCTCACGAGCGAAGTTGCACGTGACGTGCTAAGCAAGCACTCTGACTTAGAAACATTCCATAATATTGACGTCGCACTATGTTACACCGAGAGCAGGCCGCTGTAAAGTGCGTGCAGCAGCTGGTACGAGGGCAGTGAGCCTTCCTCCGACATCCTGCTGCATAGGCCCGACAGAAACGATTCCGTCTGGAACGGCAGTTTCCTGCAAAGCGTCACTATCGCTAACTCAAAAACTGACCTCAGAATGTCCAAATGCAGCACAGACTCATCCCCCGGCCACACGGCCTGAGTCTGAGACATCTGCGACGTGAAGAACGGGGTGGAGCACCTGTTTACGCCAAGTGGGGGTGCTATGCACGAGTCCATGGCAGACTGTACGTTCTTGAAAAACTGGAAGATGCCCGACTCGGGCATGAAGGTCAGCAGCACGCTGCCATCGGCACAGAATCCTAGCTGAACGGTATTATGAGTTATGAAACAGGTTGCTTACCGCTGCGGAGGGCACGGAAACGTGCCTGAAGTCAGGCTCTCGACGAACAAAGTGGGTCACGCGAGTTGGCAGCCGTAATGCCGCCGTCACCACCAGAGTATCGCGGCCGCTGCTCTCGCTCTCGTTGCTGAAAAGCAGCAGATTAGCGTAGTAATCGCTCGCCATCAGGCCCAACGAATCCCGGTTGACAAGCGGCGCACAGGCCACCACAGACAGGTCTACCTTTTGCACAGTAGAGCCAATCTTGCACAGGGTGCGGGAGTCGTTCACCGCATCGTGGCGATACATGAAGAAGTGCAGGCCGCGGTTTAGGTCGCCAGCAACGATGCACTTGTCAAATACGCACGCCGTGGAGACGCACAGCGGGACCTCCGCAAAGGCGCCACGCAGGAACTGCTTGCCGGACACCTCGTGCACAAACAATCGCGAGCCAACAGAGTGCACGAATAGGCCGTAGTTTGGCATGAAGTGAGACAAGGTCCAACGCCGGCTGTCCTCGTTGCCGTAAATCATGACATTGTCGGATTTGCCGATGTTAGCGAGGTCTTCCTGGAAGTTGAAGTTCGGACGGAAAATCAGGTCGAAGTCCGTATTCAGAGATGACAGGAACGACACTGCACCGGGGAATATGCGCTTGCAATACTGCGTAAGAGTAATGCAGTTGCGCGACCTCCTGATGGATTTTGCGCCTTCGGAGGCAGCGTTATCCTCCGGGCAAGGCTGACGCTGGAAGAGCGACTGCAAGTCGATCACAGTAACATCGCCCTTCGACTCAATATTCTCGCCCAGGTTCGTACACGTCCCCACCAACAGGTATTCCCGATTGCCAATTATGCCGAAGGTCAGAGACAGGATGGATTCCATGGGCTCCGCGCGGTATTCCGCGAACCAATGGTGCAAGTCACCCATGTGGAGCACCAAAACTATGTCGCGCCATACGGGCTTGGAAACAGTAATGTCTTGCGGGAATAGATCTATCGTTTGAAGAAAAGTGCAGATCTGCTTGTTGGGCTCAATTATCTCTATGGGCTTCGTGCCCGGTGGCAGAGTCTCCGATTCCAGCTGACGTAGTTGCAGCTTAATGCGGTCGTTCAGCACCCCTGTTAGCTCTTCCTTCGCATCCACAGTTGTGCGTACCACTACCGCGATCAATTTGCCGCAATATACCGGATGTATAGCGCTCCCGGATTGAAGCGTTGCGATAGTGGCGTTACGGTTGGCCCTAATCACGCCATTGGAAAGGTAGTAATTCCGGTTGGAAACGGCCATTAAACTGCCACGCATGTTACCCAGAGGTGACATGTGAGACAGCATATCGCCGCTAAATACGATGCCTCCGGCATTCTCCCGAAGACGGCGGCAGAAAAGGTTGGCACGTACGCTCTGCGAGTCTTCGGACTCAAGCCTGCACAGCAGTGGGTTCCACGTCGTCTCTGATGCGCGTTTCGATGTCAAATATTCAGCATCGTCGGAGCCGGCGATAATCTCCTGTAACCCCACGTAGCCATTGATGCTGGTCTCCTGATGCAGCATGCCGGGTACACACACTACCAGGGTACCAGGCTGGGTAAGGAAAACCACATAGCGAGAGAAGTCGTGCTGCTCTGTCACAATGCTGTACAGACACGTGACACGCGACTCCGCGTCACCCAGAACGGTATCCATGTCAAGTGCATTCTCCACCTCGTATTCGTGAATTCGCAACCGGTTGCATATCGATGTCAGACGCAGGCAAGGCGGTCGGAAGTTGTTCCAACGCTTATTCAACGTCTCAATTGCGCTGAAAAACTCACTGCTGGGTGTTATTTCGGACCTCGATAGCGGTTTGGCGGAGGGGCCCAGCTCGGTGCTCTCGGCGCCGACGGAGTAGTACACCACGTCATCTGTCGATATGTGAGGATACGACACTGTGGCATGGTTCAAGTCCGATTGGTCGAGATCGGTGATGCCGCGGCACCCCAGAAGCGGGCTCCTAATGCAGAAACTACCCACATTGCGCTCACGATTTAGTTGCATTAGGAGTCGATGGTTGGGGGAGGCCGTGCTGTTTACCTCCACATAAGCACTTGGGACGGGGTGTACAAATCGGTGCGTGAACAACTCAAATACGTAATCGGTGCCTGAGACCAAATACGATCGGTACACGAGCAGAGGACGCCCCGTCATAAGCACCAACAAGGTGGGGCCCAAATCCGTAGGAGATATATCCAGCATGCGTATAGAAATCACGTATTCCAGCGTCCCCTCATAGTGCCGCAATTTGTTCCAACGCTCAATAGCAAAGTCCAAACTAGCCACGAAAGGTTCCTGGGTGGTGCAGTCGGGGGCATCGGTCGCACACGGCGGATTCGGTTCCGATGCCGATACATCAGTGCCCCCTTGTTGTTCGTCTTCGGAGCTATTCGATCTAGACTTGGTAGCTGTAACCTTAGCTCTTGTATTTGACCTAGTTGCACTTGAGGCCTCTTCGTCAGGCGTGTTGGCTTCCGATGTAGCCCGGGTACGTTTATCTACACGGCGCTGGCCAACCTCAGCAGCGGCAGATGGTGATTCCTGTTGTTTCTCCACATCTACTGCGGTTATGTTCAACTCCTCGGAATTGTCAGAGAACAGGCGCGGAAACACCTGAGTAATACCCTTGAATGCGAAGACACGCTCAAAAGTGTGCATGCGATAACAAAACAACGTGTCCATTGTAGTCAACACCAACAAACAAACGTCATCGAAGGTGCTGTTGACACGCCTCGGCCAATATAAGCTTATATGCTGCACGACTCCACCGGAGATCCTCCTTACAATGGTTAACGATGGTGCGCCAGAATCTTCCGCCACGCTCAACACTGCAACATTACCGCTTCTGAATAGACATACCACAACATTGTCGGCTACCTCAGCTGCCCATACACTTGAATTCGGCTCTGCATCAAACTCAGTTAGTGCCATCGAACACGCGTGCGTGTAATCACGGAGTTCGATGAATGCAGCCTTTGTCGGCGTTATCTGCACCGCGAACCGGTTGCCCAGGACTGTGCCGTAGCACAGAGTGGTCTCATCCGTCGATATAGCCATTTGCGGAGGTTCGGTCCCAGCTGTGTGCTGCAAAGCTTGGCGCCGATCCAGCGCGCTGCTGCACTGGACGGCAAGGCTATACTCGTTCAGGTCAACAGTGCATGTCCCACTCTGCCAGGTGAGCAGCAGACTTGTGTCACGTGAATGTTGGAACTGCGTATCCTCCTCTGTTGAAAATTGCTGGCTGGTATATTCCAGTGGGATTAGGGTTGATCCTCTCTGCAGCGGGATGGAAATGACGCTGTGGAGCGGGTACTTCTCCATGAGAACCACTATCTTGCTGTCGTCGCACAATCCCACCAGTGACTGCTGCTTCGGCCAGACGTAGTCAACCGTTGCAATCTCGGTTACCTGGCGGCCGTGGACTGCATAGGGTCGGCGCTGGGGCTTATACTTCGGCACCACGCGGTCGTCAAGCGGCAATTCTTCCTCATTTCCGCCATCTTTAACGGGACGTACGCATCCGACTTGCCATAATTCCGGCAGACTCACGTTCTTCGGATCACGTAACGCGCCAACATTTGCCAAAGAGACACGAACATCGAGAGAACCCTCGCCTGTTGCCGAGGTGAAGGCCTCGCGCAGCAGAAGTTTGGTAAACACTACTTTGGTGGGAATCTCTGCTATCTCCACTTCGTAGGGATAGCAGCTGCTCTCAACGGTCTCGGTATCCAGTTCGAACTCCAAAAACCCAGGGGGGTAACAAACACTGTACCGGGCAAGGTCCACACCGCTGCCACTTGCTAGCAGCTCCATGCGGCCATCAACCATCACTAATGCACTGGCGGAGACCTCAAAGTCAAGCTCCCCCAACTTCGTCCAGAATATATCACGCATTACGCCCTCGTGACCACAGACGGGCCGGCCAATGTACGCTTGGCCGTATCTACGGGGAACCAAAACGAACGAATTCCCCGCAAAGCCGACGGTGCAGTCGTTTAAGTCGATATCGAGATACATGGCATCCAGAAATCTGGCTAATTGCGCTTCCCTGGACGCGGAGTCGAAACACGTGTTTATCAGACCCGTTGGCGACACAAACTGCCAGCATAAGGTGGGGGACATGACGGTTACCCACATTAGGAAGTCTAGAGATCGAAACATGAAACCGGCGGTGCCGTAAATGCTAGCGGGTACGGCCAAGATCTCACAAGTGTCCATAGGTAGGGAGTCCATGCGCTGGATCACGCTACTAAAACCTGACCTGCAATTCACGGATATAGCCACGTAGCTCATTCCACCAATGACGTAATCCTCACCTTCGATCACGTGCACCCCCACACTCTCCGGTTTTGTCGATACTAACAATCCCAGGATGCAAAGGCTGGAGTGAGATACCAAGTCCAACCCGCGCACAAAGTATCGGCCGTCGCAAAAACCAAGCCTCGAGTCCACGTCGAAGTCAACCATGTTCTCCGCCCGCAGCCACGGTACAAACGTGACGCTGTGCTGATCGGTGTCTCCGGGACGCAACACAGAATCCTGATGTTCGGATAACGGCTGGTAGCAGTGTGACGTGGCAGATACATTCCGCGAGAACTCAAAGACGATCGGCAACAGTTGCACAATGCGTTCGTTAAAGCACATGGCTATTAGGAAACGCCTGCCATAAACGCCGAGGCTCTGTTTGGAAACATTGCGCCGGGAAATAAGGCGCCATCCGTGTACTTCGCAAACTGAAACGTGAGGCTCTTTCACCGATGCTATCCGCATCTTCTCTCGAATTGGCAGCGATGCATACTGCGCCTCATCTTTCGGATCCAGACGGCGGTCAAGCGCATGCATAGACAATGTTATAAAGGTGTTCTGAACCACGTTGAAGGCGCAAGTCAACAAACGCCCATGCTCAAAAGTCAGCAGTAACGCACTGGTAGCCTGGAATTCGTCACGCACATGTTCGCTAACGTCCACATCATCTCCTGTAGCGGCAGCGGATGCCAATGTCGACTCCGGGCCGGCTGCGTCCGGCGTGTCCTTGTCACAATCCAGTGGTGTTGCCACAGCTTCTCGAATTGTTGGTGATACGGTACCCGCGACTGCAGAATCGCTTGAAGGTTGTTCGTCATCGGGCGCTGATACGCGGCGGTAGCTGTGAAGCACGCAGTCGTGCAGTACACGCGTAGCGATAGGGGCGTCCATCAATGCCGTCTCCGAAACAAAACGCAATGATTCGGAAACCACGTGACTACCGAACCGCTTAACGGCATCTTCGTGGTCGCGCAGCGTGCAGCTGGGCGGGTCATAACGATCCTGCGGCACGAAGGCGCCATCGGCTGTTGAGAGCAGCGTGTAGAGCACGAGGCGGCGTCCCTGCACTATGACTACGTCATCAGATCCGGGGTAACGGAAGCTGCCATGCAGTACGGCATCCGCCGATGTGGCATCACATAGCGTGGAGTAGGCCAGGCGAACCTTAGAACTCATCCTGCAGATGTGCGACACTCACCTTACCTACCGGTAGCTGTCTAGGACCAGTAACAGCAATTTATGGGTTCAATGAGCTGTTAATAGGCACACAGACGTGCATTCCTCTCAGGTGTAACAGCCTAACATATATGCCGACGACATCCTGGTGAATGAACGAAAACAATATTGGTATAAGGCGTTCTTCCGCAGGAACAACGGCAATGCTTTGGCTGCATACCGTGCGTATTTATTTCGATAACTGATTTTGGTACGGAATCACTAAAGCTGATCATCACGGCCTCCGCCGCAAGACCACATACATCTGCGCGACGGCGGCAGACACATCGCTGCGACATTCACCTTCCATAGGTGCAAACGCAAGAGGCGCTATACAGTACAGTCCGTAATAGTGTATTTAACGTGAAGGCGAGACTACTTAGAAGACAACGAACTGGAAAGGCATACGAGTCGGAGCATCTCTCCAGTCTGCGCGAATATAACAAATGCGCAGGCACATCGACATTGCAACAAGTGTAAACAATGCTCCGCAGTATTACAGACGTCAGATGTGCGCGTGAAACCGTAGAATCCGCTTTCTAAAACTTAAATAGTTGAACACCCGTAGACTCGGCAGAGTAGAGAACGGGTGCCGTATAAAACACTAACACCTGTTCCTCCGCATTCATTAATTATACGAACTCGGGCGGTAGGCGATGCGGAGCACATTTTGAAATATAAGTTGCGCAAACCACTGCCGTGCTCACTGCGCGTAACGGATGCAGATTGCGACGAGTGAGGAATTTACTATCACCGATCACACAGATGAGTCACAGTGGCGATTCCATCATTGCAAAGGCCACCACTGAGCGTAGGTGCCACCCGCATAAAGGCACCATGCCCGACACCAGAAACGGCGGTAGGAGGAAAGGTGTCGGAGCTTCTACATTACGGCAGACATGCTTAAATACGTCAATAGAGACTAAAGTGCGCACTTCTACGTAAAATTGACCGGATAAGAGCGGATGACGGGGCTATCGCGCCCTGCGATAGGCCGAATCATACGACACGTGTGTATCTCCGGCACTAGGCGACGCATGTCAGAAATGGCCGCGTCGTCGGTCTTCTATAATTTCGTACAACCCGAAATGAAGTATGGATGCTCATATGCGTAACGGCGATACACTTATGCAAAGCACCACAACCGCGCGATTGGCCTTCCGAGTAATGGCGAGCGCCAAAGCGGGCGGAAGTTACCACAATAAAACGCTTAAACACACCGCAGATTTAAACCTAACGATTGGGTTCGCAGAAGCGATCCTCTGCCTTATAGGGGAGGCGTGAGTCGCGCCTCTGGCGTTCCCTGCGTGCATTCGTGCCGTTGCGAACGGTCTTACCGCGTACGGTATATTCTGTTGTGTAATTATGTATTTTAGTAGTATAACGGGCAAAACAAACGTAGTGTTCACCGCCCCAAAGTGGCAGTTCTGATTATAATTCCTGCATATGCAAAGAACTCAAGTATAATGTTTTAAATACTTAGGAATGCCAGTGCAGATTTAAAATGGGTTTCTCCTCGTCTGACTCAATCGGATTCCATTCCGGATTTTGGGATCACCATTCGCAGCTTACGAAACCGGTTGCTGCAAGCCTCTCAAATTTGAAAAAAAGAGGATTCTTCGATGAAAATGTGTGCAGGAAAGACGCACCAAACAATGGGAAGATAGAGGAGTTCAAAGGACCGCGCATATATATGGGAGATCTAAACCCCCAAAACGACATATGTGAGTATGTTAAGTATCTTAACTTCAGGGATGTCAAGCAATATCTGGCGGACAAGGGTGTCGATACCGAGAACATCTCATGCGCAGACTTGATCAACGACTATAAGCTGATAGAAAACTTGGCGCATGTGCAGCAACTTGTTGCGTTGACTCAGCACTATGAGGATCCCGATCCCACCGCTTTCGTTGCCAAGGTACCACGTAAGGACGATATGGATATAGAAGAAGCGGAGATGAAGGCGGCTTCATACCTTGCATATGGGTCAGATTTCAAGATCAAATACGTGGCGCCGCCTCTGGCAAAAAAATGCCCATCCGCGGCATACCCAAGTTTCAACCTCTTGTTCGCCACGGTCATAGACGCAATCCAGGGGTTCCTACGTGCCGAAGCCGAAGACAGTAAAGCAGCAGTCACATACCTCAAGAGTGCGTGCCTGCATTTGCAGCTGTTTACAGGCGGGGCGGTCTCAGGAGCACAACTTGTATATGACGTTCTGCAGGATTATGGTACCATGGGGTACGTTTTAATAGATGACATGTACAACGGAGCACCACCGCCAACAATGAGAGACGCTATGGAAATGGCGAAGTATGTCATAAAGGACGAGATGCGGCAGCGCAATGTCTTCAAGCCGGACCTTGCCATATCCCTTTCCCCAGGAGGTTTCCTGCTTCCCATGTTCGTGGGATTCGTCGACTACCTCATGGAGCTTAACATCATGAATATGACGGTTCCAATATCGGGCAGCTCCGCGGGGTCCATAACATCGGTTGTTACCACCATATACAATAGGAACAGGTATGAGATCATGGAACTGTTTGAAGAGCCCGCTGAGGCCTTCATGTCAAATACGCCCAGGGGCACTCTGGACGAGGTGTTCTCGCCGTTGGTTTTGGCATTTGTGCCAAAAGAGCTATACAAAACACTGAGCGAAAGGATCGGCCCGGTACAAGTCAATTTTGGCGTTCGCAAAGAAGGTAAATTCGAACCAAGGTATGTTACGTTGGCTGAGAGCAACGAGGCGCTCCTGGACGCCGTCAGGGCCAGTTCGAACGTTCCTGGCTTCTTCACGGTAGGTGCGATCGACATGAATGGCGAACCTGCTTACGATGGGCTGTTTGCTACCAACAACTTCTTTACGGGGGCCACCAAGTCGCCGGGAAGACGAACGGTTAGGTTCAATCCCATGCCATTGGGTATCGGAAGAGCTGTCGGATCCAACCTGATGAACTCCGTTGCGAACTCGTTCTTACAAAAGAAGGACATGTACTACATTCACTTCATTAGGCTCAAAAGTCTTATCAAGCAAATGCTGACACGCAGAATGGAGTACATGAGGTCAGACAAGATGGAGCAGTGGCAAGAGGAGATCCAGCAATGTATGAAGGTCTACAATGCGATGTCTAAGACTGGCACAGGGATAGCCACTAGTGAAGTGGAAACATGGGTGAAAATGCTCAGCACGAAGCCAGGCGAAACTCAAAGCGAAAGTGGGCAGCAGGATTGCGCTTTGACAAGGTTATTCAGGTTGGTAGTGGCATCGGAACGGGCCCTAAAAATAGGGGCGAACTCAAAGAAGCATGCTGGAGGATACAAAGACAAGTTGGGACGTATCAGCCTAATGAGAACTTTCGCCAACCCCGGGCAGTCGAAGTTTAATGGTGTTGAGTTCCTGTCCACTCCGTACACGCTCATTGAGTGGCTGTCATATGAATGGGAGTACGTAGGTGACGCAGAGGCCCCAAAGAGTCCTGCAGAAGAGGAAATTAAAGTGCTGAGAGACATACTACACCACCTAACGCCGCCCTCATCATTCACGTATCACTTCACCGACTTCCCCTACATCCTCATGTCCGCCCTATGCACCCTCAAAAACATCATTCCTGCTTTCTACCCCGCAGAGAAGCATACGGGCCGGCACCTGTTCGACACCGGTAGGGCCATAGGCTTCCGGTGGCTGCTCGCAGAGTACATCGCATTCGAGAACTGGCTCTACCTCAGGATCAGGCAGCTGACTGAAGAACCGGATTTGGCCATATTAGAGTGGCAAAAGGTTACCCCTAAGGCCACCGAGGAGGCGCGTACCAGCAATGTGGAACCCCTGCATACCCGACAGTTCAACCGCTTGGAGGGCACCGTTCGGTTGATGCGCAAGGAGAAGATTGATGAGCTTTTGGAACACTTTGAAGAACGCGCCGCTGTCAAAGACGCACACAAACTGGTATTCCAGATGCAGAACCGCCTTGTCAGACGGGCCCTGGCGTACGAGGTTATTAACCCGTACTTTTTACACATACTCGGCCATCGGCACTTCTGGGTCGAGTAGGGTAGCTACAATTCTATTGTGGGCTCAGGCGCTGCTGCGCGCGGCGGCCGCGCTCAGGGCCGACGGATACATGGAAAGCGTCTTAAACGCGCCTGTATCGAATAGAATACATGCGGTTTTTAATTAGATGTGCTAGATGCTGCAGCTTCAGTGTATCGCGCGGCCCACTGAAGGCCACTTAGTCGGACATAGCCAACATCCCACACGTAATCACGACACACAAACGCGACATGACTCTCAATTCTCCTATATTTGTGCGCAATAGATTGGATGTTGCATTGCAAAGCGGCAGAGTGGCATGGCGCCGTAGCGCATTACGCTGGCGCCGCGATTATTACCCGACGAAATGATTGGCAAAAGTGCATGGGCAATTCAAAATGATTAAAACATATGTGTGTTTAACGGTAGAGCAGCTGCTGCGGAACCATGTGACACCATGTGGGCCTGCCTCACCACGACAGCCCCGACGCCGGCGACAATCGCGAACACTCTGCATACCTACCATTAAGTATAGGCAAAATCATGCGAATATTAACAACGGGTTACACGTCATAGACGTAGATCACCACGGCGCATTACGAGCTGGTTCCACCGCAAGACAACGGCGCGTTCGCAGACGTCCCGAGAAACTTGCCTGCTGGGGGCCTCACTTGACACTTTGGGGTGACTTCAATAGTATATTTGCTGTGGCATCTCAAATTACGGACCGTCTGCACAGTATCGTAGAACGCGGAGGAGCGACGAGACGCAGGACCACTGGCTGCTCTTTCGCACGTTAACCATCGTGTATATGCGGCTGGTTTTCGTGCCAGTTCACAGCAGCGCGCTTCAAAGCCTATTACGGCGTGAGGGCCGCGGTCGTTTAACGTCTGGTTCCAGGAAGGGCGCCGCAAGAGCACGCGCCCAGGACTTTACCAGTAGAAGCTACAGTATATTGTGAAAATGGATATAAATATGCACGCAAGAGGACAGTAAGGGTTCACCAGTCGGATGATCTTGTGAAAACGCGGGAACCACGTCGTGAGCGCTCCAGGTTGCGCATATTTTCAAAAGGCAACGGCGTCTTGAAATACCTGCTATATCCGCAGGCATCGTGCGCACACTCTTCGTAAGGGTGGCCAATCATAATTATAAAGGTTATATCGGAATGATGGAAGGTTTCAGGGGAATTTTGCATAGCAATTCCTTCGACCGCCAGTCCTCGCTGGGCGGTTCGCTGCAACACTCGGGACGTAGTGACTCTCAGGCAGATTCGAGGATGTTGCGCAAACAGGGTTCGTCTTCGAACAATCTAGTGCAGCGATACGATCTGAGCTCGCTTACCAAGGATCAACTGCTAGTGCTCATGTGCTTCTCCAACGCTATCATGTCACAAAACCTCCCGGTCAAGTGTATACTCATGACCCTTAAGGCACTGAAGACAAACTTAGGCGCCGAACTCGTGGAAATGTGCTACCCCGACAAGGACTCGGGCGAATGGGTGCATCATAGCGTCGGCAAGGACGGGGTGCTGCACAAAAAAAACATACCAACACCAGATGCCGGGGCGTACCACCACGCCTTCGTTAGCGGGACTCACATCCGCATTGACAGCTGCGCTGACAACCCCATATACGACAAGCAATTGGATCAACACACCGACATCGAACTGAAGAACTTGCTCGTGTGCCCGCTGGTCGACTCCAGAAAATTAGTATGGGGAGTGACGGGAATCGCAAACTGCCCCAAAATTGGATTGGGCGGTATCAACTATCACATGCAATACAGCGTATCTACACCCGTTTCCGAGCTCGTTGGCGGTGCGAGACAAGCCTCAGAGTCCAACGCTGCAACCTCAGCAGCGTCCACGAATTCACTCAGTACCCAGAACTCACTCTCCGCGTCAAATAGCGCATCTAACGATGGTGCGTGCGTTTTTTCCGACGCTTCCGCAATCTCCAGGGAAGAGCAAGGGGATCACGTGGGTGTAGACGGCCCACAGAGCAGCAAAACGGTAAATGGCATCGATGAGCTGTGGGATGACAGCGCGATCACGTTCGCTCTGCAGGTATGTGACATCGGCGGGCAGTGCATATCCAACGCCATCGGGTGGAGGCAGTTGGACGCCACGCGGGATAAGGCCAACGGGCTTCTGACTCTCATGCACTCGCTGTTTGCGGACAGGTTGGGCATACAGTCGTGCGTAGTGGCGCTGACCACGCACGCGAGGAAACTGATACAAGCGGAGCGCTGCACGGTCTACATTGTCGACAGGGCGCACGAGCAGCTGTGGTCGATTTCATCCGATGATGGATCCCAGGTGATCATCCCACTTGGCCGGGGCTGCGCAAGCGACTGTGTGGCAACTGGAGACGTTATCGTCATCGAAAACGCGTTTGAGGACGAGCGGTTCGAGCCTCAGTTTGACTCGCGCGACGGAGTGGAGATCAGGAACGTCGCGTGGGTGCCGATCAAGAACGGCGACTGCAACCGCGTGCTAGCAGTGATAGAGGTCATCAACAAGCAGGCCGATGAGCTCCTGCATTTCGGAGAGGACGACCTCCGGCTGCTAGAAATTTTTTCAGCAATCGTTGGGCCACAGCTAGAAAAGTCCGACTTCGCCATATCGGTTTCGAGACCCGTAGAAACCGAGGCGGGGCTTGCATTCAAAACGCATCCGCAGACCATGATGTCTGCGTCGCGTCATCACATAGCAGAGCCCTGCATTCCTGAAACCGAGGAAGAGTAACACCATTCTTAATAAACATTTTGTGCCGTGTTGGCGTGCGTAGCTTAACGTAATGTATGCTCTGCTTTGGGCTGTGAAAACGCGTGCTATCGAAACACGACGAATTGTGTCTATTCGTGATATGCGCCTTCCATCTCAAATTCAGCGATGCAGTTGTTTTCATGAATGCTCATTGCGGCCCAGCGTCACCACCAACGGCGCCCTTATTTCGACAATACAGATAGAGAACTACTACGCCAAGTGATAGGTAACTAAAACTCGATAATATGTTGGTGGATCATGAGTTGATATTACGCATTTCATCATTCATGTTGACTTATGCCTTAAGATAGCAGCATCGCATTCGGCTGTCTAAGCCTAATTGTTGGCGCCAGTTCGATGACATATTCTTGCGTCATCATAGCTGTTCATAACTTGCGTACGTGGCAATGAAACTTCATAATTGTGTGGAGTGGAATTAGGTCCCATCATATCTCTGCTACGTTTTTTGCACTGCTCAAATGAGGAACGTGTCGCATCCTTATCTTCACATCTATTCACAAGTTGAGAGATTGGCAACGACCTTAATCCACTGCAATAGATGCTATCTGGCATCTTATACTGGGCTTCACTCACTCTAGTAATGTTGACAACCAACTGCTGTGTCAGCGCGTGACCACGCAAGCCAACCGGTGGGGAGGCAGACGGGGATGGCGTAAATTGCTTATCACATACATACGCACAGCGCACTACATCGACTGTTTGGCTAGGATAAGGCTATGTATATCAGACATTGCGAAGTGCTAGCTTAGAGGTGTCACGTGCCACCGGACTGCGCTGCCATCGCTTCCGCCACGGCGACGCACCGCCATCTGTCCCATCCGCAGCCCCAAGTCACTCACCTCGTTGTCACTCGGCGTAACAGTAGACATAATACTTCCTCCGTACACCGAGATTGTTGCGGCGTCAGGGTTCGGTGCTAGAGGCATGGCGCCGAAGGCCTTGACGGACTGTCCAGAGAACCTTCGAGAGTCGATCGACTGGCTCGTGCAGGTGAAGCACGGCGGTGGCATCTCGAAGCTGTCCAGCGCTCTCGGTAAGTTGTTCGACCATGTCGCTCAGGACGCTCAGACATCTCTGTCGTCTCCCTCCGAGTCAGATGACCCGTCCGCCGGAGATGTTATCTCCAAGCTTCAAGGGTTTCGGAGCTCTCTTCCGCAAAACTCTGCGAATACTAATGAAAACATTTTACATAATCTCTGTTCCTCCTTTGAGACATTTTTAGGCTATAAGCCTCCCGGAACCTACGATGGTTCCGGGATTGTGTATGGCTCCGCCTCCCGTTTGTGCGACGCCATTTTAGCGTTCTTGTATGCTGTGTTCCATGATGTCTATGAAAATCAGCCGTACGTGTCCGGTAGATCTATATTGCATGATGTCCTTGATAAGCATCTTAAGCCTCAGTTGCGGCAGGGCCACAAGGGGTTTACTCACGCTATCCCCAAGGTGGCCGACGGCCTCCGCAAGTACAACGAGGCTGTCTCGGCTTCGAACGAAAAAGTGAAGAAGCCGATAAATGAGTTGTTATCGTATGTTGGTGAGGGTGGTAAGTTGCTCACAGAGGTTAATAAGATTCAGGTACCGGAAGAGTCTACGCCTCTGAAACCTGAGGAAGCCGTCAAGGCGGCGGAGGCCTTGGTGAAGGAATGCGTCGACGAAAACAAGAAGTTGCAGCATAAGTTTGAGGCAACCAAAAGGGGCAACATTGTGGCTGAATACAATGATCTGAATTTGTCGCTGCGTGAGAAAGTCCGCAATGCCCGTAAAAATATTGGCCATGAAGTTAGGCGGCTTAAGCAGCTCTCCAAAAGGGAGAGACAAAACCTGGAGGCCTTCATTAAGATGATCAGGAAGGCGCTCACCAAGCTTAAAACTGACGTAAATAACCAGATCACCAAAAAGGTGGAGGAGCTGGTTAAACAGTTGAAAGATAAGGTCAATCAGATTTTGCAGGCGCTGGAAGGGATTAGTAAATCGCTCGGACAATATATTATGGACCTTGACAAGTGGATTGAGAAAACAAAACTAGACATTGATGCGGCACAGAAATTAGTCCAGAAGATTTTAAATGAGGTGAATGGAATTGAACCGGCTAAATGCAAAAATGAGCTTGACAAGGCGATTGAAACTGTTGAGACCAGGTTGCAAGAGAGAGTTGCGGATTTGACAGAATGGAAGGAAGCGGCACATAAAGTGCTAGAAGGGACGATTTTGAGTTCTGGTAATGTGTACAAAGATTTGGATCCCAATCAACAAAAAGATTCCCCCGGCGAGACGACAAAGATTGGTGAAGGACTTCAGCAGATCACTACGGCTAAAACGGCAGTTGAGGGCGTGAATACTGGGCTTATTCAGGTTAAGAACGATTTGACAGCTTGGAACCTTGCGGCAAAAGATGTGCTTAGCAATGTGGTCAGTAAGGCTACGGACGTGCATAAAAAGTTGGACCCTGAGGCAGCTGACACGGATCATAAAATTGGTACGAACATTAAGGCTATTGAAGAAGCTAAAACGCAACTTGACAACGCAAATGTACAACTTGGCCAACAAGTTAAGGCTTTGGGCACTTGGATCACCGAGGCGGAGAATATCCGTGCCGCGGCGGAGAAAAAGGCCAAGGAGGCCTACGACAAGTTGAAGGTTAATGAGACTCTGAGTAACAAAATCGGAGAGATTGTGACGGCAAACAACAAGATTAAAGATGTTCATGGAAAGCTTGATACCCATCTTGGGAGTTTGAATACTTGGAAGCAGACGGCCACGGGCGTGCTTACAGGGGCGATTCAAAGGGCCAATGAGGTGTATGATGAATTGAATTATGAAGACAAGCAGACTGGTGGTAAGACTGATTTGGGTCAACAAATTCAGAATATTGATGATGCTAAAAAACAAATTCAAAATGCAAATGGCTTACTTAAAACTGAAGTTGAAAATTTAGGTAAGTGGAAGTCTGCCGCCGACAAAGTAATCGGCAATGCGGACAAGAAGTGTGAGGAGATTTTGGGGAAAGTTGATAAGGATAAAAAAAGTGTGATATATAGTCAAGCTCAAGAATTAGAAAAGCAAGGTAAAAAACTTTTGGAGGCTGCGAAGGATGCTAAGCAGGCTGTTGAGCAGAATGTCCAATCAGCGTTGGAGGCTGTCGTGGACATGGACAAAAATCTCAAGAGGGATTTGAAGGGTGTGAAACAGAAGATTAAGAAAGGGATTAAAGATGTTATTGAGCAGTTGCAGGTTAACATTTTGGATCAGAAAGTGAGAGATGATTTGGAGAAGTTGAGGGGGAGGATTAGTGGGCTTAAAACAGAGGTTGATAAATCAAATGGAGAGGGCCTCGTTAAAAATGAGTTGGATGCTCTACAGTCGCATAAGACAACTAATTTGGATACTGTTGTTAGCCAAATTCAGAGCGAGACGAATACTAACCTTGAAAAGAATTTTAAGCAACATATCCAAAGTCCGCTTCAGTCTGCGGTCGGTGCAGTTGACTCGGCGATTGTGGCGCTTGGCGGGAATTTTAATAAGTTGACGAGAATTGAAAGCATTTTCGGGCATATTAAAAAGCAGGTTGGGGAGATTAAGGGGACATCAGGAGACGGAAGTTGGGAGAATAAAAATGGCCAAGGCCTGGATGGGATTAAGTCCAAGGTGCATAATTATGCCACTGCTTTTCGCAACGATAATTTTGAGAATATAGTGAAGGGGTGGCTGGAGGCCACCATATTGGAGTACAACGGCACCGTGCGGAGAATACTCGGGTGGACGTATGGGCAGGATATGAAGGAAAGCATTAAGCAGTTCGGCATTGGTATGAAAGAGAATTTTAAGGTTGATGCAGAGGATTCAGCCAAAGCAGCGTTCCAAAATGTTGATACAGCCAGCGGCAGCATCACTAAAAGTATTGAAGCTGTCCAACAGCTTTGCAATGGATTTGCCGGCGGACTTGATAAGAAACTATTGCAACAGGGAAATGACGCAGTCAACCATGTAAAGGATGACGCTCTGCAGAAGGGATCCCTAGACGCTAAGATTACAAACTGCATCTGCGAGTGCGTAAACTGCAAAAAGCCAGACTGTGGCAAAAAAGCCGCCGCGGAATTGATAATGTGCGCGCTGACATCTACAGTGAGACAGGTGGGCAACGAACTGAATTCCGTGCTGCTCGAGCCAAAAGACACAAACATCGCAACATTCTTGGATACTATCACGCCTATTGCTACTCAGCTTAACGAGCAGCTTATGAAGGCGACTCAAAATTCCACACCTCCCACCCCCGATGCTGGCACAGCCCAAGCCGTGGACAGTAGGTTGCAGGCAGTGAGGGAATTCGTGGATGGAAGTGGTGAGAATATTACCAGCAAGTTTAACAAAGAGGTCAAAGGACCACTTCAGCAGGCAGTCGATCAACTTCCCACCGCCGTTTCCACTTTCAACCAAGAAGCTCAAGACCAGATCAAGGCTGCGGCCAAGACGGCGATTAAGGAGGCGGCTTGTCAAATTAAGACGGACAGTGATGGTAAAGCACAACTTGGTGCTGACCTCATGAACGAATTTAACACTCAGTTCACTAAGATAACTGATACCAATACTGGACTTCAAAAACAGCTTGAACAGCAAGTTGATACGCACATTGGGCAGGATGATGGACCTGCGGGTGGTGGTCAAGGCGGTACAATTACTGACCTTGCTGGTGGAAGCTTCACGGAATATAGTGGACACGTAAACCAAGAAAGCGTTAAGAAATATGTGCCATCAAAAAACGCAGATAGCCTAACTGGCTCTCTTCCACTGGCGATCGGGAAGATTAGAGATGACGGTCTGGATGCGCTTAAAATCATCGATCAAAAAACAAGCGGCCAAGATCAGATTACCGATTCAACCTTCACCGTGCCGTTCACCGCAATTACAAGCCAGCTTGACGAGATCAAGAAATTGGTTGAGAATAAGCAGGGGACCCCGACAGGCACTAAACCAGATGGCGTCAAGGACTACTTGGATGAGCTTAAAAGTGCGCTTGATCAGGGCAAGTTAAATGGAGCTGATAAAGGCCTTGACGCAATCAAAAAGGCGATTGATGATCTGCAAAAAGGAACGTTTGACCAACAACCCGAAGCAATTGGCCAAGCCGTCAAAGCAATTAGGCAGCAGCTTAAACAGCTTAGAGAGAAGTTGCAAGCTAAAAATGGCCAGCCGGGAAATGATGTCATTAAGACGTTGGAAGATTTGCAAGGCAACGGTCTTAGTGACAAAGATGACTGGCAAAATGGTAAAGGTAAAACTCTCAGCGGTCTCGGGAAAATCCACAAGGACCTTGAAGAGCAGAATGACACGTTAAAAACCCGTGGTGACGAAATCACCTCTGCCATTAGCCAAATTAAGTGGGCCCTTAGAGGTCTGGGATTTAAGTTTCAACATGTATACGACAGTGATGACATCCTGGACAAGTTGAAGGAGTTAGAAAGCATGATTGGCCAAAAAGCTGCAATAGATGGAAATCTGCATCACATTTGTTATGAGATTGAAAAGCTACAGAAAAAGGAATTTTCTCAGAAACCACAAGCCATTGGAGATGCCAAGCAAGAAATTGTAGATGAACTCACTACCCTCCGAACTGAGTTGCAAGGCCAGAAGGACAACGATGTCATTGCAACATTGAAAGATTTGCAGACCAATGGACTAAGTGGAAATGGTTGGACACCAAAAAACAGTAATAATAAAAAAGGCCTCGCAAAAATTCATACTGAGCTTCAAGACCAACAAAGTGAGCTGTCTGGCCAACCCAAGAACATACAAGATGGCGTCAACCAGATTACCGAAGAGCTTATAAAGCTTCAGACGCAGTTGAACACTGAGGTCACCGATAAGCTGAAGAAGCTGAGAGACCATGGCCTTACTGACGGTAAAGAAGCATGGACAATTGAAAGTAAACCAGACAAAGGCCTCACTAAAATCACCACAGACATCGTTGCCATAAAAACCAAGGACGTTAAAGACGTGAAGGATTGTCTCAGGGCTTTGTGCGCGGCGATTAGAATGTTAGCAAAAGATGCCGAATGGTCTCTTAATGAATTGAAGGATGGCAAAATTGGCGAGCAACTCAAGCAAATAAGAGATGAAATTGACAAGCTACACGGCCGTCTGGTGGATGGTCCCATAAAAGACCTCAGGGCCTTCTTAAGATTCCTCGACAACGGCAAGGCGCAACTCATCAAATACCTCACACAATTCGTCAACCAGGAGATCAAGGCAGCCGAAGAGACATTGATCAGGGAGGCACGCCGGCAATATGTCTCCAACATCAAGGAGGCGCTGGAGGCCTTCGCCCGGAAGGTGGAGGAGGAGCTGCGGGAGTTGCCGAATGAAATTAGCAGAGATCTCTACTTGGGCTACAAGGGGTTAATAAAATACATGTATGGCCCTTTGAGTTCCGATTTCACGGGCCGTGAAGAGAGCGTTCCACAATTATCCTCTGCGTTCCGGGAGCTTTATGAGCAAGTACAGACGTATCTCCTGGGGGAGATAGGAAGAGAGGCCGACGAGCAAAACAGGAAGAAAAATCCTTCGCTCCCGCCGTCCGAGGAGCCGTACAACAGTAAGCTCAACGAGGTGTACGACGCGCTGACCAAGTTGCTCACGTACCTCAAGGACAACGATATCTTCGACCACAGACTCCAGGCGCTGCTCCGCAACCTCACCGACGCGCTGAGTGACCTCAGGCCGGAAAGCTTCGCCAAGCCCTCAACTCCCCTACTGGACGGCCTGGTGGAGGGACTTGGAGTCGTGGCATTTAAGCTTCTCGAGATCGCAGTACAGCTTGAGCAGTGACTCCCACAGTCTGCCTGCCAGGTAGGCCGCCCAGCTGAGGTAGGTGTGGACGAAGGTGGAAGAGTACGGGGCGTAGGCTCCGTAGGTGATGGGCTTCATCAGTTGTGGGCACTTGGAGTTATCGATGTCGCAGCCAAGCAGTGTGGACAGGGTCTTGGCATGGTTCTTGTCCTTGTCGTGGTTGGCGGTGGGAGTGGCGGAGCCCCGGATGCCCTGGACGGCTTGGAGGTCGGCGTCACCAAGGCAGTCCCACCTGGGGCAGTCGTCATGTCGCTTGGAGAGGGCGGAGCCCAGTAAAGACAAGTCTGAAGATACATCATGAAGCGTATTCCCGAAATTGTGGAAGAAAGATACAAGCTCCCCGGTTGTGCGCGGCGTCCGCTGGGTGAGGCAGTTGAGGTAGGAGGCCAATGTCAGCAAGGGGTCATCGCCGCCGCAGGTGGGAGTGAGGATGGTGGAAATATGCTTGCCAGTTTCGTGAGTTGCAGGCAGATGCTCCTGCTTGAATCCCATGTTGACACGGCTCTTGCGGCAGATATCGCGCGGGTCGAAGGGATCTGTCTTGAACTTGGAGTCTGCGGCGTCAGTCAAAAAGGCCTGGAGTGGGGACTTGGGAGACGATACATCACGGCCGTACGGACAATTCTGCCAACCTCCCTGAGATTTATTCCGATAACACTGCGACTTAAGGAACGTCAACTGGTGGTAGCAGGCGTACACGTAGTCCCGCAGCTGGCAGAGGAGGCAGGCGGGATCTGAGGAGGAATAAAAGGCATATTTCTTTTGATCCTCGAAAAAGGTTTTGAACTCATCGGATATGTCTTTGTACTTGATCCTGTGGAGTACGTTCGCCGCGTAGTGGCACGCCTGGGTCAGAGTGTTGGAGACATGGGAAGCGGTCAGCGGAGAGGGATCCCCAGTGACCTCGAGGGCATCTGGAGGCTGGGAGACATCCTTGTTATATTCCCTTAAAATGCCTTTAACACGCTCAGTAATGATTCCAACATACCCCAACTCAGTCAATCCAACCAGCCAGCAGAGCATTTCCCTGACGGTCTTGGGAGGAGGCAGGTGGTCCGAGTCTTGGGGAGGGGAGGGGGTTGGTTGGTCGGTGACATCCGAGGCATCGGAGACGTACCAGGGGTTGCGGCATACTCCGGCGTCGGGCGATGTGTTGAGATCAAGTTGCTTTAGAAATTCCACAGCGCTCGGACTTTTTACATTATCAAGCGGGCCGACGCTGCCACCGAATGCTTCCGTGGGTATCTCAGGTGAAGCCTCTATGGGAACGGCAGGCTCGATCCACTCCGTAGGTGGTACGGTAGTCCGAGACAGTTGTTTCGTGAAACCTTGTGTTGCTGTGGGCGGCGGCTGAATTTGTGCGTTAGGCGCCGTTTCAGTTTCATGCCGCCGTTCGATGTCTAAATCGATTGGAATGATATCAGGATCGTCGAACATAATCTCGGCAACAGGCTGGCCTGTGAGCTCCGGTGTAACGGAGATGCCCATATTAGGGTGACCTTGAAGTTGCGCCATGGGCGTTTTAATTACGTCGCCAGTGACATGTGTTATGTCAGCCATGTCATGCTCATTAAGCGTAACAGTTTCAAGGGGCTTGGTCAGCGTCTTGTCACGCTGCCAGGGCAGCTTCAAGGCTGAGAGCGGCGGCAAGGCATCTACTAACACCGTGTGGGCGACAGGCTGGCCTGTGACGTCAAGCTTATCTTTTGGTGCCGACGTGCGCTCTGGAGGTTTCGTCCATTTCTGAGACCGTATAGGGTGGCCCATGAAACTGGCACCGCCTTGATCACCCCCTCCACCACCTTGTAGACCAGTCCCCTTACCACCAGTTAACCCAGAGCCTGACCCTGGAACACTCGTAGTCTGTGGACGTGCAGGATCTTGAGGAGCAGCAGGATGTAAGCCTTGAGGGGCACCGCCCGGTGAATCCTGACCCCCGACACCTGGCTTAGCAGGGAGGGAAGGGTCTCCAGGAGCACTGGCGGTAGCCGGCGGAGACTGTGGCGGGCTTGTATCACCGGGAGTTTGAACATTAACACCTTGTTTAACTGTTGAATCTTGATCCGAAGAAGACCCCGGAGTCACTGTACCAGGAGGCCCTTTCGGGCCTGCATCTCCATCCTTACCGGAAGCCGGAGGTGGAGCAGGAAGCTTTCCACTTGGTGAACCTGGGAGGTTTCGTCCACTTTGATCATTAACATGATTTGAAGTTCCCTCCGCCTTCTTCCCCTGGTTCTGTGCTCCCTCAGGTTTCTTGCCTTGGTTCTGTGCCCCCTCCGCTTTCTTGCCTTGATTTTGATTCCCTTCAGTTTTTGGTAGCGGGGGCTCAGGCTTTGTACATGCTCTTTGGCCATCACCATGCAATATTTCTCTAAGCCTATCCAAACTTTTATTATTTTCGCCAAGCTCTTTGCTTACAGTGGACAAATCTCTCATCGAATTCCTTACTTCTCTCTCCGGCATATGGATGTCCCTTGTTCCACTAAACACGAATCCGTATGGGAAAAGGTTTTTAGTGAAATAATCTCCAAAATCCTGGTCGGCCTGGTATTCCTTAATTTCCTGCAATTTCCCCCGCACTGTTGTTAGACTTCGTCTCAGCCATTCCGCTGTTTTCCCTGCAAGCTCTATCTCATTAAGGTCGCTAACTTTCGTCACCTGGCCTGTGAAGTCAAAGCGTTTGTTGGTGAAAATTCTGCTAATCTGATTTCTGAGCTCAGCGCAATGCTTTTTTAGGTCGTCCCAGCAGATGGATTTCTCTGGTGAACTCAATCGTCTGTTTAAATCTTCATTCAACTTTTGTATTAAAGTTCTACCATTATCTTTCTTTGCCTCTTCTCCCACAATATCGCAAAAGGTCCTCACCAGTGAGAGCGCATTCGCGGTGTTCTCCTTATTAACGCCGGAGTACGCAACTGCGGAACTCACGAACACACTGCGGAAGAAATTGTAGGGATTTTTTTCCAAAATCTTTCCAAGGTCCACATACATATAAGAACCCTTCGTATAGCCTTTAGTATCAGAGTAACCATATCTCACCTCGTTTTTACCGAAGCCTCCAGGAATTATGCCACCGTACTTATGGGCGTCGCGTTCCTCCGCTCGAAGGTATTCCTGCAGGTCACCACCCCAATCAGTCCTACCATACTGTGGTCTATTTTCCCACCCAGGCCAGTCATTCTGCCATCCACCGCCGCCCAACTTATTGAATGTATTATCAATGCAGTACCAGAGATAGTACATAGCGGCTAGGAACTTGGGAAAGCAGTCGAGCAGCGCGTTGACAAGTTGTTCTGCGCTTTGATTTCCATATGTCCAAGGCTTTGTAGTATAGCACAATCTCGCATAGAAGTCTGACGCTTTCCCAAGGAATTTGGAGAGCTCGGATTTAATGTTGTCTGCTGAAAGAAATGTGGAGTTACCCTTACGTGCTGTAGTAACTGTGGATTTAAAATACTTCTCAATCAGCCTTTTCAGCTCTTCGGCCACCAGGCTTTGCGTCTTCTTATCATTGTTCAACCCTAGCAAGAATTGGAGACACTCCTTGAGTGTGGAGAGCTGAATACCGTGCGGCACCATCTTAGATACAGAGGCACTAAGCACAGAGACACTAATAAATGGGCACTAGGCTACTGGTACAAGAATACACGTGAAAGCGTTTAAATGCTTAACTACGAGACACCAAAGCGATAACACCTCTAAGGTGATGTCACTGCTTCCAGGTTACCGAGACACTCCCAAGATGCTTGCGATGATTGTAATTGCGATGTTAATAGGTGACTCAGTGAAGGTGTTAGTGAGTTATTTTAGAGGTGCAAGAGGGACATGGTGGGAGGCGTCCGCAGCCTCAGTCCACCGACAAGGTGGGATGTGGGATGAAGGTGGCTGCTTTGGGAGTGACGGCAAGGCGACAAAGGGAGGAGGGACATGACAAAGCAGCGAGTAGGTTACATCTTAGGTTAGGTGCTAGGTTAGCCATTTGGTCATGTGCTAGGTGAGACGTTTGGTTATGTGCTAGGTGAGCCTCTTGGTTAGGTGGTAGGCGAGGCACTAGATACAGTGACGATGAGAGACGTTACATGACAACACGAGGAATGTAAAGGTGAATGTAAGTGTAGCTAAGATAATTACTATCATGAGTGAAAGTCATCGTCGAAGTAGTCGACGTCCTTGTAGAGCGAGAGCATCCTGCGGCTTCCGGCGAGCAAAGCCTTGACGTCGATGAGGTGTGAGGCCCTGGTGGTGAGGAGGTGCGAGCGTATGCGCAATACGTCCATGCGGTAGAGGAGTGAGTGGGCGATGTAGAGCGCTGCAATGAGCCAGAGCGCTGTGATGGTGAAGAGGAAGGGCGCACGGATGCGATATAGGTACTCGGGGATTGTCTCGTGCGCCAGCCTGTGGAGAGGGTTCATCTGCTTGACAGCGACTTGGAGGGCCATGCAGAAATCCTCGCAGGTCCGCTTGGCTGCGTGGCCGTGCGTGGAGCCGGCGAGGCTGTGGATGTCCCTGTGGACGAAGCCGTACCGGAAGAGTGTGGGCGTGGTGGAGTCGCAGTCCACGATGGAGGGGCAGTGGGCAGTGTGAGTGGAGTTCGGGGCCAGTGGCCGTCGCTTGGCTGTGCAGTCGTTGGCGCAGCTCCTGGCGTGGCAGTTGGACGTGGCGTCGGCGCAGGTGCGCTCGCAGTCCTGGAGCAGTTCCCTGAGGAAGTCGTAGAAAGTCTCCGTGAGGTACACCACCCAGGAGAGGTAGAGGTGGGCGTGTGTCTTGGCGAAGGTGGCGCGTAGGTCGTGGCCGAGGGGCTTGAGGTAGGGGCCGCAGGGGTGTGATGCTGGAGATAGTGGAGTGCCGTTGCACTCGACGAGTGAGAAGAGATCTCCGGTGAGGTGAGGCATATTTGGCAGGGTGCCATGGTCACTGGAGCCAAAGATAGAACTGACGTCCAGTGTCACGCCCGGCTGCCGGAAGCACGCAGCGCCGACGGCGTCATCGAAGGCCGCCTTACGGTGCTCGCCGTCATTATGCCACTCGCATATGAAGTTGAAGTAAAAGGCGAACAGTTCGTCTGGCGTCCGTGGCGGGCGGGTGAAGAGGCAAGTCAGGGAGCCGCAGAGCCTGGTGAGGGGGGAGGAAGCGCCGCCGCAGAAGGCGCCGAGGACGTCCATGATGTGTCGGCCTTGGGAAGCACGGGAGGCCAGCCTGGTGATGTTGGAGAGGCCCATGGGCGTCTTGCACGGCAGGCCGGGTGACTTGGTGTCACAGCCGGGGCATGAGACACAGGTGTCATTGGGGGACAGCTGGTGAGGGAGGAATCCCACCAGGCCGTCTTCCAGGAACGACTGGAGCGGCGACTTGACGCCGCACTTAGGGTGTTGGTCACATGTTTGGTTGGCATTTTGGTTGGTCATTTGGTTACCAGTTTGGTTGGCATTTTGGTCAACCTTTTGGTCACACATTTGGTTGGCACACTGCATGATGTTGCACTTCCATGACGATCCTCCGACGTCCCGGCCGTACCAGCAGTCGAGCCATCCGCCGTGCCGGGCGTTGTAGGTGCACTGGCGGTAGAGGAAATAGAGCTGCTGGTGGAGGCGTTTGAGGACGTCGAAGAGCAGGCAGAGCAAAGCGTCGGCGTCGCCGGGGTAGAGCAGGCCTTGCGGGTTGGTGTTGAAGTCGCAGGCGTAGATGCCTCCGGCATGACCGTAGCCTAGTAACGTGGTGAGCACGTTGTGCGACTGGTGGCAGACCTCCGTGAGTGCGTCGGTGAGGGACGCCGGTGTTATGCTCTGCGGGTGGGCCTCCAGCGCCAGGCTGCTGAGGTTCATCAAGGGCACGTCGGAGTCAGTAGAGTCCTGCTCATCCGCCTCGAACAGCGACGGCAGGGCATCATGAGTGACGGTCAGATGCACGGCGTTGTACGTAAGCCCGCAGCACCAGACGAGCATCTCGTACACAGAGCACGGCGGCCGGGGTGAGGGATGCAGTTTGAGGTGGCACGTCTTATAGTACTGGTGGAGGTGCGTGCAGAGACATTCGAGCAGCTGTAAGAGATTACAGGCGTGTGTGAGGGACAGGCATTTTTTGAGGTGTGCGTTGTCTGAGGTCTCCTTAATGTTCTGGCTGACCAGGACATACACGTCGTGGCCGTTGCAGTCGTCGCGCAGCTCGCCGTCCTGCAGGGTAGGAGAGGTGGAGACCTTGTAGCCGCAGCGTTGGAGGAACGTGCCGAGGTTACTGCTTGAATTAATGTTCATATCCCTCCAGCCTGCAGCACCGCCTTTGCCGCAGCGCTCCGCCAGCCTGGTGAAGGCGTCGCAGAGTGTGGGCAGCGTGGTGAGAAAGACCTTGGCGCACTTCTCACCTTCTTCATCGGTGAAGTGTGCGCCGGCGTAGGCGGAGACGTACGCACATGTGAACTCGGCGGCGAACTTTGTGAGCCCCTCCACCAGGCCGTCCAGTAGGGGACTTGAGGGCTTGGCGAAGCTCTCCGGCTTGAGGTTACTCAGCGCGTCGGTGAGGCTGCGGAGCAGGGCTTGGAGTCTGTGGTCGAAGGTATCGTTGTCTTTGAAGTACGCGAGCAACTTGGCCAGCGTGTCGTACACCTCGTTGAGCTTACTGTTGTACGGCTCCTCGGACGGCGGGAGCGCAGGATTTTTCTTCCTGTTTTGCTCGTCGGCCTCTCTTCCTATCTCCCCCAGGAGATACGTCTGTACTTGCTCATAAAGCTCCCGGAACGCAGAGGATAATTGTGGAACGCTCTCTTCACGGCCCGTCAAATCGGAACTCAAAGGGCCATACATGTATTTTATTAACCCCTTGTAGCCCAAGTAGAGATCTCTATTAATTTCATTCGGTAACTCCCGCAGCTCCTCGCGCGCCTTCTGGGCGAACAACTTCAAAAGCTCCTTGATGTTGGCGGCGCACTGCTGCTTGGCGAAGGCTGTGATGTCGTCGATTGCGGTGGTTACTTGGCCGTTGACGAACGCCGTGAGGGACGCAATGCAATCCCTTCCGAACCTGTCGGCGTCCCTGTCAATGAACTCCTTGCAGGCCTTGATTGGCCCACTCACCAGACGGATCTGCAGGTTGTGCAATTGGTCTTTTATTCCAGTCAACTCATATTCCAGCCTGTCTTTTTTCACATGTTCCAAGTCCCTTTTTGCCTCCCTCGCTAAGGTACGAATTTCTGTGCACAGCTCCTTGAGTTTCTCCTTCACGTCTTTAACGTTATCTTCTTTTATGGTCTCGATGTCTTCGGTGATTTTAGTGAGGCCTTTGTCTGGTTTACTTTCAATTGTCCATGGTTGTTTACCTTCATTAAGGCCACTGTCTGTCAGCAATTTGAGCTTTTCGGTGACGTCATTGTTCAACTGCTTCTGGAGCTTTGTAAGCTCCCCGGTGATCTGTGAGACGCCACCGCCGATTTTTTCAGGTTGACTGGACAACGTATTTTGTTGACCTTGAAGTGCACTTTCGATTGTTTTAAGGCCTTTTTTATTCTCTCCGTGATTCCACTCCTTATCACTTAGTCCATCGCCCTTCAAATCTTCCAGAGTCTTGATGACATCGTTGTCCTTGGTGCCTTGCAGCGCATCTCGAATGGCAGTGAGTTCTTTTACAATTTGTTGCTTGGCGGCATCGATGGCTTGAGGTTTATTAGTAAAATCACCGGATTGCAGCTTTTGAATTGCGTCGTGAATTCCTTGGATATTCCACGCCTCCGGAGCATTTTTACCAATGCTCCGTTTAAACCAACGCAACGGGTCTAGGACGTCATTAGTACCGGCAATATTTTGAATCTTAATTCCTATCCGTGCAAGCTCCAACTTAACTGCGTCGACAGCATTGCTGATTATGCCAGTCTGTTTTGGCAATATCTCATTTTGCTTTTTAAGGTCAATATGGATACTTTTGAAACTGCCAACATTTTTCCATTTGTTATTAGTACTAAATGTAAAAGCACCATTTTCAAGACCATAATTTTTCAAATCTTCCAGAGTCTTAATTACATCATCTTTATTGCTGTCATCTTTCAACTTCCCTCTAAGCCTTCCAAGCTCCGCCTTAATTTGCTCGACGGCTGTGCCAATTGCGTCGGGTTGACATTCGATGTCGTTAAGTGTAAATTGCCTCGAGGCCTTTGGCTTTTAGACCACTTTGGCAACCTGAGTGCAGGTCGACGCCATTTGTGGGACGCAAAAAGGGCGTGGCAGGTGGGATGAAAGAGGCTGCTTTGGGAGTGACGGCAAGGCGACAAAGGGACAAGGAGATGGCAAAGCAGCGACTAGGTTACGTCATAGGTTAGGTGTTAGGTCACATGCTTGGTTAAGTGGTAGGTGAGACGTTTGGTTATGTGCTAGGTGAGCCTCTTGGTTAGGTGGTAGGCGAGGCACTAGATACAGTGACGATGAGAGACGTTACATGACAACACGAGGAATGTAAAGGTGAATGTAAGTGTAGCTAAGATAATTACTATCATGAGTGAAAGTCATCGTCGAAGTAGTCGACGTCACGGTAGAGTGAGAGCATTCTCCTGCTGCCGGCGAGCAGCGCCTTGACGTCGATGAGGTGCGAGGCCCTGGTGGTGAGGAGGTGGGAGCGGATGCGTAGCACGTCTATGCGGTAGAGGAGTGAGTGGAGGATGTAGAGCGTGGCGATGAGCCAGAGTGTGATGATGGTGAAGAAGAAGGGCGCACGGATGCGATATAGGTACTCGGGGATTGTCTCGTGCGCCAGCCTGTGGAGAGGGTTCATCTGCTTGACAGCGACTTGGAGGGCCATGCAGAAATCCTCGCAGGTGCGCTTGGACTGGTGGCCGCTGGTGGAGCCGGCGAGGCTGTGGACGTCCCTGAGCACGAAGCCGTACTGGAAGAGTGTGGGCGTGGTGGAGTCGCAGTCCGCGATGGAGGGGCATGAATCATGGTGCTCGGAGCTCGGGGCCAGTGGCCGTCGCTTGGCTGTGCATTGGTTGTCGCAGCTCCTGGCGTGGCAGGTGGATGTGGCGGCGGCGCAGTTCCGCTCGCAGTCCTGGAGCAGTGAACAGAGCAGGTCGTAGAATGTCTCCGTGAGGTACACCACCCAGGAGAGGTAGAGGTGGGCGTGTGCCTTGGAGAAGGTGGCACGGACGTCGTGGCCGAGGGGCTTGAGGTAGGGGCCGCAGGGGTGTGACGGAGCGGAGCGTGGAGTGCCGTTGCACTTGACGAGTGAGAAGAGGTCCCCGGTGAGGTGAGGAATGTCTGGCACTGAGCCGTGGTCACTGGTGCGGAAGATTGTACTGACGTCCAGTGTCACGCCCCGCTGCCGGAAGCACGCAGCGCCGACGGCGTCCTCGAAGGCCGCCTTACGGTGCTCGTCGCCCTTACGCCACTCACATAGGAAATTGTAGTAAAAGGCGAACAGGTCGTCTGGCGTCCGTGGCGGGCGAGTGAGGAGGCAATTCAGGAAGCTGCACAGTCTGGTGAGGGGTGAGGAAGCGCCGCCGCAGAAGGCGCCGAGGACGTCCATGATGGCTCTGCCTGTGGAGGCACGGGAGGCCAGCCTGGTAATATTGGCAAGGCCCATCGGCGTCTTGCACGGGAGGCCGGGGGACTCAGTGTCGCAGGCGGGGCATGAGACACAGGTGCCGTCTGCCGACAGGTCATGCGGCAGGAATCCCACCAGGCCGTCTTCCAGGAACGACTGGAGCGGCGACTTGACGCCGCACTTGGGATGTTGGTCACACGCTTGGTTGGCATTTTGGTTGGTCATTTGGTTACCAGTTTGGTTGGCACCTAGGTTACACTGCTGATTGGCACACTGCATGGTGTTGCACTTCCACGCTGAGCCTCCGACTCCCCGGCCGTACCAGCAGTCGAGCCATCCGCCGTGCCGGGCGTTGTAGAGGCACCGGCGGTAGAGGAGATACAGCTGGTGGTGGAGGCGTTTGAGCACATCGTACAGCAGGCAGAGCAAAGCGTCCGCGTCGCCGGGGTAGAGCAGGCCTCCGGGGTTGGTGTTGAAGTCGACGGCGTATATGCCACCTGCGTGGCCGTGGCCGAGTAACGTGGTGAGCACTGAATGCGACCGGTGGCAGACGTCCGTGAGTGCGTCGGTGAGGGACGCCGGTGTTATCTTCTGCGGGTGGGCGGGCAGCGCCAGGCTGCTGAGGTTCATCAAGGGCACGTCGGAGTCCGCAGAGTCCTGCTCGTCCGCCTCGAACAGCGATGGCAGGGCATCATGGGTGACGTTAAGATGCACAGCGTTGTGCGGGAGCCCGCAGCACCATGTGAGCATCTCGTAGATGGAACACGGCGGCCGGGGTGAGGGATGCACCTTGAGGTGGCACGTCTTATAGTACTCATGGAGGTGCGTGCAGAGGCATTGGAGGAGATCTATCAGATTACAGGCGTGTGTGAGGGGAAGGCATTCTTTGAGGTGTGCGTTGTTCTCTGTCTCCTCAATGTTCTGGCTGACCAGGACATACACGTCGTGCCCGTTGCAATCGTCGCGCAGCTCGCCGTCCTGGTCAAAGGGAGAGGTGGCAACACGGTAGCCGGAGCGCCTGAAAAAGGCACCGAGTTTACTGCTTGAATCAATCTGCAAATCCCTCCACCTGCCGTTCTTCCCGCAGCGCTCCGCCAGCCTGGTGAAGGCGTCGCACAGTGTGGGCAGCGTGGTGAGAAAGACCTTGGCGCACTTCTCACCTTCTTCATCGGTGAACGTCTGCCCGGCGTAGGCGGAGACGTACGCACATGTGAACTCGTCGGCGAACTTTGTGAGCCCCTCCACCAGGCCGTCCAGCACGGGGGTAGAGGGCTTGGCGAAGCTCTCAGGTCGCAGGTGACTCAGCGCTTCGGTGAGTTTGCGGAGCAGCGCTCGGAGTCTGTGGTCGAAGGTATCGTTGTCCTTGATGTAAGTAAGCACTGTGTGGAGTGCCTCGTTTGCCACGGAGAGCCTAGTGGAATACTCCTGTGCGTCCTGCCGCTTGGGATTTTTCTTCCTCTGCTCCTCGTCGTGGAACCGATTTATCTCCCTGTCCACGTGGTCCTCGAGTGACGAGTAGAAACGCATGAAAGCGGAGGACAGCGGTGGGAGGCTTTTTGACTCCTTGAGTTTCTTGACGTTTAGAGTATTTTCCAAGCCGTCCTCCACTCGGGCCATCAGGCCCTTGTACTCCAGTCTCAGGTCACTGTCGATCTCCCACGGCAACTCCCGCAGCTCCTCTCCCACCTTCTGGGCGAACAACTTCAAAAGCTCCTTGATGTTGGCGGCGCACTGCTGCTTGGCGAAGGCTGTGATGTCGTCGATTGCAGTGGCCACTTGGCCGTCGACGAACGCGTGGAGGAAAGCAATGCATTCCCTTCCGAACTTGTCGGCCTCCCTGTCAATGAACTCCTTGCAGGCCTGAATTGGCCCACTCACCAGACGGATCTGCAGGTTGTGCAATTGGTCTTTTATTCCAGTCAACTCATCAAGGCTGTCACCTTTCAGACGCTTTAAGTCCCTGCTTAACTCGTTTGCTTCCGTCCTTATGGCACGGCACAGCTCCTTGAGTTTGTCCCTCACGTCCCTGGTTTTTATGGCAACGATTTCTGTGGTGATTTGAGTGAGGCCTTTTGCGGAGTTATCGTCAATATCCCAACTTGCTACATTGCCAAGGCCGTCACTTTTTAACTTAGTTAGCTTTTCGGTGACCTGTTCATTCAATTGCTTCTGAAGCCTTTGAAGCTCCCTGGTGATATCTTGGACGCCACCCCGGATGTTCTTGGGTTGGCCGGACAGCTCACTTTGTTGATGCTGCAGTTCATTTTCGATGCTTTTAAGGCCTTCTTCATTTTTACCGTTAGGATGCCAACTATTTTCACTTAGTCCATTGTTCTGCAAATCGTTCAGTGTCTCAATGACATCTTGACCTTGAGTGCCTTCCAGCGTAGTTCTGAGGTTTCCAAGTTCATCTACAATTTCTTGCTTGGCATCTCCGATGGCTTGAGGTTTATTAGTAAAATCACCGGATTGCAGATCACTGATCATGTTTTGAATTGCTTGAAGGCTGTCACTGTATCCATCTTTACTTGTGCCGATCTTTTTCCCCAACCGACGCAAATGGTCCATGACGTCAAATGGATTGAAGACATTGTCCATATCTATTTTGACATTTGCAATCTCGGCGTATATTCGTATTGCGGCTTTTCTGATAATTTCGGTTTGTTGAGGCAACTTCTTAATTTCCTCGCTAAGGTCATTCTCGATTCTTCCAAGGCCACTGAGAGTTTGACCATTACCATTCTGCCAGTCATCTTTTTCACCAAGGCCCTGCTCCTTCATGTGCTCCAGTCTTTTAATGGCATCATCTTTATTAGTGTTCTTCAACTTCCCCCTAAGCTTTCCAAGCTGCGCCTTAATTTGCTCGACGGCTTTGCCAATTGCAGCGGGTTGACTTTCGATGTCGTTAAGTGTAAATTGCCTCGAGGCCTTTGACTTTTAGACCACTTTGGCAAGCTGAGTGCAGGTCGACGCCATTTGTGGGACGCAAAAAGGGCGTGGCAGGTGGGATGGAGGAGGCTTCTTTGGGAGTGACGGCAAGGCGACAAAGGGAGAAGGGAGATGACAAAGCAGCGAGTAGGTTACGTCATAGGTTAGGTGCTAGGTGGGCCGTTTGGTTAGGTGCTAGGTAAGCCTCTTGGTTAAGTGCTAGGTTAGCCGTTTGGTTAGGTGGTAGGTGGGACGTTAGGTTAGGTATTTGGTCAGCCACTTGGTTAAGCAGTGCGTTGGGTGCTAGGCAAGGCACGAGATACTCACGATGAGAGACGTGACATGACGTGGCAACACAAATAGAGGAATGTAAATGTGAATGTAAGTGTAGCTAAGATAATTACTGTCACGAGTGAAAGTCATCGTCGAAGTAGTCGACGTCCTTGTAGAGCGAGAGCATCCTGCGGCTGCCGGCGAGCAGCGCCTTGACGTCGATGAGGTGGGATGCCCTGGTGGTGAGGAGATGGGAGCGGATGCGAAGCACGTCCATGCGGTAGAGCATCGTGTGGGCGATGTAGAGCGTGGCGATAGACCAGAGTGCTGTGATGGTGTAGAGGAAGGGCGCACGGATGCGGTAGAGGTACTCGGGGATGGTGTCGTGCGCCAGCCTGTGGAGAGGGTTCATTTCCTTGACGACGACTTGGAGCGCCGTGCAGAGATCCTCGCAGGTGCGCTTGGACTGTGGGCCTCTGGTGGATCCGGCGAGGCTGTGGGCGTCCCTGTGGACGAAGCCGTACTTGAAGAGTGTGGGCGTGGTGGAGTCGCAGTCCACGATGGAGGGGCATGAATCATGGTGCCTGGAGTTCGGGGCCAGTGGCCGTCGCCTGGCTGTGCAGTCGTTGGCGCAGCTCCTGGCGTGGCAGGTGGACGTGGCGTAGGCGCAGTTGCGCTCGCAGTCCTGCAGCAGTTCCTTGAGGTAGTTGTAGAAAGTCTCCGTGAGGTAGACTATCCACGAGAGGTAGAGGTGGGCGTGTGCCTTGGAGAAGGTGGCGCGGACGTCGTGGCCGAGTGGCTTGAGGTAGGGGCCGCAGGGGTGTGATGCTGGAGATAGTGGAGTGCCGTTGCACTCGACGAGTGAGAAGAGGTCCCCGGTGAGGTGCGGCATGTTGGTGACGGAGCCATGGTCCTTGGTGCGGAAGATTGTACTGACGTCCAGTGTGACGCCCCGCTGCCAGAAGCAAGCGTCGCCGACGGCGCCCTCGAAGGCCGCCTTACGGTGATCGACGTTCTGAGTCCAGTCACGTAGGAAATTGTAGTAAAAGGCGAACAGGTCGTCTGGCGTCCTTGGCGGGCGGGTGAAAAGGCAATTCAGGAAGTCGCACAGCCTGGTGAGGGGCGACGATGCGCCGCCGCAGAAGGCGCCGAGAACGTCCATGATGTGTCGGCCTGTGGAGGCACGGGAGGCCAGCCTGGTAATGTTGGAGAGGCCCATGGGCGTCTTGCACGGCAGGCCGGGTGACTTGGTGTCACAGCCGGAGCATGAGACACAGGTGTCCTTGGGGACAGGTTATGCGGCAGGAATCCCACCAGGCCGTCCTCGAGGAACGACTGGAGCGGCGACTTAAGGCCGCACTTAGGGTGTTGGTCACAGCGTTGGTTACATATTTGGTTGTGTGTTTGGTTGCACTGTTGGTCACATATTTGGTTGGCACACTGCATGGTGTTGCACCGCCACGATGAGCCTCCGACGCCCCGGCCGTACCAGCAGTCGAGCCATCCGCCGTGCCGGGCGTTGTAGAGGCACCGGCGGTAGAGGAGATACAGCTGTTGGTGGAGGCGTTTGAGCACATCGTACAGCAGGCAGAGCAAAGCGTCGGCGTCGCCGGGGTAGAGCAGGCCTGCCGGGTTGGTGTTGAAGTCGCAGGCGTATATGCCACCTGCGTGGCCGTGGCCGAGTAACGTGGTGAGCACTGAATGCGACGTGTGGCAGACGTCCGTGAGTGCGTCGGTGAGGGAAGTGAGATGTGCTGCGGGTGGGCGGGCAGCGCCAGGCTGCCGAGGTCAGTGAGGGACACGTCGGAGTCCGCAGAGCCCTGCTCATCCGCCTCGAACAGCGAGGGCAGCGCTTCGGAGTTGAGGCCCAGGTACACGGCGTTGTACGTAAGCCCGCAGCACCATGTCAGCATCTCGTAGATGGAACACGGCGGCCGGGGTGAGGGATGCACCTTGAGGTGGCACGTCTGGTAGTACTGGTGGAGGTGCGTGCAGAGGCATTTGAGGAGCTGTAAGAGATTACAGGCGTGTGTGAGGGACAGGCATTTTTTGAGGTGTTCGTTGTCTTCGGTATTCCTAATGTTCTGGGTGACGAGGACAAACACGTCGCGGCCGTTGCAGTCGTCGCGCAGCTCGCCGTCCTGGTCAGAGGGAGAGGTGGAGACCCTGTAGCCGCAGCGCTGGAGGAACGTGCCGAGTTGACTGCTTGAATTAATATGCAAATCCCTCCAGCTGCCGCCAGTCTTGCACTGCTCCGCCAGCCTGTGCAGGGCGTCGCACAGTGTGGGCAGCATGGTGAGAAAGACCTTGGCGCACTTCTCACCTTCTTCATCGGTGAACGTCTGCCCGGCGTAGGCGGAGACGTACGCACATGTGAACTCGTCGGCGAACTTTGTGAGCCCCTCCACCAGGCCGTCCAGCACGGGGGTAGAGGGCTTGGCGAAGCTCTCAGGTCGCAGGTGACTCAGCGCTTCGGTGAGTTTGCGGAGCAGCGCTCGGAGTCTGTGGTCGAAGGTATCGTTGTCCTTGATGTAAGTAAGCACTGTGTGGAGTGCCTCGTTTGCCACGGAGAGCCTAGTGGAATACTCCTGTGCGTCCTGCCGCTTGGGATTTTTCTTCCTCTGCTCCTCGTCGTGGAACCGATTTATCTCCCTGTCCACGTGGTCCTCGAGTGACGAGTAGAAACGCATGAAAGCGGAGGACAGCGGTGGGAGGCTTTTTGACTCCTTGAGTTTCTTGACGTTTAGAGTATTTTCCAAGCCGTCCTCCACTCGGGCCATCAGGCCCTTGTACTCCAGTCTCAGGTCACTGTCGATCTCCCACGGCAACTCCCGCAGCTCCTCTCCCACCTTCTGGGCGAACAACTTCAAAAGCTCCTTGATGTTGGCGGCGCACTGCTGCTTGGCGAAGGCTGTGATGTCGTCGATTGCAGTGGCCACTTGGCCGTCGACGAACGCGTGGAGGAAAGCAATGCATTCCCTTCCGAACTTGTCGGCCTCCCTGTCAATGAACTCCTTGCAGGCCTGAATTGGCCCACTCACCAGACGGATCTGCAGGTTGTGCAATTGGTCTTTTATTCCAGTCAACTCATCAAGGCTGTCACCTTTCAGACGCTTTAAGTCCCTGCTTAACTCGTTTGCTTCCGTCCTTATGGCACGGCACAGCTCCTTGAGTTTGTCCCTCACGTCCCTGGTTTTTATGGCAACGATTTCTGTGGTGATTTGAGTGAGGCCTTTTGCGGAGTTATCGTCAATATCCCAACTTGCTACATTGCCAAGGCCGTCACTTTTTAACTTAGTTAGCTTTTCGGTGACCTGTTCATTCAATTGCTTCTGAAGCCTTTGAAGCTCCCTGGTGATATCTTGGACGCCACCCCGGATGTTCTTGGGTTGGCCGGACAGCTCACTTTGTTGATGCTGCAGTTCATTTTCGATGCTTTTAAGGCCTTCTTCATTTTTACCGTTAGGATGCCAACTATTTTCACTTAGTCCATTGTTCTGCAAATCGTTCAGTGTCTCAATGACATCTTGACCTTGAGTGCCTTCCAGCGTAGTTCTGAGGTTTCCAAGTTCATCTACAATTTCTTGCTTGGCATCTCCGATGGCTTGAGGTTTATTAGTAAAATCACCGGATTGCAGATCACTGATCATGTTTTGAATTGCTTGAAGGCTGTCACTGTATCCATCTTTACTTGTGCCGATCTTTTTCCCCAACCGACGCAAATGGTCCATGACGTCAAATGGATTGAAGACATTGTCCATATCTATTTTGACATTTGCAATCTCGGCGTATATTCGTATTGCGGCTTTTCTGATAATTTCGGTTTGTTGAGGCAACTTCTTAATTTCCTCGCTAAGGTCATTCTCGATTCTTCCAAGGCCACTGAGAGTTTGACCATTACCATTCTGCCAGTCATCTTTTTCACCAAGGCCCTGCTCCTTCATGTGCTCCAGTCTTTTAATGGCATCATCTTTATTAGTGTTCTTCAACTTCCCCCTAAGCTTTCCAAGCTGCGCCTTAATTTGCTCGACGGCTTTGCCAATTGCAGCGGGTTGACTTTCGATGTCGTTAAGTGTAAATTGCCTCGAGGCCTTTGACTTTTAGACCACTTTGGCAAGCTGAGTGCAGGTCGACGCCATTTGTGGGACGCAAAAAGGGCGTGGCAGGTGGGATGATGAAGGCTGTTAGGGAGTGACGGCAAGGCGACAAAGGGAGAAGGGAGATGACAAAGCAGCGAGTAGGTTACGTCATAGGTTAGGTGCTAGGTGGGCCGTTTGGTTAGGTGCTAGGTAAGCCTCTTGGTTAAGTGCTAGGTTAGCCGTTTGGTTAGGTGGTAGGTGGGACGTTAGGTTAGGTATTTGGTCAGCCACTTGGTTAAGCAGTGCGTTGGGTGCTAGGCAAGGCACGAGATACTCACGATGAGAGACGTGACATGACGTGCAACACAAATAGAGGAATGTAAATGTGAATGTAAGTGTAGCTAAGATAATTACTGTCACGAGTGAAAGTCATCGTCGAAGTAGTCGACGTCCTTGTAGAGCGAGAGCATCCTGCGGCTGCCGGCGAGCAGCGCCTTGACGTCGATGAGGTGGGATGCCCTGGTGGTGAGGAGATGGGAGCGGATGCGAAGCACGTCCATGCGGTAGAGCATCGTGTGGGCGATGTAGAGCGTGGCGATAGACCAGAGTGCTGTGATGGTGTAGAGGAAGGGCGCACGGATGCGGTAGAGGTACTCGGGGATGGTGTCGTGCGCCAGCCTGTGGAGAGGGTTCATCTGCTTGACGGCGACTTGCAGTGCCGTGCAGAGATCCTGGCAGGTCCGCTTGGCTGGGTGGCCGCTGGTGGATCCGGCGAGGCTGTGGACGTCCCTGTGCACGAAGCCGTACCGGAAGAGTGTGGGCGTGGTGGAGTCGCAGTCCGCGATGGAGGGGCATGAATCATGGTGCTCGGAGCTCGGGGCCATGGGAAGACGCTTGGCTGTGCATTGGTTGTCGCAGCTCCTGGCGTGGCAGTTGGATGTGGCGTCGGCGCAGGTGCGCTCGCAGTCCCGGAGCAGTTGCTTGAGCAGGTCGTAGAATGTCTCCGTGAGGTACACTATCCACGAGAGGTAGAGGTGAGCGTGTGCCTTGGAGAAGGTGGCACGGACGTCGTGGCCGAGGGGCTTGAGGTAGGGGCCGCAGGGGTGTGACGGAGCGGAGCGTGGAGTGCCGTTGCAGTCGACGAGGGAGAAGAGGTCCCCGGTGAGGTGAGGCATATTTGGCAGGGTGCCATGGTCACTGGTGCCGAAGATTGCAGAGACGTCCAGTGTCACGTCCCTCTGCCAGAAGCACGCGTCGCCGACGGCGTCCTCGAAGGCCGCCTTACGGTGCTCGCCGCCCTTACGCCACCCAGATATGAAGTTGAAGTAGAAGGCGAACAGGTCGTCTGGCGTCCGGGGCGGACGGGTGAGGAGGCATTCCAGGTAGCCGCACAGCCTGGCGAAGGGCGACGATGCGCCGCCGCAGAAGGCGCCGAGAACGTCCATGATGTGTCGGCCTGTGGAGGCACGGGAGGCCAGCCTGGTAATGTTGGAGAGGCCCATGGGCGTCTTGCACGGCAGGCCGGGTGACTTGGTGTCACAGCCGGAGCATGAGACACAGGTGTCCTTGGGGGACAGGTTATGCGGCAGGAATCCCACCAGGCCGTCCTCGAGGAACGACTGGAGCGGCGACTTAAGGCCGCACTTAGGGTGTTGGTCACAGCGTTGGTTACATATTTGGTTGTGTGTTTGGTTGCACTGTTGGTCACATATTTGGTTGGCACACTGCATGGTGTTGCACCGCCACGATGAGCCTCCGACGCCCCGGCCGTACCAGCAGTCGAGCCATCCGCCGTGCCGGGCGTTGTAGAGGCACCGGCGGTAGAGGAGATACAGCTGTTGGTGGAGGCGTTTGAGCACATCGTACAGCAGGCAGAGCAAAGCGTCGGCGTCGCCGGGGTAGAGCAGGCCTGCCGGGTTGGTGTTGAAGTCGCAGGCGTATATGCCACCTGCGTGGCCGTGGCCGAGTAACGTGGTGAGCACTGAATGCGACGTGTGGCAGACGTCCGTGAGTGCGTCGGTGAGGGAAGTGAGAGTGATGTGCTGCGGGTGGGCGGGCAGCGCCAGGCTGCCGAGGTCAGTGAGGGACACGTCGGAGTCCGCAGAGCCCTGCTCATCCGCCTCGAACAGCGAGGGCAGCGCTTCGGAGTTGAGGCCCAGGTACACGGCGTTGTACGTAAGCCCGCAGCACCATGTCAGCATCTCGTAGATGGAACACGGCGGCCGGGGTGAGGGATGCACCTTGAGGTGGCACGTCTGGTAGTACTGGTGGAGGTGCGTGCAGAGGCATTTGAGGAGCTGTAAGAGATTACAGGCGTGTGTGAGGGACAGGCATTTTTTGAGGTGTTCGTTGTCTTCGGTATTCCTAATGTTCTGGGTGACGAGGACAAACACGTCGCGGCCGTTGCAGTCGTCGCGCAGCTCGCCGTCCTGGTCAGAGGGAGAGGTGGAGACCCTGTAGCCGCAGCGCTGGAGGAACGTGCCTAGTTGACTGCTTGAATTAATGCTCAGATCCCTCCACTTGCCGCCAGTCTTGCACTGCTCCGCCAGCCTGGTGAAGGCGTCGCACAGTGTGGGCAGCGTGGTGAGAAAGACCTTGGCGCACTTCTCACCTTCTTCATCGGTGAACTGTGCGCCGGCGTATCTTGAGACGTACGCACATGTGAACTCGTCGGCGAACTTTGTGAGCCCCTCCACCAGGCCGTCCAGTAGGGGACTTGAGGGCTTGGCGAAGCTCTCCGGCTTGAGGTGACTCAGCGCGTCGGTGAGTTTGCGGAGCAGCGCTTGGAGTCTGTGGTCGAAGGTATCGTTGTCCTTGAGGTATTGGAGCAATGCGTGGAGTGCCTCGTTCACCGCGGAGAGCCTAGTGGAATACTCCTGTCCGTCCTGCCGTTTGGGATTTTTCTTCCTCTGCTCCTCCTCGTGGAACCGATTTATCTCCCTGTCCACGTGGTCCTCGAGTGACGAGTAGAAACGCATGAAAGCGGAGGACAGAAGCGGGAGGCTCTTCACTTCCTTGAGTTTCTCGACGTTGAGGTCATTTTGCAGGCCGTCCTCCACTCGGGCCATAAGGCCCTTGTACTCCAGTCTCAGGTCACTGTCGATCTCCCACGGCAACTCCCGCAGCTCCTCTTCCACCTTCTGGGCGAAGGCCGTCAGCGCCTCCTTGATGTTGGAGACATACTGCCGGCGTGCCTCCCTGATAAGAGTCTCTTCGGCTGCCTTTATTTCTTTGTAGACGTACGCGTGGAGGTCAGCGATAATTCTTTTAGCGGCCTCGTCGGCGTATTTATCAAACTTCTTGAGTGATTTTATCACCTCGTTCAGCGGGCCGAATAGCAGATTGTAGAGATCAATGTAAATTCTTTTCATCTCTTTGTCAAGCATATCATTTCTCAGGTAATTTAAAATGCCTTTGAGATCTCTTGCGTTGTGCCTGACAGCACTGCACAGGGCGACGAGATAATGCTTGACGTCTTTAACGTCCCTGTCCTTTATGGCTTCGATGTCTTCGGTGATTTGAGTGAGGCCTTTGTCTGCTTTACTTTCAATTGTCCATGGTTGTTCACCTTTTTCAAGGCCATGCTCTCTCAGCTTTCTCAGCTTTTCGGTGACCTGAGTGTTCAACGTCCCTCTAAGCCTTTGAAGCTCCGTGGTGATCTGGTCTACGCCACCGCCGATTTTTTAAGGTTGAGTGGTCAACGTAGTTTGTTGAGTGTTAAGGGCATCTTCGATGCTTTTGAGGCTTTTATTATTTCCATGCTCATTTTTATCCCACTTGTTTCCACTTAGCCCAGTGTTCTTCAAATCGTTCAATGTCTCAATGACATCACTGTCCTTGGTGCCTTGCAACTCAGTTCGGAGGTTTCCAAGTTCATTTACAATTTGTTGCTTGGCGACATCGATGGTTGTGGGTTTGTATGTAAAATAACTTTGGCGCAGCCAATCTATTTCATAATGAATGCGTTGTAGACTGCTCTTATATCCATTTTGACTTTTACCAATCATTTTCCCCAACCATCCCAACTGGTCGACAATGTCATCATTTGCTAGATCATCATTCAACTTCATTCCCATGCTGCCAAGCAGATGGTTTATCTCCCACTTAAGAATGCCGATGGCATCTCCAATAATTTTGTTTTGCTTGCCCAATTCAGTATTCTGACCTTGAAGGTCACCATGAATTTTCCCAAGGCCACTGAGAGGTTTACCATCTTGAGTTTGCTTCCCGTTCCAAGCATATTGACCAAGACCGTCGCCTTGCAAATCTGTCAACCTTTCAATAACATCTTTTTTACTGCCATCTTTCAACTTCTCCCTAAGCTTCTGAAGCTCCTTCCTAATTGCTTGGACGGCTTTGCCAATTGCAGTGGGTTTGTTCTGGACGTCGTTAAGTGTAAATTGCCTCGAGGCCTTTGACTTTTAGACCACTTTGACATGCTGAGTGTAGGTCGACGCCAATTGTGGGACTCAAAAAGGGCGTCACAGGTGAGGGACGGCTGGCGCCGGCAGGAGTGAGGAGGATGAGCTAACATCTGGTCAAAAAGGTAGGACGGGAAGTGGATTGCGCTATTGATAGGTGACTCAGTGACTGTATTGAAAACGATTAGTATGTTATTTTAGAGGTGGAAGAGGGGCGTGGTAGGAGGCGTCAGCGTCATTCATTCAGTGTAAAGGTGGGATGGAGGAGGCTTCTTTGGGAGTGACGGCAAGGCGACAAAGGGAGAAGGGAGATGACAAAGCAGCGAGTAGGTTACGTCATAGGTCATGTGCTAGGTAAGCCATTTGGTTAGGTGCTAGGTAAGCCTCTTGGTTAAGTGCTAGGTTAGCCGTTTGGTTAGGTGGTAGGTGGGACGTTAGGTTAGGTATTTGGTCAGCCACTTGGTTAAGCAGTGCGTTGGGTGCTAGGCAAGGCACGAGATACTCACGATGAGAGACGTGACATGACGTGGCAACACAAATAGAGGAATGTAAATGTGAATGTAAGTGTAGCTAAGATAATTACTGTCACGAGTGAAAGTCATCGTCGAAGTAGTCGACGTCCTTGTAGAGCGAGAGCATCCTGCGGCCGGTGGAGAGCAGCGCCTTGACGTCGATGAGGTGGGATGCCCTGGTGGTGAGGAGATGGGAGCGGATGCGAAGCACGTCCATGCGGTAGAGCATCGTGTGGGCGATGTAGAGCGTGGCGATAGACCAGAGTGCTGTGATGGTGTAGAGGAAGGGCGCACGGATGCGGTAGAGGAACTGGTCACACTGGTCAAAGAGTTCTCTGAAATAATCAGAGTGTATAACATAACTCAACTGAGTGCGGAAGCTGAAACAGTTCCTGTTCTGCGATATCAGCGCCGGTGCGTCCCTGAAGGTGAAGCCGTGACTGTACAAGGTCGGCATCACGCCCCTGCACTGGACGATGGAGCGGCATCGGCAGCTGTGCCCCGACGACTGGGAACTGGGGACGCCGTGGCTGCCCGGGTCACAAGGGTCCTCGTGAAGGCAATCACCGCAGCCCCAGTCGCGGCACGAGATCTGCTGGAACGCGGTGAATAGACACTGCAACAGATCATACAGTGTCCACGGGAGGTAGACGGCCCATGAGAGGTAGAGGTCGGCGTGTCGGTGAGGTAAGCAATGATACGCATCGCTGCACAGGGCTGATAGGAAGGGAGCGCAGTTGATGCTGGCGTCGTTGGGAAGCGCACAGCACCTTGGCATCGACAGGCTGGACAGGTCGGCATTCTTGGCAGTGGAATGCTGAATGCCATGACCACTCCGACCGTTGCCGTAAGCATCACGCAGAGCATCTGTGAGCTTGCCGGGCTCGCGGTAGAGGGTCATGGACTGGCCGGTGATGGAGTCCGTGAACGCAGATTGAAAGGCGTCGATGGCTGACGGCAGAGCACTGTGTTGCCAACCACCAACGAGTGACGAGGCAAACCCGAAGTGCTCAGCCAGGGTGGCCGGCGGTCTGGGACAGAGGCTGAGCAGCGATTTGATATGGTCGTTGCCGAGCCATTTGGTCAGAACTTTGCACAGCTCCTTGCCTGTCCTCGTACTTCCAGAGAAACCCCGGAAGCCGAGGGGAGTCAGACAGGGCATCCCATCTGCTCGATTGGGACACGTTTTGCATTTAGGCTCACAGCCTATGGCGCTGACCTGGTGAGGCAGGTGGCCGGGCAGGCAGTCGTTGAGGTAGGACATCAGGGGGGATTTATCCGTGCACTCCGTGTGAGGGCTAGGCAGGGCGGTGAGTGGAGGAGCGCACTGCCACGTGTACGGTGGAACGCCCTTGCCGTACTTGCACTCCGCCCAGCCGCCGTGGTGAGCGGCAAGTGAGCAGAGAGAGGACAAAAATCTGAGGACTGGTAACATGAGGCGGAAAATGTGGAGCATCATGTGCAGGCAATCGTCGCCGTCCTGCGGGTAATGTAATCTCAATGAGTTGTTGTAAAAGTCGCAGGCGTACGTCGTCATAGCGTCGCCGTAGCCGAGCACCCTGGTGAGCATGGCGGGGGAGTGGGACGTGACATCGTGAAAGGCAGCGGTCAGATTTGTGGCGGTGACTGATTTGGGCTGCGCGGCCATGTACCATTTGGTGTCTGTGGAATGATCGTCGGCGTTGCTTAGCACGGATTTAACCTGCTGCTTAAGGCGATCGTAGACCCTATTGTGCGGGAGGCCGGTCAGCCAGCAGAGCATCTGGTAGATGTTACACGGCGTCCTAGGCGACGGTGGAAGTATGAGATGACACGTCTGATAATATTCATTTAGGTGATAACAAAGGCACGCAATAACGTCGAAGAGATTATAATTATTCTGTTCATTTCGCTTAACGGCGGAGCATTTTCCGAGGTGTTCATTCTGGTCGGCGTGCCGAATTGGTCTCCCAAGCAGTCTGCCAATTTTGTCGCCGGTCATATCGTTGTCATTTTGCAGCTCACCGTCCTGGGAATTTGGGCTTGTGGCAACGTCGTAGCCCATTTGGTGCAATAATACACCGGGGCCGGCAGTTGAGTAAATTCTGCTGCTGGGATACCGCCGCGTGCACTGCTCCTCCAGATGCGTGAGATCATTACACAGAATTTTGAGAATCGTCAACAGTATCTTCGCGCATTTTTCGCCGTCCGCCGTCACCCTGCTGTTCCGCGCGTCGACTAGCACGTGGTCCTCAAACGCCCCGTCGTACGTAGAGATGTACACTGTTCTCAGTTCCTTCTCAAACTTGTCCGCTGCCTCCGCCACGCCGTCGAGTATCGGAGTTGTGACTTTGGCGAATTTCTCCGGTCGCAGGGATCCGACTGCCTCGGCGAGTTTATCGAGCATTTCGGGAAGTCTGCGGTCGAAACGTTTCTCCCTGCTGATGTGCTCCAGCAACAACTCCAGCGCGTGGGTGACGCCGTAAAGCTTCTCGGCGTAGTGATCCTCTGCCGGGGGCAGTGAGGGATTCTTCTTTTTGTACTCCTCGCTGTGCACTCTCCTGATCTCTGCGCTGAGGTATCCCGAGAGCGCCAGGTGGAACCGCTTGAAGGCTGTGGACAGGGCCTCGAGTTGCAGCGTACCCTTTAGAGGGGAGATGTGAGTGACGAAGCGTTGCTGAAAATCATACACAAACCCTTTATACCCTATCTGCAGATCCCCGTTTATTAACGGAGGCAAGGGACTTAATTCCTCTTCCACCTTCCGGGCGAAGGCCTTCAGCGCCTCCTTGATGTTGGAGACACATTGCCGGCGTGCCTCCCTGATCAATGTCTCTTCGGCTGCCTTGATCTCCTGGTTGACGAATTGTGTGAGGTATTTGATGAGTTGCGCCTTGCCGTTGTCGAGGAATCTTAAGAAGGCCCTGAGGTCTTTTATGGCAGTATGCACCGGGCCGCTTAGCAGTTGGCGCAGATTATTTTTAATTCCAGTCAACTCGCCGATCAGATTATCCTTCACTTCCTTTAAAATGCCTTTGAGATCTCTTGCGTTGTGCCTGACAGCACTGCACAGGGCGACGAGATAATGCTTGACGTCTTTAACGTCCCTGTCCTTTATGGCTTCGATGTCTTCGGTGATTTGAGTGAGGCCTTTGTCTGCTTTACTTTCAATTGTCCATGGTTGTTCACCTTTTTCAAGGCCATGCTCTCTCAGCTTTCTCAGCTTTTCGGTGACCTGAGTGTTCAACGTCCCTCTAAGCCTTTGAAGCTCCGTGGTGATCTGGTCTACGCCACCGCCGATTTTTTAAGGTTGAGTGGTCAACGTAGTTTGTTGAGTGTTAAGGGCATCTTCGATGCTTTTGAGGCTTTTATTATTTCCATGCTCATTTTTATCCCACTTGTTTCCACTTAGCCCAGTGTTCTTCAAATCGTTCAATGTCTCAATGACATCACTGTCCTTGGTGCCTTGCAACTCAGTTCGGAGGTTTCCAAGTTCATTTACAATTTGTTGCTTGGCGACATCGATGGTTGTGGGTTTGTATGTAAAATAACTTTGGCGCAGCCAATCTATTTCATAATGAATGCGTTGTAGACTGCTCTTATATCCATTTTGACTTTTACCAATCATTTTCCCCAACCATCCCAACTGGTCGACAATGTCATCATTTGCTAGATCATCATTCAACTTCATTCCCATGCTGCCAAGCAGATGGTTTATCTCCCACTTAAGAATGCCGATGGCATCTCCAATAATTTTGTTTTGCTTGCCCAATTCAGTATTCTGACCTTGAAGGTCACCATGAATTTTCCCAAGGCCACTGAGAGGTTTACCATCTTGAGTTTGCTTCCCGTTCCAAGCATATTGACCAAGACCGTCGCCTTGCAAATCTGTCAACCTTTCAATAACATCTTTTTTACTGCCATCTTTCAACTTCTCCCTAAGCTTCTGAAGCTCCTTCCTAATTGCTTGGACGGCTTTGCCAATTGCAGTGGGTTTGTTCTGGACGTCGTTAAGTGTAAATTGCCTCGAGGCCGTTGACTTTTAGACCACTTTGGCAACCTGAGTGTAGGTGGACGCCATTTGTGGGACGCAAAAAGGGCGTGGCAGGTGGACGTGGCTTCGGCGCAGGTGCGCTCGCAGTCCCGGAGCAGTTGCTTGAGCAGGTCGTAGAATGTCTCCGTGAGGTACACTATCCACGAGAGGTAGAGGTGAGCGTGTGCCTTGGAGAAGGTGGCACGGACGTCGTGGCCGAGGGGCTTGAGGTAGGGGCCGCAGGGGTGTGACGGAGCGGAGCGTGGAGTGCCGTTGCAGTCGACGAGGGAGAAGAGGTCCCCGGTGAGGTGAGGCATATTTGGCAGGGTGCCATGGTCACTGGTGCCGAAGATTGCAGAGACGTCCAGTGTCACGTCCCTCTGCCAGAAGCACGCGTCGCCGACGGCGTCCTCGAAGGCCGCCTTACGGTGCTCGCCGCCCTTACGCCACCCAGATATGAAGTTGAAGTAGAAGGCGAACAGGTCGTCTGGCGTCCGGGGCGGACGGGTGAGGAGGCATTCCAGGTAGCCGCACAGCCTGGCGAAGGGCGACGATGCGCCGCCGCAGAAAGCGCCGAGAACGTCCATGATGTGTCGGCCTGTGGAGGCACGGGAGGCCAGCCTGGTAATGTTGGAGAGGCCCATGGGCGTCTTGCACGGCAGGCCGGGCGACGTAGTGTCACAGCCGGAGCACTTGACACAGCTGTCCATGGGTGTAACAGCGTGAGGTAGGAAGCCCTGCAGTCCGTCCTCGAGGAACGACTGGAGCGGCGACTTGACGCCGCACTTGGGATGTTGGTCACACGCTTGGTTGGCATTTTGGTTGGTCATTTGGTTACCAGTTTGGTTGGCATTTTGGTTGCACTGTTGGTCACATATTTGGTTGGCACACTGCATGGTGTTGCACCTCCACGCTGAGCCACCGACGTCCCGGCCGTACCAGCAGTCGAGCCATCCGCCGTGCCGGGCGTTGTAGAGGCACCGGCGGTAGAGGAAATAGAGCTGGTGGTGGAGGCGTTTGAGCACATCGTACAGCAGGCAGAGCAGCGCGTCCACGTCACAGGGATAGAGCAGGCCTCCGGGGTTGGTGTTGAAGTCGACGGCGTATATGCCACCTGCGTGACCGTAGCCGAGTAATGTAGTGAGCACCGAATGCGACCGGTGGCAGACCTCCGTGAGTGCGTCGGTGAGGGAAGTGACAGTGATGTGCTGCGGGTGGGCCTTAAGCGCCAGGCTGCTGAGGTTCATCAAGGGCACGTCGGAGTCCCAGGAGTCCGGCTCCTCCGCCTCGAACAGCAAAGGCAGTGCTTCGGAGTTGAGGCCCAGGTACACGGCGTTGTACGGGAGCCCGCAGCACCATGTGAGCATCTCGTAGATGGAACACGGCGGCCGGGGTGAGGGATGCAGTTTGAGGTGGCACGTCTTATAGTACTGGTGGAGGTGCGTGCAGAGGCATTTGAGGAGCTGTAAGAGATTACAGGCGTGTGTGAGGGAGAGGCATTTTTTGAGGTGTGCGTTGTCCTCTGTCTCCGTAATTCGCTGACTCACCAAGACATACACGTCGCGGCCGTTGCAGTCGTCGCGCAGCTCGCCGTCCTGCAGGGTGGGAGAGGTCGAGACCTTGTAGCCGCAGCGCTGGAGGAAAGCGCCGAGTGCACTGCTTGAATTAATGCTCAGATCCCTCCACTTGCCGCCAGTCTTGCACTGCTCCGCCAGCCTGGTGAAGGCGTCGCACAGTGTGGGCAGCGTGGTGAGAAAGACCTTGGCGCACTTCTCACCTTCTTCATCGGTGAACTGTGCGCCGGCGTATCTTGAGACGTACGCACATGTGAACTCGGCGGTGAACTTTGTGAGCCCCTCCACCAGGCCGTCCAGTAGGGGGGTAGAGGGCTTGGCGAAGCTCTCAGGTCTAAGGTTACTCAGCGCGTCGGTGAGGCTGCGGAGCAGCGCTTGGAGTCTGTGGTCGAAGGTATCCTCAGTTCTAATGTATTCAAGTAACGCATTCAATGAGAGTGTGACTCTTACAAGTTTGTCTGTGTAGAGCGCTTCGGGTTCTTGGGGCACAGGGTTTTTCTTCTTGCCTTCCTCCTTGTGCTCTCTCCTGATCTCTTTGTGGACGTACGCCTTGAGCTCACCGTAAAAGTGCATGAACACTGCGGCCAATTTTTTGAACACTCTCTCCTTCGACTCAGATGGCAAAGTCCTCACAAACTCTTCGAACTTCTCAAATTCCCCTTGTGCACCTGCAACTTGAGTCTCCGGCTTCCCTTCAACCTGCCTCATTAACCCCTTGTACCCTATCTGCAGATCCCCGTTTATTAACGGAGGCAAGGGACTTAATTCCTCCTCCACCTTCCGGGCGAACGCCTTCAGCGCCTCCTTGATGTTGGCGGCGCACTGCTGCTTGGCGAAGGCTGTTAGGTCCTCGATTGCGGTGGCCACTTGGCCGTCGACGAACGCCGTGAGGGACGCAATGCAATCCCTTCCGAACCTGTCGGCGTCCTTGTTAATGAACTCCCTGCAGGCCTGAATTGGCCCACTCACCAGACGGATCTGCAGGTTGTGCAATTGGTCTTTTATTCCAGTCAACTCATACTCCAGCCTGTCTTTTTTCACATGTTCCAAGTCCCTTTTTGCCTCCCTCGTTATGGTACGAATTTCTGTGCACAGCTCCTTGAGTCTCTCCTTCACTTCCTTAACGTCCGTGGTTTTTATGGCCTCGATGTCTTCGGTGATTTTTTGGATACCTGTGAGAGGCTGATTGTTCATTGTCCACGGTGTAATACCGTCAGTAAGGCCACTGTCTCTCAGCTTCTGCAGCCTTTTAGTGACGTCATTGTTCAACTGCTTCTGGAGCTTTGTAAGCTCCCCGGTGATCTGTGAGACGCCACCGCCGATTTTTTCAGGTTGACTGGACAACGTATTTTGTTGACCTTGAAGTGCACTTTCGATTGTTTTAAGGCCTTTTTTATTCTCTCCGTGATTCCACTCCTTATCACTTAGTCCATCGCCCTTCAAATCTTCCAGAGTCTTGATGACATCGTTGTCCTTGGTGCCTTGCAGCGCATCTCGAATGGCAGTGAGTTCTTTTACAATTTCTTGCTTGGCATCTCCGATGGCTTGAGGTTTATTAGTAAAATCACCGGATTGCAGATCACTGATCATGTTTTGAATTGCTTGAAGGCTGTCACTGTATCCATCTTTACTTGTGCCGATCTTTTTCCCCAACCGACGCAAATGGTCCATGACGTCAAATGGATTGAAGACATTGTCCATATCTATTTTGACATTTGCAATCTCGGCGTATATTCGTATTGCGGCTTTTCTGATAATTTCGGTTTGTTGAGGCAACTTCTTAATTTCCTCGCTAAGGTCATTCTCGATTCTTCCAAGGCCACTGAGAGTTTGACCATTACCATTCTGCCAGTCATCTTTTTCACCAAGGCCCTGCTCCTTCATGTGCTCCAGTCTTTTAATGGCATCATCTTTATTAGTGTTCTTCAACTTCCCCCTAAGCTTTCCAAGCTGCGCCTTAATTTGCTCGACGGCTTTGCCAATTGCAGCGGGTTGACTTTCGATGTCGTTAAGTGTAAATTGCCTCGAGGCCTTTGACTTTTAGACCACTTTGGCAAGCTGAGTGCAGGTCGACGCCATTTGTGGGACGCAAAAAGGGCGTGGCAGGTGGACGTGGCTTCGGCGCAGGTGCGCTCGCAGTCCCGGAGCAGTTGCTTGAGCAGGTCGTAGAATGTCTCCGTGAGGTACACTACCCACGAGAGGTAGAGGTGGGCGTGTGCCTTGGCGAAGGTGGCGCGTACGTCGTGGCCGAGTGGCTTGAGGTAGGGGCCGCAGTGGTGTGACGGAGCGGAGTGTGGAGTGCCGTTGCACTTGACGAGTGAGAAGAGGTCCCCGGTGAGGTGAGGAATGTCTGGCACTGAGCCGTGGTTACTGGTGCTGAAGATTGTACTGACGTCCAGTGTCACGCCCCGCTGCCGGAAGCACGCAGCGCCGACGGCGTCCTCGAAGGCCGCCTTACGGTGCTCGCCGCCCTTACGCCACTCACATAGGAAATTGTAGAAGAAAGCGAACAGGTCGTCTGGCGTGCGTGGCGGGCGGGTGAGGAGGCAATTCAGGTAGCCGCAGAGCCTGGCGAGGGGCGACGATGCGCCGCCGCAGAAGGCGCCGAGAACGTCCATGATGTGTCGGCCTGTGGAGGCACGGGAGGCCAGCCTGGTAATGTTGGAGAGGCCCATGGGCGTCTTGCACGGCAGGCCGGGTGACTTGGTGTCACAGCCGGAGCATGAGACACAGGTGCCATCTGCCGACAAGTCGTGAGGCAAAAAGCCCACCAGGCCGTCCTCGAGGAACGACTGGAGCGGCGACTTGACGCCGCACTTGGGATGTTGGTCACACGCTTGGTTGGCATTTTGGTTGGTCATTTGGTTACCAGTTTGGTTGGCATTTTGGTCAACCTTTTGGGGACACATTTGGTTGGCACACTGCATGGTGTTGCACCTCCACGCTGAGCCACCGACGCCCCGGCCGTACCAGCAGTCGAGCCATCCGCCGTGCCGGGCGTTGTAGAGGCACCGGCGGTAGAGGAAATGGAGTTGGTGGTGGAGGCGTTTGAGCACATTGTACAGCAGGCAGAGCAAAGCGTCGGCGTCGCCGGGGTAGAGGAGGCCTGCCGGGTTGGTGTTGAAGTCGCAGGCGTAGATGCCACCTGCGTGGCCGAAGCCGAGCAATGTGGTGAGCACTGAATGCGACCGGTGGCAGACCTCCGTGAGTGCGTCGGTGAGGGACGCCGGTGTTATGACCCGCGGGTGGGCCTTAAGCGCCAGGCTGCCGAGGTCAGTGAGGGACACTTCGGAGTCAGCAGAGCCCTGCTTATCCGGCGCCTCGAACAGCGATGGCAGGGCATCATGGGTGACGGTGAGATGCACGGGATTGTACGTAAGCCCGCAGCACCATTGAAGCATCTCGTAGATGGAACACGGCGGCCGGGGTGAGGGATGCACCTTGAGGTGGCACGTCCTGTAGTACTGGTGGAGGTGCGTGCAGAGGCATTTGAGGAGCTGCAAGAGATTACAGTCGTGTGTGAGGGACAGGCATTTTTTGAGGTGTTCGTTGTCTTCGGTATTCCTAATGTTCTGGGTGACGAGGACATACACGTCGCGACCGTTGCAGTCGTCGCGCAGCTCGCCGTCCTGCAGAGTTGGAGAGGTCGAGACCTTGTAGCCGCAGCGCTGGAAGAATGTGCCGAGTTTACTGGTTGCATTAATGTTCATATCCCTCCAGCTGCCGTCTTTGCCGCACTGCTCCGCCAGCCTGTTGAAGGCGTCGCACAGTGTGGGCAGCGTGGTGAGAAAGACCTTGGCGCACTTCTCACCTTCTTCATCAGTGAACTGTGCGCCGGCGTAGGCGGAGACGTACGCACATGTGAACTCGGCGGTGAACTTTGTGAGCCCCTCCACCAGGCCGTCCAGTAGGGGACTTGAGGGCCTGGCGAAGCTCTCAGGTCGCAGGTCACTCAGCGCGTCGGTGAGGTTGCGGAGCAGCGCTTGGAGTCTGTGGTCGAAGGTATCGTTGTCTTTGAAGTACGCGAGCAACTTGGCCAGCGTGTCGTACACCTCGTTGAGCTTACTGTTGTACGGCTCCTCGGACGGCGGGAGCGCAGGATTTTTCTTCCTGTTTTGCTCGTCGGCCTCTCTTCCTATCTCCCCCAGGAGATACGTCTGTACTTGCTCATAAAGCTCCCGGAACGCAGAGGATAATTGTGGAACGCTCTCTTCACGGCCCGTGAAATCGGAACTCAAAGGGCCATACATGTATTTTATTAACCCCTTGTAGCCCAAGTAGAGATCTCTGCTAATTTCATTCGGCAACTCCCGCAGCTCCTCTTCCACCTTCTGGCGGAAGGCCTTCAAAAGCTCCTTGATGTTGGAGACATATTGTCGGCGTGCCTCCCTGATCAATGTCTCTTCGGCTTCTTTGATTTCCTGGTTGACGAATTGTGTGAGGTATTTGATGAGTTGCGCCTTGCCGTTAACGAGGAATCTTAAGAAGGCCCTGAGGTCTTTTATGGCAGTATGCACCGGGCCGCTTAGCAGTTGGCGCAGATTATTTTTAATTCCAGTCAACTCGCCGATCAGATTATCCTTCACTTCCTTTAAAATGCCTTTGAGATCTCTTGCAATGTGCCTAATCGCCGTGCACAGCTCCTTGAGTTTGTCCCTCACGTCCTTAACGTTCTCTGTTTTTATGGTCACGATGTCTTCGGTGATTTTAGTGAGGCCTTTGCCATTTTCAATAATCTCCCAGTCACCATTATTCAGACCAACAATCTGCAAATTTAGTAACTTAAAGATAACTTGATTTTGCAACTGCGTCTGAAGCCTTGTAAGCTCATTGGTGATTTGGTCGACGCCACCGCCGATTTCAGTGGGTTGAGTGGACAGCTCACTTTGTTGAGTGTTAAGTTCACTATTAATTTTTGCGAGGCCTTTTTTATCTTGACCATTAACTTTCCACTCCTGTCCACTTAGTCCATCGCCCTTCAAATCGTTCAGTGTCTCAATGACATCGTCGCCTGGCTTGGAGCCTTGCAACTCACCTCGAAGGGTAGTGAGTTCTGCCTTAATTGCTGAGTTGGCTTTACCAATTGCGTCGGGTTGTGTTTTAAATGGCTCTTCTTGCAGCTTTTTAATTACGTCATGAATGCCTTGAACATTCCATGGCTCCGGTGCATTTCGGCCAATCCTTCGCTTAAATCGCTGCAACGGATTAAGGATGTCATCATTGTTCCCAACATTTCGCAATTTGACTCCGACCACGGCAAGTTGATACTTAATTTCGGAAATGGCTGTGTTAATTATACCAGGTTGCTTGGCCAGAATACTATTCTGATATCCAAGGCGCTCCTGGAGTATTGTTAGACATTTAGTATTTTTCCAATCACCAGCACTAAACGTCCAATCACCATTAATGTCCTTGTCTTTAAAATCCTGTAATGTTTCGATCACATCCTGATTTTGGTGACCATTTTCATTCTTCAACTTCCCTCTAAGGTCTTGAAGCTCCGCCTTAATTTGGGTGACGGCTAAGTCGATTGCAGCGGGTTTGTTCTGGACGTCGTTAAGTGTAAATTGCATCGAGGCCTTTGACTTTTAGACCACTTTGGCAAGCTGAGTGTAGGTCGACGTCATCTGTGGGACGCAAAAAGGGTGTGGCAGGTGGGATGAAAGAGGCTGCTTTGGGAGTGACGGCAAGGCGACAAAGGGAGGAGGGACATGACAAAGCAGCGAGTAGGTTACATCTTAGGTTAGGTGCTAGGTTAGCCATTTGGTCATGTGCTAGGTGAGCCATTTGGTTAGGTGGTGAGTTGGGTGCTAGGCAAGGCACGAGATACAGTCAAGATGAGAGACATGAGATGACATGGCACGGCAACACAAATAGAGGAATGTAAATGTAATGTAGCTATCATAATTACTGTCATGAGTGAAAGTCGTCGTCGAAGTAATCGACGTCCTTGTAGAGCGAGAGCATCCTGCGGCTGCCGGCGAGTAAAGCCTTGACGTCGATGAGGTGGGAGGCCCTGTTGGTGAGGAGGTGCGAGCGGATGCGCAGGACGTCCATGCGGTAGAGGAGTATGACGAGGATGTAGAGCGTGGCGATGAGCCAGAGTGCTATGATGGTGAAGAGGAAGGGCGCACGGATACGGTAGAGGAACTGGTCACACTGGTCAAAGAGTTCTCTGAAATAATCAGAGTGTATAACATAACTCAACTGAGTGCGGAAGCTGAAACAGTTCCTGTTCTGCGATATCAGCGCCGGTGCGTCCCTGAAGGTGAGGCCGTGACTGTACAAGGTCGGCATCACTCCCCTGCACTGGACTGTGGAGCGGCAGCGGCAGCTGTGCCCCGGTGACTGGGGACTGGGGACGCCGTGGCTGCCCGGGTCACAAGGTTCCTCGTGAAAACAATCACCGCAGCCCCAGTCGCGGCAGGAGATCTGCTGGAAAGCGGCGAATAGACACTGCAATAAATCATACAGTGTCCACGGGAGGTAGACGGCCCATGAGAGGTAGAGGTCGGCGTGTCGGTGAGGTAAGCAATGATACGCATCGCTGCACAGGGCATTCAGGTAGGGAGCGCAGTTGATGCTGGCGTCGTTGGAAAGCGTGCAGCAGTCTGCCATCGACAGGCTGGACAGGTCGGCATTCTTGGCGGTGGAATGCTGAATGCCATGACCGCTCCGACCGTTGCCGTAAGCATCACGCAGAGCATCTGTGAGCTTGCCGGGCTCGCGGTAGAGTGTCATGGACTGGCCGGTGATGGAGGCTGTGAACGCAGATTGAAAGGCGTCGATGGCTGACGGCAGAGCACTGTGTTGCCAACCACCAACGAGGGATGAGGCAAACCCGAAGTGCTCAGCCAGCGTAGCCGGCGGTCTGGGACAGAGGCTGAGCAGCGATTTGATATGCTCGTTGCCGAACCATTTGGTCAGCACTTTGCACAGCTCCTTGCCTGTCCTCGTACTTCCAGAGAAACCCCGGAACCCGAGGGGAGTGAGACAGGGCATCCCATTTGGTCTGCTGGGACACGTGTTGCATTGAGGCTCACAGCCGACAGAGACCAACTGGTGAGGCAGGTGGCCGGGGAGGCAGTCGTTGAGGTAGGACATCAGGGGCGATTTATCGGAGCACTCCGGGTGAGGGTTGGGCAGGGCGGTGAGTGGAGGATTGCACTGCCACGTGTATGGTGGAACGCCCTTGCCGTACTGGCACTCCGCCCAGCCGCCATGGTGAGCGGGGAGTGAGCATTGAGAGAACAGAAATCTGAGCACGACAAGCAATCGACAGAGGATATGCAGCATCATGTGCAGGCAATCGTCGGCGTCCTGCGGGTAATACAGTTGCAGTGCGTTGCTATAGAAGTCAACGGCGTACGTTGTCATAGCGTCGCCGTAGCCGAGCACCCTGGTGAGCAGGGCAGGGGAGTAGGAGGTGACATCGTGAAGGGCGGCGGCCAGATTTGTGGCGGTGACTGATTTGGGCTGCGCGGCCATGTACCATTTGGTGTCTGTGGAATTATCGTCGGCGTTGCTTAGCACGGATTTAACCTGTTGCTTAAGGCGCTCATACACCCTGTTGTGCGGGAGGCCTGTCAGCCATACGAGCATTTGGTAGACGCTGCACGGCGTCCTAGGCGACGGTGGAACTACGAGATGACACGTCCCATAGTATTCATTTAGGTGACAACAAAGGCACGCAAGGAGATCGAAGATATTATAATTATTTTCTCCATGTGATTCATTTTGCTTAACGGCGGGGCATTTTCCGAGGTGTCCATTTTGGTCGGCGTGCTGCACCATCTCAGTGAGCAATTCATGGACGTTCTTACCCTTCATGTCGTCGGAGTTCTGCAGCTCCGCGTCGTTTTGGCCTTCGTCGGTGGACACGGTGAATCCGCTTGTGGCAAGGAAATCGCCGAGCGGACTGCCTGAATGAATTCTGTAGTCCCACCAATTTTGCTTCCTCCCTGCCAGGCCGTCGTTGAGCTTTGTGATCCCAGAGCATACAGTGGGCAAAATCGTCAACAGTATCTTCGCGCATTTTTCGCCGTCCGCCGTCACCCTGCTGTTCCGCGCGTCGACTAGCACGCGGCCCTCAAACGCCCCGTCGTATGTGGAGATGTACACCGTTCTCAGTTCCTTTTCAAACTTGTCCGCTGCCTCCGCCACGCCGTCGAGTATCGGAGTTGTGACTTTGGCGAATTTCTCCGGTCGCAGCGCTTCGACTGCCTCGGCGAGTTTATCGAGCATTTCAGGTAATCTTCGGTCGAAACGTTTCTGCTTAGTGATATGTTCCAGCAACTCCTCGAGCGCCTGGGTGACGCCGTAAAGCCTCTCGGCGTAGTGATCATCTGTCGGTGGGAGTGAGGGATTCTTCTTTTTGCTCTCCTCGCTGTGCACTCTCCTGATCTCTGCGCTGATGTATCCCGAGAGCGCCAGGTGGAACCGCTTGAAGGCTGTGGACAGGGCCTCGAGTTGCAGCGTACCCTTTAGAGGGGAGATGTGAGTGACGAAGCGTTGCTGAAAATCATACACAAACCCTTTATACCCTATCTGCAGATCCCCGTTTATTAACGGAGGCAAGGGACTTAATTCCTCTTCCACCTTCTGGGCGAACAACTTCAAAAGCTCCTTGATGTTGGAGACATACTGCCGGCGTGCCTCGTTGATCAATGTCTCTTCGGCTTCCTTGATCTCCTTGTCGACGAATTGTGTGAGTTCCCTGATGAGTTGCACCTTGCCGTTGTCGAGGAATTTTAGAAAGCCTCTCACCTCTGCTATCACAGGCCTCACCTGCTCGCTCAGCAGATCACTAAATTTGTGTTTTATTTTTGTCAAGTCGCCGATCAGATTATCCTTCACTTCTTTTAAAATGTCTCTGAGATCTCTTGCGTTATGCTTAATAGCGCTGCACAGGGCGATAAGATAATGCTTAACATTGTCGACGTCCTTGGACTTTATGGCCTCGATGTCTGCGGTGATTGTAGTGAGGCCTTTTGCAGAATGTTCGTCAATATCCCAATTTTGTTTGCTGCCAAGGCCATGGTTTTTCAAGTCATCCAACTTTTTGGTGACGTCATCACTCAACTGCTTCTGGAGCTTTGTAAGCTCACCGGTGATTTGGTCAACGCCAGTCTGGATATTTTGGGGTTGAGTGGACAACGTAGTTTGTTGACCTTTAAGGTCACTTTCGATGCTTTTAAGGCCTTTTTTATCTTGACCATTAACATTCCACACCTTATCTCCACTTAGTCCATTGGTCATCAAATCGTTCAGTGTCTCAATGACATCGTTGTCCTTGGTGCCTTGCAACACACCTTGAAGGGCAGTGAGTTCTGCTTTAATTGCTTCGTTGGCTTTACCAATTGCGTCGGGATTCGTAATAAGAGGCCAATTTTGCTGCCAATGAATCTCATCATAAATTGCTTGAAGGCTGCTCCTATATCCATGTTGACTTTTACCGATCATTTTCGCCAACCAGTCCAACTGGTCGACAATGTCATCATTTGCTAGATCATCATTCAACTTCATTCCCATGCTGCCAAGCAGATGGTTTATCTCCCACTTAAGAATGCCGATGGCATCTCCAATAATTTTGTTTTGCTTGCCCAATTCAGTATTCTGACCTTGAAGGTCACCATGAATTTTCCCAAGGCCACTGAGAGGTTTACCATCTTGAGTTTGCTTCCCGTTCCAAGCATATTGACCAAGACCGTCGCCTTGCAAATCTGTCAACCTTTCAATAACATCATCTTTTTTACTGCCATCTTTCAACTTCCCTCTAAGGTCTTTAAGCTCCGCCTTAATTGCTGTGACGGCTTTGTCGATTGCAGCGGGTTTGGTAGCAAACGTCGTTGTTTGCAGCTCGTGGATCTTGGTGTAAATTGCCTCGAGGCCGTTGACTTTTAGACCACTTTGGCAAGCTGAGTGTAGGTCGACGCCATTTGTGGGACGCAAAAAGGGCGTGGCAGGTGGGATGAGGAAGGCTGCTTTGGGAGTGACGGCAAGGCGACAAACGGAGGAGGGAGATGACAAAGCAGCGAGTAGGTTACATCTTAAATTATGTGCTAGGTCAGCCTTTTGGTTAAGTGCTAGGTAAGCCTTTCGGTTAAGTGCTAGGTTAGCCGTTTGGTTAGGTGGTAGGTGAGGCGTTTGCTTAGGTGCTAGGTTAGGCATTTGGTTCAGCAGTGAGTTGGGCGGCAGGCAAGGCACGAGATACAGTCACGATGAGAGACGTGACATGACAACACAAAGAGAGGAATGCAATGTGAATGTAGCTGAGATAATTACTGTCATGAGTGAAAGTCATCGTCGAAGTAGTCGACGTCCTTGTAGAGCGAGAGCATCCTGCGGCTGCCGGCGAGTAAAGCCTTGACGTCGATGAGGTGGGAGGCCCTGTTGGTGAGGAGGTGTGAGCGGATGCGCAGGACGTCCATGCGGTAGAGGAGTGAGTGGAGGATGTAGAGCGTGGCGATAGACCAGAGCGTGAACACTGTGTAGAGGAAGGGGGCGCGGATGCGGTAGAGGTACTCGGGGATGGTGTCGTGCGCCAGCCTGTGGAGAGGGTTCATCTGCTTGACGGCGACTTGCAGTGCCTGGCAGAGATCCTCGCAGGTCCGCTTGGCTGGGTGGCCGCTTGTGGATCCGGCGAGGCTGTGGACGTCCCTGAGCACGAAGCCGTACCGGAAGAGTGTGGGCGTGGTGGAGTCGCAGTCCACGATGGAGGGGCATGAAGCAAGGTGCTCGGAGTCCGGGGCCATCGGCCGTCGCTTGGCTGGGCATTGGTTGTCGCAGCTCCTGGCGTGGCAGGTGGATGTGGCGGCGGCGCAGTTCCGCTCGCAGTCCTGGAGCAGTGCACAGAGGAAGTCGTATAAAGTCTCCGTGAGGTACACCACCCAGGAGAGGTAGAGGTGGGCGTGTGCCTTGGCGAAGGTGGCGCGTACGTCGTGGCCGAGTGGCTTGAGGTAGGGGCCGCAGGGGTGTGATGGAGCGGAGCCTGGAGTGCCGTTGCACTTGACGAGTGAGAAGAGGTCTCCGGTGAGGTGAGGGATGTCTGGCACTGAGCCATGGTCACTGGTGCGGAAGACTGGAGTGACGTCCAGTGTCACGCCCGGCTGCCAGAAGCACGCAGCGCCGACGGCGTCCTCGAAGGCCGCCTTACGGTGCTCAACGCTCTGAGTCCAGTCACATATGAACTGGTAGAAGAAAGCGAACAGGTCGTCTGGCGTCCGGGGCGGGCGGGTGAGGAGGCATTCCAGGTAGCCGCACAGCCTGGCGAAGGGCGACGATGCGCCGCCGCAGAAAGCGCCGAGAACGTCCATGATGCGTCGGCCTGTACCCGCACGAGAGGCCAGCCTGGTAATGTTGGAGAGGCCCATGGGCGTCTTGCACGGCAGGCCGGGTGACGTGGTGTCGCAGGCGGGGCATGAGACACAGGTGTCATTGGGGGACAGCTGGTGAGGGAGGAAGCCCACCAGGCCATCCTCGAGGAACGACTGGAGCGGCGACTTGACGCCGCACTTGGGATGCTGGTCACACGCTTGGTTGGCATTTTGGTTGGTCATTTGGTTACCAGTTTGGTTGGCATTTTGGTCAACCTTTTGGGGACACTCTTGGTTAGGACACTGCATGGTGTTGCACTTCCACGACGATCCTCCGACGCCGCGGCCGTACCAGCAGTCGAGCCATCCGCCGTGCCGGGCGTTGTAGAGGCACCGGCGGTAGAGGAGATACAGCTGGTGGTGGAGGCGTTTGAGCACATCGTACAGCAGGCAGAGCAAAGCGTCCGCGTCGCCGGGGTAGAGCAGGCCTCCGGGGTTTGTGTTGAAGTCGCAGGCGTATATGCCACCTGCGTGGCCGTAGCCGAGCAATGTGGTGAGCACTGAATGCGACCGGTGGCAGACCTCCGCGAGGGCGTCGGATAGGGACGCCGGTGTTATGCTCTCCGGGTGGGCCTTCAGCGCCAGGCTGCTGAGGTTCATCAAGGGCACGTCGGAGTCCGCAGAGTCCTGCTCGTCCGCCTCGAAGAGCGATGGCAGGGCATCGTAATTGACGTTAAGATTCACGGCGTTGTACGTAAGCCCGCAGCACCATGTGAGCATCTCGTAGATGGAACACGGCGGCCGGGGTGAGGGATGCACCTTGAGGTGGCACGTCCTGTAGTACTCAGTGAGGTGCGTGCAGAGGCACTGAAGGAGATCTAAGAGATTACAGGCGTGTGTGAGGGACAGGCATTTTTTGAGGTGTTCGTTGTCATGGGTCTCCTCAATCTTCTGGCTGACCAGGACATACACGTCGTGTCCGATGCAGTCGTCGCGCAGCTCGCCGTCCTGGTCAAAGGGAGAGGTGGAGACCTTGTAGCCGCAGCGCTGGAGGAACGTGCCTAGTTGACTGCTTGAATTAATGCTCAAGTCCCTCCAGCCTGCAGCACCGCCTTTGCCGCAGCGCTCCGCCAGCCTGGTGAAGGCGTCGCAGAGTGTGGGCAGCGTGGTGAGAAAGACCTTGGCGCACTTCTCACCTTCTTCATCAGTGAACTGTGCGCCGGCGTAGGCGGAGACGTACGCACATGTGAACTCGGCGGCGAACTTCGTGAGCCCCTCCACCAGGCCGTCCAGCAGGGGACTTGAGGGCCTGGCGAAGCTCTCAGGTCGCAGGTGACTCAGCGCGTCGGTGAGGTTGCGGAGCAGCGCTTGGAGTCTGTGGTCGAAGGTATCGTTGTCCTTGATGTAAGTAAGCACTGTGTGGAGTGCCTCATTCACCGCGGAGAGCCTAGTGGAATACTCCTGTGCGTCCTGCCGCTTGGGATTTTTCTTCCTCTGCTCCTCGTCGTGGAACCGATTTATCTCCCTGTCCACGTGGTCCTCGAGTGACAAGTAGAAACTCATGAAAGCGGATGACAGCAGCGGAAGGGTTTTTGACCCCTTTTTTTTATGGACGTTGAGGTCATTTTTCAGGCCGTGCTCCACTCGGGTCATAAGGCCTTTGTATTCTACTGTCAGGTCCCTGTCAATCTCCCACGGCAACTCCCGCAGCTCCTCTTCAACCTTCTGGGCGAAGGCCTTCAGCGCCTCCTTGATGTTGGAGACATATTGCCGGCGTGCCTCGTTGATAAGAGTCTCTTCGGCCTCCTTGACCTCCTGCTCGACGAAAGCGTGGAGGTCACGGATTATTTGCGCCTTGCCGTTCTCGAGGAATCTTAAAAGGGCTTTGAGGTCTTTTATGGCAGTATGCGCCGGGCCGCTTAGCAGTTGGCGCAGATTATTTTTAATTCCAGTCAACTCGCCGATCAGATTATCCTTCACTTCTTTTAAAATGTCTCTGAGATCTCTTGCGTTATGCTTAATAGCGCTGCACAGGGCGATAAGATAATGCTTAACATTGTCGACGTCCTTGGACTTTATGGTCTCGATGTCCGTGGTGATTTGAGTGAGGCCTTTGGCGGAATGTTTGTCAATTGTCCATGCTTCTTTACCGTCAGTAAGGCCATGGTCTCTCAGCTTCTTGAGCTTTTCGGTGACATCAGTATTCAACTGCGTCTGAAGTTTTGTAAGCTCCCCGGTGATCTGTGAGACGCCAGTCTGGATATTTTGGGGTTGAGTGGACAACGTAGTTTGTTGACCTTTAAGGTCACTTTCGATGCTTTTAAGGCCTTTTTTATCTTGACCATTAACATTCCACACCTTATCTCCACTTAGTCCATTGCCCTTCAAATCGTTCAGTGTCTCAATGACATCACTGCCCTTGGTGCCTTGCAACACTTTTTGGATGGCAGTAAGTTCTTGTTTAATAAGATCTTTGGCCTGTTCGATTTCAGTGGGATGCTGTTTAAACGGCTGTTCTTGAAGGTTTTTAATTTCATTATGAATTTTCTGAAGATTTCCTGGCTCCGGGGCATTTTTGCCAATCCTTCGTTTAAATCGCTGCAACGGATTTAGGATGTCATCATTGTTTCCAACATTTCGCAATTTGACTCCAATCACTGCAAGTTGATACTTAATATGTTTTAAAGCCTCTTCGATTTCTTTAGTCTGCGCGGGCAATACCTTATTCTGATATGTGAGTTCATACTGGATTTTCCCAAGACCACTGAGAGGTTTACCGTTCGGTGTCCATTGTGTACCATTCTTGCCGTCGATACCAGCAGTGTTTAAATCTTTTAATGTCTCAATTACATCACTACCCTTATCTTTCTTCAACTTCTCTCTAAGGCCTTTAAGCTGCAACTTAATTTGGGTGACGGCTAAGTCGATTGCAGCGGGTTGGTTAGTAAACTGATTATCATGCAGCTTTTGAATCGCATCTCTGATTGCTTCCAAACCTTTCTCAGCTCCCTCCAGCTTTCCTGAATCAAGCGCGCTTTTAAGCTTTTCCAACAAATCTCTTACACCATCAGCGTCCTTGCCCGGTGGCTGCGCATCCTTATTCTCAACCAATTTCTTGATCTCGTCAAGCTGTGTCTTAATATCGGTGAACGGACCGGTGAAGGTATCTGTAGTAATTTCTGCTTTGCCGTTCCTTGGACTTGGCTCTATCATATTAAGCTTTTCAAAAACCTCAGTCTTGATGTTCCCGATCGCCTGTGGAAGGGAGCCTTCGTTTTTTCCTTGTTCGCCGGTTAGAGTATCATTGACAGGTTGTGTAACGTGTTTCTCATAATGCGGAAAATTTCCTTTCTCAAGTTTAACTTTTTGATCACCACCTTGACCACCAGTCGGCGGATCATCCGGACCAATGTGGTCATCAACTTGCTTATCAAGTCTGTTTTTGAGGTTACTTCTTATCTTCCCGTGGGCTTCTTCGAAATCTTTCATGAGATCAGGACCAAGCGTTATATCACCGTCCTCACTAATCTTCCCAGCCGCCTTGTCAATCGCCGTCCTGGCCGCATTCTTGATCTGTGCTTCGGCTTCAGTGTTGAACTGGTTAACGGCGCCGGGAAGTTGATCAACTTTCTGTTGAAGTTCATGTATTACATTACTTTTAAACTTGCTGGTAATGTTATCATCACCATTCTTTCCATTCACAAAAGTGTTCACGTCCGCCAACTTCTTGTCCACGGCTTGGGCTGTGCCATCTGCGGGATCGGGTGGTTTGCCAGTTTTAGTCGCCTCGGTAAGATTATTGTAAAGCTCATCAACCGTCGGCTTGATTTTGTCCAAAATTTCGCCGAATCTGCCGGTACCTAATGACTTTATCTCCGTGGCCACCTGCTTCACACCGCCGCAGAGCGCAACGAGGCTGTATTTGACGGCTGACCGGAGAGCCTGGTCGTCAGCAAAATTCCGAACATTCTGCCCATTCATCCAACCCTTAATGCTTGGGACTATCTTATTGGCAAGGTGATCAATTTTGTCATTCGTCAGTTCGGCGTCAAGCTTGTCGACAAATGTGTTACAAGCGCTTACGATGGCAGTGAGATTGTCGACAACTTTCCCATCTACAACTTTTGCAATCTGCTTCTGCGCTTCCGCGATTTGGCTGTTAAGTTGAGGCATAATGTTGTTCTTCACTTGAACTTTAAGATCTCCTTCATTCCTCCCAACGGCACTAAGATTGCGATTATACGTACCAATCCAAGTCGTCACGGCTTTCATGCCCTTACCTTGGTTATTCCTACCCATGCCTAAAATGCTCTCAAGCCATCCGCCTACTCTAGCCTTAAAACCATTACCGCCTGAATTAACGAACGCCCTAGCAAGCCCCTTCACTTTCGTCACAATGCCTTCAAGACCTGTATTCCCTCCCGCCTTCCCCTTAATTGCCGCAACCTCCCCTTTTATATGCTCGAAAATACCTACAATATTAACATTGTCTTTACCAGTAACAGCCTTGCCAAGCGCCTCAATCGCCGTGTCAACTTCAGTGACATTCTGGATAAGAGGAGTTTGGATCGCACTCTGGAACTTTTGTCCAAGTTGACTCTCCGCATCCTGAATATTCTTAATTGCACCAGAAAGCAGCTCGTTTTTCTTCACCTTAAGCGCCTCCAACTCATTTTTAACGAGGCCCTCTCCATTTGATTTATCAACCTCTGTTTTAAGCCCCTCAATCCTCCTCTTCAACGTCCCCAAATCACCCTTCACTTTCTCATCCAATGTCAAAACATTCATATCCTCAATCACCCTCTGTATCCCTTCCTTAATCTTATCCTTAACACCTTTCAAATCCATCTTAAGACTTTTGTCCATGTTCACAACAGCCTGCAACGCCGATCGGACATTCTGCTCTACTTTCTCCTTGGCCTCAGTCGCAGCCTGCAAAAGTCTTTTACCCTGCTTTTGTAATTCATCGGCTTGTTTATAAATCACGGGGCCACTGGATCCTTTTTGATTATCTTTATGATCCTTGTCAACCCTCTTAAGTATCTCCTCACACTTCTGCTCCGCCTTGTCAATAACACTCCCGGCCGCAGTCTTCCAACTACCTAAATGCTGAACTTCGGTGGCAAGCTCTGTATTTGCCTTTTTAATTAATTCATTAGCTGAGCTAATTCCATCAATGTTACTGCCAAGCGGCATGTCCTTTCCTTTATCATCTATATCCAACGCATCATGAACATGCTGGGCATTTGTAATTGCCCCGGCAAGCACTTTCCCGGCTTCAGTCTTCCACGTTCCCAAACTTTTTCCAACACCATTCAGACTGTTATGAACTCTGTTAATTTCATCTTTTGCTTTAACAATCTTCTTAACGTTCTCATCCAGAGTCTCATTAACCTTCAACTTGTCGTAGGCCTCCTTGGCCTTTTTCTCCGCCGCGGCACGGATATTCTCCGCCTCGGTGATCCAAGTGCCCAAAGCCTTAACTTGTTGGCCAAGTTGTACATTTGCGTTGTCAAGTTGCGTTTTAGCTTCTTCAATAGCCTTAATGTTCGTACCAATTTTATGATCCGTGTCAGCTGCCTCAGGGTCCAACTTTTTATGCACGTCCGTAGCCTTACTGACCACATTGCTAAGCACATCTTTTGCCGCAAGGTTCCAAGCTGTCAAATCGTTCTTAACCTGAATAAGCCCAGTATTCACGCCCTCAACTGCCGTTTTAGCCGTAGTGATCTGCTGAAGTCCTTCACCAATCTTTGTCGTCTCGCCGGGGGAATCTTTTTGTTGATTGGGATCCAAATCTTTGTACACATTACCAGAACTCAAAATCGTCCCTTCTAGCACTTTATGTGCCGCTTCCTTCCATTCTGTCAAATCCGCAACTCTCTCTTGCAACCTGGTCTCAACAGTTTCAATCGCCTTGTCAAGCTCATTTTTGCATTTAGCCGGTTCAATTCCATTCACCTCATTTAAAATCTTCTGGACTAATTTCTGCGCGGCTTCGATGTCCTTCGTAGTTTTCTCAATCCACTTGTCCAGGTCCATAATATATTTCCCAAGCGATTTACTGACTTTTCAAGGTTCTGTTTAAGGTGATCAGTGGCCTACTTTATAGGTGCAAGAGGGATGTTTTGGGCGTGACGGTGAGTCAACAAAAGGTGAAGGGACAAGGCAAAGCAGCGAGTAGGTTACATCATAGGTTAGGTGCTAGGTAAGCCGCTTGGTTAGGTGCTAGGTAAGCCGTTTGGTTAGGCAGTGAGTTAGGTGGTAGGCAAGGCACGAGACAGTCACCATGAGAGACGTGACACGACATGGCAACACAGGGAATGTAAATGTAAATTTAGCTACAATAATTACTATCATGAGTGAAGGTCATCGTCGAAGTAGTCGACGTCTTTGTAGAGTGAGAGCATCTTCCTCCCGTGCGTGAGTAGCGCCTTGACGTCGATGAGGTGGGAGGCCCTGGTGGTGAGGAGGTGGGAGCGGATGCGCAGGACGTCCATGCGGTAGAGGAGTGAGTGGAGGATGTAGAGCGTGGCGGTGAGCCAGAGTGTGATGATGGCGCAGAGGAAGGGGGCACGGATGCGGTACAGGTACTCATCACACTGGTCGAACAGTTCCGTGAAGTGGTCGGAGTGTAGGACTTGGCTGAGCTGGATGCGGAAATTACGGCAATATTTTCTGTTATTGCCGTGCAAGGCTCTCGTGTTTCCAAACGTAAATCCGTATGCGTGAAACGTCGGCAGGACGCCGTGACAGCTCACCAGTGCCTTGCACTTGCAGTTGACGTCGACGCCATGTTGGCCCGGGTTGCAGGGACACGTCGAGCACCCGGAGCTTGCGCAGTCAATGTCTTGAAAGGCGCTGAGCAATTGCTGGAGCAGCTCCCAGAATCGCCATGCGGTGTAGATGACCCACGACACATATACCTCCGCGTGCTTCTCGGGGAAGGTGTGGTAGGCGTGGAAGGAGAGCGGTTGGAGGTAGGGGGCGCAGGTCAGTGAGTCGGCGCACCGCGACCGGACGGTGAGACTCGACAGGTCCGAGTGGGTGGCCTGTAAGGTGTTAGTGGCAGCGTCCGTTGGGGATGCGCCACTGTGGTCGTCGGGGGAGTGGTGTAGCCTGGTGAGGGCGTCGGTCAGCTGCGCCGCCTCGGTGGTGGGACAGAGGTACAGAGAGACGCTTGGTATTGCCGCAGTGCTCAGGTGACCAGCGAATTGGACGTTGTCAACGTACTCATCGGACTGCCGGCACCGGAACACGTTGCAGTAGAACGCAAACATGTCACCGAGACTTTGAGGCGGCGAGGGGTCAATTGACGACAGGCAACGTAATAGTGTTGGCAGGGGCGACTCGGCACCACTGCACAGGGCGGTGAGCACGGCGCATATTTGCTCACCACTGCCGACAATGGACCCCGCATCCGGCAGGTCCCAGAAGCCCATCGGGGTGACGCAGGGCATGCCGGGGGATGCGATAGAACACGTGTCGCACTGCGAGTCACAACCGACGGACGCCAACTTATGCGGTAGGAAGCCCGCCAGATGGTCCATCAAATGGGCCTGGAGCGGGGATTTTGGTTGGCACGTTGACTGGCACATAGGTTGGCCATTTGGTCGGCACGTTGACTGGCCATTTGGTTCACACATTAAGTGCTTGTTACATTGCCAGCTGGCGGCGGGGACGCTTCTGCCGTACCGGCAGTCGCGCCAGCCGTGGCCCGTGGAGGCATCATATTTGCATCGTGCGCGCAAAAAGTTGAGTGAACGCAGCAAATGTGTGCATAAATGAGTCAGCATATGTAACAAATCGGCGAGGTCTGAGGGATAATGGAAGCCACGAGAGTTGTCCCAGAAGTTGCAGGCGTAGGGGTAGTCGGCGTGGTCGAAGCCTCTGCCGTTACCGCAAATGGTGGTGAGCAGGGCGCTGCAGCGGTGCGTGACAAGGCTGAGTGCGCCTGGGATGGATCCCAAGCAATGCTTGACCACTGCATCACCCTCGCCCCTGAACAGGACGTTGCAATGCCCCTGCACGCGCTCATAGAGCACGGAGTAAGGAAGCCCTGCGAACCACGCGAGAATGTCCCTGACGGTGCCGGGGTACCGCGGCTGAGACGGAACACGCAAGTGACAGAGACGCAGGTAACACTTGAGGTATTCGTGGAGTTCGTCGAGTGGCTCCATGATATTATCGGTGAGCTCTCTAATCTTCTGGCCGCTGCAGTCACTGTCGTTCCGCAGCTCGCCGTCCGGAACGCCCGCCGAGGTGACCCGGTAGCCGCGTTGCTGGAGGAAGGCGCCCAGGGGGGTGAAGGGGTTTATTTATTTATCTGACCACTCATCTGCGCAATGCATTCTGAGCTCGTTCAAATCGCGGAACAGCGTGTCGGTGATTGTCAGCAGAACGAAGGCGCATTTCGTGGCCTCCGGGGTGTACACCTTCTTCCCCTCGTGGTAGAGCACGCGGCCCTCAAACGCCCCGTCGTATGTGGAGATGTACACCGTTCTCAGTTCCTTCTCAAACTTGTCCGCTGCCTCCGCCACGCCGTCGAGTATCGGAGTTGTGACTTTGGCGAATTTCTCCGGCCGCAACGCTCCGACTGCCTCGGCGAGTTTATCGAGCATTTCGGGAAGTCTGCGGTCGAAACGTTTCTCCCTGCTGATGTGCTCCAGCAACAACTCCAGCGCGTGGGTGACGCCGTAAAGCTTCTCGGCGTAGTGATCCTCTGCCGGGGGCAGTGAGGGATTCTTCTTTTTGCTCTCCTCGCTGTGCACCCTCCTGATCTCTGTGCTGAGGTATCCCGAGAGCGCCAGGTGGAACCGCTTGAAGGCTGTGGACAGGGCGTCGAGTTGCAGCGTACCCTTTAGAGGGGAGATGTGAGACTCGAAGCGTTGCTGGAAATCATACATGAACCCTTTGTACCCTATCTGCAGATCCTCGGTTATTAACGGAGGCAAGGGATTCAATTCTTCCTCCACCTTCCGGGCGAAGGCCCTCAGCGCCTCCTTGATGTTGGCGGCGCACTGCTGCCTGGCGAAGGCTGTTAGGTCCTCGATTGCGGTGTCCACTTGGCCGTCGACGAACGCTGTGAGGAACGCAATGCACTCCCTTCCGAACTTGTCGGCGTCCTTGTTAATGAACTCCTTGCAGGCCTGCATTGGCCCACTCACCAGACGGATCTGGAGCTTACGGAGATTCTCTTTTATCCCAGTCAACTCATACTCCAGCCTGTCTTTTTTCACATGTTCCAAGTCCCTTTTTGCCTCCCTCGCTAAGGTACGAATTTCTGTGCACAGCTCCTTGAGTTTGTCCTTCACGTCCTTAACGTCCCTGTCCTTTATGGCTTCGATGTCCGTGGTGATTTTAGTGAGGCCTTTTTCAAAACCATTGTCATTCCATTTTTCATTACCGTCAGTAAGGCCACTGTCTTTCAGCTTCTTGAGCTTCTCGGTGACGTCATCGTTCAACGTCACTCTAAGGCTGTTAAGCTCATTGGTGATTTCTCGGACGCCTTGGTCTATTTTGCCGGGTTGTTGTCCCAGCGTATTTTGTTGAGTGTTAAGTTCACTATTAATTTTTCCGAGACCTTTTTTGTCACCATTCCATTTGTCCTTTTCACTTAGTCCATCGCCCATCAAATCTTCTAGTGACTTTATGACATCGCTGTCCTTGGTGCCTTGCAACTCACCTTGAAGGGCAGTGAGTTCTCGTTTGATTGCTGAGTTGGCTTCATCGATTTCTCTGGGTTTATTAGTAAATTGCTCCTTTTGCAGCTTTTTAATCTCATCATGAATCCGTTGAACAGTTCCATCCCTGGGATTGTTTTTTCCAATTGTTTTTCCCAACCATGTCAACTCGTCTGTGAGATCATCAGTGATGTAATCATGTTTCAACGCAATTCCGATCCTGGCAAGTTCACCCCTAATTTCAAGTATGGCATCATCTATAGCCTTTGTTTGCTCGGGCAATATATCATTCTGCTCTTTAAGCTCACTCTCGATTTTCCCAAGACCACTGAGAGGTTGACCGTTGACATTTATTGGACTCCAACCCGCCTTATCACCAAGCCCATTCTCTTTCAAATCATCCAACACGTCAATAACGCCATTTTCTGTCCCACCATTTTGCTCTTTCTTCAACTTCTCTCTAAGCTCTTTAAGCTGCGCCTTAATTTGCTCGACGGCTGTGCCAATTGCTTCGGGTTTGTTCTGGATGTAGTTAAGTGTAAATTGCATCAAGGCCTTCAACTTTTATACCGCTTTGACATGCTGAGTGTAGGTCGACGCCAATTGTGGGACTCAAAAAGGGCGTCACAGGTGAGGGACGGCTGGCGCCGGCAGGAGTGAGGAGGATGAGCTAACATCTGGTCAAAAAGGTAGGACGGGAAGTGGATTGCGCTATTGATAGGTGACTCAGTGACTGTATTGAAAACGATTAGTATGTTATTTTAGAGGTGGAAGAGGGGCGTGGTAGGAGGCGTCAGCGTCATTCATTCAGTGTAAAGGTGGGATGAGGAGGCTGTTTGCGGAGTGACGGCAAGGCGACAAAGGGACAGGGGAGATGACAAAGCAGCGAGTAGGTTACATCATAGGTTAGATGCTAGGTTAGCCATTTGGTTACGTGCTAGGTGAGCAGTTTGGTTAGGTGCTAGGTAAGCCATTTGGTTAGGTGCTAGGTTACATCTTAGGTTGAACATTTGGTTATGCAGTTTCGTCATGTGCTAGGCAAGGCACGAGGTACAGTCAGCATGAAATACATAAGATGGCAACACAAAGAGAGGAATGTAAATGTATATGTAGCTACGATAATTACTGTCATGAGTGAAGGTCATCGTCGAAGTAGTCGACGTCTTTGTAGAGTGAGAGCATCCTGCGGCTGCCAGCGAGCAGCGCCTTGACGTCGATGAGGTGGGAGGCCCTGGTGGTGAGGAGGTGCGAGCGGAGGCGCAGGACGTCCATGCGGTAGAGTAGTGAGTGGGCGATGTAGAGCGTGGCGATGAGCCAGAGTGTGACGAGGGTGTAGAGGAAGGGCATGCGGATGCGATAGAGGTACTCGGGGATTGTCTCATGCGCCAGCTTGTGGAGAGGGTTCATCTGCTTGACAGCGACTTGGAGGGCCATGCAGAAATCGTCGCAGGTCCGCTTGGACTGGTGGCCGCTGGTGGATCCGGCGAGGCTGTGGACGTCCCTGTGCACGAAGCCGTACCGGAAGAGTGTGGGCGTGGTGGAGTCGCAGTCCACGATGGAGGGGCAGTGGGCAGTGTGAGTGGAGTTCGGGGCCAGTGGCCGTCGCTTGGCTGTGCAGTCGTTGGCGCAGCTCCTGGCGTGGCAGTTGGACGTGGCGTCGGCGCAGTTGCGCTCGCAGTCTCGGAGTAGTGAACAGAGCAGGTCGTAGAAAGTCTCCGTGAGGTAGACTATCCACGAGAGGTAGAGGTGGGCGTGTGCCTTGGAGAAGGTGGCGCGGACGTCGTGGCCGAGCGGCTTGAGGTAGGGACCGCAGGGGTGTGACGGAGCGGAGCGTTGGTTGCCGTTGCACTTGACGAGGGAGAAGAGGTCCCCGGTGAGGTGAGGCATATTTGTAGCATTGCCATGGTCCTTGGTGCGGAAGATTGTACTGACGTCCAGTGTGACGCCCCGCTGCCGGAAGCACGCGTCGCCGACGGCGTCATCGAAGGCCGCCTTACGGTGCTCGCCGTAATTATGCCACTCACATATGAACTGGTAGTAAAAGGCGAAGAGTTCGTCTGGCGTCCGCGGCGGGCGGGTGAGGAGGCAATTCAGGAAGTCGCACAGCCTGGTGAGGGGCGACGATGCGCCGCCGCAGAAGGCGCCGAGAACGTCCATGATGTGTCGGCCTGTGGAGGCACGGGAGGCCAGCCTGGTAATGTTGGAGAGGCCCATGGGCGTCTTGCACGGCAGGCCGGGTGACTTAGTGTCGCAGCCGGAGCACTTGACACAGGTGCCGTCTGCCGACAGGTCATGCGGCAGGAAGCCCACCAGGCCGTCTTCCAGGAACGACTGGAGCGGCGACTTGACGCCGCACTTGGGATGTTGGTCACAGCTTTGGTTACATATTTGGTTGTGTGTTTGGTTACCAGTTTGGTTGTGTGTTTGGTTGCACTGTTGGTCACATATTTGGTTGGCACACTGCATGGTGTTGCACCGCCACGATGAGCCTCCGACGCCCCGGCCGTACCAGCAGTCGAGCCATCCGCCGTGCCGGGCGTTGTAGAGGCACCGGCGGTAGAGGAGATACAGCTGTTGGTGGAGGCGTCTGAGGACGTCGAAGAGCAGGCAGAGCAAAGCGTCGGCGTCACAGGGATAGAGCAGGCCTGCCGGGTTGGTGTTGAAGTCGCAGGCGTATATGCCACCTGCGTGGCCGTGGCCGAGTAACGTGGTGAGCACTGAATGCGACGTGTGGCAGACCTCCGTGAGTGCGTCGGTGAGGGACGCCGGTGTTATGACCCGCGGGTGGGCCTTAAGCGCCAGGCTGCCGAGGTCAGTGAGGGACACTTCGGAGTCAGCAGAGCCCTGCTTATCCGGCGCCTCGAACAGCGATGGCAGGGCATCATGGGTGACGGTGAGATGCACGGGATTGTACGTAAGCCCGCAGCACCATTGAAGCATCTCGTAGACACTGCACGGCGGCCGGGGTGAGGGATGCACCTTGAGGTGGCACGTCCTGTAGTACTCAGTGAGGTGCGTGCAGAGGCATTTAAGGATACCTAAAAGATTACAGTCGTGTGTGAGGGAGAGGCATTTTTTGAGGTGTGCGTTGTCCTCTGCCTCCTTAATGTTCTGGGTGACGAGGACATACACGTCGCGGCCGTTGCAGTCGTTCCGCAGCTCGCCGTCCTGGTCAAAGGGAGAGGTGGCGACCTTGTAGCCGCAGCGTTGGAGGAATGTGCCGAGTTGACTGCTTGAATTAATATGCAAGTCCCTCCACTTGCCGCCTTTGCCGCACTGCTCCGCCAGCCTGGTGAAGGCGTCGCAGAGTGTGGGCAGCGTGGTGAGGAAGACCTTGGCGCACTTCTCACCTTCTTCATCGGTGAACGTCTGCCCGGCGTAGGCGGAGACGTACGCACATGTGAACTCGGCGGCGAACTTTGTGAGCCCCTCCACCAGGCCGTCCAGCACGGGGGTAGAGGGCTTGGCGAAGCTCTCAGGTCGCAGGTGACTCAGCGCTTCGGTGAGTTTGCGGAGCAGCGCTTGGAGTCTGTGGTCGAAGCTCTGTGTCTCGCAAAGATAATTGAGCAGGCTGTTAAGATCGCTGTGCACGGCGTCCCACTCGGCGGCGTAGGGCTCTTCTGACTTGGGGAGTGAGGGATTTTTCTCGTCGTCACTCTGCTTCTTTACCCTCTCAATCTCCTCACGGAGATGCTCGTCTAGCGGCGCGAAGAAATTCTGGAACGCGGAGGACAATGCTTGAAGCTCTCTGCTTTTCACGTCTTTGAGCCTATTAATGTTCACGCCTTTTTCGCCTTCCATATTATACATGAACCCTTTGTACCCTATCTGCAGATCCCCGTTTATTAACGGAGGCAAGGGACTTAATTCTTCCTCCACCTTCCGGGCGAACAACTTCAAATGCTTCTTGATGTTGGAGACATACTGCCGGCGTGCCTCGTTGATCAGCGTCTCTTCGGCTTCCTTGACCTCCTTGTTGACGAATGCGTGGAGTTCTCTGATGAGTTGCGCCTTGCCGTTGTCGAGGAATTTTACGAAGCCTCTCACCTCTGCTATCACAGGCCTCACCTGCTCGCTCAGCAGATCACTAAATTTGTCTTTTATTTTTGTCAACTCGCCGACCAAATTTTCTTTGACATCCTTTAAAATGTCTCTGAGATCTCTTGCGTTATGCCTGACAGCACTGCACAGGGCGATGAGATGATGCTTGACGTTATCGACGTCCCTGGTTTTTATGGTCTCGATGTCTTCGGTGATTTTTTGAATACCATTTACATTTGTTTTGTCCTCCGTCCAGTTGTTTCCGCCGTTATTAAGGCCATGCTCTCTCAGCTTCTGCAGCTTATCGGTGACCTGTTCACTCAACTGCTTCTGGAGCTTTGTAAGCTCACTGATGATGTCTTGGACGCCTCCCTCAATTACACCGGGCTGAGAGGACAACGTATTTTGTTGACCTTGAAGTTCAGTATCAATTTTTGAGAGGCCTTTTTTATCACCATTCCATTTGTCCTTTCCACTTAGCCCAGTGTCCTTTAAATCGTCTAGTGACTTTATGACATCACTGCCTGGCTTGGCGCCTTGCAACTCATTTTGGAGGGTAGTGAGTTCTCCCTTAATTGCTTCGTTGGCTTTGTGAATATCGTCGGGATTTCTAGTAAACGGGCCTTCTCGGAGGTTTTTAATCGCATAAGAAATTCCTTGCAGGCCTGCATGTCCACCGTGACCAATCTTCCTCTGCAACCGCTGCAACAAGTCCACGACGTCTTCAGTATTGAAGACATTGTTCATATCTATTCTTACTTTTGAAAGCTCCCCCCTTATTACTTCTATTGCGTCGGTAATAATTTCAGGCTGTTTGCCCAGTTGCTCATTCTGAAATTTGACACGGTTCTGTATCGCCTTTAAACTGTCAGTACCGTTCCATGTTGGGTCCTTCAATATCCATTCACTATCCCCGAGACCAAAGCTTTTCAAATCTGTCAACCTTTGAATGACATCATCTTTATGACTATTCTTCAACTTCTCTCTAAGCTTTCCAAGCTCCACCTTAATTTCGGAGGTGGCTGTGCCGATTGCAGCGGGTTTGTTCTGGACGTCGTTAAGTGTAAATTGCCTCGAGGCCTTTGACTTTTAGACCACTTTGGCAAGCTGAGTGTAGGTCGACGCCATTTGTGGGACGCAAAAAGGCCGACGCAGGTGGGATGAGGGAGGTTGTTTTGGGAGTGACGGCAAGGCGACAAAGGGACAGGGGAGATGACAAAGCAGCGAGTAGGTTACGTCATAGGTCATGTGCTTGGTCAGCCATTTGGTTAGGTGGTAGGTGAGCCGTTTGGTTAAGCAGTGAGTTAGGTGCTAGGCAAGGCACGAGATACAGTGGCGATGAGAGAGGTGACATGGCAACACAAGCAATGTAAATGTAATGTAGCTGTTATAATTACTGTCATGAGTTAAGGTCTTCGTCGAAGTAGTCGACGTCCTTGTAGAGTGAGAGCATCCTGCGGCTGCCGGCGAGCAGCGCCTTGACGTCGATGAGGTGTGAGGCCCTGGTGGTGAGGAGGTGGGAGCGGATGCGTAAGACGTCCATGCGGTAGAGGAGTGAGTGGGCGATGTAGAGCGCGGCGGTGAGCCAGAGTGCGATGATGGCGAAGAGGAAGGGGGCACGGATGCGATAGAGGTACTCGGGGATTGTCTCATGCGCCAGCTTGTGGAGAGGGTTCAATTCCTTGACGGCGACTTGCAGTGCTGTGCAGAAATCCTCGCAGGTGCGCTTGGACTGTTGGCCGCTGGTGGAGCCGGCGAGGCTGTGGACGTCCCTGAGCGCGAAGCCGTACCGGAAGAGTGTGGGCGTGGTGGAGTCGCAGTCCGCGATGGAGGGGCAGTCGGCAGTGTGATTGGAGCTCGGGGCCAGTGGCCGTCGCTTGGCTTGGCATTGGTTGTCGCAGCTCCTGGCGTGGCAGGTGGACGTGGCGTCGGCGCAGTTGCGCTCGCAGTCTCGCAGCAGCTCTTGAAGGAAGTCGTAGAAAGTCTCCGTGAGGTACACCACCCAGGAGAGGTAGAGGTGGGCGTGTGCCTTGGAGAAGGTGGCACGGACGTCGTGGCCGAGGGGCTTGAGGTAGGGGCCGCAGGGGTGTGACGGAGCGGAGCGTGGAGTGCCGTTACACTTGACGAGTGAGAAGAGGTCTCCGGTGAGGTGAGGCATTTCCGGCACTGAGCCGTGGTTACTGGTGCGGAAGATTGTACTGACGTCCAGTGTCACGCCCCGCTGCCGGAAGCACGCGTCGCCGACGGCGTCCTCGAAGGCCGCCTTACGGTGCTCGCCGCTACTGCGCCACTCACATATGAAGTTGTAGTAGAAGGCGAACAGGTCGTCTGGCGTCCGGGGCGGGCGGGTGAGGAGGCAAGTCAGGTAGCCGCAGAGCCTGGCGAGGGGCGACGATGCGCCGCCGCATAAGGCGCCGAGGACGTCCATGATGTGTCGGCCTTGGGAGGCACGGGAGGCCAGCCTGGTAATGTTGGAGAGGCCCATGGGCGTCTTGCACGGCAGGCCGGGTGACTTGGTGTCACAGCCGGAGCACTTGACACAGGTGCCGTCTGCCGACAGCTGGTGAGGCAGGAAGCCCACCAGGCCGTCCTCGAGGAACGACTGGAGCGGCGACTTGACGCCGCACTTCGGATGCTGATCACAGCGTTGGTTACATATTTGGTTGTGTGTTTGGTTGCACTGTTGGTCACACATTTGGTTGGCACACTGCATGGTGTTGCACTTCCAACTGGAGCCACCGACGTCCCGGCCGTACCAGCAGTCGAGCCATCCGCCGTGCCGGGCGTTGTAGAGGCACCGGCGGTAGAGGAAATAGAGCTGGTGGTGGAGGCGTCTGAGGACGTCGAACAGCAGGCAGAGCAAAGCGTCGGCGTCGCCGGGGTAGAGCAGGCCTCCCGGGTTGGTGTTGAAGTCGCAGGCGTAGATGCCATCTGCGTGGCCGTAGCCGAGTAACGTGGTGAGCACTGAATGCGACCGGTGGCACACCTCCGTGAGTGCGTCGGTGAGTGACGCCGGTGTTATGTCCCGCGGGTGGGCCTTCAGCGCCAGGCTGCTGAGGTTCATCAAGGGCACGTCGGAGTCCCAGGAGTCCGGCTCCTCCGCCTCGAACAGCAAAGGCAGTGCTTCGGAGTTGAGGCCCAGGTACACGGCGTTGTGCGGGAGCCCGCAGCACCATGTGAGCATCTCGTAGATGGAACACGGCGGCCGGGGTGAGGGATGCACCTTGAGGTGACACGTCCTGTAGTACTGGTGGAGGTGCGTGCAGAGGCACTGAAGGAGATCTAACAGATTACAGGCGTGTCGGAGGGACAGGCATTTTTGGAGGTGTGCGTTGTTCTCTGTATCCGTAATGTTCTGGCTGACCAGGACATACACGTCGTGGCCGTTGCAGTCGTCGCGCAGCTCGCCGTCCTGGTCAGAGGGAGATGTGGCAACACGGTAGCCGGAGCGGTGGAGGAACGTGCCGAGGTTACTGCTTGAATTAATGTTCAGATCCCTCCAGCTGCCGTCTTTGCCGCACTGCTCCCACAGCCTGCGCAGGGCGTCGCACAGTGTCGGCAGCATGGTGAGGAAGACCTTGGCGCACATGGCGCCGTATGGCGTCAGCTTTGTAACGTTTCTGACTGTGACGGACTTTGTGCCTTGGGATCTTACGGTCTCGGTGAGGGTTTCATGTTTGAGCAAGTCAGCGGTGAACTGTGCGCCGGCGTAGGTGGAGACATACGCACATGTGAACTCGGCGGCGAACTTTGTGAGCCCCTCCACCAGGCCGTCCAGCACGGGACTCGAGGGCCTGGCGAAGCTCTCCGGCTTGAGGTGACTCAGCGCGTCGGTGAGGCTGCGGAGCAGGGCTTGGAGTCGGTGGTCGAAGGTATCCTCAGTTCTAATGTATTCAAGTAACGCATTCAATGAGAGTGTGACTCTTACAAGTTTATCAGTGTAGAGCGTTTCCGGTTCTTGGGGCACAGGGTTTTTCTTCTTGCTCTCCTCGCTGTGCACTCTCCTGATCTCTGCGCTGATGTATCCCGAGAGCGCCAGTTGGAACCGCTTGAAGCCTGTGGACAGGGCCTCGAGTTGCAGCGCACCCTTTAGAGGGGATATGTGAGTGACGAAGCGTTGCTGGAAATCATACATAAACCCTTTATACCCCATCTGCAGATCCTCGGTTATTAACGGAGGTAAGGGATTCAATTCTTCCTCCACCTTCCGGGCGAACAGCTTCAAAAGCTCCTTGATGTTGGAGACACATTGCCGGCGTGCCTCCCTGATCAATGTCTCTTCGGCTGCCTTGACCTCCTTGTTGACGAATGCGTGGAGTTCTCTGATGAGTTGCGCCTTGCCGTTGTCGAGGAATTTTACGAAGCCTCTCACCTCTGCTATCACAGGCCTCACCTGCTCGCTCAGCAGATCACTAAATTTGTCTTTTATTTTTGTCAACTCGCCGACCAAATTTTCTTTGACATCCTTTAAAATGTCTCTGAGATCTCTTGCGTTATGCCTGACAGCACTGCACAGGGCGATGAGATGATGCTTGACGTTATCGACGTCCCTGGTTTTTATGGTCTCGATGTCTTCGGTGATTTTTTGAATACCATTTACATTTGTTTTGTCCTCCGTCCAGTTGTTTCCGCCGTTATTAAGGCCATGCTCTCTCAGCTTCTGCAGCTTATCGGTGACCTGTTCACTCAACTGCTTCTGGAGCTTTGTAAGCTCACTGATGATGTCTTGGACGCCTCCCTCAATTACACCGGGCTGAGAGGACAACGTATTTTGTTGACCTTGAAGTTCAGTATCAATTTTTGAGAGGCCTTTTTTATCACCATTCCATTTGTCCTTTCCACTTAGCCCAGTGTCCTTTAAATCGTCTAGTGACTTTATGACATCACTGCCTGGCTTGGCGCCTTGCAACTCATTTTGGAGGGTAGTGAGTTCTCCCTTAATTGCTTCGTTGGCTTTGTGAATATCGTCGGGATTTCTAGTAAACGGGCCTTCTCGGAGGTTTTTAATCGCATAAGAAATTCCTTGCAGGCCTGCATGTCCACCGTGACCAATCTTCCTCTGCAACCGCTGCAACAAGTCCACGACGTCTTCAGTATTGAAGACATTGTTCATATCTATTCTTACTTTTGAAAGCTCCCCCCTTATTACTTCTATTGCGTCGGTAATAATTTCAGGCTGTTTGCCCAGTTGCTCATTCTGAAATTTGACACGGTTCTGTATCGCCTTTAAACTGTCAGTACCGTTCCATGTTGGGTCCTTCAATATCCATTCACTATCCCCGAGACCAAAGCTTTTCAAATCTGTCAACCTTTTAATGGCATCATCTTTATTAGTGTTCTTCAACTTCCCCCTAAGCTTTCCAAGCTGCGCCTTAATTTGCTCGACGGCTTTGCCAATTGCAGCGGGTTGACTTTCGATGTCGTTAAGTGTAAATTGCCTCGAGGCCTTTGACTTTTAGACCACTTTGGCAAGCTGAGTGCAGGTCGACGCCATTTGTGGGACGCAAAAAGGGCGTGGCAGGTGGGATGAAGGTGGCTGTTTGGGGAGTGACGGCAAGGCGACAAAGGGAGGAGGGACATGACAAAGCAGCGAGTAGGTTACATCATAGGTCATGTGCTAGGTCAGATGTTTGGTTACATGTTAGGTTAGACGTTTGGTTAGGCAGTGAGTTAGGTGCTAGGCAAGGCACGGGGTACAGTCACCGTGACATGACATGGCAACAAAAAAAGAAGAATATAATGTAATGTAGCTACGATAATTACTGTCACGAGTGAAAGTCGTCGTCGAAGTAATCGACGTCCTTGTAGAGTGAGAGCATCTTCCGGCCTTTAGTGAGTAAGGCCTTGACGTCGACGAGGTGGGAGGCCCTGGTGGTGAGGAGGTGGGAGCGGATGCGCAGGACGTCCATGCGGTAGAGGAGTGAGTGGGCGATGTAGAGCGCGGCGGTGAGCCAGAGTGTGACGAGGCAGAAGAGGAAGGGCGCACGGATGCGATAGAGGAACTCGGGAATGGTCTCGTGCGCCAGCCTGTGGAGAGGGTTCATTTCCTTGACGGCGACTTGGAGGGTCTTGCAGAAATCCTCGCAGGTGCGCTTGCCTTGGTGGCCGCTGGTGGATCCGGCGAGGCTGTGGACGTCCCTGTGGACGAAGCCGTACCGGAAGAGTGTGGGCGTGGTGGAGTCGCAGTCCACGATGGAGGGGCAGTGGGCAGTGTGAGTGGAGTTCGGGGCCAGTGGCCGTCGCTTGGCTGTGCAGTCGTTGGCGCAGCTCCTGGCGTGGCAGTTGGACGTGGCGTCGGCGCAGTTGCGCTCGCAGTCTCGCAGCAGCTCTTGAAGGAAGTCGTAGAAAGTCTCCGTGAGGTACACCACCCAGGAGAGGTAGAGGTGGGCGTGTGCCTTGGAGAAGGTGGCACGGACGTCGTGGCCGAGGGGCTTGAGGTAGGGGCCGCAGGGGTGTGACGGAGCGGAGCGTGGAGTGCCGTTACACTTGACGAGTGAGAAGAGGTCTCCGGTGAGGTGAGGCATGTCTGGCAGTGTGCCATGTTCCTTGGTGCGGAAGATTGTACTGACGTCCAGTGTCACGCCCCGCTGCCGGAAGCACGCGTCGCCGACGGCGTCCTCGAAGGCCGCCTTACGGTGCTCAACGCCGTCACTCCACTCACATATGAAGTTGTAGTAGAAGGCGAACAGGTCGTCTGGCGTCCGGGGCGGGCGGGTGAGGAGGCAAGTCAGGTAGCCGCAGAGCCTGGCGAGGGGCGACGATGCGCCGCCGCAGAAGGCGCCGAGGACGTCCATGATGCTTCGGCCTTGTCCAGCACGGGAGGCCAACCTGGTAATATTGGCAAGGCCCATCGGCGTCTTGCACGGCAGGCCGGGTGACTTGGTGTCACAGCCGGAGCACTTGACACAGGTGCCGTCTGCCGACAGCTGGTGAGGCAGGAAGCCCACCAGGCCGTCCTCGAGGAACGACTGGAGCGGCGACTTGACGCCGCACTTCGGATGCTGATCACAGCGTTGGTTACATATTTGGTTGTGTGTTTGGTTGCACTGTTGGTCACACATTTGGTTGGCACACTGCATGGTGTTGCACTTCCAACTGGAGCCACCGACGTCCCGGCCGTACCAGCAGTCGAGCCATCCGCCGTGCCGGGCGTTGTAGAGGCACCGGCGGTAGAGGAAATGGAGTTGGTGGTGGAGGCGTTTGATGACGTCGAACAGCAGGCAGAGCAAAGCGTCGGCGTCGCCGGGGTAGAGCAGGCCTCCCGGGTTGGTGTTGAAGTCGCAGGCGTAGATGCCATCTGCGTGGCCGTAGCCGAGTAACGTGGTGAGCACTGAATGCGACCGGTGGCACACCTCCGTGAGTGCGTCGGTGAGTGACGCCGGTGTTATGTCCCGCGGGTGGGCCTTCAGCGCCAGGCTGCTGAGGTCAGTGACGGACACTCCCGTGTCAGTAGAGTCCTGCTCATCCGCCTCGAACAGCGACGGCAGGGCATCATGAGTGACGGTCAGATGCACGGCGTTGTACGTAAGCCCGCAGCACCAGACGAGCATCTCGTACACAGAGCACGGCGGCCGGGGTGAGGGATGCACCTTGAGGTGGCACGTCTGGTAGTACTCAGTGAGGTGCGTGCAGAGGCATTTAAGGATACCTAAAAGATTACAGGCGTGTTGGAGGGAGAGGCATTTTTTGAGGTGTGCGTTGTTCTCTGTCTCCTCAATCTTCTGGCTGACCAGGACATACACGTCGTGGCCGATGCAGTCGTCGCGCAGCTCGCCGTCCTGTAGGGTGGCGGAGGTTGAGACCTTGTAGCCGGAGCGCTGGAGGAAAGCGCCGAGTTTACTGGTTGCATTAATTTTCATGTCCCTCCACTTGCCGCCTTTGTTGCATTGCTCCCACAGCCTGTTGAAGGCGTCGCACAGTGTGGGCAGCAGGGTGAGAAAGACCTTGGCGCACTTCTCACCTTCTTCATCGGTGAACTGTGCGCCGGCGTATCTTGAGACGTACGCACATGTGAACTCGGCGGTGAACTTTGTGAGCCCCTCCACCAGGCCGTCCAGCACGGGACTTGAGGGCCTGGCGAAGCTCTCAGGCTTGACGCCACTCAGCGCGTCGGTGAGGTTGCGGAGCAGCTCCGTGAGTCTGTGGTCAAATGTGTCGTTGTCCTTGAGGTACGTGAGCAACTTGGTCAGCGCGTCGTACACCTCGTTGAGCTTACTGTTGTACGGCTCCTCGGACGGCGGGAGCGCAGGATTTTTCTTCCTGTTTTGCTCGTCGGCCTCTCTTCCTATCTCCCCCAGGAGATACGTCTGTACTTGCTCATAAAGCTCCCGGAACGCAGAGGATAATTGTGGAACGCTCTCTTCACGGCCCGTGAAATCGGAACTCAAAGGGCCATACATGTATTTTATTAACCCCTTGTAGCCCAAGTAGAGATCTCTGCTAATTTCATTCGGCAACTCCCGCAGCTCCTCCTCCACCTTCCGGGCGAAGGCCTCCAGCGCCTCCTTGATGTTGGAGACATACTGCTGCCTGGCGAAGGCTGTGATGTCGTCGATTGCGGTGGCCACTTGCCCGTTGACGAACGCTGTGAGGGACGCAATGCATTCCCTTGCGAATCTGTCGGCGTCCTTGTTAATGAACTCCCTGCAGGCCTGAATTGGCCCACTCACCAGACGGATCTGCAGGTTGTGCAATTGGTCTTTTATTCCAGTCAACTCATATTCCAGCCTGTCTTTTTTCACATGTTCCAAGTCCCTTTTTGCCTCCCTCGTTATGGTACGAATTTCTGTGCACAGCTCCTTGAGTTTGTCCTTCACTTGGTCAACGTCCTTGTCCTTTATGGCAATGATGTCCGTGGTGATTTTTTGAATGCCATTTAAGTTTTTATCGTCAATTGTCCACGGTGTATTACCGTCAGTAAGGCCATGTTCTTTCAGCTTCTTCAGCTTATCGGTGACCTCAGTGTTCAACGTCTCTCTAAGGCTGTCAAGCTCATCGGTGATCTCCTGTACGCCACCGCCGATTTCGCCGGGTTGGTTGGACAGCGCAGTTTGTTGATTGTTAAGGTCACTATTAATTTTTGCGAGGCCTTTTTCATTTTTACTATTAACATTCCATGTTTCAGTTGCACTTAGTCCACTGTTCTGCAAATCGTTCAGCGTTGTAATGACATCACTGCCTGGCTTGCCGTGCAACTCACCTCGAAGGGTAGTGAGTTCATCTACAATTTGTTGCTTGGCATCTCCGATGGTTTTGGGATGCTGTTGAAATGACTTTTGTTGCAGCTGTTGAATTGTATTTTTAATGGCCTCAAGACCTATATTCTGTTTCATTCCGATCCTACCTTTCAACCGGCGCAGGTTGTCTAGGATGTCATCATCATTGAAGATATTTTGCACCTTGAATCCGAGATATAGAAGTTGCCACCTAATGTCACGTATAGCCTCCCCAATTGCTTTGTTTTGCTTGCCCAATTCAGTATTCTGACCTTGAAGGTCACCATGGATTTTCCCAAGACCACTGAGAGTTTGACCTTTGACATTCTTACCATTCCATGCACTCTGAGCAAGACCATGCTGTTTCAAATCTTCCAAGCTGTCGATGACACCATCATTTGGACCGCCTTTCTCTTTCTTCAACTTCTCTCTAAGCTTCTTCAGTTCCGCCTTAATTTCTTGGACGGCTTGGCCGATTGCAGCGGGTTTGTTCTGGACGTCGTTAAGTGTAAATTGCCTCGAGGCGTGCGACTTTGGGACCACTTTGGCAAGCTGAGTGTAAGCCGGCGCCAATTGTGGGACGCAAAAAGGGCGTGGCAGGTGGGATGAGGAGGCTGTTTGGGGAGTGATGGCAAGGCGACAAAGGGACAGGGGAGATGACAAAGCAGCGAGTAGGTTACATCTTAGGTTAGGTGCTTGGTCAGCCGTTTGGTTAAGTGCTAGGTAAGCAGTTCGGTTAGGCAGTGAGTTAGGTGCTAGGCAAGGCACGACTTACAGTCACCATGAAAGACGTGACATGACATGGCAACACAAATAGAGGAATGTAAATGTAATGTAGCTGCAATAATTACAATCAAGAGTGAAAGTCGTCGTCGAAGTAGTCGACGTCTTTGTAGAGCGAGAGAATCCTGCGGCTTCGGGAGAGCAGGGCCTTGACGTCGAGTTGGTGGGAGGCCGTGGAGGTGAGGAGGTGGGAGCGGATGCTTAGGACGTCGATGCGGTAGAGGAGTGAGACGAGGATGTAGGCGAGGGCGGTGAGCCAAAGTGTGAACAGGGTGAAGAGGAAGGGCGCACGGATGCGATAGAGGAACTCGGGAATGGTCTCGTGCGCCAGCTTGTGGAGAGGGTTCATCTGCTTGACGGCGACTCGGAGGGCCAGGCAGAAATCCGCGCAGGTGCGCTTGGTCTGGTGGCCGCTGGTGGATCCGGCGAGGGTGTGGACGTCCCTGAGCGCGAAGCCGTACTGGAAGAGTGTTGGCGTGGTGGCGTCGCAGTCCACGATGGAGGGGCATGAATCAAGGTGCCCTGAGCCCTGACCCATTGGCCGTCGTTTGGCTGTGCATTGGTTGTCGCAGCTCCTGGCGTGGCAGGTGGCTGAGGCGTCGGCGCAGTTGCGCTCGCAGACCTGCAGCAGTGAACAGAGCAGGTCGTAGAACGTCTCCGTGAGGTATACCACCCACGAGAGGTAGAGGTGGGCGTGTGCCTTGGAGAAGGTGGCACGGACGTCGTGGCCGAGGGGCTTGAGGTAGGGGCCGCAGGGGTGTGACGGAGCGGAGCGTGGAGTGCCGTTACACTTGACGAGTGAGAAGAGGTCTCCGGTGAGGTGAGGCATTTCCGGCACTGAGCCGTGGTTACTGGTGCGGAAGATTGTACTGACGTCCAGTGTCACGCCCCGCTGCCGGAAGCACGCGTCGCCGACGGCGTCCTCGAAGGCCGCCTTACGGTGCTCAACGCCGTCACTCCACTCACATATGAAGTTGTAGTAGAAGGCGAACAGGTCGTCTGGCGTCCGGGGCGGGCGGGTGAGGAGGCAAGTCAGGTAGCCGCAGAGCCTGGCGAGGGGCGACGATGCGCCGCCGCAGAAGGCGCCGAGGACGTCCATGATGCGTCGGCCTGTGGAGGCACGAGAGGCCAGCCTGGTAATGTTGGAGAGGCCCATGGGCGTCTTGCACGGCAGGCCGGGTGACTTGGTGTCACAGCCGGAGCATGAGACACACGTGCGGTTGGCCGACAGGCCATGCGGCAGGAAGCCCACCAGGCCATCCTCGAGGAACGACTGGAGCGGCGACTTGACGCCGCACTTGGGATGCTGGTCACAGCGTTGGTCACACATTTGGTTGTGTGTTTGGTTGCACTGTTGGTCACACATTTGGTTGGCACACTGCATTGAGTTACACCTCCACGCTGAGCCTCCGACTCCCCGGCCGTACCAGCAGTCGAGCCATCCGCCGTGTCGGGCGTTGTAGGTGCACTGGCGGTACATAAAGTAGAGCTGTTGGTGGAGGCGTCTGATCACGTCGAAGAGCAGGCAGAGCAAAGCGTCGGCGTCGGCGGGGTACAGCAGGCCTCCGGGGTTGGTGTTGAAGTCGCAGGCGTAGATGCCTCCGGCATGGCCGAAGCCTAGTAACGTGGTGAGCACTGAATGCGACCGGTGGCAGACCTCCGTGAGTGCGTCGGTGAGGGAAGTGACAGTGATGTGCTGCGGGTGAGCCTCTAGCGCCAGGCTGCTGAGGTTCATCAAGGGCACGTCGGAGTCCGAAGAGCCCTGCTCGTCCGCCTCGAACAGTGACGGCAGGGCATCATGGGTGACGTTAAGATGCACAGCGTTGTGCGGGAGCCCGCAGCACCATGTGAGCATCTCGTAGATGGAACACGGCGGCCGGGGTGAGGGATGCACCTTGAGGTGGCACGTCCTGTAGTACTGGTGGAGGTGGTTGCAGAGGCATTTGAGGAGATCTAAAAGATTACAGCCGTGTGTGAGGGGAAGGCATTCTTTGAGGTGTTCGTTGTCATGGGTCTCCTCAATCTTCTGGCTGACCAGGACAAACACGTCGCGGCCGTTGCAGTCGTCGCGCAGCTCGCCGTCCTGTAGAGTGGGAGAGGCGGAGACCTTGTAGCCGCAGCGCCTGAAAATGGCACCGAGCTTACTGCTTGCATTAATCTTCAAGTCCCTCCACTTGCCGCCTTTGCCGCACTGCTCCGCCAGCCTGGTGAAGGCGTCGCACAGTGTGGGCAGCGTGGTGAGAAAGACCTTGGCGCACTTCTCACCTTCTTCATCGGTGAACGTCTGCCCGGCGTAGGCGGAGACGTACGCACATGTGAACTCGGCGGTGAACTTTGTGAGCCCCTCCACCAGGCCGTCCAGTAGGGGACTTGAGGGCCTGGCGAAGCTCTCCGGCTTGAGGTTACTCAGCGCGTCGGTGAGGCTGCGGAGCAGTGCTTGAAGTCTGTGGTCGAAGGTATCGTTGTCTTTGAGGTACGTGAGCAACTTGGTCAGCGCGTCGTACACCTCGTTGAGCTTACTGTTGTACGGCTCCTCGGACGGCGGGAGCGAAGGATTTTCCTTCCTGTTTTGCTCGTCGGCCTCTCTTCCTATCTCCCCCAGGAGATACGTCTGTACTTGCTCATAAAGCTCCCGGAACGCAGAGGATAATTGTGGAACGCTCTCTTCACGGCCCGTGAAATCGGAACTCAAAGGGCCATACATGTATTTTATTAACCCCTTGTAGCCCAAGTAGAGATCTCTATTAATTTCATTCGGTAACTCCCGCAGCTCCTCTTCCACCTTCCGGGCGAACGCCTCCAGCAGCTCCTTGATGTTGGAGACATACTGCCGGCGTGCCTCTTTGATCAATATCTCTTCGGCTTCCTTGATTTCCTTGTTGACGAATTGTGTGAGGTATTTGATGAGTTGCGCCTTGCCGTTGTCGAGGAATTTTAGAAAGCCTCTCACCTCTGCTATCACAGGCCTCACCTGCTCGCTCAGCAGATCACTAAATTTGTGTTTTATTTTTGTCAAGTCGCCGATCAGATTATCCTTTACCTCCTTTAATTTCTCTCTCACATCTTCCGCGTTATGCTTCACGGCACTGCACAGGGCGACGAGATGATACTTGACGTTATCGACGTCAACGTCCTTTATGGCAACGATGTCTGCGGTGATTTTAGTGAGGCCTGTTTTGAAATCACTATCATTCCATGGTTGGTCTCCTTTTTCAAGGCCATGCTCTCTCAGCTTCTTGAGCTTATCGGTGACGTCAGTGTTCAACTGCTTCTGAAGCTTTTTAAGCTCTTCGGTGATTTGGGTGACGCCTTGGTCTATTTCACCGGGTTGATCCTTCAAATTTTGTTGTTGAGAATTAAGGTCACTATTAATTTTTGCGAGGCCTTTTTCATTGTGTTCTTTTTTCCAGTCACCGCCGCCAAGTCCAGTGTCCCTCAGATCCTCCAGTGACTTTATGACATCCTTGTCCTTGGTGCCTTGCAACTCACCTTGAAGGGCAGTGAGTTCTCGTTTGATTGCTGAGTTGGCTTCATCGATTTCTCTGGGTTTATTAGTAAATTGCTCCTTTTGCAGCTTTTTAATCTCATCATGAATCCGTTGAACAGTTCCATCCCTGGGATTGTTTTTTCCAATTGTTTTTCCCAACCATGTCAACTCGTCTGTGAGATCATCAGTGATGTAATCATGTTTCAACGCAATTCCGATCCTGGCAAGTTCACCCCTAATTTCAAGTATGGCATCATTTATGACCTTTGTTTGTCCGGGTAATATCTCATTCTGCTCTTTAAGGTCCTCCTGGATTTTCCCAAGGCCACTGAGAGTTTGACCGTTGACATTTATTGGACTCCAACCCGCCTTATCACCAAGCCCATTCTCTTTCAAATCATCCAACACGTCAATAACGCCATTTTCTGTCCCACCATTTTGCTCTTTCTTCAACTTCTCTCTAAGCACTTCAAGCTCCTTCCTAATTGCTTGGACGGCTGTGCCAATGGCTTCGGGTTTGTTTTCGATGTCGTTAAGTGTAAATTGCCTCGAGGCCGTTGACTTTTAGACCACTTTGGCAACCTGAGTGTAGGTGGACGCCATTTGTGGGACGCAAAAAGGGCGTGGCAGGTGGGATGAAGCAGGCTTCTTTGGGAGCGACGGCAAGGCGACAAAGGGACAGGGGAGATGACAAAGCAGCGAGTAGGTTACATCATAGGTTACGTGCTAGGTGGGCCGTTTGGTTAAGCGCTTGTTTGGCCGTTTGGTTAAGTGCTAGGTAAGCAGTTTGGTTAAGTGGTGAGTTAGGTGCTAGGTCAGCCTCTTGGTTAGTCAGTGAGTTAGGTGCTAGGCAAGGCACGAGATACAGTCACCATGAGAGACGTGACACGACATGGCAACACAAAGAGAGTAATGCAATGCGAATGTAGCTACGATAATTACCGTCATGAGTGAAAGTCATCGTCGAAGTAGTCGACGTCCTTGTAGAGTGAGAGCATCCTGCGGCTGCCGGCGAGCAGCGCCTTGACGTCGATGAGGTGGGATGCCCTGGTGGTGAGTAGGTGGGATCGTATGTGCATAACGTCCATGCGGTAGAGGAGGGAGTGGAGAATGTAGAGCGTGGCGGTGAGCCAGAGTGTGAACAGGGTGAAGAGGAAGGGGGCACGGATGCGATAGAGGTACTCGGGGATGGTGTCGTGCGCCAGCCTGTGGAGAGGGTTCATTTGCTTGAGGACGATTTGCAGTGCTGTGCAGAAATCCTCGCAGGTCCGCTTGGTTCGGTAGCCGCTGGTGGATCCGGCGAGGCTGTGGACGTCCCTGAGCGCGAAGCCGTACCGGAAGAGTGTGGGCGTGATGGAGTCGCAGTCCGCGATGGAGAGGCATGATTCAAGGTGCTCGGAGTCCGGGGCCATGGGAAGACGCTTGGCTGGGCATTGGTTGTCGCAGCTGTTGGCGTGGCAGGTGGACGTGGCGTCGGCGCAGTTGCGCTCGCAGTCTTGGAGCAGTGAACAGAGCAGGTCGTAGAACGTCTCCGTGAGGTACACCACCCAGGATAGGTAGAGGTGGGCGTGTGCCTTGGCGAAGGTGGCGCGGACGTCGTGGCCGAGGGGCTTGAGGTAGGGGCCGCAGGGGTGTGGCGGAGCGGAGCGTGGACTGCCGTTGCACTCGACGAGTGAGAAGAGATCTCCGGTGAGGTGAGGCATTTCCGTCTCGGGGCCGTGGCTGCTAGTGCCGAAGACTGTACTGACGTCCAGTGTCACGCCCCGCTGCCAGAAGCACGCGTCGCCGACGGCGTCCTCGAAGGCCGCCTTACGGTGCTCGCCGCTACTGCGCCACTCAGATATGAAGTTGAAGTAAAAGGCGAACAGCTCGTCTGGCGTCCGTGGCGGGCGAGTGAGGAGGCAAGTCAGGAAGCCGCACAGCCTGGTGAGGGGCGACGATGCGCCGCCGCAGAAGGCGCCGAGGACGTCCATGATGCGTCGGCCTGTGGAGGCACGAGAGGCCAGCCTGGTAATGTTGGAGAGGCCCATGGGCGTCTTGCACGGCAGGCCGGGTGACTCAGTGTCACATCCGGAGCATGAGACACAGGTGTCCTTGGGCGACAGCTGGTGAGGGAGGAAGCCCACCAGGCCGTCCTCGAGGAACGACTGGAGCGGCGACTTGACGCCGCACTTTGGATGTTGCTCACAGCTTAGGTTACATATTTGGTTGTGTGTTTGGTTGCACTGTTGGTCACATATTTGGTTGGCACACTGCATGATGTTGCACTTCCATGACGATCCTCCGACTCCCCGGCCGTACCAGCAGTCGAGCCAACCGCCGTGCCGGGCGTTGTAGAGGCACCGGCGGTAGAGGAAGAAGAGCTGGTGGTGGAGGCGTCTGAGGACGTCGAAGAGCAGGCAGAGCAAAGCGTCGGCGTCGCCGGGGTAGAGCAGGCCTTGCGGGTTGGTGTTGAAGTCGCAGGCGTAGATGCCTCCGGCATGGCCGAAGCCTAGTAACGTGGTGAGCACTGAATGCGACTGGTGGCACACCTCCGTGAGTGCGTCGGTGAGGGACGCTGGTGTTATGTTCCGCGGGTGGGCCTTCAGCGCCAGGCTGCTGAGGTTCATCAAGGGCACGTCGGAGTCCGAAGAGCCCTGCTCGTCCGCCCCGAACAGCGAGGGCATGGCATCATGGGTGACGGTCAGATGCACGGGATTGTGCGTAAGCCCGCAGCACCATGTGAGCATCTCGTAGATGGAACACGGCGGCCGGGGTGAGGGATGCAGTTTGAGGTGGCACGTCCTGTAGTACTCAGTGAGGTGCGTGCAGAGGCATTTGAGGAGCTGTAAGAGATTACAGGCGTGTTGGAGGGACAGGCATTTTTTGAGGTGTTCGTTGTTCTCTGTCTCCTCAATCTTCTGGCTGACCAGGACATACACGTCGCGACCGTTGCACTCGTCGCGCAGCTCGCCGTCCTGCAGAGTTGGAGAGGTGGAGACCTTGTAGCCGCAGCGGTGGAGGAATTTGCCAAGCTGGCTGCTTGAATTAATCTTCAAGTCCCTCCACTTGCCGCCTTTGCCGCACTGCTCCGCCAGCCTGGTGAAGGCGTCGCACAGTGTGGGCAGCATGGTGAGAAAGACCTTGGCGCACTTCTCACCTTCTTCATCGGTGAACTGTGCGCCGGCGTAGGCGGAGACATACGCACATGTGAACTCGGCGGCGAACTTTGTGAGCCCCTCCACCAGGCCGTCCAGCAGGGGAGTTGAGGGCCTGGCGAAGCTCTCCGGCTTGAGGTGACTCAGCGCGTCGGTGAGGCTGCGGAGCAGGGCTTGGAGTCGGTGGTCGAAGGTATCCTCAGTTCTAATGTATTCAAGTAACGCATTCAATGAGAGTGTGACTCTTACAAGTTTGTCAGTGTAGAGCGTTTCCGGTTCTTGGGGCACAGGGTTTTTCTTCTTGCTCTCCTCGCTGTGCACTCTCCTGATCTCTTTGTGGATGTACGCTTTAAGCTCACCGTAAAAGTGCATGAACACTGCAGCCAATTTTTTGAACACTCTCTCCTTCGGCTCAGTTGGCAGAGTCCTCACAAACTCTTCGAACTTCTCAAATTCCCCTTGTGCACCTGCAACTTGAGTCTCCGGCTTCCCTTCAACCTGTTTCATAAACCCTTTATATCCTATATGCAGATCCCCGTTTATTAACGGAGGCAAGGGACTTAATTCCTCTTCCACCTTTTGGGCGAACAGCTTCAAAAGCTCCTTGATGTTGGAGAGATATTGTCGGCGTGCCTCCCTGATCAATGTCTCTTCGGCTTCTTTGATCTCCTGGTTGACGAATTGTGTGAGGTATTTGATGAGTTGCGCTTTGCCGTTAACGATGAAACTTAAAAGGGATCTGAGGTCTTTTATGGGACCATCCACCAGACTTTTGTGCAGTTGGCGTATACTGTGTTTTATTTTTGTCAACTCGCCGACCAAATTTTCTTTCACTTCTTTTAAAATGTCTCTGAGATCTCTTGCGTTGTGTCTTATTGCACTGCAAAGGGCGACGAGATGATACTTGACGTTATCGACGTCCTTGTCCTTTATGGCAACGATGTCTGCGGTGATTTTAGTGAGGCCTGTGAGAGACTGATTGTTCATTGTCCACGGTGTACTACCGTCAGTAAGGCCATGGTCTTTCAGCTTCTTGAGCTTATCGGTGACATTGTTCTGTAAATCTTTCTGAAGCTTTGTAAGCTCCGTGGTGATCTCTTGGACGCCGCCGCCTATTTTTTCAGGTTGACTGGACAACGTAGTTTGTTGACCTTTGAGATCATTTTCGATGTTTTTAATGCCATTCTTGTTTTTCCACTGCTTATCACTTAGTCCAGTGTCCCTCAGATCCTTCAGCGTCCCGATGACGTCGTCGCCTGGTTGAGACCCTTGCAGCAAACCTTGAAGGGTAGTGAGTTCATCTTTAATTGCTGAGTTGGCGTTTTCGATGTCTGTGGGTTTCTGAGTAAACACACCGGATTGCAGGGCACTAATAACATCATGAATTTTCTGCACGTTGAGACTATATCCATTTGCGCTTTTGCCTTTACCAATATAGTTTGCTAACTGTTTCAAGTGATCCATGATATCATGATCAGTGTGGACATTATTCAGCTTGATGCCGATCCTTGCAAGCTCACCTTTGATTTCCTTTATAGCCGTATCGATGCTTTTCGTTTGCACCGGTAATATAGCATTCTGAGTTTTAAGTCGCTCCTGGATTATTGCTAGACCCTTGGTAGTTTTCCAGTCTCCATTATCAATAGTCCAATGGCCACCAAGCCCCTTCTCTTTCAAATCTTGCAAAGCGTTGACAACGGCAGTTTTATCACTATCACCGTCTTTCTTCAACTTCCCTCTAAGCTCTCCAAGCTGCGCCTTAATTGCTTTGACGGCTTTCTAGATTTCATCGGGTTGACATTCGATGTCGTTAAGTGTAAATTGCCTCGAGGCCTTTGACTTTTAGACCACTTTGGCAAGCTGAGTGTAGGTCGACGCCATTTGTGGGACGCAAAAAGGCCGACGCAGGTGAGGGACGGCTGGCGCCGGCAGGAGTGAGGAGGATGAGCTAACATCTGGTCAAAAAGGTAGGACGGGAAGTGGATTGCGCTATTGATAGGTGACTCAGTGACTGTATTGAAAACGATTAGTATGTTATTTTAGAGGTGGAAGAGGGGCGTGGTAGGAGGCGTCAGCGTCATTCATTCAGTGTAAAGGTGGGATGAGGAGGCTGTTTGGGGAGTGACGGCAAGGCGACAAAGGGAGGAGGGAAAAGGCAAAGCAGCGAGTAGGTTACATCATAGGTTATGTGCTAGGTGAGCCGTTTGGTTACATGTTAGGTAAGGCGTTTGGTTAGGCAGTGAGTTGGGTGCTAGGCAAGGCACGAGATACAGTCACGATGAGAGACGTGAGATGGCACGGCAACACAACACAAGCAATGTAAATATTAATGTAGCTACGATAATTACTATCACGAGTGAAAGTCGTCGTCGAAGTAGTCGATGTCCTTGTAGAGCGAGAGCATCCTGCGGCTTCCGGCGAGCAGCGCCTTGACGTCGATGAGGTGGGAGGCCCTGGTGGTGAGGAGGTGGGAGCGGATGTGGAGGACGTCGATGCGGTAGAGTAGTGAGTGGGCGATGTAGAACGTGGCAGTGAGCCAGAGTGTGAACAGGGTGAAGAGGAAGGGGGCACGGATGCGATAGAGGTACTGGTCACACTGGTCGAAGAGATGTGTGAAGTGGTCGGAGTGTAGGACTTGGCTGAGCTGCTTGGCGAAATTACGGCAATATTTTCTGTTATTGCCGTGCAAGGCTCTCGTGTTTCCAAATGTAAATCCGTATGCGTGGAACGTCGGCAGGACGCCGTGACAGCTCACCAGTGCCTTGCACTTGCAGTTGAGGTCGACGCCATGTTGGCCCGGGTTGCAGGGACACGTCGAGCACCCGGAGCTTGCGCAGTCAATGTCTTGAAAGGCGTTGAGGAATTGCTGGAGCAGCTCCCAGAATCGCCATGCGGTGTAGATGACCCACGACACATATACCTCCGCGTGCTTCTCGGGGAAGGTGTGGTAGGCGTGGAAGGAGAGCGGTTGGAGGTAGGGGGCGCAGGTCAGTGAGTCGGCGCACCGCGACCGGACGGTGAGACTCGACAGGTCCGAGTGGGTGGCTTGTAAGGTGTTAGTGACAGCGTCCGTTGGGGATGCGCCACTGTGGTCGTCGGCGGAATAGTATAATCTGGTGAGGGCGTCGGTCAGCTGCGCCGCCTCGGTGGTGGGACAGAGGTACAGAGAGACGCTGGGGATTGCCGCAGTGCTCAGGTGACCAGTGAAGTGGACGTTGTCAACGTACTCAGCGGACTGCCGGCACCGGAACACGTTGCAGTAGAACGCAAACATGTCACCGAGACTTTGAGGCGGCGAGGGGTCAATTGACGACAGGCAACGTAATAGTGTTGGCAGGGGCGACTCGGCACCACTGCACAGGGCGGTGAGCACGGCGCATATTTGCTCACCACTGCCGACAATAGACGCCGCCTCTGTCAGGTCCCAGAAGCCCATGGGCGTGACACAGGGCATGCCGGGGGATGCGATAGAACACGTGTCGCACTGCGAGTCACAACCGACGGAGGCCAACTTATGCGGTAGGAAGCCCGCCAGATGGTCCATCAAATGGGCCTGTAGCGGGGATTTTGGTTGGCACGTTGACTGGCACATAGGTTGGCCATTTGGTCGGCACGTTGGTCGGCCATTTGGTTCACACATTAAGTGCTTGTTACATTGCCAGCTGGCGGCGGGGACGCTTCTGCCGTACTGGCAGTCGCGCCAGCCGTGGCCCGTGGCAGCATCATATTTGCATCGTGCGCGCAAAAAGTTGAGTGCAAGTAGCAAACATTTACATAAATGAGTCAGCATATGTAACAAATCGGCGAGGTCTGAGGGGTAGTGGAGGCCGCGTGAGTTGTCCCAGAAGTTGCAGGCGTAGGGGTAGTCGGCGTGGTCGAAGCCTCTGCCGTTACCGCAAATGGTGGTGAGCAGGGCGCTGCAGCGGTGCGTGACAAGGCTGAGTGCGCCTGGGATGGATCCCAAGCAATGCTTGACCACTGCATCACCCTCGCCCCTGAACAGGACGTTGCAATGCGCCTGCACGCGCTCATAGAGCACGGAGTAAGGAAGCCCTGCGAACCACGCGAGAATGTCCCTGACGGTGCCGGGGTATTTGGGTGATGGAGGAATGTGCAGGTGGCAGGCACGCAGGTAGCACTTGAGGTATTCGTGGAGTTCGTCGAGAGGCTCCATGATATTATCGGTGAGCTCTCTAATCTTCTGGCCGCTGCAGTCACTGTCGTTCCGCAGCTCGCCGTCCGGAACGCCCGCCGAGGTGACCCGGTAGCCGCGTTGCTGGAGGAAGGCGCCCAGGGGGGTGAAGGGGTTTATTAATTTATCTGACCACTCATCTGCGCAATGCATTCTGAGCTCGTTCAAATCGCGGAACAGCGTGTCGGTTATTGTCAGCAGAACGAAGGCGCATTTTTCGCCGTCCGTCGTCACCCTGCTGTTCCGCGCGTCGACTAGCACGCGGCCCTCAAACGCCCCGTCGTATGTGGAGATGTACACCGTTCTCAGTTCCTTCTCAAACTTGTCCGCTGCCTCCGCCACGCCGTCGAGTATCGGAGTTGTGACTTTGGCGAATTTCTCCGGTCGCAGGGCTCCGACTGCCTCGGCGAGTTTATCGAGCATTTCAGGTAATCTTCGGTCGAAACGTTTCCCCCTGCCGATGTGCTCCAGCAACTCCTCGAGCGCGTGGGTGACGCCGTAAAGCCTCTCGGCGTAGTGATCCTCTGACTGCGGGAGTGACGGATTCTTCTTTTTACTCTCCTCGCTGTGCACCCTCCTGATCTCTGTGCTGATGTATCCCGAGAGCGCCAGGTGGAACCGCTTGAAGCCTGTGGACAGGGCCTCGAGTTGCAGCGTACCCTTTAGAGGGGAGATGTGAGACTCGAAGCGTTGCTGGAAATCATACATGAACCCCTTATACCCTATCTGGAGATCCTCGTTTATTAACGGGGGTAAGGGAGTTAATTCTTCCTCCACCTTCCGGGCGAACGCCTCCAGCGCCTCCTTGATGTTGGAGACACATTGCCGGCGTACCTCTTTGATCAATATCTCTTCGGCTTCCTTGATTTCCTTGTCGACGAAAGCGTGGAGGTCTGCGATAATTCTTTTAGCGGCCTCGTCGGCGTATTTATCAAACTTCTTGAGTAATTGAATGACATTGTCCAGCGGGCCGAAGTACAAATCGTAAAGGTCACTGTAAATTTTCTTCATCTCTTCGTCAAGCATTATCTCCTTGACCTCTTTTAATACAAACGCCAAGCTTCTTGCTTCATGCTTGATATCACTTAAGAGCATTTTGAGTTTGTCCTTCACGTCCTCAACGTCCTTGTCCTTTATGGCAATGATGTCTGCGGTGATTTTAGCGAGGCCTTTTGCAGAGTTGTTGTCAATTGTCCAAGTTTGTCCATTGCCAAGGCCATGGTTTTTCAAGTCATCCAGCTTTTCGGTGACTTCAATGTTCAACGTGTCTCTAAGTTTGTCAAGCTCAGTGGTGATTGACTGGACGCCACCGCCGATTTGTTCGGGTTGTTGTCCTAACGTATTTTGTTGAGTGCTAAGATCATTTTCGATGTTACTGAGGCTTTTATTTTTTCCAGCTGCATTTTTATCCCACTTCTGTCCATTTAGCCCACTGGTCTGCAAATCGTTCAGCGTTGTAATGACATCTTCGCCTGGCGTGGAGCCTTGCAGCACACCTCGAAGGGTATTGAGCTCTTTTACAATTTCTTGCTTGGCTTGATTAATAGTGTTAGGATACTGTTTAAACGGCCAATCTTGCAACCAATAAAGTGTATAATAAATGTCGTTAAGATTGTCCCCATCTTTATACTTATTTTTGCCAAGTTTCCTGTCCAAGCGCCGCAAATTGTCAAGGACGTCATCATTGACGCGATCATCATTCAACCTGAATCCGATCAATCTAAGTTGCCAATTAATTTCTTTTACAACTATGTCGAGAGCGTTTTCAATGATTTTCGTTTGTCCGGGTAATATAGCATTTTGCTCCTTGAGTCGCATTTGGATTTTTTTAAGCCCCATGGCTTTTTTATCTTCAGATGTCCACGCACTATTACCATCTTCAAGGCCATAATTTCTAAAGTTTTGCAACTTGTCAATAACGCCAAGTTCACCACCGTTCTCTTTCTTCAACTTCCCTCTAAGGTCTTGAAGCTCCACCTTAATTTGGGTGACGGCTTGGCCAATTTCATTGGCTTGTGGTACATACGTCTTTTCATGCAGACTCTTAATCTCTTCATGGATTTTTGCAAGACCTTTGACAGTGTCTTTAGGAATTCCATCTGCTTTGCCTTTAAGACTAACAGATTCTGTCTCCTTAAGCATATCCCCCAAATCCTCCAACCGCTGCTTGACGCCATATTCATCTGGCTTGCTGGGCAGCGTCTTCCTCTTGCTGCTGTCGACACGCTCGGCGATCTCTTGGAGTTCTTTTTCGATTGTGGAGACGTGAGTGCCGACTTCACGTTTTTGTGGATCGACATTTTCGTCTTTGAGTTGTTCCTTGAAACCCTGCATCTTCGTGAAGTCCGACAGGGAATTTTTAATGTCCTCGTTAATTAGCTTTTTATACAGGCTGTTGCCACCTGCTGCGGCTGTATCTTTCCTTGCGATGTATGTTGTCATAGCTTTTTCAACGGTTACGCCAGAACCATCATCGTCCTTCATTCCCTTGTTGACTTCCCCCTCAATCCCCTGAACGCTCTCCAAAATTTTATTCTGGCCTTGGCTGAGAGATGCGGAGCTTGGATCATTTTTTGCCACTTTCTCCGCCTCTCCCAGATTCTTGTCAAGCTCCCTTGTCTCCTCAACTACTTTATCCAATTCCTGTGCGATGCATTTGTCGCCCACCCTATTTTCCAGGAAGACAGATTTAAGTTCCTCGCCGACCTGACTAGCGGTAGCGGAGAGACAAATTAACGCGGCTTGTATGGCGGGATGGATTGCAGCTTTATAATTGGTGCCGCCGTAACTCCTCGGTCCACCCTCACTGGCAATTTTATCGTATATCTCCTGGGCAAGCTTCTGAATTCCATCGGACGCTAGTTTGTTATCAAGCCCTTTTACAAATTCCTCACATGCATTTTTGACAGATGTAATGGTTTGCGTGATTTGGCCATCAGTTTGCTGGACCTGCGTTCTGCCTGCCTCAATTTCACTATGAAGCTTCGTCTTAATCTGGTCGATAATTTTATTACTCCATACAAACTGCATTACAGAACCATCCAGCAGCCTCACCGCTTGGTCCCCATTCCCGCCCCTCTCATTAACATACTGTCCAAGCCACGGTTTAATTTCCTTTTTATCGTGTGGCTTGTTATTTCCCAAAATTCCTTCTGCCCATCCGCCTACTATCCTTTTAAAGCTCCACGCCTCGCTGAATGCATTCGCGTAGCTGCTAATCAACGCGTTTGCAACAGCTTCAATACCGCTGCCATTCGTCCATTTATCATCCTTCCCCTTTGTCCCTTTCTCCCCCTTAATCTCTCCCACTTGCGTCTTTATTTCACCAAGCATCCCACCAACATGTTCTTTCATATTCTTCACAATCTCTCTCTGCAGCCTCACCAAATCATCTTTCATGCCCTTTTCCAAATCTTCAACGGCCCCTCTAACTTGACCATCCAAAGCGCTCACCTTAGTAAACGTCTCCTTGTAAGCGTTCAAAAGGCTCTCAGCCTTTTCTTTCAACTTGTTAGCATTCTGATGAATTTCTGTTTTTTGCGGGTTATCCTTATGAACTCTCTGCATGATCTCGTCACACTTCCCCTCCGCCTTGGTAATAACATCCTTGGCCGCAGCCCTCCACTTACCTAAGGCCGTAACTTCGGTGCCAAGCTGTGTATTTGCCTGTATAATTAAGCTGTTATTATCTTCAATGTTCTTAATTTTCTCACCAAGCGGCTTCTTTATGTCACTATCTACAAGATGATCATGAACTTCCTTCGCCTTTTGAATCGCCCCGCCAAGCACTGTCCCAGCCTGCTGCTTCCACGCTCCCAAACTACTAAGATGGTTTTCAAGGCTCTTATTAACTTCTTTAATTGCCTTATTAGCATCTACAATCTTCTTTACATTCAGATCCAGAGTCTCATTAACCTTCAACTTGTCGTAGGCTTCCTTAGCCTTTTTCTCCGCCGCAGCACGGATTTTCTCAGCGTCGGTGATCCAAGAATTCAAGGAGGTAACATGATGAAGGAGAGTGTCATTTGCGGTGTTAATTGCAACAATGTGATCACAAATCACTGCCGCCTTATGACATCACGATCACCGCCAGGCCAGGATGACGGCAGACAGCTGCTGAGGTGGATGACCAAGGCGGCAAGCAAGGGGCTAATCAGAGGATCGAGTAGGTTAGGTGGTAGGTTACATGTTAGGTAAGCAGTTAGGTTAGGTGCTTGGTTTGACGTTTGGTTATGTGCTAGGTAAGCCGTTTGGTTAGGTGCTAGGTGAGCCATTTGGTCATGTGCTAGGTGAGCCATTTGGTCATGTGCTAGGTGAGTGGTTTGGTCAAGCAGTGAGTTAAGTGCTAGGTGAGCCACTTGGTTAGGCAGTGAGTTAGGTGCTAGGCAAGGCACGAGATGCAGTCACGATGAGAGACGTGAGATGACACGGCAACACAACACAAAGAGAGGAATGTAAATGTAATGTAGCTAAGATAATTACTATCACGAGTGAAAGTCGTCGTCGAAGTAATCGACGTCCTTGTAGAGCGAGAGCATTCTCCTGCTGCCGGCGAGCAGCGCCTTGACGTCGATGAGGTGGGAGGCCCTGGTGGTGAGTAGGTGGGAGCGGATGCGCAGGACGTCCATGCGGTAGAGGAGTATGACGAGGATGTAGAGCGTGGCGATAGACCAGAGTGCGATGATGGCGAAGAGGAAGGGCGCACGGATGCGATAGAGGAACTCGGGGATGGTCTCGTGCGCCAGCCTGTGGAGAGGGTTCATCTGCTTGACGGCGACTTGCAGTGCTGTGCAGAGATCCTGGCAGGTCCGCTTGGCTGGGTGGCCGCTGGTGGAGCCGGCGAGGCTGTGGACGTCCCTGTGCACGAAGCCGTACCGAAAGAGTGTGGGCGTGGTACAGTCGCAGTCCGCGATGGAGAGGCAGTCGGCAGTGTGATTGGAGCTCGGGGCCATGGGAAGACGCTTGGCTGGGCAGTGGTCGGCGCAGCTGTTGGCGTGGCAGTTGGACGTGGCGTCGGCGCAGGTGCGCTCGCAGTCCTGGAGCAGTGCACAGAGGATGTCGTAAAAGGTCTCGGTCAGGTACACCACCCAGGAGAGGTAGAGGTGGGCGTGCTCCTTGGCGAAGGTGGCGCGTACGTCGTGGCCGAGTGGCTTGAGGTAGGGGCCGCAGGGGTGTGACGGAGCGGAGCGAGGAGTGCCGTTGCACTCGACGAGTGAGAAGAGATCGCCGGTGAGGTGAGGCATATTTGTGGCAGTGCCATGGTCACTGGTGCTGAAGATTGTACTGACGTCCAGTGTCACGCCTCGCTGCCAGAAGCACGCGTCGCCGACGGCGTCCTCGAAGGCCTCCCTCCGGTGCTCGCCGCTGCTACGCCAGTCACATATGAAGTTGAAGAAAAAAGCGAATAGTTCATCTGGCGTCCGTGGCGGGCGAGTGAGGAGGCAACTCAGGAAGCTGCACAGCCTGGTGAGGGGCGACGATGCGCCGCCACAGAAGGCGCCGAGAACGTCCATGATGCGTCGGCCTCGGGAGGCACGGGAGGCCAGCCTGGTAATGTTGGAGAGGCCCATGGGCGTCTTGCACGGCAGGCCGGGCGACGTAGTGTCACAGCCGGAGCACTGGACACAGGTGTCCTTGGGGGACACGTCATGCGGCAGGAAGCCCACCAGGCCATCCTCGAGGAACGACTGGAGCGGCGACTTGACGCCGCACTTGGGATGTTGGTCACAGCGTTGGTTACATATTTGGTCGCCTGTTTGGCTGGCCTCATGAGGGCACTGCTGGTTGGCACACTGCATGGTGTTGCACTTCCAACTGGAGCCACCGACGCCGCGGCCGTACCAGCAGTCGCGCCATCCGCCGTGCCGGGTGTTGTAGGTGCACCGGCGGTAGAGGAAATAGAGCTGGTGGTGGAGGCGTTTGATGACGTCGAACAGCAGGCAGAGCAAAGCGTCGGCGTCGCCGGGGTAGAGGAGGCCTCCCGGGTTGGTGTTGAAGTCTACGGCGTAGATGCCTCCGGCATGGCCGAAGCCTAGTAACGTGGTGAGCACAGTATGCGATTTATGGCACACCTCTGTGAGTGCGTCGGTGAGGGACGCCGGTGTTATGCTCTGCGGGTGGGCCTTAAGCGCCAGGCTGCCGAGGTCAGTGAGGGACACTTCGGATTCCCCGGCGTCCGGCTCCTCCGCCTCGAACAGCGACGGCAGGGCATCATGAGTGACGCTCAGGTACACGGCGTTGTGCGGGAGCCCGCAGCACCATGTGAGCATCTCGTAGATGGAACACGGCGGCCGGGGTGAGGGATGCACCTTGAGGTGGCACGTCCTGTAGTACTGGTGGAGGTGCGTGCAGAGGCATTCGAGCTGCTGTAAGAGATTACAGGCGTGTGTGAGGGACAGGCATTTTTTGAGGTGTTCGTTGTTCTCTGTCTCCTCAATGTTCTGGCTGACCAGGACATACACGTCGCGGCCGTTGCACTCGTCGCGCAGCTCGCCGTCCTGAAGGATGGAAGAGCTGGAGACCTTGTAGCCGCAGCGCTGGAGGAACGTGCCGAGTTTACTGGTTGAATTAATGCTCAGATCCCTCCAGCCTGCAGCACCGCCTTTGCCGCACTGCTCCCACAGCCTGTTGAAGGCGTCGCACAGTGTGGGCAGCAGGGTGAGGAAGACTTTCGCGTACTTCTCACCTTGACCGTCGGTGAACTGTGCGCCCGAGTAGGTGGAGACATACGCACATGTGAACTCGGCGGCGAACTTTGTGAGCCCCTCCACCAGGCCGTCCAGCACGGGGGTAGAGGGCCTGGCGAAGCTCTCAGGTCGCAGGTGACTCAGCGCCTCGGTGAGGCTGCGGAGCAGCGCTTGGAGTCTGTGGTCGAAGGTATCGTTGTCCTTGAGGTAAGTGAGCAACTTGGTCAGCGCGTCGTACACCTCGTTGAGCTTACTGTTGTACGGCTCCTCGGACGGCGGGAGCGAAGGATTTTTCTTCCTGTTTTGCTCGTCGGCCTCTCTTCCTATCTCCCCCAGGAGATACGTCTGTACTTGCTCATAAAGCTCCCGGAACGCAGAGGATAATTGTGGAACGCTCTCTTCACGGCCCGTGAAATCGGAACTCAAAGGGCCATACATGTATTTTATTAACCCCTTGTAGCCCAAGTAGAGATCTCTGCTAATTTCATTCGGCAACTCCTGAAGCTCCTCGCGGACCTTGGAAGCAAAGGCCTCCAGCGCCTCCTTGATGTTGGAGACATACTGCTGCTTGGCGAAGGCTGTTAGGTCCTCGATTGCGGTGTCCACTTGGCCGTCGACGAACGCTGTGAGGAACGCAATGCACTCCCTTCCGAACTTGTCGGCGTCCTTGTTAATGAACTCCTTGCAGGCCTGCATTGGCCCACTCACCAGACGGATCTGGAGCTTACGGAGATTCTCTTTTATCCCAGTCAACTCATACTCCAGCCTGTCTTTTTTCACATGTTCCAAGTCCCTTTTTGCCTCCCTCGCTAAGGTACGAATTTCTGTGCACAGCTCCTTGAGTTTGTCCTTCACGTCCTTAACGTCCCTGTCCTTTATGGCTTCGATGTCCGTGGTGATTTTAGTGAGGCCTTTTTCAAAACCATTGTCATTCCATTTTTCATTACCGTCAGTAAGGCCACTGTCTTTCAGCTTCTTGAGCTTCTCGGTGACGTCATCGTTCAACGTCACTCTAAGCCTGTTAAGCTCATTGGTGATTGACTGGGCGCCTTCATTGATTATTCCGGGCTGAGAGGACAACGTAGTTTGTTGAGTGTTAAGGGCATCTTCGATGCTTTTGAGGCTTTTATTATTTCCATGCTCATTTTTATCCCACTTGTTTCCACTTAGCCCAGTGTTCTGCAAATCTTGCAAAGTGGTAATGACATCTTCACCTTGGGTGCCTTGCAAGTCATTTCGAAGCTTCCCAAGTTCATCTACAATTTGTTGCTTGGCATCTCCGATGGCTGTGGATTTATTAACAAACGGATCGTCGTGAAGGTGTTTAATTGCATTATGAATTCCGTGAAGATTTCCATTTTCTGCTTTACCTTGGCCAATCTTTTCTTTTAGCTTTTTTAAATTGTCCATAACGTCCTCCTCGGTGTTTAGGTTTTCCAACTTGTATCCGATCTTTGCAAGTTCCAACTTAATTTTTCTTACGAGTATGGTCATGTTATCTCCAATAATTTTGGTTTGCTTGCCCAGTTGCTTATTCTGCTCATTAAGTTCCCCTTCGATTTTCCCAAGGCCACTGACCTTTTGAGCTTTGCCGTTCGGTGTCCAAGCATTTTGCTCAGTGCCAAGGCCCTCCTCCTTCATGTATTCCAGTCTTTTAATGACATCCTCGCCATTTTCATTCTTCAACTTCCCTCTAAGCTCTTCAAGCTGCTGCCTAATTGCTGTGACGGCTTTCTCAATTGCTTCGGGTTGACATTCGATGTCGTTAAGTGTAAATTGCCTCGAGGCCTTTGGCTTTTAGACCACTTTGGCAACCTGAGTGCAGGTCGACGCCATTTGTGGGACGCAAAAAGGGCGTGGCAGGTGAGGGACGGCTGGCAGCCAACGAAGTGAGGAAGATGAGCTAACATTTGCTCAAAAAGGTAGGGGTGGATGTGGATTGCGCTATTGATAGGTTACCCAGTGATGGCGTTAGTGGCAATTGTATAGGCATTTTAGAGCAGCAGGAGGGGCGTCGTAAGAGGCGTCAGCGTCATTCATTCAGTGTAAAGGTGGGATGAGGAGGCTGTTTGGGGAGTGACGGCAAGGCGACAAAGGGAGGAGGGAAAAGGCAAAGCAGCGAGTAGGTTACATGTTTGGTTAGGTGCTAGGTAAGGCATTTGGTTATGTGCTAGGTAAGCCGTTTGGTTAGTCAGTGAGTTACGTGCTAGGCAAGGCACGAGATACAGTCACGATTAAAGACGTGACATGACACGGCAACACAAGGAATGTAATGTAATGTAGCTACGATAATTACCATCATGAGTGAAGGTCGTCGTCGAAGTAATCAACGTCACGGTAGAGCGAGAGCATCCTGCGGCCGGTGGAGAGCAGCGCCTTGACGTCGATGAGGTGGGAGGCCTTGGTGGTGAGGAGGTGGGAGCGGATGCGCAGGACGTCCATGCGGTAAATGAGTGAGTGGAGGATGTAGAGCGTGGCGATGAGCCAGAGTGCGATGAGGCAGAAGAGGAAGGGGGCACGGATGCGATAGAGGTACTCGGGGATGGTCTCGTGCGCCAGCTTGTGGAGAGGGTTCATTTGCTTGACGGCGACTTGGAGGGCCATGCAGAAATCCTCGCAGGTCCGCTTGCCTTGGTGGCCGCTGGTGGATCCGGCGAGGCTGTGGGCGTCCCTGAGCGCGAAGCCGTAGTGGAAGAGTGTGGGCGTGATGGAGTCGCAGTCCACGATGGAGGGGCATGAATCATGGTGCTCGGAGCTCGGGGCCAGTGGCCGTCGCTTGGCTGTGCATTGGTTGTCGCAGCTCCTGGCGTGGCAGGTGGCTGAGGAGTCGGCGCAGGTGCGCTCGCAGTCCTGGAGCAGTTGCTTAAGCAGGTCGTAGAAAGTCTCCGTGAGGTACACCACCCAGGATAGGTAGAGGTGAGCGTATTCCCTGGCGAAGGTGGCGCGGACGTCGTGGTTCAGAGGCTTGAGGTAGGGGCCGCAGGGGTGTGACGGAGCGGAGTGTGGAGTGCCGTTGCACTCGACGAGTGAGAAGAGATCTCCGGTGAGGTGAGGCATATTTGTAGCAATGCCATGGTCACTGGTGCGGAAGATTGTACTGACGTCCAGTGTGACGCCCCGCTGCCGGAAGCACGCAGCGCCGACGGCGTCATCGAAGGCCGCCTTACGGTGCTCGCCGCTACTGCGCCACTCACATATGAAGTTGAAGAAGAAGGCGAACAGGTCGTCTGGCGTTCGCGGCGGGCGGGTGAAGAGGCAGCTCAGGGAGCTGCAGAGCCTGGTGAGGGGCGACGATGCGCCGCCGCAGAAGGCGCCGAGGACGTCCATGATGCGTCGGCCTGTGGAGGCACGGGAGGCCAGCCTGGTAATATTGGCAAGGCCCATGGGCGTCTTGCACGGCAGGCCGGGTGACGTGGTGTCGCAGGCGGGGCATGAGACACAGGTGCCATCTGCCGACACGTCATGCGGCAGGAAGCCCACAAGGCCGTCCTCGAGGAATGATTGAAGTGGCGACTTGACGCCGCACTTGGGATGCTGGTCACATCTTTGGTTACATATTTGGTCATGTGTTTGGTTGCACTGTTGGTCACACATTTGGTTGGCACACTGCATGGTGTTGCACTTCCAACTGGAGCCACCGACGCCGCGGCCGTACCAGCAGTCGAGCCATCCGCCGTGCCGGGCGTTGTAGAGGCAGCGGCGGTAGAGGAGATACAGCTGGTGGTGGAGGCGTCTGAGGACGTCGAAGAGCAGGCAGAGCAAAGCGTCGGCGTCGCCGGGGTAGAGGAGGCCTGCCGGGTTGGTGTTGAAGTCGACGGCGTAGATGCCACCTGCGTGGCCGAAGCCTAGTAGGGTGGTGAGCACAGTATGCGATTTATGGCACACCTCTGTGAGTGCGTCGGTGAGGGACGCCGGTGTTATGCTCTGCGGGTGGGCCTTAAGCGCCAGGCTGCCGAGGTCAGTGAGGGACACTCCGGAGTCCCCGGAGTCCTGCTCATCCGCCTCGAACAGCGAGGGCAGCGCTTCGGAGTTGAGGCCCAGGTACACGGCGTTGTACGTAAGCCCGCAGCACCATGTGAGCATCTCGTAGATGGAACACGGCGGCCGGGGTGAGGGATGCACCTTGAGGTGGCACGTCTCATAATACTCAGTGAGGTGCGTGGAGAGGCATTTGAGGAGCTCTAAGAGATTACAGCCGTGTTGGAGGGACAGGCATTTTTTGAGGTGTGCGTTGTTCTCTGTCTCCTCAATCTTCTGGCTGACCAGGACATACACGTCGCGACCGTTGCAGTCGTCGCGCAGCTCGCCGTCCTGCTGAGTGTGGGAGGTGGAGACCTTGTAGCCGCAGCGGTGGAGGAAAGCGCCGAGTCCGTTGCGCAAATTGATGTTGTAGTCCCTCCAGCTGCCGGCGCCGCCTTTGCCGCACTGCTCCGCCAGCCTGTTGAAGGCGTCGCACAGTGTGGGCAGCGTGGTGAGGAAGACCTTGGCGCACATGGCGCCGTAGGGCGTCAGCTTTGTAACGTTTCTGACGGTGACGGACTTTGTGCCTTGGGATCTTACGGTCTCGGTGAGGGTCTCATTTTCGACCAAGGCAGCGGTGAACGTCTGCCCGGCGTATCTTGAGACGTACGCACATGTGAACTCGGCGGCGAACTTTGTGAGCCCCTCCACCAGGCCGTCCAGCACGGGGGTAGAGGGCCTGGCGAAGCTCTCAGGTCGCAGGTGACTCAGCGCGTCGGTGAGGTTGCGGAGCAGCGCTTGGAGTCTGTGGTCGAAGGTATCGTTGTCCTTGAGGTACGTGAGCACTGTGTGGAACGCCTCGTTTACCACGGAGAGCCTAGTGGAATACTCCTGTCCGTCCTGCCGTTTGGGATTTCTCTTCCTCTGCTCCTCGTCGTGGAACCGATTTATCTCCCTGTCCACGTGGTCCTCGAGTGACGAGTAGAAACGCATGAAAGCGGAGGACAGCGGTGGGAGGCTCTTCACTTCCTTGAGTTTCTCGACGTTGAGGTCATTTTGCAGGCCGTCCTCCACTCGGGCCATAAGGCCCTTGTACTCCAGTCTCAGGTCCCTGTCGATCTCCCACGGCAAATCCTCCAGCTCCTCTCCCACCTTCTGGGCGAACAACTTCAAAAGCTCCTTGATGTTGGAGACATATTGCCGGCGTGCCTCCCCGATCAATGTCTCTTCGGCTGCCTTTATTTCTTTGTCGACGTATGCGTGGAGGTCACGGATTATTTGCGCCTTGCCGTTGTCGAGGAATCTTAAGAAGGCTCTCACATCTCTTATCACACCCCTCACCTGCTCGCTCAGCAGATCACTAAATTTGTCTTTTATTTTCGTAAGCTCATTAAGGCTCTTCTCTTTCACTTCCTTCAAGGTGAACGCGGCGTCCTTTGCAATGTGCCTAATCGCCGTGCACAGCTCCTTGAGTCTCTCCTTCACGTCTTTAACGTCCCTGGTTTTTATGGTCTCGATGTCCGTGGTGATTTTAGTGAGGCCTGTGGCCTTATGACTGTCAATTGTCCAAGTTTGTTTGCTGCCAAGGCCATCAGTTTTTAATGTATTTAATTTGTTAATAACCTCTTTTTGCAAGACCTCATTTCTAAGCCTTGTAAGCTCACCGGTGATGTCTTGGACGCCGGCAGTGATTTGAGGCGGTTGGTCATTCAACGTTTTTTGTTGACGTCCAAGTTCATTTTCGATGCTTTTAAGGCTTTTATTTTTCCCTTGTGTATTTTCATCCCACCTAACACCACTTAGTCCATTGCCCTTCAAATCGTTCAGTGTTGCAATGACATCACTGCCTGCAGTGCCATGCAACACACCTTGGAGGGCAGTGAGTTCTTGTTTAATAAGGTTGTTGGCTGTTTGGATAGTGTTGGGATGCTGAGTAAATGGCCAATCTTGCACCCAACTAATCACTTCATAAATGGTTTGAAGATTGACGCGATCCTTTTTTGCATTCTTCCCCAGTTTCCTACCTAACCACTCCAACCGGTCGATGATGTCATCATGGGTGTGTTTATGATCCAACTTAACTCCGATAATTCTGAGTTCCCACTCAATTGCGTCGATGGCCGCGGTAATAATGCCGGTTTGTTGAGGCAACTTGTTAATTTCAGTGTTAAGCTCACTCTCAATTCTCCCGAGACCACTGAGAGGTTTACCATTCGATGTCCAAGAATTTTTACCGTCGAGACCAACGTCTCTCAAATCTGTTAACCGTTCAATGACATCATCTTTACCGTCATGTTTCAACTTCTCTCTAAGCTGTTTAAGCTGCGCCTTAATTGCTTGGACGGCTGTACCAATTGCAGCGGGTTGACATTCGATGTCGTTAAGTGTAAATTGCATCGAGGCCTTTGACTTTTGGACCACTTTGGCAAGCTGAGTGTAGGTCGACGTCATCTGTGGGACGCAAAAAGGGTGTCGCAGGTGAGGGATGAGGAAGGCTGTTTGGTTGTGACGGCGAGTCAACAAAGGGGGGAGGGAGATGACAAAGCAGCGAGTAGGTTACATGTTTGGTTATGTTCTAGGTCAGCCTTTTGGTTACACGTTAGGTAAGCCTTTTGGCTAGGCAGTGAATTAGGTGCTAGGCAAGGCACGAGATACAGTCACGATGAGAGACGTGAAATGACATGGCAACACAACACAAGCAATGTAAATATTAATGTAGCTACGATAATTACTATCACGAGTGAAAGTCATCGTCGAAGTAGTCGACGTCTTTGTAGAGTGAGAGCATCCTCCGGCTTCCGGCGAGTAAAGCCTTGGCGTCGATGAGGTGTGAGGCCCTGGTGGTGAGGAGGTGTGAGCGGATGCGCAGCACGTCCATGCGGTATAGTAGTGAGTGGGCGATGTAGAGCGTGGCGATGAGCCAGAGTGTGAACACAGTGTGAAGGAACGGTAGACGGATGCCGTATAGGAAATTGTTCGTGGTGGTCACGAGGCTTGCGATGGGCCTTCCGTTGACCACTTCCTTCAGCTTGGCGATGGCATCCGAACATGTGAGTGATGTCTGAGGCATGCCCTCCGGCGGCGTGAACCCGTGAGAGTAGAGGAGGGGCAGGGCTTCGGGGCACTGGTGGAGGGGCTTGGCCTTGGAGTCGTGACATTGAAGGTCCTCGAGATCACAGTGCAGCTTGAGCAGTGACTCCCAAAGTCTGTCGGTTAGGTAGACCGTCCAGCTGAGGTAGGTGTGGACGAAGCTGGCAGAGTACAGGGCGTAGGCCCGGTAGGTGATGGGCTTCATGAGTTGTTGGCAGTTGACGTTATCGATGTCGCAGCCAAGCAGCGTGGACAGGGTGTTGGGATGGTCCTTGTCGTGGTGGATGGAGGTGGGAGTGGCGGAGCCCCGTGCGTCCCTGATGACTCGGAGGTCTGGGTTCTTGAGACGGTCCCAGTCGGGGCAGTGGAGATGTGACTTGGAGAGGGCGGAGCCCAGTGGAGACAACTGTGAAGAAGACTTGTGCAGTTCATTCCCGAAATTGTGGAAGAAAGACACAAGCTCCCCGGTGGTGCGCGGCGTCCGCCTGGTGAGGCAGGTGAGACAAGAGGACAGTGTCAGCAGGGGATCCTCGCCGCCTCAGGTGGTAGAGAGGATGGTGAGAATATGCTTGCCAGTTTCGTGAGGTGTAGGCAAATCCTCCTCCCTGAATCCCATGTTGACAAGGCTCTTGAGGCAGATGTTGCACGGGTCGAAGGGGTGAGTCTTGAACTTGGAGTCCGGGGCGTCGGTCAGGAAGTCCTGGAGGGGGGAGTTGGAGGAGAGAGCACGGCCGTACTGACAATCCTTCCAACCACCTTCAGATTGATTCCGAGCACACTGCGACTTCAGGAACGCCAGCTGGTGGCAGCAGGCGTAGACTTAATCCCGCAGCTGGCAGAGAAGGCAGGCGGGGTTGGAGGAGTAATGAAGCTTGGAATATTCTAAGCTGAAATCAGGGACTGAAACAGCCTTCGAATTGTCCTTGTGTTTAATCCTGTGGAGAACGTTCGCCGCGTAGAGACATGCCTCTGTCAGTTTGGCGGTGACATGGGCAGCGTCCAGAGTGTAAGGATCTCTGGTGACCTCGAGGGAATCTGAAGTGTGGGCGATATCATCGTTACACTCCTTCAAAATGCCTTCAGCACGCTCCCTGATCGTCCCAATATACCCCGATTCATTCAAGCCTACCAGCCAGAAGAGCATTTCCCTGACGGTGTTCGGAGGGGGCAGACGGTCCGAGTCTGGGGGAGGGGAGCGGGTTGGAGTTATGGTAGTGAGTTAGGTGTTAGGTTAGACGTTTGGTCAGGTGGTAGGTGGGACGTTAGGTTAGGTGGTAGGTAAGACGTTTGGTTATGTGCTAGGTCAGCCACTTGGTTAGTCACTGAGTTAGGTGCTAGGCAAGGCACGAGATACAGTCACCATGAAAGATGAGACATGGCAACACAACACAAAGAGAGGAATGTGAATGTAATGTAGCTACGATAATTACTGTCACGAGTGAAAGTCGTCGTCGAAGTAATCGACGTCCTTGTAGAGCGAGAGCATCCTGCGGCTGCCGGCGAGTAAGGCCTTGACGTCGATAAGGTGGGAGGCCCTGGTGGTGAGGAGGTGGGAGCGGATGCGGAGGACGTCCATGCGGTAGAGGAGTACGCCGAGGATGTAGACCGTGGCGATGAGCCAGAGTGCTATGAGGCAGAAGAGGAAGGGGGCACGGATGCGATAGAGGAACTGGTCACACTGGTCGAAGAGATGTGTGAAGTGGTCGGAGTGTAGGACTTGGCTGAGCTGCTTGGCGAGGGTGGAACAATTCTTGTTCTGCGATATCAGCGCCGGTGCGTCCCCAAAGGTGAAGCCGTGACTGTACAAGGTCGGCATCACGCCGTTGCAGCCGACGATGGAGCGGCATCGGCAGCTGTGCCCCGGCGACTGGGGACTGGGGAGGCCGTGGCTGCCCGGGTCACAAGGGTCCTCGTGAAGGCAATCACCGCAGCCCCAGTCGCGGCAGGAGATCTGCTGGAAAGCGGCGAATAGACACTGCAATAAATCATACAGTGTCCACGGGAGGTAGACGGCCCATGAGAGGTAGAGGTCGGCGTGTCGGTGAGGTAAGCAATGATACGCATCGCTGCACAGGGCTGATAGGAAGGGAGCGCAGTTGATGCTGGCGTCGTTGGAAAGCGTGCAGCAGTCTGCCATCGACAGGCTGGACAGGTCGGCATTTGTAGAAGTGGAATGCTGAATGCCATGACCGCTCCGACCGTTGCCGTAAGCATCACGCAGAGCATCTGTGAGCTTGCCGGGCTCGCGGTAGAGTGTCATGGACTGGCCGGTGATGGAGGCTGTGAACGCAGATTGAAAGGCGTCGATGGCTGACGGCAGAGCACTGTGTTGCCAACCACCAACGAGAGACGAGGCAAAGGAAATGTGCTCAGCCAGCGTAGCCGGCGGTCTGGGACAGAGGCTGAGCAGCGATTTGATATGGACGTTGCCGAACCATTTGGTCAGCACTTTGCACAGCTCCTTGCCTGTCCTCGTACTTCCAGAGAAACCCCGGAAGCCGAGGGGAGTGAGACAGGGCATTCCACTTGGTGCACTGGGACAGGTGTTACACCGAGGCTCGCAGCCAACAGAGACCAACTGGTGAGGCAGGTGGCCGGGCAGGCAGTCGTTGAGGTATGATTGCAGAGGGGATTTATCGGTGCACTCCGGGTGAGGGTTGGGCAGGGCGGTGAGTGGAGGATTGCACTGCCACGTGTATGGTGGAACGCCCTTGCCGTACTGGCACTCCGCCCAGCCGCCATGGTGAGCGGGGAGTGAGCATTGAGAGAACAGAAATCTGAGCACGACAAGCAATCGACAGAGGATATGCAGCATCATGTGCAGGCAATCGCCGCCGTCCTGCGGGTAATACAGTTTCAGTGCGTTGCTATAGAAGTCACAGGCGTACGTTGTCGATGCACTGCCGTAGCCGAGCACCCTGGTGAGCAGGGCGGGGGAGTGGGACGTGACATCGTGAAGTGCGGCGGCCAGATTTGTGGCGGTGACTGCGTTGGGCTGCGCGTCCATGTACCATTTGGTGTCTGTGGAATTATCGTCGGCGTTGCTTAGCACGGATTTAACCTGCTGCTTAAGGCGATCGTAGACCCTATTGTGCGGGAGGCCTGTCAGCCAGCAGAGCATCTGGTAGATGTTACACGGCGTCCTAGGCGACGGTGGAACTATGAGATGACACGTCTCATAGTATTCATTTAGGTGACAACAAAGGCACGCAAGGAGATCGAAGAGATTATAATTATTCTGGCCAGTTTGTTTAATTGCGGAGCATTTTTTGAGGTGTTCGCCGTCAGCGTCCTGAACCATCTCAGTGAGAATTCCATGGATATGCTTACCTTTCATACTCTCGGAGTTCTGCAGCTCCGCGTCGTTTTGGCCTTCGTCGGTGGACACTTTGAATCCGCGGCTGGCAAAGAAATCTCCGAGTTTATTGCCTATATGAATTTTGTGATGCCACCAATTTTGCTTCCTCCCTGCCAGGCCGTCGTTGAGCTTTGTGATCCCAGAGCATACAGTGGGCAAAATCGTCAACAGTATCTTCGCGCATTTTTCGCCGTCCGCCGTCACCCTGCTGTTCCGCGCGTCGACTAGCACGCGGCCCTCAAACGCCCCGTCGTACGTCGATATGTACACCGTTCTCAGTTCCTTCTCAAACTTGTCCGCTGCCTCCGCCACGCCGTCGAGTATCGGAGTTGTGACTTTGGCGAATTTCTCCGGTCGCAGGGCTTTGACTGCCTCGGCGAGTTTATCGAGCATTTCGGGAAGTCTGCGGTCGAAGCGTTTCTCCCTGCCGATGTGTTCCAGCAACTCCTCTAGCGCGTGGGTGACGCCGTAAAGCTTCTCGGCGTAGTGATCCTCTGACGGTGGGAGTGAGGGATTCTTCTTTTTGCTCTCCTCGCTGTGCACCCTCTTGATCTCTGTGCTGATGTATCCCGAGAGCGCCAGGTGGAACCGCTTGAAGCCTGTGGACAGGGCGTCGAGTTGCTTTGTGCCCATCAGAGGGGAGATGTGAGACTCGAAGCGTTGCTGAAAATCATGCACAAACCCTTTATACCCCATCTGCAGATCCCCGTTTATTAACGGAGGCAAGGGACTTAATTCCTCTTCCACCTTCTGGGCGAACAACTTCAAAAGCTCCTTGATGTTGGCGGCGCACTGCTGCTTGGCGAAGGCTGTGATGTCGTCGATTGCGGTGGTTACTTGGCCGTTGACGAACGCCGTGAGGGACGCAATGCAATCCCTTCCGAACCTGTCGGCGTCCCTGTCAATGAACTCCTTGCAGGCCTTGATTGGCCCACTCACCAGACGGATCTGCAGGTTGTGCAATTGGTCTTTTATTCCAGTCAACTCATATTCCAGCCTGTCTTTTTTCACATGTTCCAAGTCCCTTTTTGCCTCCCTCGCTAAGGTACGAATTTCTGTGCACAGCTCCTTGAGTTTCTCCTTCACGTCTTTAACGTTATCTTCTTTTATGGTCTCGACGTCTGCGGTGATTTTAGTGAGGCCTTTATTAAAGCCATTGTCGCTCCACGTTTTTTTACCGTCAGTAAGGCCATGGTTTTTCAAGTCATCTAACTTTTTATTGACCTCATCTTTCAGCTTCTGTCTGAGGCTGTCAAGCTCACCGGTGATATCTTGGACGCCTTGGTCTATTTTGCCGGGTTGTTGTCCCAATTCATTTTGTTGACCTTTAAGGTCACTTTCGATGGTTTGAAGGCTTTTACTTTTTCCGTTTCTATTTTCATCCCACTTTGTACCACTTAGTCCAACGTTCTTCAAATCGGTCAGTGTCTCAATGACATCGTTGGCTGGCTTGGAGCCTTGCAACTCAGTTCGGAGGGTAGTGAGTTCTCGTTTAATTGCTGAGTTGGCGTTTTCGATGTCTGTGGGTTTCTGAGTAAACACACCGGATTGCAGGGCACTAATAACATCATGAATTTTCTGCACGTTGAGACTATATCCATTTGCGCTTTTGCCTTTACCAATATAGTTTGCTAACTGTTTCAAGTGATCCATGATATCATGATCAGTGTGGACATTATTCAGCTTGATGCCGATCCTTGCAAGCTCACCTTTGATTTCCTTTATAGCCGTATCGATGCTTTTCGTTTGCACCGGTAATATAGCATTCTGAGTTTTAAGTCGCTCCTGGATTATTGCTAGACCCTTGGTAGTTTTCCAGTCTCCATTATCAATAGTCCAATGGCCACCAAGCCCCTTCTCTTTCAAATCTTGCAAAGCGTTGACAACGGCAGTTTTATCACTATCACCGTCTTTCTTCAACTTCCCTCTAAGCTCTCCAAGCTGCTGCCTAATTGCTTGGACGGCTGAGTCGATTGCTTTTGGCTCAGTGTCAAACGTCCCTTGTTGGAGTTTTTTAATAGCAATTTTAATCTGTTCTAAGCCTCTATCAGCGCCCAGTAATTTATTATAATTTAGCCCTTTTCGAAGATCTTCCAAAAGTGTTTTCACGCCCTTTCTCTGTTCGTCAAATCCCCCAAAGAATTTCTCTCCATCACCATCAACCAATCCCTTGATCTCTCCAAGCTGTGTCTTAATTTTGGTGAACGGATCATTAAACGTCTTTTCTTCAATCTTCTTATCCTTACTGGCCTTGTCACCAATAGTCCCTTCAAGCTCCGCCAGTCCCAGAGCCTTGATGTCCCCGATGGCCTGGGGGAGAGAGCCTTCTTCTTCAAGGCCAGTTAATTGACCGTCCTTAATCTCATTTTGGTCAACGTGCTTATCATATTGTCCAAAATTCTTTTTATCAATGATGATTTTCTGTGCTTGACCACCTTGCTGACTTGCCGACTGATCATCCTTCCCAATGTGGTCATCAACTTTCTGCTTGAGTTCCCTGTCGAGACTACTTTTAATTTGTTCGTGGGTAGTGTGGAATTCGTTCATGAGATTATCACCAAGCACAATTGCAGCACCATTCTTACTAATCTCCCCAGCCGCCTTTGTGATCGCCGTCTGGGCCGCAGCCTTGATCTGTGCTTCGGCTTGTTGATTGAAAGTGGAAACGGCGACGGGAAGTATTGAGACCTCAGCTTTAAGCTCTTTTGTGACGTGATCATTAAACATTGTGACAATGTTGTTATTAACCTCCTGCCTCACTTCACTCAACTTGCTGTCCACGGCTTGGGCGGGGCTTTCTTGGGGGCCGGTGCCTTGGGACGAGTCAGTCGCATCGGTAAGCTGCTCATCAAGCTTTTTAGTCTCCTCAACTACTCTGTCCAATTCCTCCGCGATGCTTGTTGAGTTGCCTTTGGCGTAATTGCCCACCCTGGCGTCGAGCAGAATGGACTTAATTTCGTTGGCCACCTGACTAGCGGTAGCGGAGAGACCAATTAACGCGGCTTGTATGGCGGGTTTAATAGCGGCTTGAATGTCGTGGCCGCCGTAACCCTTCCGTCCACCCTCACTGGCAATTTTATCGTATATCTCCTGGGCAAGCTTCTGAATTCCATCGGACGCTAGTTTGTTATCAAGCCCTTTTACAAATTCCTCACAGGCTTCCTTGACGGATGTAATGGTTGTTTGGATGTTGTCGTTAGCTTGTTCAACCTTCGCAGCGGCTTGATCAATCGCGTCCTTAAACGTACTCCTAATCTGCTCGATAATTTTTTGACTCCATGAAAACCCAAGTATCGAACCATCCAGCAGCTTCACCACGTCGCTGCTACTCCCCTTCCTCTCAGTAACATACTTACCAAGCCACGGTTTAATGGTTTTCTTCTTATCATCTCCCTTATTATTTCCCAAAATTCCTTCCGCCCAGCCGCCTACTATAGTATGAAAATTCACAAACCCCTTGGCGTAGCTTTTAATCAAACCTTCTGCGATGCCTTGCAGGCCTCTTCCTGCTGGCTCACCGTTCAGGATTTTATTGACCTCTCCCTTTATCTTCTCGAAAATCTTTTCCAGTTTATTTGCTTCACTCTGTATTTGCCCGCTTGGATCAAACTTTGTGTAAAGCCTCTCAATCGCCGAGTCAACTGCAGTGACTTTCTCGTTAAGAGGCTTTTGGATCACACTCTGGAACTTGTTGTCAAGTTCATCTGTTTGCATCTTAATTGAGCCTGTATCGCTGGTTGTCTGGTCTAATGTACTTTTCTGCTTTGCAAGCGCTCTCAACTCATCACTTACAAGACTGTCTACCTTACCATTTGAAGTGAGCCCCAAAATATTACTCCTCAAACTCTGCAAATCCTTCATCACTTTCTCATCCAACTTCAAAACTCCCAAGCTGTCAATCACATTTCCTATCCCTAATTGAATCTGCCTTTTGACATTAAACAAATCCCTCTTAAGATCTGTGTCCATTTTGACAACAGCCTTTAGAGCCTCAGTGACCTTCAATTCAACAGCCTCTTTGGCCGACTTCGCAGCCTTCAAAAGATCTTTTCCCTTATCTTGTAAAGTTTTAGCTTCCTTAAAAATCGGACCTGGAGAACCTTTATCTGTCTGAACTTTCTTAAGTATCTCATCACACTTCCCCTCCGCCTTGGAAATAACATCGCTGGCGGCAGACTTCCAACTCGTCAAATCCTTAACATGGCCACCAAGTTGTGTATTGGCAGTCTGAATGTCCCTATTATGTTGCTCAATAGTCGTAATTTTCTGGTGAATTTCATCTTGCAACTTATCATGAACATGCTGGGCATTATTAATCGCCCCTTGAAGCACATCCCCGGCCTGTTGCTTCCACTCTCCCAAATTTCCATGAACCTTTCCCAGCTCAGTATGCACGCTCGCAATTTTCTTATTGGCGTCCACAATTTTCTTAACATTCGCATCTAGAGTCTGATTAACCTTCAACTTATCGTAGGCTTCCTTGGCCTTGTCTTCAGCGGCCTTCCGGATCTCCTCCGCCGAGGTGATCCAAGTGCCCAATGCCGTAACTTGTTGGAGAAGCGTTTTATTGGCCTCGTCAAGTCCTTGCTTAGCGGTATCAATTTCACCGAGTTTCTCACCAATTTTATGCTGATCATCATGTGTATTAGGATCCAACCTTGTATGCACGTTCTGCGCCTTAGTAACCACTTTGCCAAGCACCGCTTTTGCCGCGGAATTCCAGGCTTCCAAATCTTTGTGAACATCCTGAAGCCCAGTGATAACACCTGAAACTGCCGTTTTGGCATCCTCAATTTTCTGAATTCCTAGACCAATCTGTGTCGCTTCAGGGTCTTGTTTTTGAGTGGGATCCAACTTCTCATGCACAGAAGTAGAACTCGAAATCGTCCCTTCTAGCACTTGCTGTGCCGCTTCCTTCCATTTTGTCAAATCGTCAGCTCTCTCTTGCAAGTGTTTTGCCACCCTTTTAATCGCCTTGTCAAGGTGTCCAAGGTTATCCTTGGGCTTTGCATTCCCATTCACTTCATTTAAAATCTTCTGGACTAATTTCTGCGCCGCGTCAATGTCTACCTTTGTTTTCTCAATCCACTTGTCAAGGTCTACAATGTATTGTCCCAGCGATCTACTGACTTTTTCAAGGTTCTATGAAATGTGATTAGTGGTCTATTTTGGAGGCGCAGGAGGGCTGTTTTGGGAGTGACGGTAACTCAGCAAAAGGATAAAGGACAAGGTAAGGAAGCAATTAGGTGAGACGTTAGGTTAGGTGTTTGGTTAGGTGCTAGGTAAGGCATTTGGTTATGTGCTAGGTAAGCCGTTTGGTTAGTCAGTGAGTTACGTGCTAGGCAAGGCACGAGATACAGTCACGATTAAAGACGTGACATGACACGGCAACACAAAGAGAGGAATGTAAATGTAAATGTAATGTAGCTGAGATAATTACTGTCACGAGTGAAAGTCATCGTCGAAGTAATCGACGTCCTTGTAGAGTGAGAGCATCCTGCGGCTTCCGGCGAGCAGCGCCTTGACGTCGATGAGGTGGGAGGCCCTGGTGGTGAGAAGGTGGGAGCGGATGCGGAGGACGTCCATGCGGTAGAGGAGTGAGTGGAGGATATAGAACGTGGCAGTGAGCCAGAGTGTGAACAGGGTGAAGAGGAAGGGGGCACGGATGCGATAGATGAGCTGGTCGATTTGGTGGAACAGTTCCGTGAAGTGGTCGGAGTGTAGGACTTGGCTGAGCTGCTTGGCGAGGGTGGAACAATTCTTGTTCTGCGATATCAGCGCCGGTGCGTCCCCGAACGTGAAGCCGTGACTGTACAAGGTCGGCATCACGCCCTTGCAGCCGACGATGGAGCGGCATCGGCAGCTGTGCCCCGGCGACTGGGGACTGGGGAGGCCGTGGCTGCCCGGGTCACAAGGTTCCTCGTGAAGGCAATCACCGCAGCCCCAGTCCCGGCAGGAGATGGCTTGGAAGGCAGTCTTCAATGATAGCAACAGCTCATATAATGTCCACGGGAGGTAGACGGCCCATGAGAGGTAGACGTCGGCGTGTCGGTGAGGTAAGCAATGATATGCATCGCTGCACAGGGCTGATAGGAAGGAGCGCAGTTGATGCTGGCGTCGTTGGGAAGCGCACAGCACCTTGGCATCGACAGGCTGGACAGGTCGGTATTTTGGGCAGTAGAATGCTGAATGCCATGACCGCTCCGACCGTTGCCGTAAGCATCACGCAGAGCATCTGTGAGCTTGCCGGGCTCGCGGTAGAGGGTCATGGACTGGCCGGTGATGGAGTCCGTGAACGCAGATTGAAAGGCGTCGATGGCTGACGGCAGAGCACTGTGTTGCCAACCACCAACGAGAGATGAGGCAAAGGAAATGTGCTCAGCCAGCGTAGCCGGCGGTCTGGGACAGAGGCTGAGCAGCGATTTGATATGGACGTTGCCGAACCATTTGGTCAGCACTTTGCACAGCTCCTTGCCTGTCCTCGTACTTCCAGAGAAACCCCGGAAGCCGAGCGGAGTGAGACAGGGCGTGCTAAGTTCGCTGGTAAGACACGTCTGACATACAGGCTCACAGCCGATGTTAGTAACCTGGTGAGGCAGATGGCCGGGCAGGCAGTCGTTTAGGTACGACATCAAAGGGGACTTATCAGTGCACTCCGGGTGAGGGGTAGGCAGGGCGGTGACCGGAGGAGCGCACTGCCACGTGTATGGTGGGACGCCCTTGCCGTACTGGCACTCCGCCCAGCCGCCATGGTGAGCGGGGAGTGAGCATTGAGAGAACAGAAATCTGAGCACGACAAGCAATCGACAGAGGATATGCAGCATCATGTGCAGGCAATCGTCGGCGTCCTGCGGGTAATACAGTTGCAGTGCGTTGCTATAGAAGTCAACGGCGTACGTCGTCATAGCGTCGCCGTAGCCGAGCACCCTGGTGAGCAGGGCAGGGGAGTAGGAGGTGACATCGTGAAGGGCGGCGGCCAGATTTGTGGCGGTGACTGATTTGGGCTGCGCGGCCATGTACCATTTGGTGTCTGTGGAATGATCGTCGGCGTTGCTTAGCACGGATTTAACCTGCTGCTTAAGGCGATCGTAGACCCTATTGTGCGGGAGGCCGGTCAGCCATACGAGCATTTGGTAGACGCTGCACGGCGTCCTGGGTGACGGTGGAATGATGAGATGACACGTCCCATAGTATTCATATAGGTGACAACAAAGGCACGCAAGGACGTCGAAGAGATTATAATAGTTCTGTTCATTTTGCTTAACGGCGGAGCATTTTTTGAGGTGTTCATTTTGGCCGGCGTGCTGAATTGTTCTCCCAAGCAGTCTGCCAATTTTGTCGCCGGTAATATCGTTGTCATTTTGCAGCTCACCGTCCTGGGAATTTGGGCTTTTGGCAACGTCGTAGCCCATTTGGTGCAATAATACGCCGGGTCCGGAAGTTGAGTAAATTCTGCTGCTGGGATACCGCCGCGTGCACTGCTCCTCCAGGTACGTGAGATCATTACACAGAATTTTGAGAATCGTCAAAAGTATCTTCGCGCATTTTTCGCCGTCCGCCGTCACCCTGCCGGTCCGCGCGTCGACGAGCACGCGGCCCTCAAACGCCCCGTCGTATGTGGAGATGTACACTGTTCTCAGTTCCTTCTCAAACTTGTCCGCTGCCTCCGCCACGCCGTCGAGTATCGGAGTTGTGACTTTGGCGAATTTCTCCGGTCGCAGGGATCCGACTGCCTCGGCGAGTTTATCGAGCATTTCAGGTAATCTTCGGTCGAAACGTTTCTGCTTAGTGATATGTTCCAGCAACTCCTCGAGCGCCTGGGTGACGCCGTAAAGCCTCTCGGCGTAGTGATCATCTGTCGGTGGGAGTGACGGATTCTTCTTTTTACTCTCCTCGATGTGCACTCTCCTGATCTCTGCGCTGAGGTATCCCGAGAGCGCCAGGTGGAACCGCTTGAAGGCTGTGGACAGGGCGTCGAGTTGCAGCGTACCCTTTAGAGGGGAGATGTGAGACTCGAAGCGTTGCTGGAAATCATACACAAACCCCTTATACCCTATCTGCAGATCCCCGTTTATTAACGGAGGCAAGGGACTCAATTCTTCCTCCACCTTCTGGGCGAAGGCCTTCAGCGCCTCCTTGATGTTGGAGACATATTGCCGGCGTGCCTCCCTGATAAGAGTCTCTTCGGCTTCCTTGATCTCCTGGTCGACGAATTGTGTGAGTTCTGCAATAATTCTTCTAGCTGCCTCGTCGGCGTATTTATCAAACTTCTTGAGTAATTGAATGACATCGTTCAGCGGGCCAAAGTATAAATCGTAAAGGTCACTGTAAATGCTTCTTAACTCATTAAGACCGTCACCTTTCAGACGCTTTAAGTCCCTGCTTGACTCGTTGGCCTCAATTCTTATCGCCGTGCACAGCTCCTTTAGTTTCTCCTTCACGTCCTCAACGTCCTTGTCCTTTATGGTCTCGATGTCTGCGGTGATTTTTTGGATACCATTTAAGCTTTCACCTTTATCTGTCCATGGTGTTTTGCCCTCAGTAAGGCCACTTTCTTTCAGCTTCTTGAGCTTATCGGTGACCTCAGTGTTCAACTGCTTCTGAAGCCTTGTAAGCTCCCGGGTGATTTGGTCGACGCCTTGGTCAATGTTGCCGGGTTGTTGCTCCAACGTGTTTTGTTGAGTGCTAAGGTCATTTTGTATGCTTTTGAGGCTTTTTTGGGTATTATGTTTATTCCATCCTTTTTCGCCACTTAGTCCATTGGTCTGCAAATCCTTCAGTGTTGCAATGACATCACTGCCATTGTTGCCTTGCAACTCACCTTGAAGGGCAGTGAGTTCTGCTTTAATTGCTTCGTTGGCTTTACCAATTGCGTCGGAATTCGATGTAAATTCATTGCCTTGTAACCAATGAAGCATGTAATGAATGTCTTCAAGATTGGCATGATATCCTTTGTGACTTCTGCCTATCATTTTTCCCAACTCTGTAAACACACCTATGACGTCGTCATTGAAGTCTTTATGGTCTAAATTGATTCCTATCTGAAACAGTTGGTCCCTGATTTCTCTTATGGCGTTAGTGATTATATCAGGTTGTTTGGCCAATTCCTTATTCTGCTCTTCAAGTTCCTTGTGGATTTTACCGAGACCGCTGAGAGGTTGACCTTTGACATTCATACCATTCCAAGGATTTCCACTAAGACCATTCCTTTTCAAATCTTCAAGTCTGTGGATGACATCATTTTCTTTATTACCGCTTTTATCTTTCAACCTCCCTCTAAGGTCTTTAAGCTGCGCCTTAATTGCTGTGACGGCTTTGCCAATTGCAGTGGGTTTGTTCTGGACGTCGTTAAGTGTAAATTGCATCAAGGCCTTCAACTTTTATACCGCTTTGACATGCTGAGTGTAGGTCGACGCCAATTGTGGGACGCAAAAAGGGCGTCACAGGTGAGGGACGGCTGGCGCCGGCAGGAGTGAGGAGGATGAGCTAACATCTGGTCAAAAAGGTAGGGGTGGATGTAGATTGCGCTATTGATAGGTTACCCAGTGATGGCGTTAGTGGCAATTGTATAGGCATTTTAGAGCTGCAAGAGGGACATGGTGGGAGGCGTCAGCGTCATTCATTCAGTGTAAAGGTGGGATGAGGAGGCTGTTTGGGGAGTGACGGCAAGGCGACAAAGGGAGGAGGGAAAAGGCAAAGCAGCGAGTAGGTTACATCTTAGATTAGGTGGTAGGTTACATGTTAGGTAAGCCATTTGGTTATGTGCTAGGTCAGCCACTTGGTTAGTCAGTGAGTCAGGTGCTAGGCACGACGTGCAGTCGCCATGAGACACATGACATGACACGGCAACACAAAGAGAGGAATGTAAACGTAATGTACCTGAGATAATTACTGTCACGGGTGAACGTCATCGTCGAAGTAGTCGACGTCCTTGTAGAGCGAGAGCATCCTGCGGCTGCCGGCGAGCAAAGCCTTGACGTCGATGAGGTGTGAGGCCCTGGTGGTGAGTAGGTGCGAGCGGATGCGGAGGACGTCCATGCGGTAGAGCACCGTGTGGGAGATGTAGAGCGTGGCGATGACCCAGAGTGCTGCGAGGCAGAGGAGGAAGGGCATACGGATGCAGTAGAGGAGCTCGTCGATCTGGCGGAAAAGGTTGGCGAAGTGGTTGGAGTGGACGACTTGGCTGAGCTGCGTGCGGAAATTACGGCAATATTTTCTGTTATTGCCGTGCAAGGCTCTCGTGTTTCCAAATGTAAATCCGTATGCGTGAAACGTCGGCAGGACGCCGTGACAGCTCACCAGTGCCTTGCACTTGCAGTTGAGGTCGACGCCATGTTGGCCCGGTCTGCAGGGACACGTCGAGCACCCGGAGCTTGCGCAGTCAATGTCTTGAAAGGCGTTGAGCAGTTGCTCGAGCAGGTACCAGAATCGCCATGCGGTGTATATGACCCACGACAAATATACCTCCGCGTGCTTCTCGGGGAAGGTGTGGTAGGCGTGGAAGGAGAGCGGTTGGAGGTAGGGGCGCAGGTCAGTGAGTCGGCGCACCGCGACCGGACGGTGAGACTCGACAGGTCCGAGTGGGTGGCCTGTAAGGTGTTAGTGGCAGCGTCCGTTGGGGATGCGCCACTGTGGTCGTCGGGGGAGTGGTGTAGCCTGGTGAGGGCGTTGGTCAATTGCGCCGCCTGAGTGGTGGGACAGAGGTACAGAGAGACGCTGGGGATTGCCGCAGTGCTCAGGTGACCAGTGAAGTGGACGTTGTCAACGTACTCAGCGGACTGCCGGCACCGGAACACGTTGCAGTAGAACGCAAACATGTCACCGAGACTTTGAGGCGGCGAGGGGTCAATTGAGGAAAGGCAACGTAACAGTGTTGGCAGGGGTGACTCGGCACCACTGCACAGGGCGGTAAGCACGGCGCATATTTGCTCACCACTGCCGACAATGGACCCCGCATCCGGCAGGTCCCAGAAGCCCATGGGCGTGACACAGGGCATGCCGGGGGATGCGATAGAACACGTGTCGCACTGCGAGTCACAACCGACGGAGGCCAACTTATGCGGTAGGAAGCCCGCCAGATGGTCCATCAAATGGGCCTGTAGCGGGGATTTTGGTTGGCACGTTGACTGGCACATAGGTTGGCCATTTGGTCGGCACGTTGGTCGGCCATTTGGTTCACACATTAAGTGCTTGTTACATTGCCAGCTGGCGGCGGGGACGCTTCTGCCGTACCGGCAGTCGCGCCAGCCGTGGCCCGTGGAGGCATCATATTTGCATCGTGCGCGCAAAAAGTTGAGTGCAAGTAGCAAACATTTACATAAATGAGTCAGCATATGTAACAAATCGGCGAGGTCTGAGGGGTAGTGGAGGCCGCGTGAGTTGTCCCAGAAGTTGCAGGCGTAGGGGTAGTCGGCGTGGTCGAAGCCGCGACCGTTACCGCAGATGGTGACGAGGAGGGTACTGCTGTGATGTGTCACAAGGCCGAGTGCGCCGGGGATGCAGAGCAAGCAATGCTTGACCACTGCATCACCCTCGCCCCTGAACAGGACGTTGCAATGCGCCTGCACGCGCTCATAGAGCACGGAGTAAGGAAGCCCTGCGAACCACGCGAGAATGTCCCTGACGGTGCCGGGGTACCGTGGCTCAGGGGGAACACGCAAGTGACAGAGACGCAGGTAACACTTGAGCATGTCGTGGAGTTCGTCGAGTGGCTCCATGATATTATCGGTGAGCTCTCTAATCTTCTGGCCGCTGCAGTCACTGTCGTTCCTGAGCTCGCCGTCCGGAACGCCCGCCGAGGTGACCCGGTAGCCGCGTTGCTGGAGGAAGGCGCCCAGGGGGGTGAATGGATTTATTAACATATGAGACCACTCATCTGCGCATTTCATTCTGAGCTCATTCAGATCGCGGAACAGCGTGTCGGTGATGGTCAGCAGAACGAAGGCACATTTCGTGGCCTCCGGGGTGTGCGTCTTTTTCGCCGCGTGGTAGAGCACGCGGCCCTCAAACGCCCCGTCGTATGTGGAGATGTACGCTGTTCTCAGTTCCTTCTCAAACTTGTCCGCTGCCTCCGCCACGCCGTCGAGTATCGGAGTTGTGACTTTGGCGAATTTCTCCGGTCGCAGGGATCCGACTGCCTCGGCGAGTTTATCGAGCATTCCAGGTAATCTTCGGTCGAAACGTTTCTGCATAGTGATATGTTCCAGCAACTCCTCGAGCGCGTGGGTGACTTGGTAGAGCCTCTCGGCGTAGTGATCCTCTGACGGTGGGAGTGAGGGATTCTTCTTCTTGCTCTCCTCGCTGTGCACTCTCTTGATCTCTGTGCTGAGGTATCCCGAGAGCGCCAGTTGGAACCGCTTGAAGGCTGTGGACAGGGCGTCGAGTTGCAGCGTACCCTTTAGAGGAGAGATGTGAGACTCGAAGCGTTGCTGGAAATCATACATGAACCCTTTATACCCCATCTGCAGATCCTCGTTTATTAACGGAGGCAAGGGATTCAATTCTTCCTCCACCTTCCGGGCGAAGGCCTCCAGCGCCTCCTTGATGTTGGAGGCGCACTGCTGCTTGGCGAAGGCTGTTAGGTCCTCGATTGCGGTGGTTACTTGGCCGTTGACGAACGCTGTGAGGAAAGCAATGCATTCCCTTCCGAACCTGTCGGCGTCCCTGTCAATGAACTCCCTGCAGGCCTGAATTGGGCCGCGCTCCAGACGGATCTGCAGGTTGTGCAATTGGTCTTTTATCCCAGTCAACTCATTAAGGCTCTTCTCTTTCACTTCCTTCAAGGTGAACGCGGCGTCCTTTGCAATGTGCCTAATCGCCGTGCACAGCTCCTTGAGCTTCTCCTTCACTTGGTCGACGTCCCTGTCCTTTATGGCCACGATGTCTTCGGTGATTTTAGTGAGGCCTTTTGCAGAATGTTCGTCAATATCCCAATTTTGTTTGCTGCCAAGGCCATGGTTTTTCAAGTCATCCAACTTTTTGGTGACGTCATCACTCAACTGCTTCTGGAGCTTTGTAAGCTCACCGGTGATTTGGTCAACGCCAGTCTGGATATTTTGGGGTTGAGTGGACAACGTAGTTTGTTGACCTTTAAGGTCACTTTCGATGCTTTTAAGGCCTTTTTTATCTTGACCATTAACATTCCACACCTTATCTCCACTTAGTCCATTGCTCTGCAAATCCTCCAGTGACTTTATGACATCCTTGCCTGGCTTGGAGCCTTGCAGCACACCTTGGAGGTCTTTGAGTTCTCCTTTAATTGCTGAGTTGGCTTGATGGATGGCAAGGGGTTTCTGAGTAAACACAACGGATTGCAGTTGTTGAATTTCATTGTGAATTACTTGAAGGCTGTCACCGTACTTTGTATTTCTTCCAATCTTGTGTTTTAATAGTGTCAAATTATCCATGACGTCATCAGGAATGAAGATATTATCTAATTTCATTCCTATTTGCCCAAGCACGCCCTTCATTTCTCTAAAGACTATATCAAGCGATTCTGCAATGATTTTCGTTTGGGTAGGCAAAATAGCATTCTGTGTTTTAAGCTCACTCTCGATTTTCCCAAGACCACTGAGAGGTTGACCGTTGACATTTATTGGACTCCAACCCGCCTTATCACCAAGCCCATTCTCTTTCAAATCATCCAACACGTCAATAACGCCATTTTCTGTCCCACCATTTTGCTCTTTCTTCAACTTCTCTCTAAGCTCTTTAAGCTGCGCCTTAATTTGCTCGACGGCTGTGCCAATTGCTTCGGGTTGAGTGCCAAACGGATCTTTCTGCAATTTTTCAATCATTTCTCTTATTTTCTCAAGGCCTTTATCAGCTCCATCAAACTTCTCTTCATTAAGCCCCTGTTCAAGCTTCTTCAACAAATCTCTTACACCATCAGCGTCCTTGCCCGGTGGCTGCGCATCCTTATTCTCAACCAATTTCTTGATCCCTTCAAGCTCTTTCTTAATTAAGCCGAACGGACCGGTGAAGGTTGAAAGTTCTATTTTATTTACCTTGTCAGTGGTACCTGGCTCAATCATTTTCAATTCATTGTACACCTGAGCCTTGATGTCCCCGATCGCCAGTGGAAGGGAGCCTTCACTATGCTCGCCTTTTAATGCTTTGCCAGGATGAAGGCCCTCTGAGGTTTGCACAACGTGATTATCGTAATTCCCAAACGTACTCTTAATGTTAATTTCACCACCTGTACCACCTGACTTGTCATCCTTCCCAATGTGGTCATCAACTTTATCATTGAGTTGTTTTTGTAGATTTGCTGTGATGTTTTTGTGAGACCTGTCAAATTCTTCCATAAGTTTATTTGTGCTGCCAAGCGTTATTGTACCACCGTTACTAATCTGCTCAGCCGCCTTGTCAATCGCCGTCTTGGCCGCGGCCTTGATCAGCTTTTGGGCTTCGGTATCGAAATCGGTGACGGCGCCGGGAAGTTGGTTAACTGCCTTGGTAAGCTCAGATGTGACTTTTGAGGTAAAGGTGTTGGTAAGACCCTCAACCTGCCTACTCACTTCCTTCAACCTACTGTCCACGGCTTGGGCTGTGCCTGGTTTGGGTGTGGAAGAACCGGAATTATCTATTGCCCCTTCAAGCGCCGTGTGAAGCTTCTTAGTCTCATCAAGTACTCTATCCAATTCGCTTGCGATGCTTTTGCCGCTGCCATTTCCTCCCATCCTGTACTCGCCGAGCAGGATAGAGTCAATTTCGTTGGCCACCTGGCTGGCAGTAGCGGAGAGACCAATTAACGCGGCTTTTATGGCGGGTTCTATTTCATTTTCCTTGTTGTACCGTCGATTGCTTCTGTATGCCTTCCATCGGCTCTCATTGGCAATTTTATCGTATATCTCCTGGGCAAGCTGATTAAATCCGTCGTTTTTCAGTTTCTCATCAAGCCCACTAACAAATGCCTCGCACGCATTTTTGACGGATGTAATGGTTTTTTCGATTTTACCACTGGACGTATCAACCTTCCCCTTGCCTGCCTCAATTTCACTATGAAGCTTCGTCTTAATCTGCTCGATAATTTTTTGACTCCATGAAAACCCAAGTATAGTACCATTCAGCAAGTTCACCGCTTCTTTCCCCTTCCCACCGTTGTCCTGAACGTACTTCTCAAGCCACTTTTTAGGGGGCTTGGTATCATCTTTATCCTTCCCCAAAATGCCCTCCGCCCAACCGCCTACTATAGTATGGAATGTATTCTTGAACGCATCGGCATAGCTGCTAATCAACCCGTGGGCAATACCATCCAGGCCTGAGCCACCTTTATTATCCCAACTTATCCCCGCCTTCCCCTTTATCTTCCCAACCTCTCCTTTAATATGATCAAAAATGCTTTGAAGACTATTCAGATCACCACCATTCTTAAAATTCCCGCCAAGCGTCCCAATCGCCTGGTCGACTGCACCGACCGCCTTGCTAAGCGGACTTTGGATCTTCGAGGTAAAGTTAGGTTCAAGTTGCTTTTCTGCTTTCGTAATTTTGTTAATAGTCTGACTATCCAAGTCACTCTTTTTCTGTCTTAGTGTGTCCAACTCCTCTTTAACAAGACTGCCATCACCAACCTCATCAACCTTCTCTTTAAGCCTCAAAATCCTCTCCCTCAACTCCTGCAAATCCGTCTGCACTTTCTCATCCAACTTCGTAACATTCAAATCCTCAATCACTTCTGTAATCCCTTTCTTAATATCCTCTCTAACCTTGTACAAATCCCTCTTAAGGGATGTGTCCATCTCCACAACAGCGTTCAAAGCCTCAGTGACTTTCTTTCCAACCTCATCCTTGGCCTGCTTGGCAGCATTATAAAGCTTATTACCCTTGTCTTGTAACTCTTGGGCATTCACATAAATATAACCGGATTTATTAACTTTCTTAAGTATCTCATCACACTTCCCATCCGCCTTGGAAATAACATCCTTGGCGGCATCCCTCCAGTTACCTAAATTTTCAACTTCAGTGCCAAGTTTCTCATTAGCATCTTTAATTAAGCTGTTATTGCTCTCAATTTTGTCAATTCCCTGACTCACAGGCTGACCATCTCCCAACCTATCATATACAAATTGCGCATTATTAATCGCCCCTTGAAGCACATCCCCGGCCTGTTGCTTCCACTCTCCCAAATTTCCATGAACCTTTCCCAGCTCAGTATGCACGCTCGCAATTTTCTTATTGGCGTCCACAATTTTCTGAACATTGTTACTCAATTCAGCATTAACCTTCAACTTGTCGTAGGCTTCCTTGGCCTTTTTCTCAGCTTTGTCACGGATCTTCTCCGCGTCGGTGATCCACTTATCTAAACTCTTTACTTGTGTGTCAAGTTTGCTATTAGCCTCTACCAATCCTTTTCTAGCGGTGTCAATTTCATCAATGCTCTTACCAAGTATATGGCCGTTATCTTGTTTATTAGGATCCAACCTTGTATGCACTCCCTGCGCTTTGCTAACCGCTGTCCTAAGCACATTTTGTGCCGCAGTATTCCAAGTCTGCAAATCTTGGTGAACAGTTTGAAGCCCAGCATTCACGCCCTCAACTGCCGTTTTAGCTTCATTAATCTTCTTAATGTTCCGGCCAATCACTGTCCCGCCAGGGGGATCTTTTTGTTGAGTGGGATCCATGTTCTTATGCACATCATACCCCTTCTCAATCGTTCCTTGGAGTACTTTTTCCGCCGCTGCCTTCCATTTTTGTAAATCCTTAGCTCTGCCATCCAACTCGGTTTCAACCTTGTGAATCGCCGATTCAAGTTTGGGCAAATTCTGAGATTTAGCAATTCCATTCACCTCATTTGAAATGTTCTGGACTAAATTCTGCGCGGCTACGATGTCCTTTGTGGTTTTCTCAATCCACTTGTCTAGGTCCATAATGTATTGTCCCAGCGATCTACTGACTTTTTCAAGGTTCTATGAAATGTGATTAGTGGTCTATTTTGGAGGCGCAGGAGGGCTGTTTTGGGAGTGACGGTAACTCAGCAAAAGGATAAAGGACAAGGTAAGGAAGCAATTAGGTGAGACGTTAGGTTAGGTGTTTGGTTACTTGCTAGGTAAGCCACTTGGTTATGTGCTAGGTCAGCTGTTAGGTCAAGCAGTGAGTTGGGTGCTAGGCAAGACACGAGGTACAGTCACGATGAGAGACGTGACATGACACGGCAACACAAGGAATGTAAATGTAATGTAGCTGAGATAATTACTGTCATGAGTGAAAGTCATCGTCGAAGTAGTCGACGTCCTTGTAGAGTGAGAGCATCCTGCGGCTGCCGGCGAGTAAGGCCTTGACGTCGATGAGGTGTGAGGCCCTGGTGGTGGTGAGGTGCGAGCGAATGCGGAGGACGTCCATGCGGTAGAGTAGCGAGTGGGCGATGTAGAGCGTGGCGGTGAGCCAGAGCGCTATGATGGTGTAGAGGAATGGCATGCGGATGCGATAGAGGAATGCGTCCATGGCGGTCATGAGGCTTGCGATAGGCTCTCCGGAGACCACTTCCTCCAGCTTGGCGACAACCTCGGAACACGTGAGTGACGACTGCGACGCACCCCCCGGCGGCGTGAACCCGTGTGAGTAGAGGAGTGGCAGAGCATTGGCACACTGTTGGATGGGTTTGAAGTCGTGACATTGAAGGCCCTCGAGATCGTATAGCAGCTTGAGCAGTGACTCCCACAGTCTGTCTGCCAGGTATACCGTCCAGCTGAGGTAGTGGTGGGCGAAGCTGGAAGAGTACAGGGCGTAGGCCCGGTAGGTGATGGGCGATAAGTGTTGTGGGCAGTTGAGACTATTGATGGCGCAAGGAATCAGTGCTGATAGAGTCTTGGCATGGTTTTGGTCGTGGATGGAGTTGAAGGTGTGAGGTGCGGGGCCCCGGGCGTCCTTGATGACATGGAGGTCGGCGGCCTTAAGGCGGTCCCACTTCGGGCAGTCGTCATGTCGACTGAAAAGGGCGGAACCCAGTGGAGACAATCTTGAAGGCGCATCATGAAGCTCATTCCCGAAATTGTGGAAGAAAGAAACAAGCTCCCCGGTGGTGCGCGGCGTCCGCCTGGTGAGGCAGGTGAGGTAGGAGGCCAATCTCAGCAGGGGATCCTCGCCGCCGCAGGTGGGAGTGAGGATGGTGAAAATATATTCGCCGTTCTGTGATTTCGTAGGCAAATCCTCCTTACTGAATCCCATGTTGACGCGGCTCTTGCGGCAGATGTTGCACGGGTCGAAGGGGTGAGTCTTGAACTTGGAGTCGGGGGCGTCAATCAGAAAGGCCTGGAGAGGAGATGGCAGCTTGATGTCACTGCCGTACTGACAATCCTGCCAACCGCCTTGCTGAGAGACTCGAGAAGACTGTGACCTCAGGAACGCCAGCTGGTGATAGCAGGCGTAGACGTAGTCCTGCAGCTGGCAGAGGAGGGCGCAGCAATCAGAGTCCTTGGATTGGTCCGGGTCCTTACGTTTTAATGTTGCCGATAATGCGATGTTACCTTTCCACTCAGGCGCAACGGCGGTGAGCACTGAGGCTGCGAACACGGCGGCAAGGTGGATGGTGTCGATGACATCTTTGGCGGTAATGCTAGAATCGTTGACCAAGAGTCGGAGATCTGAGGGGTCATTATCTCCGCGCTTGAAAGCTTTCTCAATACACTGTTTCATAGTCTCTTGGTGCTTTTTGTGTTGCAGTCCTGCGATCCAAGTGAGCATCTCCTTGACTGTACGCGGTGCCTCGGCAGGGAACAGTTCCGTCTCGGGGATATCGGTAGAGTCATGCGCGGTTTTCTGGGTGAGCCAAGGAACAGGGCAGTTGTCTTGTAATACGACTGTGTTTATCTTTGGCTTCTCTGTAGTAGGGAGATACTGCTCGGCTTCTGGCGGTGGAAGACTAAATGAGATTTTAGGTATGTACGGATCCGGAGGCGGGGGTACTGTGTCATTCCTAATATACGTCGAGTCATCATCGAAGTCCAAATCAAAGTCAAGATCGATGTCTGGTAGTCTGCGTTTGGGGACATAGACATCTACGTCGATATAATCTTCTTTGGCATCAGTTGCACGCTTTGGATGAGAGATGTCCACGTTTGCTCCGCGAAGGAGAGCTGTCTGAAGCATTTTTTGATCTACCACCTTTGCTTCAGCCTCCTTCTGATATCTATCGATTTCCATGGCCGCTTTATTATGAATCTCTTGTAAAATTCTTTCCTGTATTTTATTGAAATGATTGTCTTCCTTTTGCTTTGCATCAAATAAACGTTCCTGTTGGTCTTGTAATTTATATAGTAAGTCATCTTCCAGGTCACTCACCGCTTCACCGTCAAGCGGTGACGCTGAAGGCATATCAGAATCGGGCGCTGGCGACTGGACAACGTCGGCCACCTCAACGCCTCTAACACTGAATACATCTTGTCCAAACTCATACACGCCTACGCCGTCCAGCGACGTATCTCTCGGATCCGGAGGCATGGATTTAAATCCGTCAATTACGGGCACATCATCATCTCGAATTGAAGACAAAGTCTGCGGCCTGCTCTGATGAACTCCATATGTGGGAGGCGGCGGATTGTATTGAACCGCAGGGATAATAGGGTGCTGAGTTGCAATGTCCTTCTGCTTCTTGCGTTCCTCTGCCTCCTTTTGCTGTCTGAGTCTCTCTTCCCTCCGACGTTTACGCTCGTCTTCAGCTTCTTTTACCTTTTCATCCCACTCGTCGTGCATTTTCCTTCGTGCAGTAAAATCCCATGTCTTACCATCTCGGGGACAGTATTTTGTCGTGCCGCTGTCGAACCCAAGGTACACGGGTGGCTTGCCATTGGAGCAATTCTTGTTAGTCTCCCCACTCCCACCTCCACCAGGCGCCGTGTCAGCCGGCGCAGTACTGACGCTGCTTGGACTAGGATCGGAGGGTTGACTTATTAGTTGAGTAACAACTTTCCCAGCATCTTGCCCAATCCCCTGATCGACAGTTGACCCAGGGCCTGGACCTGAAACATTCGGACGCTGAGTGATCGCAGGGACTTGAGGGGGAGTAGGCGGTGGAGAGGGAGGCCCTGGAGGGAGTTGATGTGGAGGTTGACTAGGAGTTTGAACTTTAACACCTTGATTACTTGATGTATCTTGAGTCGAAGAAGACGCCGGGGTCACTGGACCAGTAGACCCTGCCGGGCCTGGAGCTCTCGTATCACCGGAAGACGGAGGTGGAGCATCAGACTTTACAACTGGTGAACCTGAAGACGTATCTGCACTTTGACCGTTACTCTGATTTGGAGACAAAGGAGTTGTAGTGCCAAGAGACTTGCCTTGGTTCTGTGCTCCCTCCGCTTTCTTGCCCTGGTTCTGTGCTCCCTCACTTTTCTTCCCCTGGTTCTGGGCTCCCTCCGTCTTCTTCCCCTGGTTCTGTGCTCCCTCCGCCTTCTTCCCCTGGTTCTGTGCTCCATCAGCTTTCTTGCCTTGGTTCTGTGCTCCCTCACTTTTCTTCCCCTGGTTCTGTGCTCCCTCCGCCTTCTTCCCCTGGTTCTGTGCTCCCTCACTTTTCTTGCCCTGGTTCCGTGCTCCCTCCGCCTTCTTCCCCTGGTTCTGTGCTCCCTCACTTTTCTTGCCTTGGTTTGAAGTTCCTTCAACTTTACTGGCAGTCGGCTTCGCCGCCTCGGCCTTGGTGACCACAGGCTTTGGGGGTTTTGGTTTGGGAATTTTAACAGTCTTTCCACTGTCCAGCAACTCTTCATCCTCCGGCTCCTCATCTTCCTCTTCATCTTGGTCATCCACATTTTCTTGATTTTTATCTTGCCTCTGTTGCCTTTCTTGCTCTTCTGCTTTACACTTCTCACCATTCAGAATGTCAACAAGCCTCTGCAAACCGCCACCGCTGCTTTTAAGCTCACTAATTGCAGTGTCCCACTCCTTTTGCAAAAGTTCATACGGGGCATTTTGTGTAGTATAGCTGTTAGAATAAAACGTGAATCCGTAGCGAATAAAGTTGTTGATGAAATAATTTTGAAGAGCTGTTATATCAACTTGCTTCAGGGCACCTCTCTTCGGCTTCGTGAACTTTACAGTACTAAAATTCTGAATTTTCGTCACGTTCTCTTTCACTTTACCCAAATGCTGTTGAAACCAACTGGCCATCTTCTTGGCGATATCTTGGTGTTTAAGGAAATGGTCTTGCCGCGCATAGCCTGTGAAGGAAAAGCGGTCCTTGGAGAATATTTTGCCGAGAGACGTCTTAAGTTTGTTGCAATGATCTCTTAATTCATTCCACTGGATGCATCTATTCTTCCTATACAAATGACTCTTAAACTCTTCATCACTCTTTAAGCCTCCAAATATCCTACAGAAATCTTCCACCAAGCGAAGAGCGTTGGCGACGTTCGGAGTCTCGGCGCCGGAGTCTGGAATTACTGTTGTGGAATACACGTCGAGGAAATAATTTTGTACTTTATCTTGCTTGTTCAGAATACTTTGAATGTCTTTGACCATTTTAGAAGCAGGGGAGTAACCACTCAGATGACCACTTTTCAGGTCACTTGCATCGAAGCCTCCAGGCATTACGCCGTACGTTGTATCGCCGGATGGAGCAATGAGATATTTGTCTACTGGGCCGGTCATGGATGCAGTGCCTTGACGTATACGGGCGTACATTTCAACCCATCCAACCATCTCATCCTTCCACTTCCCCCCTCCCAGCGCATCAAAGCCCGGGTCCACCTGGTACCGCAGAAAGTACAGGGCGGAGAGCAGTTTGGGGATGCAGTCAAGCAGAACGTTGAGGACATTTTTAGCGGTTTTTTGGCCAGTATATTTAGGCTGTGGTTTTGTGCATAATTTAGCGTGAAACTTTGACACGCTGCTAAGGAATGTGGTGAGTGCGTTTTCAATTTGTGGTTGATCAACAGTCTTGTATTTGCCATCAAGAAGCCTTTTCAGTCGGTAGGCCAGCTGTTCTTGCACGCCTTTATTGCCATTGAGCCACTGCAGAAACTGGAGACAGTCCTTAAGCGTGCGAAGCTGAATTTTATCCGCCGTCATCTTGCTTACGAAGGCACTAAGAACGATGACACTAATGAATGGGCACTAGGCTACTTGTACAAGAATACAAGTGAAAGCGTTTTACTGGTTAACCAGGAGACACTAAGGCGATAAAACCTCTGAGGTGACATCACCGCTTCCAGCTTACCAAGACACTCCCAAGTTGGTTGCAGAGGTAGTGATTGCAATGTTAATGGGTGACTCAGTGAAGGTGTTAGTGACGATTTGTGAGACATTTTAGAGTCGCAAGAGGGGCGTGGTAGGAGGCCTCCGCGGCCTCAATCCACCGACAAGGTGGGATGAAGGAGGCTATTTTGGGAGTGACGGCAAGGCGACAAAGGGAGGAGGGACAAGGCAAAGCAGCGAGTAGGTTACGTCATAGGTCATGTGCTAGGTAAGCCTTTTGGTTAAGTGCTAGGTCAGCCTTTTGGTTATGTGCTAGGTAAGCCATTTGGTTAGGCGATGAGTTAGGTGCTAGGCAAGGCGGGACATACAGTCACCATGAGAGACGTGGCATAACAACACAAAGAGAGAAATGTGAATGTAATGTAGCTAAAATAATTACTGTCATGAGTGAAAGTCGTCGTCGAAGTAATCGACGTCCTTGTAGAGTGAGAGCATCCTGCGGCTGCCGGCGAGCAGCGCCTTGACGTCGATGAGGTGGGATGCCCTGGTGGTGAGTAGGTGGGATCGTATGTGCATAACGTCCATGCGGTAGAGGAGGGAGTGGGCGATGTAGAGAGTGGCGGTGAGCCAGAGTGTGAACAGGGTGAAGAGGAAGGGGGCACGGATGCGATAGAGGTACTCGGGGATTGTCTCGTGCGCTAGCCTGTGGAGAGGATTCATTTGCTTGACGGCGACTTGCAGTGCCGTGCAGAGATCCTGGCAGGTCCGCTTGCCTTGGTGGCCGCTGGTGGATCCGGCGAGGGTGTGGACGTCTTTGAGCACGAAGCCGTACTGGAAGAGTGTGGGCGTAGTAGAGTCGCAGTCCACGATGGAGGGGCATGAATCATGGTGCTTGGAGCCATGAGCCATCCGTCGTCGCTTGGCTGTGCAGTCGTTGGCGCAGCTCCTGGCGTGGCAGGTGGACGTGGCGTCGGCGCAGTTGCGCTCGCAGTCTCGGAGTAGTGAACAGAGCAGGTCGTAGAAAGTCTCCGTGAGGTAGACTATCCACGAGAGGTAGAGGCGGGCGTGTTCCTTGGCGAAGGTGGCGCGGACGTCGTGGCCGAGTGGCTTGAGGTAGGGACCGCAGGGGTGTGACGGAGCGGAGCCTGGACTGCCGTTGCACTCGACGAGAGAGAAGAGGTCTCCGGTGAGGTGCGGCATGTTGGTGACGGAACGATGGTCACTGGTGCCGAAGATTGCAGAGACGTCCAGTGTGACGCCCCGCTGCCAGAAGCACGCGTCGCCGACGGCGTCCTCGAAGGCCGCCTTACGGTGCTCAACGCTTGTGTTCCACTCATTTGTGAGGTTGAAGAAGAAGGCGAACAGGTCGTCTGGCGTCCGTGGCGGGCGGGTGAGGAGGCATTCCAGGTAGCCGCAGAGCCTGGTGAGGGGCGACGATGCGCCGCCGCAGAAGGCGCCGAGGACGTCCATGATGGCTCTGCCTGGGCACGCACGGGAGGCCAGCCTGGTAATGTTGGAGAGGCCCATGGGCGTCTTGCACGGCAGGCCGGGCGACGTAGTGTCACAGCCGGAGCACGTGACACAGGTGCCATCTGCCGACACGTCATGCGGCAGGAAGCCCACAAGGCCGTCCTCGAGGAACGACTGGAGCGGCGACTTGACGCCGCACTTGGGATGGTGGTCACACTGTTGGTTACATATTTGGTTGTGTGTTTGGTTGCACTGTTGGTCACACATTTGGTTGGCACACAGCATGGTGTTGCACCTCCACGCTGAGCCACCGACGCCCCGGCCGTACCAGCAGTCGAGCCATCCGCCGTGCCGGGCGTTGTAAAGGCACCGGCGGTAGAGGAAATACAGCTGGTGGTGGAGGCGTTTGATGACGTCGTACAGCAGGCAGAGCAGCGCGTCAAAGTCAGAGGGATACAGCAGGCCTGCCGGGTTTGTGTTGAAGTCCACGGCGTAGATGCCTCCGGCATGGCCGAAGCCTAGTAACGTGGTGAGCACTGAATGCGACGTGTGGCACACCTCCGTGAGTGCGTCGGTGAGGGACGCCGGTGTTACGTTCTGCGGGTGGGCCTCCAGCGCCAGGCTGCTGAGGTTCATCAAGGGCACGTCGGAGTCCGCAGAGTCCTGCTCGTCCGGCGCCTCGAACAGCGAGGGCAGGGCATCATGAGTGACGCTCAGGTACACGGCGTTGTGCGGGAGACCGCAGCACCATTGAAGCATCTCGTAGATGGAACACGGCGGCCGGGGTGAGGGATGCACCTTCAGGTGGCACGTCCTGTAGTACTGCTGGAGGTGCGTGCAGAGGCATTTGAGGAGCTGTAAGAGATTACAGGCGTGTGTGAGGGAGAGGCATTTTTTGAGGTGTGCGTTGTTCTCTGTCTCCTCAATCTTCTGGCTGACCAGGACATACACGTCGTGGCCGTTGCAGTCGTCGCGCAGCTCGCCGTCCTGCTGAGTGTGGGAGGTGGAGACCTTGTAGCCGCAGCGGTGGAAGAAAGCGCCGAGTTTACTGGTTGAATCAATCTTCAAGTCCCTCCAGCCTGCAGCACCGCCTTTGCCGCACTGCTCCGCCAGCCTGGTGAAGGCGTCGCACAGTGTGGGCAGCAGGGTGAGAAAGACCTTGGCGCACTTCTCACCTTCGTCAGCGGTGAACTGTGCGCCGGCGTAGGCGGAGACGTACGCACATGTGAACTCGGCGGCGAACTGTGTGAGCCCCCCCACCAGGCCGTCCAGTAGGGGACTTGAGGGCCTGGCGAAGCTCTCAGGTCGCAGGTGACTCAGCGCGTCGGTGAGGCTGTGGAGCAGCGCTTGGAGTCTGTGGTCGAAGCTCTGTGTCTCGCAAAGATAATTGAGCAGGCTGTTAAGATCGCTGTGCACAGCGTCAAGCAAGGGAACGTAAGGGTCCTGAGATTTCGGCAGTGAAGGATTTTTCTCGTCATCACCATGCTTCTTCAGTCTCTCAATCTCCTTACGGAGATGCTCGTTGAGTGGCCCGAAAAAGTGCGCGAACGCGGAGGACAGTGCTTGAAGTTCCCTGCTTTTCACATCTTTGAGCCTATTAATGTTCACGCCTTTTCCGCCTTCAACCTGTTTCACAAACCCTTTATACCCTATCTGCAGATCCTCGGTTATCAACGGGGGTAAGGGAGTTAATTCTTCCTCCACCTTGGAAGCGAAGGCCTTCAGCGCCTCCTTGATGTTGGAGACATACTGCCGGCGTGCCTCTTTGATCAATGTCTCTTCGGCTGCCTTGAGTTCCTGGTCGACGAATTGTGTGAGGTCACGGATTATTTGCGCCTTGCCGTTGTCGAGGAATTTTAGAAAGCCTTTAAGCTCTCTTATCACACCCCTCACCTGCTCGCTCAGCAGATCACTGAGTCTGTTTTTGATGCCAGTCAGCTCAGTAAGGCCGTCACCTTTCAGACGCTTTAAGTCCCTGCTTAACTCGTTGGCCTCCATTCTAATCGCCGTGCACAGCTCCTTTAGTTTCTCCTTCACTTGGTCGACGTCCCTGGTTTTTATGGCCTCGATGTCTGTGGTGATTTTAGTGAGGCCTTTGTCTGCATCGCCGTTAAGTGTCCAGTTGTTTCCGCCGTCATTAAGACCATGGTCTTTCAGCTTTCTCAGCTTATCGGTGACTTGATTTTCCAACGTCTCTCTAAGGCTGTTAAGCTCATCGGTGATTTGTTGGACGCCTTGGTCAATGTTGCCGGGTTGGCCGTTCAACGTAATTTGTTGATGCTGAAGTTCACTATTAATTTTTGTGAGGCCTTTTGTATTTGCATCTTTTTTCCAGTCACCGCCACTTAGTCCATTGGTCTGCAAATCTTTCAGCGTGTTAATCACATCGTTGCCTGGCTTGTCGCCTTGCAACTCACCTTGGAGTTCTTTAAGTTCTAGTTTGATTGCTTCGTTGGCATCTTCTATGGCTTTTGGTTCAGTGCTGAACTTACCGGATTGGAGCGCCTTAATTGCCTTTTGAATGATCACGAGATCAACACTAAATCCATTTTTACTTTTTCCAATATACTTTGCTAATCTTTCCAACTGGTCAGTGAGGTCATCACTCATCACGAATGAATTTAACTTAATTCCAATTCTTCCGAGTTCAGCCTTAATATGGCGTATAGCTGTGTCAATTGCGTTTGGTTGATCCTTTAAAGTTTTTAATTCAGCGCTGAGGTCACTCTCGATTTTCCCAAGACCACTGAGAGGTTTACCGTTAACTGGCCAGTCACCATTCACAAGACCATTGTTTTTCAAGTCTTCCAGCCTTTCAATGACGTCATCATTATTACTATTCTTCAACTTCCCTCTAAGGTCTTGAAGCTCCACCTTAATAAGGGTGACGGCTCCGTCGATTGCAGCGGGTTTGTTCTGGATGTAGTTAAGTGTAAATTGCATCAAGGCCTTCAACTTTTATACCGCTTTGACATGCTGAGTGTAGGTCGACGCCAATTGTGGGACGCAAAAAGGGCGTGGCAGGTGGGATGATGAAGGCTGTTAGGGAGTGATGGCAAGGCGACAAAGGGAGAAGGGAGATGACAAAGCAGCGAGTAGGTTACATCTTAGGTTAGGTGCTAGGTAAGCCACTTGGTTATGTGCTAGGTGAGGCGTTTGGTTACATGTTAGGTAAGCCGTTTGGTTAGTGAGTTGGGTGCTAGGCAAGGCACGAGATACGGTCACCATGAGAGACATGAGATGACATGACATGGCAACACAAATAGAGGAATGTAAATGTAATGTAGCTGCAATAATTACAATCAAGAGTGAAAGTCATCGTCGAAGTAGTCGACGTCCTTGTAGAGTGAGAGCATCCTGCGGCTGCCGGCGAGCAGCGCCTTGACGTCGATGAGGTGTGAGGCCCTGGTGGTGAGTAGGTGCGAGCGGATGCGGAGGACGTCCATGCGGTAGAGGAGTGAGTGGAGGATGTAGAGCGTGACGGTGAGCCAGAGTGCTGTGATGGTGTAGAGGAAGGGGGCGCGGATGCGGTAGAGGAACTCGGGGATGGTCTCGTGCGCCAGCCTGTGGAGAGGGTTCATGTGCTTGACGGCGACTTGGAGGGTCTTGCAGAAATCCTCGCAGGTGCGCTTGCCTTGGTGGCCGCTGGTGGATCCGGCGAGGCTGTGGACGTCCCTGTGGACGAAGCCGTAGCGGAAGAGTGTGGGCGTGGTGGAGTCGCAGTCCACGATGGAGGGGCATGAATCATGGTGCTCGGAGCTCGGGGCCAGTGGCCGTCGCCTGGCTGTGCATTGGTTGTCGCAGCTCCTGGCGTGGCAGACGGACGTGGCGTCGGCGCAGTTGCGCTCGCAGTCTCGCAGCAGCTCTTGAAGGAAGTCGTAGAAAGTCTCCGTCAGGTACACTATCCACGAGAGGTAGAGGTGGGCGTGTTCCCTGGCGAAGGTGGCGCGTACGTCGTGGCCGAGGGGCTTGAGGTATGGGCCGCAGGGGAGTGACGGAGCGGAGCCTGGACTGCCGTTGCACTCGACGATTGAGAAGAGGTCCCCGGTGAGGTGAGGCATTTCCGTCTCGGAGCCGTGGCTGCTAGTGCCGAAGACTGTACTGACGTCCAGTTTCACTCCGCTCTGCCAGAAGCAGGCTGAGGCGACGGCGTCCTCGAAGGCCGCCTTACGGTGCTCAACGCTCTGAGTCCAGTCACATATGAACTGGTAGAAGAAAGCGAACAGTTCGTCTGGTGTCCGTGGCGGGCGAGTGAGGAGGCAACTCAGGTAGCCGCACAGCCTGGTGAGGGGCGACGATGCGCCGCCGCAGAAGGCGCCGAGGACGTCCATGATGTGTCGGCCTGTGGAGGCACGGGAGGCCAGCCTGCGCATGTTGGAGAGGCCCATGGGCGTCTTGCACGGCAGGCCGGGTGACTCAGTGTCACATCCGGAGCACTTGACACAGGTGCCGTCTGCCGACAGCTGGTGAGGCAGGAAGCCCACCAGGCCGTCCTCGAGGAACGACTGGAGCGGCGACTTGACGCCGCACTTCGGATGCTGATCACACGCTTGGTTGCATATTTGGTTGGCAATTTGGTTGCCTGTTTGGCTGGCCTCATGAGGACACTGTTGGTTGGCACACTGCATGGTGTTGCACCTCCACGACGATCCTCCGACTCCCCGGCCGTACCAGCAGTCGCGCCATCCGCCGTGCCGGGCGTTGTAGAGGCACCGGCGGTAGAGGAAATAGAGCTGGTGGTGGAGGCGTCTGAGGACGTCGAAGAGCAGGCACAGCAGCGCCTCCACGTCAGAGGGATACAGCAGGCCTGCCAGGTTGGTGTTGAAGTCGACGGCGTAGATGCCACCTGCGTGGCCGTAGCCGAGCAATGTGGTGAGCACTGAATGCGACCGGTGGCAGACCTCCGCGAGGGCGTCGGATAGGGACGCCGGTGTTATGCTCTCCGGGTGGGCCTTCAGCGCCAGGCTGCTGAGGTTCATCAAGGGCACGTCGGAGTCCGCAGAGTCCTGCTCGTCCGCCTCGAAGAGCGATGGCAGGGCATCGTAATTGACGTTAAGATTCACGGCGTTGTACGTAAGCCCGCAGCACCATGTGAGCATCTCGTAGATGGAACACGGCGGCCGGGGTGAGGGATGCACCTTGAGGTGGCACGTCCTGTAGTACTGCTGGAGGTGCGTGCAGAGGCACTGAAGGAGATCTAAGAGGTTACAGTGGTGTTGGAGGGAGAGGCATTTTTTGAGGTGTTCGTTGTCTGAGGTCTCCTCAATCTTCTGGCTGACCAGGACATACACGTCGCGGCCGTTGCAGTCGTCGCGCAGCTCGCCGTCCTGGTCAAAGGGAGAGGTGGCGACCTTGTAGCCGCAGCGCTGGAGGAAAGTGCCGAGTTGACTGCTTGAATTAATATGCAAGTCCCTCCACTTGCCGCCTTTGCCGCACTGCTCCGCCAGCCTGGTGAAGGCATCGCACAGTGTCGGCAGCAGGGTGAGGAAGACCTTGGCGCACATGGCGCCGTATGGCGTCAGGCTGCTGACGTTTCTGACGGTGACGGACTTTGTGCCTTGCGATCTTACGGTCTCGGTGAGGGTCTCATGTTTGAGCAAGTCGGCGGTGAACTGTGCGCCCGAGTAGGCGGAGACGTACGCACACGTGAACTCGGCGACGAACTTTGTGAGCCCCTCCGCCAGACCGTCCAGCAGGGGACTTGAGGGCCTGGCGAAGCTCTCAGGCTTGAGTTCACTCAACGCGTCGGTGAGGTTGCGGAGCAGCTCCGTGAGTCTGTGGTCGAAGGTATCGTTGTCCTTGAGGTAAGTGAGCAACTTGGTCAGCGCGTCGTACACCTCGTTGAGCTTACTGTTGTACGGCTCCTCGGACGGCGGGAGCAGAGGATTTTTCTTCCTGTTTTGCTCGTCGGCCTCTCTTCCTATCTCCCCCAGGAGATACGTCTGTACTTGCTCATAAAGCTCCCGGAACGCAGAGGATAATTGCGGAACGCTCTCTTCACGGCCCGTGAAATCGGAACTCAAAGGGCCATACATGTATTTTATTAAACCCTTGTAGCCCAAGTAGAGATCTCTATTAATTTCATTCGGCAACTCCTGAAGCTCCTCGCGGACCTTGGAAGCAAAGGCCTCCAGCGCCTCCTTGATGTTGGAGACACATTGCCGGCGTGCCTCCCTGATCAATGTCTCTTCGGCTGCCTTGATCTCCTGGTTGACGAATTGTGTGAGGTCTCTGATGAGTTGCGCCTTGCCGTTGTCGAGGAATCTTAAGAAGCCTCTCACCTCTGCTATCACAGGCCTCACCTGCTCTCTCAGCAGATCACTGAGTTTGTTTTTGATGCCAGTCAACTCTTCTAGGCTGTCACCTTTCATACGCTTTAAGTCTCTGCTTAACTCGTTGGCTTCCGTCCGTATCGCCGTGCACAGCTCCTTGAGTTTGTCCTTCACTTCGGTAACGTTCTCTGTTTTTATGGCCTCGATGTCTGTGGTGATTTTTTGGATGCCATTTACATTTGCTTTGTCTTCCGTCCAGTTGTTTCCGCCGTTATTAAGGCCATGCTGTTTTATCTTCTTGACCTTCTCGGTGACTTCATCGTTCAACTGCGTCTGAAGCCTTTTAAGCTCATTGGTGATCAGGGTGACGCCACCGCCGATTGCAGTGGGCTGAGTGGACAACGTAGTTTGTTGAGTGTTAAGTTCACCATTTATTTTTGCGAGGCCTTTTTCATTGTGTTCTTTTTTCCAGTCACCGCCGCCAAGTCCAGTGTCCCTCAGATCCTCCAGTGACTTTATGACATCCTTGTCCTTGGTGCCTTGCAACTCACCTTGAAGGGCAGTGAGTTCTTGTTTAATAAGGTCGTTGGCGTCATTGATTTCTCTGGGTTTATTAGTAAAATCGTTGCTTTGCAGTTGTCTAATTGCCTCCTGAATGCTTTTAAGGTTGACAGTGTAATTTCTTCCATATTTACCCTTATATGTACCAAGATGCTTTGCTAACCTTGTCATCTGATCCACAACGTCATCATAGGTCACAAATGAATTTAACCGAAATCCTATCCTTATAATCTCAGCGCCTATTGCGTTTACGGCCTCGGTGATTTTTTTTGTTTCCTGCGGCAACTTTACAATTTCAGTATTAAGCTCACTCTCGATTTTCCCAAGACCACTGAGAGGTTGACCGTTCGGTGTCCAGGTATTCTTACCAAGACCTGCAGTATTTAAATTACTCAAAGCGTTGATGACATCATTCTTCTCATCAGGTTTTTCATTCTTCAACTTCTGTCTAAGCTCTTGAAGCTCCGCCTTAATTTGCTCGACGGCTTTGCCAATTGCAGCGGGTTTGTTCTGGATGTAGTTAAGTGTAAATTGCATCAAGGCCTTCAACTTTTATACCGCTTTGACATGCTGAGTGTAGGTCGACGCCAATTGTGGGACTCAAAAAGGGCGTCACAGGTGAGGGACGGCTGGCGCCGGCAGGAGTGAGGAGGATGAGCTAACATCTGGTCAAAAAGGTAGGACGGGAAGTGGATTGCGCTATTGATAGGTGACTCAGTGACTGTATTGAAAACGATTAGTATGTTATTTTAGAGGTGGAAGAGGGGCGTGGTAGGAGGCGTCAGCGTCATTCATTCAGTGTAAAGGTGGGATGAGGAGGCTGTTTGGGGAGTGACGGCAAGGCGACAAAGGGAGGAGGGAAAAGGCAAAGCAGCGAGTAGGTTACATGTTTGGTTATGTTCTAGGTAAGCCATTTGGTTATGTGCTAGGTCAGCCACTTGGTTAGTCAGTGAGTTAGGTGCTGGGCACGACGTGCAGTCGCCATGAGACACATGACATGACACGGCAACACAAAGAGAGGAATGTAAACGTAATGTACCTGAGATAATTACTGTCACGGGTGAACGTCATCGTCGAAGTAGTCGACGTCCTTGTAGAGCGAGAGCATCCTGCGGCTGCCGGCGAGCAAAGCCTTGACGTCGATGAGGTGTGAGGCCCTGGTGGTGAGTAGGTGCGAGCGGATGCGGAGGACGTCCATGCGGTAGAGCACCGTGTGGGAGATGTAGAGCGTGGCGATGACCCAGAGTGCTGCGAGGCAGAGGAGGAAGGGCATACGGATGCAGTAGAGGAGCTCGTCGATCTGGCGGAAAAGGTTGGCGAAGTGGTTGGAGTGGACGACTTGGCTGAGCTGCGTGCGGAAATTACGGCAATATTTTCTGTTATTGCCGTGCAAGGCTCTCGTGTTTCCAAATGTAAATCCGTATGCGTGAAACGTCGGCAGGACGCCGTGACAGCTCACCAGTGCCTTGCACTTGCAGTTGAGGTCGACGCCATGTTGGCCCGGTCTGCAGGGACACGTCGAGCACCCGGAGCTTGCGCAGTCAATGTCTTGAAAGGCGTTGAGCAGTTGCTCGAGCAGGTACCAGAATCGCCATGCGGTGTATATGACCCACGACAAATATACCTCCGCGTGCTTCTCGGGGAAGGTGTGGTAGGCGTGGAAGGAGAGCGGTTGGAGGTAGGGGGCGCAGGTCAGTGAGTCGGCGCACCGCGACCGGACGGTGAGACTCGACAGGTCCGAGTGGGTGGCCTGTAAGGTGTTAGTGGCAGCGTCCGTTGGGGATGCGCCACTGTGGTCGTCGGGGGAGTGGTGTAGCCTGGTGAGGGCGTTGGTCAATTGCGCCGCCTGAGTGGTGGGACAGAGGTACAGAGAGACGCTGGGGATTGCCGCAGTGCTCAGGTGACCAGTGAAGTGGACGTTGTCAACGTACTCAGCGGACTGCCGGCACCGGAACACGTTGCAGTAGAACGCAAACATGTCACCGAGACTTTGAGGCGGCGAGGGGTCAATTGAGGAAAGGCAACGTAACAGTGTTGGCAGGGGTGACTCGGCACCACTGCACAGGGCGGTAAGCACGGCGCATATTTGCTCACCACTGCCGACAATGGACCCCGCATCCGGCAGGTCCCAGAAGCCCATGGGCGTGACACAGGGCATGCCGGGGGATGCGATAGAACACGTGTCGCACTGCGAGTCACAACCGACGGAGGCCAACTTATGCGGTAGGAAGCCCGCCAGATGGTCCATCAAATGGGCCTGTAGCGGGGATTTTGGTTGGCACGTTGACTGGCACATAGGTTGGCCATTTGGTCGGCACGTTGGTCGGCCATTTGGTTCACACATTAAGTGCTTGTTACATTGCCAGCTGGCGGCGGGGACGCTTCTGCCGTACCGGCAGTCGCGCCAGCCGTGGCCCGTGGAGGCATCATATTTGCATCGTGCGCGCAAAAAGTTGAGTGCAAGTAGCAAACATTTACATAAATGAGTCAGCATATGTAACAAATCGGCGAGGTCTGAGGGGTAGTGGAGGCCGCGTGAGTTGTCCCAGAAGTTGCAGGCGTAGGGGTAGTCGGCGTGGTCGAAGCCGCGACCGTTACCGCAGATGGTGACGAGGAGGGTACTGCTGTGATGTGTCACAAGGCCGAGTGCGCCGGGGATGCAGAGCAAGCAATGCTTGACCACTGCATCACCCTCGCCCCTGAACAGGACGTTGCAATGCGCCTGAACGCGCTCATAGAGCACGGAGTAAGGAAGCCCTGCGAACCACGCGAGAATGTCCCTGACGGTGCCGGGGTACCGTGGCTCAGGGGGAACACGCAAGTGACAGAGACGCAGGTAACACTTGAGCATGTCGTGGAGTTCGTCGAGTGGCTGTAAGGAACGTTTGACAAGCTCGTATATTTTGGTGCCTCTGCAGTCACTGTCGTTCCGCAGCTCGCCGTCCGGAACGCACGCCGAGGTGACGCGGTAGCCGCGTTGCTGGAGGAAGGCGCCCAGGGGGGTGAAGGGGTTTATTAATTTATCTGACCACTCGTCTGCGCATTTCATTCTGAGCTCGTTCAAATCGCGGAACAGCGTGTCGGTGATGGTCAGAAGGATCATGGCGCATTTCGCAGCTTCCGGGGTGTACACCTTCCTCCCCTCGTGGTAGAGCACGCGGCCCTCAAACGCCCCGTCGTATGTGGAGATGTACACCGTTCTCAGTTCCTTCTCAAACTTGTCCGCTGCCTCCGCCACGCCGTCGAGTATCGGAGTTGTGACTTTGGCGAATTTCTCCGGTCGCAGGGCTCCGACTGCCTTGGCGAGTTTATCGAGCATTTCGGGAAGTCTGCGGTCGAAACGTTTCTCCCTGCTGATGTGCTCCAGCAACTCCTCGAGTGCCTGGGTGACTTGATAAAGCCTCTCGGCGTAGTGATCCTCTGCCGGGGGTAGTGAGGGATTCTTCTTCTTGCTCTCCTCGCTGTGCACTCTCTTGATCTCTGTGCTGAGGTATCCCGAGAGCGCCAGGTGGAACCGCTTGAAGGCTGTGGACAGGGCGTCGAGTTGCAGCGTACCCTTTAGAGGAGAGATGTGAGACTCGAAGCGTTGCTGGAAATCATACACAAACCCCTTATACCCTATCTGCAGATCTCCATTTATTAACGGGGGTAAGGGACTTAATTCCTCTTCCACCTTCCGGGCGAACAACTTCAAAAGCTCCTTGATGTTGGAGACATACTGCTGCTTGGCGAAGGCTGTGATGTCCTCGATTGCGGTGGCCACTTGGCCGTTCACGAACGCTGTGAGGAACGCAATGCACTCCCTTCCGAACCTGTCGGCGTCTTTATTAATGAACTCCTTGCAGGCCTTGATTGGCCCACTCACCAGACGGATCTGAAGCTTACGGAGATTTTCTTTTATTTCTGTTAACTCTTCAAGGTTCTTCTCTTTCACTTCCTTTAAGGTGAACGCGGTGTCCTTTGCAATGTGCCGGATTTCTGTGCACAGCTCCTTGAGTTTCTCCTTCACGTCTTTAACGTCCCTGTCCTTTATGGTCTCGATGTCTGTGGTGATTTTTTGGATACCATTTACATTTGCTTTGTCAGTTGTCCAATTGGTTCCGCCGTTATTAAGGCCACTTTCTTTCAGCTTCTTGAGCTTTTCGGTGACATTGTTCTGTAAATCTTTCTGAAGCCTGTTAAGCTCATTGGTGATTGACTGGGCGCCTTGGTCTATTTTGCCGGGTTGTTGTCCCAACGTAGTTTGTTGAGCTTTAAGTGCACTTTCGATGCTTTTAAGGCCTTTTTTATCTTGACCATTAACATTCCACACCTTATCTCCACTTAGTCCATTGCTCTGCAAATCCTCCAGTGACTTTATGACATCCTTGCCTGGCTTGGAGCCTTGCAGCACACCTTGGAGGTCTTTGAGTTCTCCTTTAATTGCTGAGTTGGCTTGATGGATGGCAAGGGGTTTCTGAGTAAACACAACGGATTGCAGTTGTTGAATTTCATTGTGAATTACTTGAAGGCTGTCACCGTACTTTGTATTTCTTCCAATCTTGTGTTTTAATAGTGTCAAATTGTCCAAGATGTCATCAGGAGTGAATGGATAATCCAAATCGGCTCCCAACTTTATAAGCTCCCACTTAATATCGGCGATGGCTTTCTCGATAATTTTCGTCTGCACGGGCAATACCTTATTCTGATATGTGAGCTCATACTGAATTCTCCCAAGACCACTGAGCTTTTTCCCGTTCGGTGTCCAATCCTTATCACCGGTGCCAAGCCCCTTGGTTTGCAAATCTTGCAAAGCGTTGACAACTGGATTTTTATCATTATCATCATCATTCTTCAACTTCTCCCTAAGCTCTTGAAGCTGCGCCTTAATAAGGGTGACGGCTGTGTCAATTTGTGTCGGACCGGTATTAAATGCACCGTCTTTCAGCTCATTGATCTTTTCATAAATATCATTTAGACCTTTATCAGCTCCATTTAACTTGCCCTGATCAAGCGCACTTTTAAGCTCATCCAAGTAGTCCTTGATGCCATCTTGGTCACCGGTGTATTTTTCTGGTTGCTTGCCGCCTTTTGCTTTACTATCGACGAACCATGCGATTTCCTTGAGCCCTGTTTCGATTGTGGAGAGATGCTGGGAGACAGCTTTATTTGCTTCTTTTACTTGGCCTTTTGTAAGTTCTTGTTTTACTTGTGCTTCCTGGAATTCCTTCATCTGCTCGAAAGGCTGCAGCGCCTGGGGGATGTCTACGTCAGTCAGCTTCTTGTACAGGCCTTTTTTTCCAGATGGATCTGGCGCTTCTTTTTTCTTTTCTTCAAACGATGTCATGACTTTTTCAACCTCCAAATCACCACCGCCCTGTTGCATCCCCTCATTAACCTGCTGCTCAATCCCCTGAACGCTCTTCAGAATTTCGTTGTCCTGGGTGCTGGAGGTGGGAGATGCGGCAGCTTGCTTAGTCGCTTGATACGCATCTTCCAGATTGTTGTGCAGCTTTTTAGTCTCCTCAACTACTTTATCCAACACCTGTGCGATGCTTTTGCCGTTCACCCTGTCTTTCAGAAGAAGGATGGAGTCAATTTCGTTGGCCACCTGACTAGCGGTAGCGGAGAGACCAATTAACGCGGCTTGTATGGCGGGTTTAATAGCGGCTTGAATGTCGTGGCCGCCGTAACCCTTCCATTTACCCTCACTGACAATACCCTCGAATATCTGGTCGGCAAGCTTCTGAATTCCATCGGACGCTAGTTTCTCATCAAGCCCACTAACAAATGCCTCGCACGCATTTTTGACGGATGTAATGGTTTTTTCGATTTTACCACTGGACGTATCAACCTTTTTCTTGCCTGCCTCAATTTCACTATGAAGCTTCGTCTTAATCTGCTCGATAATTTTATTACTCCATACAAACCCACGGTCACCACCTTTCAGCAGCGTCACCACGTCCATCCCGCTCCCCTTCCCACCGTTATCCTGAACAAACTTCTGAAGCCACTTTTTAGGGGGCTTGGTATCATCTTTATCCTTCCCCAAAATGCCCTCCGCCCAACCGCCTACTATCCTTTTAAAGCTCCACGCCTCGCTGAATGCATTCGCGTAGCTGCTAATCAACGCGTTTGCAACAGCTTCAATACCGCTGCCATTTTCAATTTTCCAACTATTATGTCCATCTCCTGGTTGCCCCGCCTCCCCCTTAATCTGTCCCACACTCTTCTGAATTTCACCAAGCATACTCCCAACATGCTTTTTCATCCCTTCCACAATACTCTTCTGCAAAGTCTGCAAATCCTGTTTCATGCCGGTCTCCAAATCTGTAATGGCTGCAGGAACTGCAGTCTCCAACGCCATAACCTTCTCATGCGCCTGGCTGTAAGCAGTCAAGAGGTTCTCAGCTTTTTTCTGCATTGCGTCAGCTTGCTGTTTAATCACACCGTCCGGCTTGCCATTCTTATAAACTTTACCAAGTATATCATCACACTTCCCCTGCGCCTTGGTAATAACATCCTTGGCGGCAGACTTCCACTTACCCAAATTCTCAACTTCAGTGCCAAGAGTTTTATTAGCGTCGACAATTTTAGATTTAGCATCTTCAATACTATTAACACTTTTACTAATCTCCGATTTATTATCATCTTTCAATGCATCATGAACTTGCGTCGCCTTTTCAATCGCCCCGGTAAGCACTTCCCCGGCCTTAATCTTCCAGTCACTCAAACTTTTTCCAACACCACTCAGCTGAGTATGTACTCCTTTAATCTTCTCATTTGCCGTCACAATCTCTCCGATTTTGTTACTCAGAGTCTCATTAACCTTCAACTTGTCGTAGGCTTCCTTGGCCTTTTCCTCAGCGGCCTGACGGATTTTCTCAGCCTCGGTGATCCAAGTGTTCAAGTTGGTAATCTGTTGGAGAAGAGTGTAATTTGCAATGTTAATGGCACAAATGTTATGACAAATCACTGCCACCTTATGACATCACGATCACCGCCAGGCCAGGATGACGGCAGTCGGTTGCTGATGTGGATGGCCAAGGCGGCAAGCAAGGGGCGACTCAGGGCAGCGAGTAGATATAGGTTAGGTGGTTGGTTATGTGCTAGGTCAGCCGTTTGGTTAAGTAGTTGGTTAGGTGCTAGGCAAGGCACGAGACACAGTCACGATGAAAGACGTGAGATGACATTACACGGCAACACAAAGAGAGGGATGTAAATGTAAATGTAGCTAAGATAATTACTGTCACGAGTGAAAGTCGTCGTCGAAGTAATCGACGTCTTTGTAGAGTGAGAGCATCCTGCGGCTGCCGGCGAGCAGCGCCTTGACGTCGATGAGGTGGGAGGCCCTGGTGGTGAGGAGGTGGGAGCGGATGCGCAATACGTCCATGCGGTAGAGGAGTATGACGAGGATGTAGAGCGTGGCGATAGACCAGAGTGCTGTGATGGTGTAGAGGAATGGTAGACGGATGCCGTAGAGGAACTCGGGGATGGTCTCGTGCGCCAGCCTGTGGAGAGGGTTCATCTGCTTGACGGCGACTTGCAGTGCTGTGCAGAGATCCTCGCAGGTGCGCTTGGAATGGTGGCCGCGGGTGGATCCGGCGAGGCTGTGGGCGTCCCTGAGAGCGAAGCCGTACTGGAAGAGTGTGGGCGTGGTGGAGTCGCAGTCCGCGATGGAGGGGCATGATTCAAGGTGCTCGGAGTCCGGGGCCATCGGCCGTCGCTTGGCTGGGCATTGGTTGTCGCAGCTCCTGGCGTGGCACTCGGACGTGGCGTCGGCGCAGTTGCGCTCGCAGTCCCGGAGCAGTGAACGGAGATAGTCGTAGAAAGTCTCCGTGAGGTATACCACCCAGGAGAGGTAGAGGTGGGCGTGTTCCCTGGCGAAGGTGGCGCGTACGTCGTGGCCGAGGGGCTTGAGGTATGGGCCGCAGGGGTGTGACGGAGCGGAGCGAGGAGTGCCGTTGCACTCGACGAGTGAGAAGAGGTCCCCGGTGAGGTGAGGCATGTTGGTGACGGAGCCATGGTCACTGGTGCCGAAGATTGTACTGACGTCCAGTGTCACGCCCCGCTGCCAGAAGCACGCGTCGCCGACGGCGTCCTCGAAGGCCGCCTTACGGTGCTCGCCGTCATTATGCCACTCGCATATGAAGTTGAAGTAGAAGGCGAACAGGTCGTCTGGCGTCCGGGGCGGGCGAGTGAGGAGGCAATTCAGGAAGCCGCACAGCCTGGTGAGGGGGGATGACTTTCCGCCGCAGAGGGCGCCGAGGACGTCCATGATGCGTCGCCCTGTACCCGCACGGGAGGCCAGCCTGGTGATGTTGGAGAGGCCCATGGGCGTCTTGCACGGCAGGCCGGGTGACTCAGTGTCACATCCGGAGCATGAGACACAGGTGTCCTTGGGCGACAGCTGGTGAGGGAGGAAGCCCACCAGGCCGTCCTCGAGGAACGACTGGAGCGGCGACTTGACGCCGCACTTAGGGTGTTGGTCACAGCGTTGGTTACATATTTGGTTGTGTGTTTGGTTGCACTGTTGGTCACATATTTGGTTGGCACACTGCATGGTGTTGCACCGCCACGATGAGCCTCCGACGCCCCGGCCGTACCAGCAGTCGAGCCATCCGCCGTGCCGGGCGTTGTAGGTGCACCGGCGGTAGAGGAGATACAGCTGTTGGTGGAGGCGTTTGAGGACGTCGAAGAGCAGGCAGAGCAAAGCGTCCGCGTCGCCGGGGTAGAGCAGGCCTGCCGGGTTGGTGTTGAAGTCGCAGGCGTAGATGCCTCCGGCATGGCCGAAGCCTAGTAACGTGGTGAGCACTGAATGCGACGTGTGGCACACCTCCGTGAGTGCGTCGGTGAGGGACGCCGGTGTTACGTTCTGCGGGTAAGCTTCCAGCGCCAGGCTGCTGAGGTTTATCAAGGCCACGTCGGATTCCGCAGAGTCCTGCTCCTCCGCCTCGAACAGCAAAGGCAGTGCTTCGGAGTTGAGGCCCAGGTACACGGCGTTGTACGTAAGCCCGCAGCACCATTGAAGCATCTCGTAGATGGAACACGGCGGCCGGGGTGAGGGATGCAGTTTGAGGTGGCACGTCCTGTAGTACTCAGTGAGGTGCGTGCAGAGGCATTTGAGGAGCTGTAAGAGATTACAGGCGTGTGTGAGGGACAGGCATTTTTTGAGGTGTGCGTTGTCATGGGTCTCCTTAATCTTCTGGCTGACCAAGACAAACACGTCGTGGCCGTTGCACTCGTCGCGCAGCTCGCCGTCCTGCAGGGTGGGAGAGGTTGAGACCTTGTAGCCGCAGCGGTGGAGGAAAGTGCCGAGTCCGTTGCGCAGATTGTTGTTGTAGTCCCTCCACTTGCCGTTCTTCCCGCACTGCTCCGCCAGCCTGGTGAAGGCGTCGCACAGTGTGGGCAGCGTGGTGAGAAAGACCTTGGCGCACATGGCACCGTATGGCGTCAGCTTGGTAACGTTTTTGGCGGTGACGGACTTTGTGCCTTGGGATCTTACGGTCTCAGTTAAAGTCTCATTTTCGACCAAGGCAGCGGTGAACGTCTGCCCGGCGTATCTTGAGACGTACGCACATGTGAACTCGGCGACGAACTTTGTGAGCCCCTCCACCAGGCCGTCCAGCAGGGGACTTGAGGGCTTGGCGAAGCTCTCAGGTCGCAGGTGACTCAGCGCGTCGGTGAGGCTGCGGAGCAGCGCTAGGAGTCTGTGGTCGAAGGTATCGTTGTCTTTGAAGTACGTGAGCAATGCGTGAAACGCCTCGTTCACCGCGGAGAGCCTAGTGGAATGCTCCTGTGCGTCCTGCCGCTTGGGATTTTTCCTCTGCTCCTCGTCGTGGAACCGATTTATCTCCCTGTCCACGTGGTCCTCGAGTGACGAGTAGAAACGCATGAAAGCGGAGGACAGCGGTGGGAGGCTCCTTGACTCCTTGAGTTTCTGGACGTTGAGGTCATTTTGCAGGCCGTGCTCCACTCGGGCCATCAGGCCCTTGTACTCCAGTCTCAGGTCCCTGTCGATCTCCCACGGCAACTCCCGCAGCTCCTCTTCAACCTTCCGGGCGAAGGCCTTCAGCGCCTCCTTGATGTTGGAGACATACTGCTGCCTGGCGAAGGCTGTGATGTCGTCGATTGCGGTGGCCACTTGCCCGTTGACGAACGCTGTGAGGGACGCAATGCATTCCCTTGCGAATCTGTCGGCGTCCCTGTCAATGAACTCCTTGCAGGCCTGAATTGGCCCACTCACCAGACGGATCTGCAGGTTGTGCAATTGGTCTTTTATTCCAGTCAACTCATCAAGGCTGTCACCTTTCAGACGCTTTAAGTCCCTCTTCAACTCGTTTGCTTCCGTCCGGATCGCCGTGCACAGCTCCTTTAGTTTCTCCTTCACGTCCTCAACGTCCTTGGTTTTTATGGCCTCGATGTCTTCGGTAATCTTAGTGAGGCCTTTTGCAGAGTTGTTGTCAATTGTCCACGCTTCTCTACCTTCATTAAGGCCACTGTCTCTCAGCTTCTGCAGCCTTTTAGTGACGTCATTTTCCAACGTGTCTCTAAGGCTGTTAAGCGACAGGGTGATTCCTTGGATGCCGGCGGTGATGTCACTATGCTTGCTAAAACGTTCCTTTTGAAGGTTGTCAATTTCCTCCTTTATTGTCTCGAAACCCTTTACACTTTGTGCTTTATCATCCCAGTTTACGCCTTTTTGAAGCCCCTGCTCTCTCAACTTCGTCAGTTTGCCGGTGACATTGTCTTGCAAGTCACCTTGGAGGGTTGTAAGCGCTGAGGTCATTTTTGTAACAGCATCTTGGATGTTATTAGGATGCGTAGTGAAATCTGTGTTTTTCAGCATTTTAATCTCCTCATTAATGCCATGGAGATTTTCTTTGTCCTTCACTCTGCTTTTACCGATTTGCCTTTGCAGAGCCTGCAAGTAGTCCACGACGTCACCATCCACGACCACATTATGTAACCGGATTCCGACAAGTGCAAGTTGCCTTCTGATATTTTTGATGGCGTCAGTAATTTTGTCGGTTGCTGTGGGCAACTTGGCATTCTGCCCTTTAAGGTCCTTGTGGATTTTCCCAAGGCCGTCAACCTCTTGACCATCATCATTACTAAAAAAATTCTTACTATTCTTCCACCTTTCAGTGCCAAAACCATCGCTTATCAAGAATTTCAAAGCATGTATGACATCTTCCTTACTGCCATGTTTTCCTTTCAACTCCCCTCTCAGCTTTTCAAGCTCCTGGGTAATCTGGTTGACGCCAGTGGAGATTGCAGCGGGCTGGGTGGTCAACTGAGTTTGTTGAGTGTGAAGGGTATTTTTAATATTGTCAAAGCCCTTTGCTTCTTTACCGTTAGGTTGCCACTTGTCAACATTATTAAGTCCAGTGATCATCAAATCCGTCAACTGGTCAACGACGCCGTCCTTTTTGCCTTGTTCACCTTTCAACTCCTTTCTGAGGTTTCTGAGTTCATCCACAATTGCCTGTTTGGCATCTTGGATTTTGGTAATTTGGGGAGGTAACGCTTTTTCTTGCAGACCTTTAACAACCTCATGGATTTTCTCAAGGCGTTTAACAGTTTTGCCTGCATCGGATTTCAGCGCATAATTTTCGTCACCACTTCCATTCTTAATCATGCCATCCAAATCCTCCACGTAGTGATAAACATCTTCTTTTTTACCTTGCAACGGCGGGTTTTGATCTTCCTTCTTAACGAGGTCCCTGACGGCTTTTACGAAGCCATCGAATTTTTGTCCATGGTCGGAGTGGAGATCTTTGATTTCTTGTTGGACAGCATCTTTGCCTTGTTTGCCGGAGTATTTTGTCTTATTTTCGGCGGACACTTGAAGCTCTGGAATTTTACTGGTAATTTTATCCCACTCTTTGCTCACCTTCTCTGTCATATGCGTATTATATTCCTTCGCGACTTCACCAAGCTTATAATTTGGCGGGGCACTTGGAGCGCCGCTCGGCTGCGCCGTCTCCTTCGGAAACTTATCCGCAACTTCAGTATCAATTGCCTTATCAAGCTTGTCGGAGATTTTAGCCTGATTGCCAACTTTGTGATCGGAGCCTTGTCCATTAAGCGCCTTTTCGAGATTGTCGTGAAGCCCATTCACAACCGGCGTCATTCTGTCAAGGATGGAAGCGATGCTTCCTTCACTGGGGCTGATGCCGTGCTTCTCGTCGATGTTGAGGAACACTGAATTAAGCTCCTTGCCCACCTGCCGGGCCACCGAGGACACGACGAGGAGCGTGGTGGCGATGGCCTGCGTGAGGTTGCATTTTGGTTGCTCGCATTTTTGGCACTTATCTGGAGTTCCTTTTTTGCAGTTATTCCCGCAACCACACTGACAGTCTGCCTTTTCTAAGACCCTTTGTAAGTTGCCTTTTGTGCTTCGTGATTCCGGACTGTTCATCGCATCCTTGGCCTTCTTGGCCAACGCAAGGACACCATCACTCTCTGGATCCTTCTCCAGTTTCTCATCAAGCGCCTTGGCAAACAGTGTGCAGGCATTTTTGACCTGTGTGATTTTTTGCTGGATGCCGTCAGTATCAGTGGATTGTGTATATTTGAACATTTCAACCGCTGCGTTAATTTCCTTTTCAAGCGGTTCCTTAATAAAGCCTCCGAGACCACTGTCATTAAGCTGCTTCCTAAGCTCCTCCTCCACCCACTTACCCTGCCACCCAAGCAGCTTTTTAATCAGGCCGTTATGAGCAAGAATATCATCGATCCAACCGCCGACTGCTTTGGTGAAAGTGCTCTGGAAAAAAGTGAAATAATGCTGCACTCCCTGCTCAATGCCTTCAAGGCCTGTGTTTAAGGATGCATCCCCCTTAATCTGTCCCACTTGCGTCTTTATTTCACCAAGCATCCCACCAACATGGCTCTTCATCTTCTGCACAATACTCCCTTGCAGCCTTTGCAAATCCTCTTTCATGCCTTCTTCCAAATCTTTAACGGCATTTTGAACTTTCAGTGTCAAACCGGTAACTTCAGTATGCGCCTCCGCGTAAGCGGTCAAAAGGTCTTTGGCTTTATTCTGCAGCGCCTCAGCTTGCTGTTTAATTACACCGTCCGGTCGGTCACCCTTATAAACCCTCTTAAGTATCTCATCACACTTCTCGTTGGCCTTGGTAATAACATTCCCGGCGGCAGACTTCCAGTCTTCCAGACTCTTCACATGTCCTTCAAGTTCCTTGTTTGCAGTCTGAATTTGCGTTTTAGCTTTGTCGATTCCATCAATTTCTTTCCCAATACCCTTCCTTGTCTCACTGTCATCCAATGCATGCCAAACTTCCGTCGCCTTCCCAATCGCCCCGTCAAGCACTGTGCTGGCCTCCTGCTTCCAACTATTCAAACTCCCAATATGACCATTCAGCTTCCCATACACTTCATTAATTCTGTCTTTAGCTGCCACAATCTTCTTAACATTTTTGTCCAATGTCTTATTAACCTTCAACTTATCATAGGCTTCCTTGGCCTTTTGCTCTGCCTGTTGACGGATTTTCTCAGCGTCGGTGATCCAGGTACCTAACTTGGTAACTTGTTCGCCAAGTTGGTCTTTTGCGCTATCGAGTTGCGTTTTAGCTTCTTCAATAGTCTTAATGTTCTTACCAATTTTATGCTGATCATCTTGTGTATTAGGGTCCAACTTGTCACGCACGTCCTGCGCCTTAGTAACCACTTTCCTAAGAACTTCACCTGCCGTGGTATTCCAATTGTGCAAATCTCCGTGAACGTCAATCAGCTTCTGATTGACACCTGAAACTGCTTCTTTAGCTGTAGTAATCTGCTGAAGTCCCTTGCCAATCTGTGTCGCCTCGCCAGGGGGATCTTTTTGTTGAGTGGGATCCATGTTCTTATGCACATCATACCCCTTCTCAATCGTTCCTTGGAGTACTTTTTCCGCCGCTGCCTTCCATTTTTGTAAATCCTTAGCTCTGCCATCCAACTCGGTTTCAACCTTGTGAATCGCCGATTCAAGTTTGGGCAAATTCTGAGATTTAGCAATTCCATTCACCTCATCCAAAATCTTCTGGACTAAATTCTGCGCGGCTTCAATGTCTTTCGTAGTTTTTACGATCCACTTGTCCAGGTCCATAATGTATTTCCCAAGCGTTTTACTGACTTATTCAAGGTTCTATTAAAGGTGATCAGTGGCCTATTTTGGAGGTGCAAGAGGGACGTGGTAGGAGGCGTCCGCAGCCTCAATACACCGACAGGTGGAATGAGGGAGGTTGTTTTGGGAGTGATGGCAAGGCGACAAAGGGACAGGGGAGATGACAAAGCAGCGAGTAGGTTACATCTTAGGTTAGGTGCTAGGTGGGCCGTTTGGTTACGTGCTAGGTTAGGCATTTGGTTACATGTTAGGTAAGCCGTTTGGTTAGTGAGTTAGGTGAGCCATTTGGTCATGTGCTAGGTGAGCCATTTGGTCATGTGCTAGGTGAGGTGCTTGGTTAGGTGGTAGGTAAACCTTTTGGTTAGGCAGTGAGTCAGGTGCTAGGCAAGGCACGAGATACAGTGACGGTGAAAGACGTGACATGACATGGCAACACAAAGAGAGGGATGTAAATGTAAATGTAATGTAGCTGAGATAATTACTGTCACGAGTGAAAGTCATCGTCGAAGTAATCGACGTCCTTGTAGAGTGAGAGCATCCTGCGGCTTCCGGCGAGCAGCGCCTTGACGTCGATGAGGTGGGAGGCCCTGGTGGTGAGAAGGTGGGAGCGGATGCGGAGGACGTCCATGCGGTAGAGCATCGTGTGTGCTATGTAGAGCGTGGCGATGAGCCAGAGCGCTATGATAGCGAAGAGGAAGGGCATCCTGATATTGTACAGGAATGTGTCCATGGCGGTCATGAGGCCTGCGATAGGCTCTCCGGCGACCACTTCTTCCAGCTTGGTGATGACGTCCGAACACGTGAGTGACGGCTGCAGTGCCCCGTCCGGCGGCGTGAACCCGTGAGAGTAGAGGAGGGGCATGGCCTTGTCACACTGGTTGAGGGGCTTGGCGGCGTGACATTGAAGCTTCTCGAGATCATAGTGCAGCCTGAGAAGTGACTCGTGTAGTCTGTCTGGTAGGTGAACCGTCCAGCTGAGGTAGTGGTGCGCGAAGCTGGAAGAGTACAGGGCGTAGGCCCGGTAGGTGATGGGCGAACAATGTGGACTGCAGTGGACGTTGTTAACCTCGCATCCAAGCAGCGTGGACAGAGTCTCGGGATGGTCCTTGTCGTGGTCGTGGATGGAGTTGTGAGTGGCGGAGCCTCGGGCTTCCCTGATGACTTGGAGATCTTCCTCCCCAAGAAAGTCCCAGTCGGGGCAGTCGTAATGTGGACTGGAGAGGGCGGAGCCAAGTGAAGACAACTTTGAAGATGGTAAGTGCAGTTCATTCCCGAAATTGTGGAAGAATGATACGAGCTCCCCGGTGGTGCGCGGCGTCCGCCTGGTGAGGCAGTTGAGGTAGGAGGCCAGCGTCAGCAGCGGATCCTCGCCGCCGCAGGACGGAGTAAGGATGGTGGAAATAGACTTTCCAGTTTGCTTAGATTCAGGTAAATCCTTCTCCCTGAATCCCATGTTTACACGGCTCTTGCGGCAGATGTTGCACGGGTCGAAGGGATGTGTCTCGAACTTGGAGGCGGAAGCGTCAGTCAGAAAGGCCTGGAGGGGGGACGGAGTCTTGATATCACTGCCGTACTGACATTCCTGCCAACCACCGTCCTTGGTGTTCCAAGAACACTGAGACCTTAGGAACTCCAACTGGTGGCAGCAGGCGTACACGTAGTCCCGCAGCTGGCAGAGGAGGCGGGCGGGGTCGTCGGAGTAATAAAAGGCATATTTTTCTTTATCCTTGAAAAATGTCTGAAAGTCTTTTGACACATTAATATGCCTTAATTTGTAGAGTACGTTCGCCGAGTAGAGACACGCCTCGGTCAGAGTCTGAGAGACATGGGAAGCGGTCAGGTTGTAAGGTTCCCTGGTGACCTCGAGGGCATCTGAGGGCTGGGAAGCATCCTTGTTATACTCCCTTAAAAGGTCTGCAACATGCTCCTTAATAATCTCAACATACCCATATTGAGTCATTCCAACCAGCCAGAAGAGCATTTCCCTGACGGTCTTGGGAGGCGGCAGTTGGTCGGTGTTTGGGGGAGGGGATGGAGTTGGAGGGGTGGTAGTGGAGGAGGAAGGTGGTAGGTGAGCACTTTGGTTATGTGCTAGGTGAGCCATTTGGTTACGTGCTAGGTGAGCACTTTGGTTAGGTGGTAGGTAAGCCGTTTGGTTAAGTGCTAGGTTGGGCATTTGGTTATGTGCTAGGTGAGCCATTTGGTTAGGTGCTAGGTGAGGTGCTTGGTTAGGTGGTAGGTAAACCTTTTGGTTAGGCAGTGAGTCAGGTGCTAGGCAAGGCACGAGATACAGTGACGGTGAAAGACGTGACATGACATGGCAACACAAAGAGAGGGATGTAAATGTAAATGTAATGTAGCTGAGATAATTACTGTCACGAGTGAAAGTCATCGTCGAAGTAATCGACGTCCTTGTAGAGTGAGAGCATCCTGCGGCTTCCGGCGAGCAGCGCCTTGACGTCGATGAGGTGGGAGGCCCTGGTGGTGAGAAGGTGGGAGCGGATGCGGAGGACGTCCATGCGGTAGAGGAGTGAGTGGAGGATATAGAACGTGGCAGTGAGCCAGAGTGTGAACAGGGTGAAGAGGAAGGGGGCACGGATGCGATAGAGGAACTCGGGGATGGTGTCGTGCGCCAGCTTGTGGAGAGGGTTCATTTGCTTGACGGCGATTTGCAGTGCCCCGCAGAGATCCTCGCAGGTCCGCTTGGCGGGGTGGCCGCTGGTGGAGCCGGCGAGGCTGTGGGCGTCCCTGTGCACGAAGCCGTACCTGAAGAGCGTGGGCGTGGTGGAGTCGCAGTCCACGATGGAAGGGCAGTCGGCAGTGTGATTGGAGCTCGGGGCCATGGGAAGACGCTTGGCTGTGCAGTCGGCGCAGCTCCTGGCGTGGCAGGTGGATGTGGCGTCGGCGCAGGTGCGCTCGCAGTCCTGGAGCAGTGAACAGAGGATGTCGTAAAAGGTCTCGGTCAGGTACACCACCCAGGAGAGGTAGAGGTGGGCGTGTTCCCTGGCGAAGGTGGCGCGTACGTCGTGGCCGAGTGGCTTGAGGTATGGGCCGCAGGGGTGTGATGCTGGAGATAGTGGACTGCCGTTGCACTTGACGAGTGAGAAGAGGTCCCCGGTGAGGTGAGGCACATCCTGCTCGGAGCCATGGTCACTGGTGCCGAAGATAGAACTGACGTCCAGTGTCACGCCCCGCTGCCAGAAGGACGCAGCGCCGACGGCGTCCTCGAAGGCCGCCTTACGGTGCTCGCCGCTGCTACGCCAGTCACATATGAACTGGTAGTAAAAGGCGAACAGGTCGTCTGGCGTCCGTGGCGGGCGAGTGAGGAGGCAATTCAGGAAGCTGCAGAGCCTGGTGAGGGGCGACGATGCGCCGCCGCAGAAGGCGCCGAGGACGTCCATGATGCTTCGGCCTTGGGAGGCACGGGAGGCCAGCCTGGTGATGTTGGCAAGGCCCATCGGCGTCTTGCACGGCAGGCCGGGTGACTTGGTGTCACAGCCGGAGCATGAGACACAGGTGTCCGTGGCCGACAGGTGGTGAGGCAGGAAGCCCACAAGGCCATCCTCGAGGAACGACTGGAGCGGCGACTTGACGCCGCACTTGGGATGTTGGTCACAGCTTTGGTCACACATTTGGTTGTGTGTTTGGTTGCACTGTTGGTCACACATTTGGTTGGCACACTGCATGGTGTTGCACCTCCACGCTGAGCCTCCGACTCCCCGGCCGTACCAGCAGTCGAGCCATCCGCCGTGCCGGGTGTTGTAGGTGCACCGGCGGTAGAGGAGATACAGCTGGTGGTGGAGGCGTTTGAGCACATCGTACAGCAGGCAGAGCAAAGCGTCCGCGTCGCCGGGGTAGAGCACGCCTCCCGGGTTGGTGTTGAAGTCGCAGGCGTAGATGCCTCCGGCATGGCCGAAGCCTAGTAACGTGGTGAGCACTGAATGCGACTGGTGGCACACCTCCGTGAGTGCGTCGGTGAGGGACGCCGGTGTTACGTTCTGCGGGTGGGCCTCCAGCGCCAGGCTGCTGAGGTTCATCAAGGGCACGTCGGAGTCCGCAGAGTCCTGCTCGTCCGGCGCCTCGAACAGCGAGGGCAGGGCATCGTAATTGACGTTAAGATTCACGGCGTTGTACGTAAGCCCGCAGCACCATGTGAGCATCTCGTAGATGGAACACGGCGGCCGGGGTGAGGGATGCACCTTGAGGTGGCACGTCTTATAGTACTGCTGGAGGTGCGTGCAGAGGCATTTGAGGAGCTGTAGGAGATTACATGTGTGTTGTACGGCCAGGCATTTTTTGAGGTGTTCGTTGTCTTCGGTATTCCTAATGTTCTGGGTGACGAGGACAAACACGTCGCGGCCGTTGCAGTCGTCGCGCAGCTCGCCGTCCTGGTCAGAGGGAGAGGTGGAGACCCTGTAGCCGCAGCGCTGGAGGAACGTGCCTAGTTGACTGCTTGAATTAATGCTCAGATCCCTCCACTTGCCGCCAGTCTTGCACTGCTCCGCCAGCCTGGTGAAGGCGTCGCACAGTGTGGGCAGCGTGGTGAGAAAGACCTTGGCGCACTTCTCACCTTCTTCATCGGTGAACGTCTGCCCGGCGTATCTTGAGACGTACGCACATGTGAACTCGGCGGCGAACTTCGTGAGCCCCTCCACCAGGCCGTCCAGCAGGGGACTTGAGGGCCTGGCGAAGCTCTCAGGTCGCAGGTGACTCAGCGCGTCGGTGAGTTTGCGGAGCAGCGCTTGGAGTCTGTGGTCGAAGGTATCGTTGTCCTTGAAGTAGTGGAGCAATGCGTGGAGTGCCTCGTTCACCACGGAGAGCCTAGTGGAATACTCCTGTGTGTCCTGCCGCTTAAGATTTTTCTTCCTCTGCTCCTCGTCGTGGAACCGATTTATCTCCCTGTCCACGTGGTCCTCGAGTGACGAGTAGAAACGCATGAAAGCGGAGGACAGCGGTGGGAGGCTTTTTGACTCCTTGAGTTTCTGTACGTTGAGGTCATTTTCCAAGCCGTCCTCCACTCGGGCCATCAGGCCCTTGTACTCCAGTCTCAGGTCACTGTCGATCTCCCACGGTAACTCCCGCAGCTCCTCTTCCACCTTCCGGGCGAACAACTTCAAAAGCTCCTTGATGTTGGAGACATACTGCTGCCTGGCGAAGGCTGTGATGTCGTCGATTGCGGTGGCCACTTGCCCGTTGACGAACGCTGTGAGGGACGCAATGCATTCCCTTGCGAATCTGTCGGCGTCCCTGTCAATGAACTCCTTGCAGGCCTGAATTGGCCCGCGCTCCAGACGGATCTGGAGCTTACGGAGATTTTCTTTTATCCCAGTCAACTCTTCTAGGCTGTCACCTTTCAGACGGTTTAAGTCCCTCTTTAACTCGTTTGCTTCCGTCCGTAGCGCCGTGCACAGCTCCTTGAGTTTGTCCTTCAGGTCGGCAACGTTCTCTGTCTTTATGGCCTCGATGTCCGTGGTGATTTTAGTGAGGCCTTTTTCAAAACCGTTGTCATTCCATGTTTCATTACCGTTATTAAGGCCATGGTTTTTCAAGTCATCTAACTTTTTATTGACCTCATCTTTCAGCTTCTGTCTAAGGCTGTTAAGCGACAGGGTGATTGACTGGACGCCACCGCCGATTTTTTCGGGTTGCTTGGTCAATACAGCATGTGAAATTTTAAGATCCTTTTGGATATTTTTGAGTCCCTTAGCATCCTTGTAGTTAGGTGTCCAGAGTGCATAGGGACCGAGCCCCTTGTTCTTCAAATCCTCCAGTGACTTTATGACATCGCTGCCCGCAATACCTTGCAACACTTTTTGGAGGTCTTTGAGTTCTTGTTTAATAAGGTCGTTTGCTTCTTGGATTTTCTTGGGTTGGTTTTCAAAAGGCTGTTCTTGAAGGTTTTTAATTGCGTTGTGAATTGCTTGAAGGCTGTCACTGTATCCATCTTTACTTGTGCCGATCTTTTTCCCCAACCGACGCAAATGGTCCATGACGTCAAATGGATTGAAGACATTGTCCATATCTATTTTGACATTTGCGATCTCGGCGTATATTCGTATTGCGGCTTTTCTGATAATTTCGGTTTGTTGAGGCAACTTCTTAATTTCCTCGCTAAGGTCATTCTCGATTCTTCCAAGGCCACTGAGAGTTTGACCATTACCATTCTGCCAGTCATCTTTTTCACCAAGGCCCTGCTCCTTCATGTGCTCCAGTCTTTTAATGGCATCATCTTTATTAGTGTTCTTCAACTTCCCCCTAAGCTTTCCAAGCTGCGCCTTAATTTGCTCGACGGCTTTGCCAATTGCAGCGGGTTGACTTTCGATGTCGTTAAGTGTAAATTGCCTCGAGGCCTTTGACTTTTAGACCACTTTGGCAAGCTGAGTGCAGGTCGACGCCATTTGTGGGACGCAAAAAGGGCGTGGCAGGTGGGATGATGAAGGCTGTTAGGGAGTGACGGCAAGGCGACAAAGGGAGAAGGGAGATGACAAAGCAGCGAGTAGGTTACGTCATAGGTTAGGTGCTAGGTGGGCCGTTTGGTTAGGTGCTAGGTAAGCCTCTTGGTTAAGTGCTAGGTTAGCCGTTTGGTTAGGTGGTAGGTGGGACGTTAGGTTAGGTATTTGGTCAGCCACTTGGTTAAGCAGTGCGTTGGGTGCTAGGCAAGGCACGAGATACTCACGATGAGAGACGTGACATGACGTGGCAACACAAATAGAGGAATGTAAATGTGAATGTAAGTGTAGCTAAGATAATTACTGTCACGAGTGAAAGTCATCGTCGAAGTAGTCGACGTCCTTGTAGAGCGAGAGCATCCTGCGGCTGCCGGCGAGCAGCGCCTTGACGTCGATGAGGTGGGATGCCCTGGTGGTGAGGAGATGGGAGCGGATGCGAAGCACGTCCATGCGGTAGAGCATCGTGTGGGCGATGTAGAGCGTGGCGATAGACCAGAGTGCTGTGATGGTGTAGAGGAAGGGCGCACGGATGCGGTAGAGGTACTCGGGGATGGTGTCGTGCGCCAGCCTGTGGAGAGGGTTCATCTGCTTGACGGCGACTTGCAGTGCCGTGCAGAGATCCTGGCAGGTCCGCTTGGCTGGGTGGCCGCTGGTGGATCCGGCGAGGCTGTGGACGTCCCTGTGCACGAAGCCGTACCGGAAGAGTGTGGGCGTGGTGGAGTCGCAGTCCACGATGGAGGGGCATGAATCAAGGTGCTCGGAGTCCGGGGCCATGGGAAGACGCTTGGCTGTGCATTGGTTGTCGCAGCTCCTGGCGTGGCAGTTGGATGTGGCGTCGGCGCAGGTGCGCTCGCAGTCCCGGAGCAGTTGCTTGAGCAGGTCGTAGAATGTCTCCGTGAGGTACACTATCCACGAGAGGTAGAGGTGGGCGTGTGCCTTGGAGAAGGTGGCACGGACGTCGTGGCCGAGGGGCTTGAGGTATGGGCCGCAGGGGTGTGGCGGAGCGGAGCGTTGGTTGCCGTTGCACTCGACGAGTGAGAAGAGGTCCCCGGTGAGGTGAGGCATGTTGGTGACGGAGCCATGGTCCTTGGTGCGGAAGATTGTACTGACGTCCAGTGTGACGCCCCGCTGCCAGAAGCAAGCGTCGCCGACGGCGCCCTCGAAGGCCGCCTTACGGTGATCGACGTTCTGAGTCCAGTCACGTAGGAAATTGTAGTAAAAGGCGAACAGGTCGTCTGGCGTCCTTGGCGGGCGGGTGAAAAGGCAATTCAGGAAGTCGCACAGCCTGGTGAGGGGCGACGATGCGCCGCCGCAGAAGGCGCCGAGAACGTCCATGATGTGTCGGCCTGTGGAGGCACGGGAGGCCAGCCTGGTAATGTTGGAGAGGCCCATGGGCGTCTTGCACGGCAGGCCGGGTGACTTGGTGTCACAGCCGGAGCATGAGACACAGGTGTCCTTGGGGGACAGGTTATGCGGCAGGAATCCCACCAGGCCGTCCTCGAGGAACGACTGGAGCGGCGACTTAAGGCCGCACTTAGGGTGTTGGTCACAGCGTTGGTTACATATTTGGTTGTGTGTTTGGTTGCACTGTTGGTCACATATTTGGTTGGCACACTGCATGGTGTTGCACCGCCACGATGAGCCTCCGACGCCCCGGCCGTACCAGCAGTCGAGCCATCCGCCGTGCCGGGCGTTGTAGAGGCACCGGCGGTAGAGGAGATACAGCTGTTGGTGGAGGCGTTTGAGCACATCGTACAGCAGGCAGAGCAAAGCGTCGGCGTCGCCGGGGTAGAGCAGGCCTGCCGGGTTGGTGTTGAAGTCGCAGGCGTATATGCCACCTGCGTGGCCGTGGCCGAGTAACGTGGTGAGCACTGAATGCGCTTTATGGCACACCTCCGTGAGTGCGTCCGTAAGCCCAGCGACAGTGATGTGCTGCGTGTGGGCCTTAAGCGCAAGGCTGCCGAGGTTCATCAAGGGCACGTCGGAGTCCGCAGAGTCCTGCTCGTCCGCCTCGAAGAGCGATGGCAGCGCTTCGGAGTTGAGGCCCAGGTACACGGCGTTGTGCGGGAGCCCGCAGCACCATGTCAGCATCTCGTAGACACTGCACGGCGGCCGGGGTGAGGGATGCACCTTGAGGTGGCACGTCCTGTAGTACTCAGTGAGGTGCGTGCAGAGGCATTTGAGGAGCTGTAAGAGATTACAGGCGTGTGTGAGGGACAGGCATTTTTTGAGGTGTTCGTTGTCATGGGTCTCCTTAATGTTCTGGGTGACCAGGACATACACGTCGCGGCCGTTGCACTCGTCGCGCAGCTCGCCGTCCTGGTCAAAGGGAGAGGTGGAGACCTTGTAGCCGGAGCGCTGGAGGAAAGTGCCGAGTTCACTGCTTGAATTAATGCTCAGATCCCTCCACTTGCCGCCTTTGCCGCACTGCTCCGCCAGCCTGGTGAAGGCATCGCACAGTGTCGGCAGCAGGGTGAGGAAGACCTTGGCGCACATGGCGCCGTATGGCGTCAGGCTGCTGACGTTTCTGACGGTGACGGACTTTGTGCCTTGCGATCTTACGGTCTCGGTGAGGGTCTCATGTTTGAGCAAGTCGGCGGTGAACTGTGCGCCCGAGTAGGCGGAGACGTACGCACACGTGAACTCGGCGACGAACTTTGTGAGCCCCTCCGCCAGACCGTCCAGCAGGGGACTTGAGGGCCTGGCGAAGCTCTCAGGCTTGAGTTCACTCAACGCGTCGGTGAGGTTGCGGAGCAGCTCCGTGAGTCTGTGGTCGAAGCCCTGTGTCACGCAGAGGTAATTGAGCAGGGCGTTGACATCGCTGTGCACGGCGTCCCACTCGGCGGCGTAGGGCTCTTCTGACTTGGGGAGTGAGGGATTTTTCTCGTCGTCACTCTGCTTCTTTACCCTCTCAATCTCCTCACGGAGATGCTCGTCTAGCGGCGCGAAGAAATTCTGGAACGCGGAGGACAATGCTTGAAGCTCTCTGCTTTTCACGTCTTTGAGCCTATTAATGTTCACGCCTTTTTCGCCTTCCATATTATACACAAACCCTTTATACCCTATCTGCAGATCCCCGTTTATTAACGGAGGCAAGGGATTCAATTCTTCTTCCACCTTGTGGGCGAACAACTTCAAAAGCTCCTTGATGTTGGAGGCACATTGCTGCCTGGCGAAGGCTGTTAGGTCCTCGATTGCGGTGTCCACTTGGCCGTTCACGAACGCTGTGAGGAACGCAATGCATTCCCTTCCGAACTTGTCGGCCTCCCTGTCAATGAACTCCTTGCAGGCCTTGATTGGCCCGCGTTCCAGACGGATTTGAAGCTTACGGAGATTCTCTTTTATCCCAGTCAACTCATCAAGGCTGTCACTTTTCATACGCTTTAAGTCTCTGCTTAACTCGTTGGCTTCCGTCCGTATCGCCGTGCACAGCTCCTTGAGTTTCTCCTTCACTTGGTCGACGTTCTCTGTTTTTATGGTCGCGATGTCTGCGGTGATTTTAGTGAGGCCTTTGTCTGGATTACCTTCATGTGTCCACGATTCTTTGCCTTCATTAAGGCCATGCTCTTTCAGCTTCTGTAACTTTTTAGTGACGTCAGTGTTCAAAGTTACTCTAAGCCTTTCAAGCTCACCGGTGATTGACTGGACGCCATCCTCTATGTTCTTCGGTTGGCCGTTCAACGTAGTTTGTTGAGTGTTAAGTTCACTTTCGATGTTTTTGAGGCTTTTATTTTTATTATGTTTATCCCACTTATCTCCACTTAGTCCACCGTTCTTCAAATCATTCAGTGTGGTAATGACATCACTGCCCTTGGTGCCTTGCAACACACCTTGAAGGGTAGTGAGTTCTTTTACAATTTCTTGCTTGGCGGCATCGATGGCTGTGGATTTATTAACAAACGGATCGTCGTGAAGGTGTTTAATTGCATTATGAATTCCGTGAAGATTTCCATTTTCTGCTTTACCTTGGCCAATCTTTTCTTTTAGCTTTTTTAAATTGTCCATAACGTCCTCCTCGGTGTTTAGGTTTTCCAACTTGTATCCGATCTTTGCAAGTTCCAACTTAATTTTTCTTACGAGTATGGTCATGTTATCTCCAATAATTTTGGTTTGCTTGCCCAATTGCTCATTCTGCTCTTTAAGGTCCTCCTGGATTTTCCCAAGGCCACTGAGAGTTTGACCGTTGACTGGCCAGTCACCATTCACAAGACCTTTCTCTTTCAAATCTGTCAACCTTTCAATTACATCATCTTTATCGCCGTTCTCATTCTTCAACTTCTCCCTAAGCTCTTCAAGCTGCGCCTTAATTTGGGTGACGGCTCCGTCGATTGCAGCGGGTTTGTTCTGGATGTAGTTAAGTGTAAATTGCATCAAGGCCTTCAACTTTTATACCGCTTTGACATGCTGAGTGTAGGTCGACGCCAATTGTGGGACGCAAAAAGGGCGTCGCAGGTGGGATGAAAGAGGCTGCTTTGGGAGTGACGGCAAAGCGACAAAGGAGGAGGGACATGACAAAGCAGCGAGTAGGTTACATCTTAGATTAGGTGGTAGGTTACATGTTAGGTAAGCCACTTGGTTACGTGCTAGGTGGGCCGTTTGGTTAAGCGCTTGTTTGGCCGTTTGGTTAAGTGCTAGGTAAGCAGTTTGGTTAAGTGGTGAGTTAGGTGCTAGGTCAGCCTCTTGGTTAGTCAGTGAGTTAGGTGCTAGGCAAGGCACGAGATACAGTCACCATGAGAGACGTGACACGACATGGCAACACAAAGAGAGTAATGCAATGCGAATGTAGCTACGATAATTACTGTCACGAGTGAAAGTCATCGTCGAAGTAATCGACGTCCTTGTAGAGTGAGAGCATCCTGCGGCTTCCGGCGAGCAGCGCCTTGACGTCGATGAGGTGGGAGGCCCTGGTGGTGAGAAGGTGGGAGCGGATGCGGAGGACGTCCATGCGGTAGAGGAGTGAGTGGAGGATATAGAACGTGGCAGTGAGCCAGAGTGTGAACAGGGTGAAGAGGAAGGGGGCACGGATGCGATAGATGAGCTGGTCGATTTGGTGGAACAGTTCCGTGAAGTGGTCGGAGTGTAGGACTTGGCTGAGCTGCTTGGCGAGGGTGGAACAATTCTTGTTCTGCGATATCAGCGCCGGTGCGTCCCCGAACGTGAAGCCGTGACTGTACAAGGTCGGCATCACGCCCTTGCAGCCGACGATGGAGCGGCATCGGCAGCTGTGCCCCGGCGACTGGGGACTGGGGAGGCCGTGGCTGCCCGGGTCACAAGGTTCCTCGTGAAGGCAATCACCGCAGCCCCAGTCCCGGCAGGAGATGGCTTGGAAGGCAGTCTTCAATGATAGCAACAGCTCATATAATGTCCACGGGAGGTAGACGGCCCATGAGAGGTAGACGTCGGCGTGTCGGTGAGGTAAGCAATGATATGCATCGCTGCACAGGGCTGATAGGAAGGGAGCGCAGTTGATGCTGGCGTCGTTGGGAAGCGCACAGCACCTTGGCATCGACAGGCTGGACAGGTCGGTATTTTGGGCAGTAGAATGCTGAATGCCATGACCGCTCCGACCGTTGCCGTAAGCATCACGCAGAGCATCTGTGAGCTTGCCGGGCTCGCGGTAGAGGGTCATGGACTGGCCGGTGATGGAGTCCGTGAACGCAGATTGAAAGGCGTCGATGGCTGACGGCAGAGCACTGTGTTGCCAACCACCAACGAGAGATGAGGCAAAGGAAATGTGCTCAGCCAGCGTAGCCGGCGGTCTGGGACAGAGGCTGAGCAGCGATTTGATATGGACGTTGCCGAACCATTTGGTCAGCACTTTGCACAGCTCCTTGCCTGTCCTCGTACTTCCAGAGAAACCCCGGAAGCCGAGCGGAGTGAGACAGGGCGTGCTAAGTTCGCTGGTAAGACACGTCTGACATACAGGCTCACAGCCGATGTTAGTAACCTGGTGAGGCAGATGGCCGGGCAGGCAGTCGTTTAGGTACGACATCAAAGGGGACTTATCAGTGCACTCCGGGTGAGGGGTAGGCAGGGCGGTGACCGGAGGAGCGCACTGCCACGTGTATGGTGGGACGCCCTTGCCGTACCGGCAGTCCGCCCAGCCGCCGTGGTGGGCGGGCCGTGAGCACTGAGTGAACAGAAATCTGAGCACTGGGAACACTAGGCGGAAGATGTGGAACAGCAGATGGAGGCAATCGTCGGCGTCCTGCGGGTAATACAGTTGCAGTGCGTTGCTATAGAAGTCAACGGCGTAGGTTGTGGATGCGTCGCCGTAGCCTAGCACCCTGGTGAGCAGGGCGGGGGAGTGGGACGTGGCATCGTGAAGGGCGGCGGCCAGATTTGTGGCGGTGACTGATTTGGGCTGCGCGGCCATGTACCATTTGGTGTCTGTGGAATGATCGTCGGCGTTGCTTAGCACGGATTTAACCTGCTGCTTAAGGCGATCGTAGACCCTATTGTGCGGGAGGCCGGTCAGCCATACGAGCATTTGGTAGACGCTGCACGGCGTCCTAGGCGACGGTGTAACTATGAGATGACACGTCTGATAATATTCATTTAGGTGATAACAAAGGCACGCAATAACGTCGAAAAGATTATAATTATTCTGTTCATTTCGCTTAACGGCGGAGCATTTTCCGAGGTGTTCATTCTGGTCGGCGTGCCGAATTGGTCTCCCAAGCAGTCTGCCAATTTTGTCGCCGGTCATATCGTTGTCATTTTGCAGCTCACCGTCCTGGGAATTTGGGCTTGTGGCAACGTCGTAGCCCATTCTGTGCAATAATACGCCGGGGCCAGAAGTTGAGTAAATTCTGCTGCTGGGATACCGCCGCGTGCACTGCTCCTCCAGATGCGTGAGATCATGATTCAGAATTTCGAGAATCGTCAAAAGTATCTTCGCGCATTTTTCGCCGTCCGCCGTCACCCTGCCGGTCCGCGCGTTGACGAGCACGCAGCCCTCAAACGCCCCGTCGTATGTGGAGATGTACACCGTTCTCAGTTCCTTCTCAAACTTGTCCGCTGCCTCCGCCACGCCGTCGAGTATCGGAGTTGTGACTTTGGCGAATTTCTCCGGTCGCAGGGCTCCGACTGCCTCGGCGAGTTTATCGAGCATTTCGGGAAGTCTGCGGTCGAAACGTTTCCCCCTGCCGATGTGCTCCAGCAACTCCTCTAGCGCGTGGGTGACGCCGTAAAGCCTCTCGGCGTAGTGATCCTCTGACTGCGGGAGTGACGGATTCTTCTTTTTACTCTCCTCGCTGTGCACCCTCCTGATCTCTGTGCTGATGTATCCCGAGAGCGCCAGGTGGAACCGCTTGAAGCCTGTGGACAGGGCCTCGAGTTGCAGCGTACCCTTTAGAGGGGAGATGTGAGACTCGAAGCGTTGCTGGAAATCATACATGAACCCCTTATACCCTATCTGGAGATCCTCGTTTATTAACGGGGGTAAGGGAGTTAATTCTTCCTCCACCTTGGAAGCGAAGGCCTTCAGCGCCTCCTTGATGTTGGAGACACATTGCCGGCGTGCCTCCCTTATCAATGTCTCTTCGGCTTCCTTGATCTCCTTGTCGACGAACTGTGTGAGCTCCCTTATCAGTTGCGCCTTGCCGTTGTCGAGGAATCTTAAGAAGCCTCTCACCTCTGCTATCACAGGCCTCACCTGCTCGCTCAGCAGATCACTAAATTTGTGTTTTATTTTTGTCAAGTCGCCGATCAGATTATCCTTTACCTCCTTTAATTTCTCTCTCACATCTTCCGCGTTATGCTTCACGGCACTGCACAGGGCGACGAGATGATACTTGACGTTATCGACGTCAACGTCCTTTATGGCCTCGACGTCTGCGGTGATTTTAGTGAGGCCTTTTTCAAAACCATTGTCATTCCATTTTTCATTACCGTCAGTAAGGCCACTGTCTTTCAGCTTCTTGAGCTTTTCGGTGACCTGAGTGTTCAATGTGTCTCTGAGAGTGTTAAGCGACAGGGTGATATCTTGGACGCCTTGGTCTATTTTGCCGGGTTGTTGTCCCAATTCATTTTGTTGACCTTTAAGGTCACTTTCGATGGTTTGAAGGCTTTTACTTTTTCCGTTTCTATTTTCATCCCACTTTGTACCACTTAGTCCAGTGTTCTTCAAATCTTCCAGTGACTTTATGACATCGTTGCCTGGCTTGTCTTGCAACTCACCTTGAAGCGCAGTGAGTTCTGCTTTAATTGCTTCGTTGGCTTTTCCAATTGCATCGGGATTATTATGAAACGGCCCGTCATGAAGGTTTTTGATTGCGTTGTATATTGCTTGAAGGCTGTCACTGTATCCATCTTTACTTGTGCCGATCTTTTTCCCCAACCGACGCAAATGGTCCATGACGTCAAATGGATTGAAGACATTGTCCATATCTATTTTGACATTTGCAATCTCGGCGTATATTCGTATTGCGGCTTTTCTGATTTTTTCCGTTTCCTGCGGCAACTTCTTAATTTCCTCGCTAAGCTCACTCTCGATTTTCCCAAGACCACTGAGAGTTTTGCCGTTCTGTGTCCAAGCATTTTGCTCAGTGCCAAGGCCCTCCTCCTTCATGTATTCCAGTCTTTTAATGACATCCTCGCCATTTTCATTCTTCAACTTCCCTCTAAGCTCTTCAAGCTGCTGCCTAATTGCTGTGACGGCTTTCTCGATTGCAGCTGGTTGGTTAGTAAACTGATTATCATGCAGCTTTTGAATCGCATCTCTGATTGCTTCCAAACCTTTCTCAGCTCCCTCCAGCTTTCCTGAATCAAGCGCGCTTTTAAGCTTTTCCAACAAATCTCTTACACCATCAGCGTCCTTGCCCGGTGGCTGCGCATCCTTATTCTCAACCAATTTCTTGATCTCGTCAAGCTGTGTCTTAATATCGGTGAACGGACCGGTGAAGGTATTGTTATCAATTTTATTTGGCTGACCGTCACCAATAGTATCTATAAGCGTTTTCAGACCCTCCTTTTTGATGTCCCCGATCGCCAGTGGAAGTTGGCCTTCGTCTTTAATGCCGGTTAACTTACCGTCCTCAATCTCTTTTTGATCAACGTGACCATTATAACTATTAAAGTTTGAAGCGCCTTGAAGTTTTACATGAGTGTCTACATTTGGATCATCGGCCTTAGGTAACTGTTCGTCGACTTTACTGTAGAGGTTACTCTGGAGCTCCCGATTTATCTTATCATGGGATTTCTTGAAATTAGACATGAGACCATCTTCTTTAAGCTCAATTGTACCACCGTTACTAATCTGCTCAGCCGCCTTGTCAATCGCCGTCGTGGCCGCACCCTTGATCTGTGTTTCGGCTTCAGTGTTGAATCTGGTAACGGCGGCGGGAAGTCTGTTGACTTCATCAGCAAGTGGCTGTTTGACTTCAGTGAATTTTTTCTCAAGTCCCTGAACCTCATTGTTCATTCCGCCTATCGCACTGTCCACGGCTTGGGCTGTGCCATCCAGCGGGGTGGGAGGGTCTTTAGGGATTTTTGTCGCCTTGTCAAGCTGACCGTTAAGCTCAGTAGCAATCGGCGTGATTTTGTCCAGGATCTTTGCGATGCTTCCGGGGCTGGGACTGCTGCCGTTCTTCTCGGCTATGTTGAGAAACACCGAATTCAGTTCGTTGCCCACCTGGCGGGACACGGCGGTGAGTGTGCAGAGCACGGCAGCGATGAAAGCCTTTTCCTTACATTCGTCTTCGTGGTTATTCCCTCGACCATTACAGTTTGTGCAGCCTACGCTCTCGCAGATGCATTTTGTGGCGTTGAATTTGTTATTCTTCAACTGCTGCTTGACCGCGTCGAATATTCCACTGAACCCATTATTATGCAGCTTCTTATCAAGCGCATCGGCGAATGTTTCGCAACCGTCCTTCACAGCGTTGACGTATCCATGAATCTTTTGGGAGTTGCCGCTCGCGCCATTGTTTCCGTTTACAACCACTAAACCAGCCGCATTCGATTGCGTCTCAAGCTGTTCCTTGAAAGCATTTGCGACGTTGGTGATGTTACTCTTCTCGTCGCTCTCACTGTAATTTTGATTCTTCCCAACCATCTTCCTCACCGCGCCGTTATGCTTCAAAATATCTTCCAACCAGCCCTTCACTATATTCTTGAACTTACTCCCGCTGAACGCTTCGAAGTAATTCTGCACCTTGGACTTAATCCCTTCCAGACCTGAGCCACCTTTATTGTCCCAACCTGTACCTCCAGTCCCCTTAATCTCCCCAACCTTATCTTTAATATACCCGAAAATATCATTAAGATTCTTCTTACCTTCCTGGCCTCCATCTTTAAACTTCTCGCCAAGCGTCCCAATCGCCGTGTAAACTTCACTGACCGCATCGTTAAGCGGAGTCTTGATATGCTTCGTAAAATTCTCAACCAGCCTATCATTCGTCTCCTGCTCAATGTTTTTAACAACACTATCTAATGGGCCTTTCTTATTTTTAAGGTCCTGTAACTGCTTACCAACCATACCTTCACCGGTATCCTTACTTTTAGTAACCTGCTGCTCGAGCTCCAAAATCTTGCTCCTCAACTTCCCCAAATCCTGTCTCACCAAACCATCCAAACTCAAAACTCCCGACGTCTTTATCACACCGTCTATCCCCAATTTAATCTTATCCTTAACACCTTTCAAATCCTTCTTGAGATCTTTGTCCATGTCCACAACAGCCTCCAACGCTTCTTCAACCTTCACGCCAACTTCCTGCTTAGCCTTACTCGCAGCATTATAAAGCTTAATTCCCTTCTCTTTTAATGTATCAGCTTCCTTAAAAATCGGACCGGCATTATCTGTCTTAACTTTCCCCAAAATATCACCACACTTCTTGTCCGCCTTGTCAATAACACTCCCGGCCGCAGTCTTCCAACTCGTCAAATCCTTAACATGTTGGCCAAGTTGTGTATTTGCCTTAATAATTAAGTTATTATTATCTTCAATCGCACCGATTTTCTTGCCAAGAGACTCCTTTTTAGGGTCACCATTTTTATCAGGATTCAGATTCTCATACACATGCTTAGCATTTTCAATCGCCCCTTGAAGCACATCCCCGGCCTGTTGCTTCCACTCTCCCAAATTTTTATGAACACCACTCAGCTGAGTATGTACTCCTTTAATCTTCTCATTTGCCGTCACAATCTCCCCGATTTTCTGACTCAGAGTCTCATTAACCTTCAGCTTGTCGTAGGCTTCTTTGGCCTTTGTCTCTGCCGCAGCACGGATCTTCTCCGCCGAGGTGATCAAGGCACTTAGATTGGTAACTTGTTGGAGAAGAGTGTATTTAGCCGTGTCAATTGCACCAATGTTGCTCCCAATCACCGCCACCTTATGACATCACGATCACCGCCAGGCCAGGATGACCAATGCGGCAAGCAAGGGGCATCTGAGAGCATCAAACAAAATATATGTTAGATGGTAGGTAAGCCGTTTGGTTAGGCGTTAGGTAAGACGTTTGGTTACGTGCTAGGTCAGATGTTTGGTTACGTGCTAGGTGAGGCGTTTGGTTACGTGCTAGGTGGGCCGTTTGGTTAGGTGCTAGGTAAGCGTTTTGGTCATGTGCTAGGTTACATCTTAGGTTGAACATTTGGTAAGGCAGTGAGTTGGGTGCTAGGCAAGGCACGAGATACAGTCAAGATGAGAGACATGAGATGACATGACATGGCAACAAAAAAAGAAGAATATAATGTAATGTAGCTACGATAATTACCGTCATGAGTGAAAGTCGTCGTCGAAGTAGTCGACGTCCTTGTAGAGTGAGAGCATCCTGCGGCTTCCGGCGAGCAGCGCCTTGACGTCGATGAGGTGTGAGGCCCTGGTGGTGAGGAGGTGGGAGCGGATGCGGAGGACGTCCATGCGGTAGAGTAGTGAGTGGGCAATGTAGAGCGTGGCGATGAGCCAGAGTGCTGTGATGGTGTAGAGGAAGGGCGCACGGATGGTGTAGAGGTACTCGGGGATTGTCTCATGCGCCAGCTTGTGGAGAGGGTTCCTCTGCTTGACGGCGACTTGCAGTGCTGTGCAGAAATCCTCGCAGGTGCGCTTGGCTGGGTGGCCGCTGGTGGATCCGGCGAGGCTGTGGACGTCTTTGAGCACGAAGCCGTACTGGAAGAGTGTGGGCGTGGTGGAGTCGCAGTCCACGATGGAGGGGCAGTCGGCAGTGTGATTGGAGCTCGGGGCCAGTGGCCGTCGCTTGGCTGTGCAGTCGTTGGCGCAGCTCCTGGCGTGGCAGTTGGACGTGGCGTCGGCGCAGGTGCGCTCGCAGTCCTGGAGCAGTTCCCTGAGGAAGTCGTAGAAAGTCTCCGTGAGGTACACCACCCAGGAGAGGTAGAGGTGGGCGTGCTCCTTGGCGAAGGTGGCGCGTACGTCGTGGCCGAGTGGCTTGAGGTAGGGCCGCAGGGGTGTGACGGAGCGGAGCGAGGAGTGCCGTTGCACTCGACGAGTGAGAAGAGATCGCCGGTGAGGTGAGGCATGTCTGGCACTGAGCCGTGGTCACTGGTGCCGAAGATTGTACTGACGTCCAGTGTGACGCCCCGCTGCCGGAAGCACGCGTTGCCGACGGCGTCCTCGAAGGCCGCCTTACGGTGCTCGCCGCTGCTACGCCAGTCACATATGAACTGGTAGTAAAAGGCGAACAGGTCGTCTGGCGTCCGTGGCGGGCGAGTGAGGAGGCAATTCAGGAAGCTGCACAGTCTGGTGAGGGGTGAGGAAGCGCCGCCGCAGAAGGCGCCGAGGACGTCCATGATGGCTCTGCCTGGGCACGCACGGGAGGCCAGCCTGGTGATGTTGGAGAGGCCCATCGGCGTCTTGCACGGCAGGCCGGGTGACGTGGTGTCACAGGCGGGGCATGAGACACAGGTGTCATTGGGGGACAGGTCATGCGGCAAGAAGCCTTGCAGTCCGTCCTCGAGGAACGACTGGAGCGGCGACTTGACGCCGCACCTGGGATGCTGGTCACATCTTTGGTTACATATTTGGTCATGTGTTTGGTTGCACTGTTGGTCACACATTTGGTTGGCACACAGCATGGTGTTGCACTTCCAACTGGAGCCTCCGACACCTTGGCCGTACCAGCAGTCGAGCCATCCGCCGTGCCGGGCGTTGTAGAGGCACCGGCGGTAGAGGAGATACAGCTGGTGGTGGAGGCGTTTGAGCACATCGTACAGCAGGCAGAGCAAAGCGTCCGCGTCGCCGGGGTAGAGCAGGCCTGCCGGGTTGGTGTTGAAGTCGCAGGCATAGATGCCACCTGCGTGGCCGAAGCCTAGTAACGTGGTGAGCACTGAATGCGACTGGTGGCACACCTCCGTGAGTGCGTCGGTGAGGGACGCCGGTGTTATGTGCTGCGGGTGGGCCTTAAGCGCCAGGCTGCCGACGTCAGTGAGGGACACTTCGGATTCCCCGGCGTCCGGCTCGTCCGCCTCGAACAGCGACGGCAGTGCTTCGGAGTTGAGGCCCAGGTACACGGCGTTGTGCGGGAGCCCGCAGCACCATTGAAGCATCTCGTAGATGGAACACGGCGGCCGGGGTGAGGGATGCACCTTGAGGTGGCACGTCTTATAGTACTGGTGGAGGTGCGTGCAGAGGCACTGAAGGAGATCTATCAGATTACAGGCGTTTTGGAGGGACAGGCATTTTTTGAGGTGTTCGTTGTCATGGGTCTCCTCAATGTTCTGGCTGACGAGGACATACACGTCGTGGCCGTTGCACTCGTCGCGCAGCTCGCCGTCCTGTAGGGTGGGAGAGGCGGAGACCTTGTAGCCGCAGCGCTGGAGGAATGTGCCGAGTTTACTGCTTGAATTAATGCTCATATCCCTCCACTTGCCGTCTTTGCCGCACTGCTCCGCCAGCCTGTTGAAGGCGTCGCACAGTGTGGGCAGCAGGGTGAGAAAGACCTTGGCGCACATGGCGCCGTATGGCGTCAGCTTGGTAACGTTTTTGGCGGTGACGGACTTTGTGCCTTGGGATCTTACGGTCTCAGTTAAAGTCTCATTTTCTACCAAAGCAGCGGTGAACTGTGCGCCGGCGTATCTTGAGACGTACGCACATGTGAACTCGGCGGCGAACTTTGTGAGCCCCTCCACCAGGCCGTCCAGCAGGGGACTCGAGGGCCTGGCGAAGCTCTCAGGCTTGAGTTCACTCAGCGCGTCGGTGAGGCTGCGGAGCAGCGCTTGGAGTCTGTGGTCGAAGGTATCCTCAGTTCTAATGTATTCAAGCAACGCATTAAATGACAATGTGACTCTTACAAGTTTGTCTGTGTAGAGCGCTTCGGGTTCTTGGGGCACAGGGTTTTTCTTCTTGCCTTCCTCCTTGTGCTCTCTCCTGATCTCTTTGTGGATGTACGCTTTAAGCTCACCGTAAAAGTGCATGAACACTGCGGCCAATTTTTTGAACACTCTCTCCTTCGGCTCAGATGGCAGAGTCCTCACAAACTCTTCGAACTTCTCAAATTCCCCTTGTGCACCTGCAACTTGAGTCTCCGGCTTCCCTTCAACCTGTTTCATAAACCCTTTATACCCTATCTGTAGATCCTCGTTTATTAACGGAGGCAAGGGACTTAATTCCTCTTCCACCTTCCGGGCGAAGGCCTCCAGCGCCTCCTTGATGTTGGCGGCGCACTGCTGCCTCGCGAAGGCTGTTAAGTCCTCGATTGCGGTGGCCACTTGGCCGTCGACGAACGCTGTGAGGGACGCAATGCATTCCCTTCCGAACCTGTCGGCGTCTTTATTAATGAACTCCTTGCAGGCCTTGATTGGCCCACTCACCAGACGGATCTGCAGGTTGTGCAATTGGTCTTTTATTCCAGTCAACTCATACTCCAGCCTGTCTTTTTTCACATGTTCCAAGTCCCTTTTTGCCTCCCTCGCTAAGGTACGAATTTCTGTGCACAGCTCTTTGAGTTTCTCCTTCACGTCCTTAACGTTCTCTGTTTTTATGGCTACGATGTCTGCGGTGATGTTAGTGAGGCCTTTGTCTGCATCGCCATTAAGTGTCCAGTTGTTTCCGCCGTCAGTAAGGCCATGGTCTTTCAGCTTCTTGAGCTTTTCGGTGACATTGTCATTCAACTGGTTTCTAAGTTTGTCAAGCTCAGTGGTGATTGACTGGACGCCACCGCCGATTTGTTCGGGTTGTTGTCCTAACGTATTTTGTTGAGCTTTAAGTTCACCATTTATTTTTGCGAGGCCAGCAACTGGGCTACCATTATGACTCTTCCAATTGGATACATTATTAAGCCCATTGTTCTGCAAATCGTTCAGTGTTGTAATGACATCTTCGTCGCTTGCATTGCCTTGCAACACACCTCGAAGGGCAGTGAGTTCATTTACAATTTGTTGCTTGGCTTGTTCAATTTTAGTGGGTTGTTGTTGAAACGGGTCTTCTTGCAATTGCCTTATTTTCTCGTAAATCCCGTGAAGATTATTTTTAGCTTTATCCTTACCTTTACCAATCAACTGCCCCAACCAGGTCAGCTGGTCTATTACGTCATCGGTAGTGTATAAACCTTGCAACTTAAATCCGAGACATGCAAGCGCCCATTTAATTTGGTGTATGGCATCTCCAATCTTGTTGTTTTGGGTGGCCAATTCCTTATTCTGCTCCTGAAGTCCCTGCTGGATTTTCCCGAGACCACTGAGAGATTTACCGTCTTGAGTTGTCTTACCATTCCAAGTATTCTTACCTTCGAGACCAACATTTCTCAAGTCTGTTAATGTCTCAATAACATCATCTTTCGGCTGACCTTCCTTATTCTTCAACTTCCCTCTGAGCTCTCCAAGCTCCTTCCTAATTGCTTGGACGGCTGTGCCAATTGCTTCGGGTTGCTTTGTGAACTGCTCTTGTTGCAGTTTTTCAATCGCATTTTTAATATCATCTAAACCTTTATCAGCTCCATTTAACTTGCCCTGATCAAGCGCACTTTTAAGCTCACCCAGAAGCTTTTGGACGCCTTTTTCGTCCTTGCCAGATGTGCCATCACCATCAACCAATCCCTTGATCTCTCCAAGCTGTGTCTTAATTTTGGTGAACGGATCATTAAACGTCTTTTCTTCAATCTTCTTATCCTTACTGGCCTTGTCACCAATAGTCCCTTCAAGCTCCGCCAGTCCCAGAGCCTTGATGTCCCCGATGGCCTGGGGGGAGAGAGCCTTCTTCTTCAAGGCCAGTTAATTGACCGTCCTTAATCTCATTTTGGTCAACGTGCTTATCATATTGTCCAAAATTCTTTTTATCAATGATGATTTTCTGTGCTTGACCACCTTGCTGACTTGCCGACTGATCATCCTTCCCAATGTGGTCATCAACTTTCTGCTTGAGTTCCCTGTCGAGACTACTTTTAATTTGTTCGTGGGTAGTGTGGAATTCGTTCATGAGATTATCACCAAGCACAATTGCAGCACCATTCTTACTAATCTGCCCAGCCGCCTCTGTGATAGCCTTCTTGGCCGCAGCCTTGATCTGTTGTTCGGCTACATCGTTGAAATCTTTAACGGCGCCGGGAAGCCCTCTAACTGCTTCATCAAGATCTTGTTTGACTTTCTTAAAATTGGCGTCAAGCCTCCCAACCTCATCCCTCACTTCACCCAACCTCTTGTCCACGGCCTGGGCGGGGCTTTCTCTTTTGGTTGGCCGACATTGTTAGTCGCCTGAGTAAGTTGATTGTGAAGTTTATTAGTATATCCGAGAACGCTATCTAATTCTTGTGCGATGCTTGTTGAGTTCTCTCCGTAATTTCCCACCCTCTTGTCGAGTAGGATGGACTTAATTTCGTTGGCCACCTGGCTGGTGGTGGCGGAGAGACCGAGCAGCGCAGCTTCTATGGCGGGTTTGATATCATCTTCGTTTTGTGCCTGTAACTCCTCCATCGACTCTCACTGGCAATCTTATTGTATATCACCTGGGCAAGCTCCTTAAATCCGTCGTTTTTCAGTTTCTCATCAAGCCCACTAACAAATGCCTCGCACGCATTTTTGACGGATGTAATGGTTTTTTCGATTTTACCACTGGACGTATCAACCTTCCCCTTGCCTGCCTCAATTTCACTATGAAGCTTCGTCTTAATCTGCTCGATAATTTTTTGACTCCATGAAAACCCAAGTATCGAACCATCCAGCAGCTTCACCACGTCGCTGCTACTCCCCTTCCTCTCAGTAACATACTTACCAAGCCACGGTTTAATGGTTTTCTTCTTATCATCTCCCTTATTATTTCCCAAAATTCCTTCCGCCCAGCCGCCTACTATAGTATGAAAATTTTTGAACCCACTAGTGTAGCTGCCAATCAACCCGCTGGCAATGCCCTCCAGGCCTCTATTTGGCTGATCACCGTTCAGGATTTTATTGACTTCCTCTTTAATCTTTTTAAAAATCTCTTCAAGTTTCTTTTCACTTCCGCCTCTCAGCTCAAAATTCCCGCCAAGCGTCTCAATCTCATCGTAAACTTCTTGGACTTTATCGTTAAGCGGAGTCTTGATATGCAGATTAAACTTAGTTTGAAGTCCCGTCGTCAGCGTCACTATTGACTTATCACCACTACCAGTAAGCTGATTCAGCGGTTCCTTAGCCCTTGAAAGCTGTGACAACTCGTGTTTAACGAGGCTCTCTCCATTTGATTTATCAACCTCTGTTTTAAGCCCCTCAATCCTCTCCTCAAACTCTGCAAATCACTCTTCACTTTCTCATCCAATTCCTTAACTCCCAAATCCATAATCACACTGTCTATCCCTTCCTTAATCTTATCTTTAACACTCTTCAAATCCATCTTAAGAGATTTGTCCATTTGCACAACAGCCTCCAACGCTGATTTTACCTGAGCCTCAACAGCCAATTTGGCATCCTTCGCAGCCTTCAAAGTGTCTGAGCCTTCTCATTCAATGTTTTAGCCTTCTCATAAATAACACCTCCGGGGGAATTAGTACTAACTTTATCCAGAATTTCTTTACACTTCCCCTCCGCCTTGGTAATAACATCCCTGGCGGCAGTGTTCCACTTACCTAAATGCTCAACTTCGGTGGCAAGATCTTTGTTTGCACTAACAATTAACTTGTTAGCATCGTCAATACTCGTAAGCTTCTCACCAACTTGCGTACTCTTTTCATCCAAAGCCTTATGAACTTCCGTCGCCTGTGCAATCGCCCTTGAAGCACATCCCCGGCCTGTTGCTTCCACTCTCCCAAATTTTATGAACACCACTCAGCTGAGTATGTACTCCTTTAATCTTCTCATTTGCCGTCACAATCTCCCCGATTTTCTGACTCAGAGTCTCATTAACCTTCAGCTTGTCGTAGGCTTCCTTGGCCTTTTCCTCGGCAGCCTGGCGGATGTTCTCGGCGGTGGAGATCCATGAATTCAGACTCTGAACTTGTTGGAGAAGAGTGTATTTAGCCGTGTCAATTGCACCAATGTTGCTCCCAATCACCGCCACCTTATGACATCACGATCACCGCCAGGCCAGGATGACCAATGCGGCAAGCAAGGGGCATCTGAGAGCATCAAACAAAATATATGTTAGATGGTAGGTAAGCCGTTTGGTTAGGCGTTAGGTAAGACGTTTGGTTACGTGCTAGGTCAGATGTTTGGTTACGTGCTAGGTGAGGCGTTTGGTTACGTGCTAGGTGGGCCGTTTGGTTAGGTGCTAGGTAAGCGTTTTGGTCATGTGCTAGGTTACATCTTAGGTTGAACATTTGGTAAGGCAGTGAGTTGGGTGCTAGGCAAGGCACGAGATACAGTCAAGATGAGAGACATGAGATGACATGACATGGCAACAAAAAAAGAAGAATATAATGTAATGTAGCTACGATAATTACCGTCATGAGTGAAAGTCGTCGTCGAAGTAGTCGACGCCGTGGTATAGCGAGAGCATTCTCCGGCCTTTAGTGAGTAAGGCCTTGACGTCGATGAGGTGGGAGGCCCTGGTGGTGAGGAGGTGGGAGCGGATGCGGAGGACGTCCATGCGGTAGAGTAGTGAGTGGGCAATGTAGAGCGTGGCGATGAGCCAGAGTGCTGTGATGGTGTAGAGGAAGGGCGCACGGATGGTGTAGAGGTACTCGGGGATTGTCTCATGCGCCAGCTTGTGGAGAGGGTTCCTCTGCTTGACGGCGACTTGCAGTGCTGTGCAGAAATCCGCAGGTGCGCTTGGCTGGGTGGCCGCTGGTGGATCCGGCGAGGCTGTGGACGTCTTTGAGCACGAAGCCGTACTGGAAGAGTGTGGGCGTGGTGGAGTCGCAGTCCACGATGGAGGGGCAGTCGGCAGTGTGATTGGAGCTCGGGGCCAGTGGCCGTCGCTTGGCTGTGCAGTCGTTGGCGCAGCTCCTGGCGTGGCAGTTGACGTGGCGTCGGCGCAGGTGCGCTCGCAGTCCTGGAGCAGTTCCCTGAGGAAGTCGTAGAAAGTCTCCGTGAGGTACACCACCCAGGAGAGGTAGAGGTGGGCGTGCTCCTTGGCGAAGGTGGCGCGTACGTCGTGGCCGAGTGGCTTGAGGTAGGGGCCGCAGGGGTGTGACGGAGCGGAGCGAGGAGTGCCGTTGCACTCGACGAGTGAGAAGAGATCGCCGGTGAGGTGAGGCATGTTGGTGACGGAACGATGTTCACTGGAGCCGAAGACTGTACTGACGTCCAGTGTCACGCCCCGCTGCCGGAAGCACGCGTCGCCGACGGCGTCCTCGAAGGCCGCCTTACGGTGCTCGCCGCTGCTACGCCAGTCACATATGAACTGGTAGTAAAGGCGAACAGGTCGTCTGGCGTCCGTGGCGGGCGAGTGAGGAGGCAATTCAGGAAGCTGCACAGTCTGGTGAGGGGTGAGGAAGCGCCGCCGCAGAAGGCGCCGAGGACGTCCATGATGGCTCTGCCTGGGCACGCACGGGAGGCCAGCCTGGTGATGTTGGAGAGGCCCATCGGCGTCTTGCACGGCAGGCCGGGTGACGTGGTGTCACAGGCGGGGCATGAGACACAGGTGTCATTGGGGGACAGGTCATGCGGCAAGAAGCCTTGCAGTCCGTCCTCGAGGAACGACTGGAGCGGCGACTTGACGCCGCACCTGGGATGCTGGTCACATCTTTACATATTTGGTCATGTGTTTGGTTGCACTGTTGGTCACACATTTGGTTGGCACACAGCATGGTGTTGCACTTCCATGACGATCCTCCGACGTCCCGGCCGTACCAGCAGTCGAGCCATCCGCCGTGCCGGGCGTTGTAGGTGCACTGGCGGTAGAGGAAATAGAGCTGCTGGTGGAGGCGTTTGAGGACGTCGAAGAGCAGGCAGAGCAAAGCGTCGGCGTCGCCGGGGTAGAGCAGGCCTTGCGGGTTGGTGTGAAGTCGCAGGCATAGATGCCACCTGCGTGGCCGAAGCCTAGTAACGTGGTGAGCACTGAATGCGACTGGTGGCACACCTCCGTGAGTGCGTCGGTGAGGGACGCCGGTGTTATGTGCTGCGGGTGGGCCTTAAGCGCCAGGCTGCCGACGTCAGTGAGGGACACTTCGGATTCCCCGGCGTCCGGCTCGTCCGCCTCGAACAGCGACGGCAGTGCTTCGGAGTTGAGGCCCAGGTACACGGCGTTGTGCGGGAGCCCGCAGCACCATTGAAGCATCTCGTAGATGGAACACGGCGGCCGGGGTGAGGGATGCACCTTGAGGTGGCACGTCTTATAATACTGGTGGAGGTGCGTGCAGAGGCATTTGAGGAGCTCTAAGAGATTACAGGCGTGTTGGAGGGACAGGCATTTTTTGAGGTGTTCGTTGTCCTCTGTCTCCTTAATGTTCTGGGTGACCAGGACATACACGTCGCGGCCGTTGCACTCGTCGCGCAGCTCGCCGTCCTGGTCAAAGGGAGAGGTGGAGACCTTGTAGCCGGAGCGCTGGATGAAAGTGCCGAGTTCACTGCTTGAATTAATGCTCAGATCCCTCCACTTGCCGCAGCGCTCCGCCAGCCTGGTAAAGGCGTCGCACAGTGTGGGCAGCATGGTGAGGAAGACCTTGGCGCACTTCTCACCTTCTTCATCGGTGAACTGTGCGCCGGCGTATCTTGAGACGTACGCACATGTGAACTCGGCGGCGAACTTTGTGAGCCCCTCCACCAGGCCGTCCAGCAGGGGACTCGAGGGCCTGGCGAAGCTCTCAGGCTTGAGTTCACTCAACGCGTCGGTGAGGTTGCGGAGCAGCTCCGTGAGTCTGTGGTCGAAGGTATCGTTGTCCTTGAGGTAGTGGAGCAATGCGTGGAGTGCCTCGTTCACCACGGAGAGCCTAGTGGAATACTCCTGTGTGTCCTGCCGCTTAAGATTTTTCTTCCTCTGCTCCTCGTCGTGGAACCGATTTATCTCCCTGTCCACGTGGTCCTCGAGTGACGAGTAGAAACGCATGAAAGCGGAGGACAGCGGTGGGAGGCTTTTTGACTCCTTGAGTTTCTGTACGTTGAGGTCATTTTCCAAGCCGTCCTCCACTCGGGTCATAAGGCCTTTGTATTCTACTGTCAGGTCCCTGTCAATCTCCCACGGCAACTCCCGCAGCTCCTCTTCCACCTTCCGGGCGAACAACTTCAAAAGCTCCTTGATGTTGGAGACATATTGCCGGCGTGCCTCCCTGATCAATGTCTCTTCGGCTGCCTTGATCTCCTGGTTGACGAATGCGTGGAGATCACGGATTATTTGCGCCTTGCCGTTCTCGAGGAATCTTAAAAGGGCTCTGAGGTCTTTTATGGGACCATCCACCAGACGGCCGTGTAGCTTGTCAATTTCATCTCTTATTTGCTTGAGTTGCTCGCCAATTTTGCCATCCTTCAATTCATTAAGAAACCATTCGGCATCTTTTGCTAACATTCTAATCGCCGTGCACAGCTCCTTGAGTTTGTCCCTCACGTCCTTAACGTCCCTGGTTTTAATGGTCTCGATGTCTGCGGTGATATTAGTGAGGCCTTTGTCTGGTTTACCTTCAATTGTCCACGGTGTATTACCGTCATTAAGGCCACTTTCTTTCAGCTTCTTGAGCTTTTCGGTGACGTCATCGTTCAACTGCTTCTGAAGCCTTTGAAGCTCCGTGGTGATTTGGTCGACGCCTTGGTCAATGTTGCCGGGTTGTTGCTCCAACGTGTTTTGTTGAGTGCTAAGGTCATTTTGTATGCTTTTGAGGCTTTTTTGGGTATTATGTTTATTCCATCCTTTTTCGCCACTTAGTCCACTGTTCTGCAAATCGTTCAGTGTTGTAATGACATCTTCGTCGCTTGCATTGCCTTGCAACACACCTCGAAGGGCAGTGAGTTCATTTACAATTTGTTGCTTGGCTTGTTCAATTTTAGTGGGTTGTTGTTGAAACGGGTCTTCTTGCAATTGCCTTATTTTCTCGTAAATCCCGTGAAGATTATTTTTAGCTTTATCCTTACCTTTACCAATCAACTGCCCCAACCAGGTCAGCTGGTCTATTACGTCATCGGTAGTGTATAAACCTTGCAACTTAAATCCGAGACATGCAAGCGCCCATTTAATTTGGTGTATGGCATCTCCAATCTTGTTGTTTTGGGTGGCCAATTCCTTATTCTGCTCCTGAAGTCCCTGCTGGATTTTCCCGAGACCACTGAGAGATTTACCGTCTTGAGTTGTCTTACCATTCCAAGTATTCTTACCTTCGAGACCAACATTTCTCAAGTCTGTTAATGTCTCAATAACATCATCTTTCGGCTGACCTTCCTTATTCTTCAACTTCCCTCTGAGCTCTCCAAGCTCCTTCCTAATTGCTTGGACGGCTGTGCCAATTGCTTCGGGTTGCTTTGTGAACTGCTCTTGTTGCAGTTTTCAATCGCATTTTTAATATCATCTAAACCTTTATCAGCTCCATTTAACTTGCCCTGATCAAGCGCACTTTTAAGCTCACCCAGAAGCTTTTGGACGCCTTTTTCGTCCTTGCCAGATGTGCCATCACCATCAACCAATCCCTTGATCTCTCCAAGCTGTGTCTTAATTTTGGTGAACGGATCATTAAACGTCTTTTCTTCAATCTTCTTATCCTTACTGGCCTTGTCACCAATAGTCCCTTCAAGCTCCGCCAGTCCCAGAGCCTTGATGTCCCCGATGGCCTGGGGGAGAGAGCCTTCTTCTTCAAGGCCAGTTAATTGACCGTCCTTAATCTCATTTTGGTCAACGTGCTTATCATATTGTCCAAAATTCTTTTTATCAATGATGATTTTCTGTGCTTGACCACCTTGCTGACTTGCCGACTGATCATCCTTCCCAATGTGGTCATCAACTTTCTGCTTGAGTTCCCTGTCGAGACTACTTTTAATTTGTTCGTGGGTAGTGTGGAATTCGTTCATGAGATTATCACCAAGCACAATTGCAGCACCATTCTTACTAATCTGCCCAGCCGCCTCTGTGATAGCCTTCTTGGCCGCAGCCTTGATCTGTTGTTCGGCTACATCGTTGAAATCTTTAACGGCGCCGGGAAGCCCTCTAACTGCTTCATCAAGATCTTGTTTGACTTTCTTAAAATTGGCGTCAAGCCTCCCAACCTCATCCCTCACTTCACCCAACCTCTTGTCCACGGCCTGGGCGGGGCTTTCTCTTTTTGGTTGGCCGACATTGTTAGTCGCCTGAGTAAGTTGATTGTGAAGTTTATTAGTATATCCGAGAACGCTATCTAATTCTTGTGCGATGCTTGTTGAGTTCTCTCCGTAATTTCCCACCCTCTTGTCGAGTAGGATGGACTTAATTTCGTTGGCCACCTGGCTGGTGGTGGCGGAGAGACCGAGCAGCGCAGCTTCTATGGCGGGTTTGATATCATCTTCGTTTTTGTGCCTGTAACTCCTCCATCGACTCTCACTGGCAATCTTATTGTATATCACCTGGGCAAGCTCCTTAAATCCGTCGTTTTTCAGTTTCTCATCAAGCCCACTAACAAATGCCTCGCACGCATTTTTGACGGATGTAATGGTTTTTTCGATTTTACCACTGGACGTATCAACCTTCCCCTTGCCTGCCTCAATTTCACTATGAAGCTTCGTCTTAATCTGCTCGATAATTTTTTGACTCCATGAAAACCCAAGTATCGAACCATCCAGCAGCTTCACCACGTCGCTGCTACTCCCCTTCCTCTCAGTAACATACTTACCAAGCCACGGTTTAATGGTTTTCTTCTTATCATCTCCCTTATTATTTCCCAAAATTCCTTCCGCCCAGCCGCCTACTATAGTATGAAAATTTTTGAACCCACTAGTGTAGCTGCCAATCAACCCGCTGGCAATGCCCTCCAGGCCTCTATTTGGCTGATCACCGTTCAGGATTTTATTGACTTCCTCTTTAATCTTTTTAAAAATCTCTTCAAGTTTCTTTTCACTTCCGCCTCTCAGCTCAAAATTCCCGCCAAGCGTCTCAATCTCATCGTAAACTTCTTGGACTTTATCGTTAAGCGGAGTCTTGATATGCAGATTAAACTTAGTTTGAAGTCCCGTCGTCAGCGTCACTATTGACTTATCACCACTACCAGTAAGCTGATTCAGCGGTTCCTTAGCCCTTGAAAGCTGTGACAACTCGTGTTTAACGAGGCTCTCTCCATTTGATTTATCAACCTCTGTTTTAAGCCCCTCAATCCTCTCCCTCAAACTCTGCAAATCACTCTTCACTTTCTCATCCAATTCCTTAACTCCCAAATCCATAATCACACTGTCTATCCCTTCCTTAATCTTATCTTTAACACTCTTCAAATCCATCTTAAGAGATTTGTCCATTTGCACAACAGCCTCCAACGCTGATTTTACCTGAGCCTCAACAGCCAATTTGGCATCCTTCGCAGCCTTCAAAAGTGTCTGAGCCTTCTCATTCAATGTTTTAGCCTTCTCATAAATAACACCTCCGGGGGAATTAGTACTAACTTTATCCAGAATTTCTTTACACTTCCCCTCCGCCTTGGTAATAACATCCCTGGCGGCAGTGTTCCACTTACCTAAATGCTCAACTTCGGTGGCAAGATCTTTGTTTGCACTAACAATTAACTTGTTAGCATCGTCAATACTCGTAAGCTTCTCACCAACTTGCGTACTCTTTTCATCCAAAGCCTTATGAACTTCCGTCGCCTGTGCAATCGCCCCTTGAAGCACATCCCCGGCCTGTTGCTTCCACTCTCCCAAATTTTTATGAACACCACTCAGCTGAGTATGTACTCCTTTAATCTTCTCATTTGCCGTCACAATCTCCCCGATTTTCTGACTCAGAGTCTCATTAACCTTCAGCTTGTCGTAGGCTTCTTTGGCCTTTGTCTCTGCCGCAGCACGGATCTTCTCCGCCGAGGTGATCAAGGCACTTAGATTGGTAACTTGTTGGAGAAGAGTGTATTTAGCCGTGTCAATTGCACCAATGTTGCTCCCAATCACCGCCACCTTATGACATCACGATCACCGCCAGGCCAGGATGACCAATGCGGCAAGCAAGGGGCATCTGAGAGCATCAAACAAAATATATGTTAGATGGTAGGTAAGCCGTTTGGTTAGGCGTTAGGTAAGACGTTTGGTTACGTGCTAGGTCAGATGTTTGGTTACGTGCTAGGTGAGGCGTTTGGTTACGTGCTAGGTGGGCCGTTTGGTTAGGTGCTAGGTAAGCGTTTTGGTCATGTGCTAGGTTACATCTTAGGTTGAACATTTGGTAAGGCAGTGAGTTGGGTGCTAGGCAAGGCACGAGATACAGTCAAGATGAGAGACATGAGATGACATGACATGGCAACAAAAAAAGAAGAATATAATGTAATGTAGCTACGATAATTACCGTCATGAGTGAAAGTCGTCGTCGAAGTAGTCGACGCCGTGGTATAGCGAGAGCATTCTCCGGCCTTTAGTGAGTAAGGCCTTGACGTCGATGAGGTGGGAGGCCCTGGTGGTGAGGAGGTGGGAGCGGATGCGGAGGACGTCCATGCGGTAGAGTAGTGAGTGGGCAATGTAGAGCGTGGCGATGAGCCAGAGTGCTGTGATGGTGTAGAGGAAGGGCGCACGGATGGTGTAGAGGTACTCGGGGATTGTCTCATGCGCCAGCTTGTGGAGAGGGTTCCTCTGCTTGACGGCGACTTGCAGTGCTGTGCAGAAATCCTCGCAGGTGCGCTTGGCTGGGTGGCCGCTGGTGGATCCGGCGAGGCTGTGGACGTCTTTGAGCACGAAGCCGTACTGGAAGAGTGTGGGCGTGGTGGAGTCGCAGTCCACGATGGAGGGGCAGTCGGCAGTGTGATTGGAGCTCGGGGCCAGTGGCCGTCGCTTGGCTGTGCAGTCGTTGGCGCAGCTCCTGGCGTGGCAGTTGGACGTGGCGTCGGCGCAGGTGCGCTCGCAGTCCTGGAGCAGTTCCCTGAGGAAGTCGTAGAAAGTCTCCGTGAGGTACACCACCCAGGAGAGGTAGAGGTGGGCGTGCTCCTTGGCGAAGGTGGCGCGTACGTCGTGGCCGAGTGGCTTGAGGTAGGGGCCGCAGGGGTGTGACGGAGCGGAGCGAGGAGTGCCGTTGCACTCGACGAGTGAGAAGAGATCGCCGGTGAGGTGAGGCATGTTGGTGACGGAACGATGTTCACTGGAGCCGAAGACTGTACTGACGTCCAGTGTCACGCCCCGCTGCCGGAAGCACGCGTCGCCGACGGCGTCCTCGAAGGCCGCCTTACGGTGCTCGCCGCTGCTACGCCAGTCACATATGAACTGGTAGTAAAAGGCGAACAGGTCGTCTGGCGTCCGTGGCGGGCGAGTGAGGAGGCAATTCAGGAAGCTGCACAGTCTGGTGAGGGGGTGAGGAAGCGCCGCCGCAGAAGGCGCCGAGGACGTCCATGATGGCTCTGCCTGGGCACGCACGGGAGGCCAGCCTGGTGATGTTGGAGAGGCCCATCGGCGTCTTGCACGGCAGGCCGGGTGACGTGGTGTCACAGGCGGGGCATGAGACACAGGTGTCATTGGGGGACAGGTCATGCGGCAAGAAGCCTTGCAGTCCGTCCTCGAGGAACGACTGGAGCGGCGACTTGACGCCGCACCTGGGATGCTGGTCACATCTTTGGTTACATATTTGGTCATGTGTTTGGTTGCACTGTTGGTCACACATTTGGTTGGCACACAGCATGGTGTTGCACTTCCATGACGATCCTCCGACGTCCCGGCCGTACCAGCAGTCGAGCCATCCGCCGTGCCGGGCGTTGTAGGTGCACTGGCGGTAGAGGAAATAGAGCTGCTGGTGGAGGCGTTTGAGGACGTCGAAGAGCAGGCAGAGCAAAGCGTCGGCGTCGCCGGGGTAGAGCAGGCCTTGCGGGTTGGTGTTGAAGTCGCAGGCATAGATGCCACCTGCGTGGCCGAAGCCTAGTAACGTGGTGAGCACTGAATGCGACTGGTGGCACACCTCCGTGAGTGCGTCGGTGAGGGACGCCGGTGTTATGTGCTGCGGGTGGGCCTTAAGCGCCAGGCTGCCGACGTCAGTGAGGGACACTTCGGATTCCCCGGCGTCCGGCTCGTCCGCCTCGAACAGCGACGGCAGTGCTTCGGAGTTGAGGCCCAGGTACACGGCGTTGTGCGGGAGCCCGCAGCACCATTGAAGCATCTCGTAGATGGAACACGGCGGCCGGGGTGAGGGATGCACCTTGAGGTGGCACGTCTTATAATACTGGTGGAGGTGCGTGCAGAGGCATTTGAGGAGCTCTAAGAGATTACAGGCGTGTTGGAGGGACAGGCATTTTTTGAGGTGTTCGTTGTCCTCTGTCTCCTTAATGTTCTGGGTGACCAGGACATACACGTCGCGGCCGTTGCACTCGTCGCGCAGCTCGCCGTCCTGGTCAAAGGGAGAGGTGGAGACCTTGTAGCCGGAGCGCTGGATGAAAGTGCCGAGTTCACTGCTTGAATTAATGCTCAGATCCCTCCACTTGCCGCAGCGCTCCGCCAGCCTGGTAAAGGCGTCGCACAGTGTGGGCAGCATGGTGAGGAAGACCTTGGCGCACTTCTCACCTTCTTCATCGGTGAACTGTGCGCCGGCGTATCTTGAGACGTACGCACATGTGAACTCGGCGGCGAACTTTGTGAGCCCCTCCACCAGGCCGTCCAGCAGGGGACTCGAGGGCCTGGCGAAGCTCTCAGGCTTGAGTTCACTCAACGCGTCGGTGAGGTTGCGGAGCAGCTCCGTGAGTCTGTGGTCGAAGGTATCGTTGTCCTTGAGGTAGTGGAGCAATGCGTGGAGTGCCTCGTTCACCACGGAGAGCCTAGTGGAATACTCCTGTGTGTCCTGCCGCTTAAGATTTTTCTTCCTCTGCTCCTCGTCGTGGAACCGATTTATCTCCCTGTCCACGTGGTCCTCGAGTGACGAGTAGAAACGCATGAAAGCGGAGGACAGCGGTGGGAGGCTTTTTGACTCCTTGAGTTTCTGTACGTTGAGGTCATTTTCCAAGCCGTCCTCCACTCGGGTCATAAGGCCTTTGTATTCTACTGTCAGGTCCCTGTCAATCTCCCACGGCAACTCCCGCAGCTCCTCTTCCACCTTCCGGGCGAACAACTTCAAAAGCTCCTTGATGTTGGAGACATATTGCCGGCGTGCCTCCCTGATCAATGTCTCTTCGGCTGCCTTGATCTCCTGGTTGACGAATGCGTGGAGATCACGGATTATTTGCGCCTTGCCGTTCTCGAGGAATTTTAGAAAGCCTTTAAGCTCTCTTATCACACCCCTCACCTGCTCGCTCAGCAGATCACTAAATTTGTCTTTTATTTTCGTAAGCTCATTAAGGCTCTTCTCTTTCACTTCCTTCAAGGTGAACGCGGCGTCCTTTGCAATGTGCCTAATCGCCGTGCACAGCTCCTTGAGTCTCTCCTTCACGTCCTCAACGTTCTCTGTCTTTATGGCGACGATGTCCGTGGTGATATTAGTGAGGCCTTTGTTAGAATCACTGTCATTCCATGCTTGATTACCTTTTCCAAGGCCATGCTCTCTCACCTTCTTGAGCTTTTCGGTGACGTCATCGTTCAACTGCTTCTGAAGCCTTTGAAGCTCCGTGGTGATTTGGTCGACGCCTTGGTCAATGTTGCCGGGTTGTTGCTCCAACGTGTTTTGTTGAGTGCTAAGGTCATTTTGTATGCTTTTGAGGCTTTTTTGGGTATTATGTTTATTCCATCCTTTTTCGCCACTTAGTCCACTGTTCTGCAAATCTTCCAGTGTCTTAATGACATCTTCGTCGCTTGCATTGCCTTGCAACACACCTCGAAGCGCAGTGAGTTCTGCTTTAATTGCTTCGTTGGCTTTTCCAATTGCATCGGGATTATTATGAAACGGCCCGTCATGAAGGTTTTTGATTGCGTTGTATATTGCTTGAAGGCTGTCACTGTATCCATCTTTACTTGTGCCGATCTTTTTCCCCAACCGACGCAAATGGTCCATGACGTCAAATGGATTGAAGACATTGTCCATATCTATTTTGACATTTGCAATCTCGGCGTATATTCGTATTGCGGCTTTTCTGATAATTTCGGTTTGTTGAGGCAACTTCTTAATTTCTGTGCTGAGGTCACCATGAATTTTCCCAAGGCCACTGAGAGATTGGCCTTTACCATTCTGCCAATCTTCCCTATCACCAAGGCCCTCCTCCTTCATGTGTTTCAGCCTTTCAATGACGTCTTCTTTATTACCATTCTTCATCGTCTCTCTAAGCTGTCCAAGCTGCGCCTTAATTGCGGTGACGGCTTTGTCGATTTCAGCGGGTTGACATTCGATGTCGTTAAGTGTAAATTGCCTCGAGGCGTGGGACTTTGGGACCACTTTGGCAACCTGAGTGCAGGTCGACGCCATTTGTGGGACGCAAAAAGGGCGTGGCAGGTGAGGGACGGCTGGCAGCCAACGAAGTGAGGAAGATGAGCTAACATTTGCTCAAAAAGGTAGGGGTGGATGTGGATTGCGCTATTGATAGGTTACCCAGTGATGGCGTTAGTGGCAATTGTATAGGCATTTTAGAGCAGCAGGAGGGGCGTCGTAAGAGGCGTCAGCGTCATTCATTCAGTGTAAAGGTGGGATGAGGAGGCTGTTTGGGGAGTGACGGCAAGGCGACAAAGGGAGGAGGGAAAAGGCAAAGCAGCGAGTAGGTTACATCATAGGTAAGCAGTTTGGTTAAGTGCTAGGTGAGCTATTTGGTTATGTGCTAGGTCAGCCTTTTGGTTAGTCAGTGAGTTAGGTGCAAGGCAAGGCACGAGATACAGTCACAATGAGAGACGTGACATGACACGGCAACACAAGGAATGTAAATGTAATGTAGCTACGATAATTACTGTCACGAGTGGAAGTCATCGTCGAAGTAATCGACGTCCTTGTAGAGTGAGAGCATCCTGCGGCTTCCGGCGAGCAGCGCCTTGACGTCGATGAGGTGGGAGGCCCTGGTGGTGAGAAGGTGGGAGCGGATGCGGAGGACGTCCATGCGGTAGAGTAGTGAGTGGGCAATGTAGAGCGTGGCGATGAGCCAGAGTGCTGTGATGGTGTAGAGGAAGGGCGCACGGATGCGGTAGAGGAACTGGTCACACTGGTCGAAGAGATGTGTGAAGTGGTCGGAGTGTAGGACTTGGCTGAGCTGCTTGGCAAAATTACGGCAATATTTTCTGTTATTGCCGTGCAAGGCTCTCGTGTTTCCAAATGTAAATCCGTATGCGTGGAACGTCGGCAGGACGCCGTGACAGCTCACCAGTGCCTTGCACTTGCAGTTGAGGTCGACGCCATGTTGGCCCGGGTTGCAGGGACACGTCGAGCACCCGGAGCTTGCGCAGTCAATGTCTTGAAAGGCGTTGAGGAATTGCTGGAGCAGCTCCCAGAATCGCCATGCGGTGTAGATGACCCACGACACATATACCTCCGCGTGCTTCTCGGGGAAGGTGTGGTAGGCGTGGAAGGAGAGCGGTTGGAGGTAGGGGCGCAGGTCAGTGAGTCGGCGCACCGCGACCGGACGGTGAGACTCGACAGGTCCGAGTGGGTGGCTTGTAAGGTGTTAGTGACAGCGTCCGTTGGGGATGCGCCACTGTGGTCGTCGGCGGAATAGTATAATCTGGTGAGGGCGTCGGTCAGCTGCGCCGCCTCGGTGGTGGGACAGAGGTACAGAGAGACGCTGGGGATTGCCGCAGTGCTCAGGTGACCAGTGAAGTGGACGTTGTCAACGTACTCAGCGGACTGCCGGCACCGGAACACGTTGCAGTAGAACGCAAACATGTCACCGAGACTTTGAGGCGGCGAGGGGTCAATTGACGACAGGCAACGTAATAGTGTTGGCAGGGCGACTCGGCACCACTGCACAGGGCGGTGAGCACGGCGCATATTTGCTCACCACTGCCGACAATAGACGCCGCCTCTGTCAGGTCCCAGAAGCCCATGGGCGTGACACAGGGCATGCCGGGGATGCGATAGAACACGTGTCGCACTGCGAGTCACAACCGACGGAGGCCAACTTATGCGGTAGGAAGCCCGCCAGATGGTCCATCAAATGGGCCTGTAGCGGGGATTTTGGTTGGCACGTTGACTGGCACATAGGTTGGCCATTTGGTCGGCACGTTGGTCGGCCATTTGGTTCACACATTAAGTGCTTGTTACATTGCCAGCTGGCGGCGGGGACGCTTCTGCCGTACTGGCAGTCGCGCCAGCCGTGGCCCGTGGCAGCATCATATTTGCATCGTGCGCGCAAAAAGTTGAGTGCAAGTAGCAAACATTTACATAAATGAGTCAGCATATGTAACAAATCGGCGAGGTCTGAGGGGTAGTGGAGGCCGCGTGAGTTGTCCCAGAAGTTGCAGGCGTAGGGGTAGTCGGCGTGGTCGAAGCCTCTGCCGTTACCGCAAATGGTGGTGAGCAGGGCGCTGCAGCGGTGCGTGACAAGGCTGAGTGCGCCTGGGATGGATCCCAAGCAATGCTTGACCACTGCATCACCCTCGCCCCTGAACAGGACGTTGCAATGCGCCTGCACGCGCTCATAGAGCACGGAGTAAGGAAGCCCTGCGAACCACGCGAGAATGTCCCTGACGGTGCCGGGGTACCGTGGCTCAGGGGGAACACGCAAGTGACAGAGACGCAGGTAACACTTGAGCATGTCGTGGAGTTCGTCGAGTGGCTCCATGATATTATCGGTGAGCTCTCTAATCTTCTGGCCGCTGCAGTCACTGTCGTTCCTGAGCTCGCCGTCCGGAACGCCCGCCGAGGTGACCCGGTAGCCGCGTTGCTGGAGGAAGGCGCCCAGGGGGGTGAATGGATTTATTAACATATGAGACCACTCATCTGCGCATTTCATTCTGAGCTCGTTCAAATCGCGGAACAGCGTGTCGGTTATTGTCAGCAGAACGAAGGCGCATTTGGAGGCCTCCGGGGTGTGCGTCTTTTTCGCCGCGTGGTAGAGCACGCAGTCCCCGAAGGCCCCGTCGTATGTGGAGATGTACACTGTTCTCAGTTCCTTCTCAAACTTGTCCGCTGCCTCCGCCACGCCGTCGAGTATCGGAGTTGTGACTTTGGCGAATTTCTCCGGTCGCAGGGCTCCGACTGCCTTGGTAAGTTTATCGAGCATTTCGGGAAGTCTGCGGTCGAAACGTTTCTCCCTGCCGATGTGCTCCAGCAACTCCTCTAGCGCGTGGGTGACGCCGTAAAGCCTCTCGGCGTAGTGATCCTCTGCCGGAGGCAGTGAGGGATTCTTCTTTTTACTCTCCTCGCTGTGCACCCTCCTGATCTCTGTGCTGAGGTATCCCGAGAGCGCCAGGTGGAACCGCTTGAAGCCTGTGGACAGGGCGTCGAGTTGCAGCGTACCCTTTAGAGGGGAGATGTGAGACTCGAAGCGTTGCTGGAAATCATACACAAACCCCTTATACCCTATCTGCAGATCCCCGTTTATTAACGGAGGCAAGGGACTCAATTCTTCCTCCACCTTCTGGGCGAAGGCCTTCAGCGCCTCCTTGATGTTGGAGACATATTGCCGGCGTGCCTCCCTGATAAGAGTCTCTTCGGCTTCCTTGATCTCCTGGTCGACGAAAGCGTGGAGGTCTGCGATAATTCTTTTAGCGGCCTCGTCGGCGTATTTATCAAACTTCTTGAGTAATTGAATGACATTGTCCAGCGGGCCGAAGTACAAATCGTAAAGGTCACTGTAAATGCTTCTTAACTCATTAAGACCGTCACCTTTCAGACGCTTTAAGTCCCTGCTTGACTCGTTGGCCTCAATTCTTATCGCCGTGCACAGCTCCTTGAGTTTGTCCTTCACGTCCTTAACGTTCTCTGTTTTTATGGTCTCGATGTCTGTGGTGATTTGAGTGAGGCCTGTGGCAGAATGTTCGTCAATATGCCAAGTTTGTCCATCGCCAAGTGCATCTTTTTGTAATTTTTGCAGCTTTTTAGTTACATGATTTTGCAACGTTCCTCTGAGGTTGATAAGCTCCCCGGTGATTAGGCTGACGCCATTTTGGATATTTTGTGGTTGTTCATTCAACTCACTTTGTTGAGTGCTAAGCTCACCATGTATTTTTGAGAGGCCATTAATGTTCTTCTCATCCCACGTTTCACTCATCCCCTTGCTTATCAAATTGGTCAGCGTCTTGATGACCTCACTGTCCAGCGTGCTCCTCTGGTCTCTGAGTTCCCCCTTGATTGCCTCGTTGGCTTCTCCGATGGTTTTGGGATTGGAAGTAAATTGATCCCTTTGCAGCCCAGCGATCACATTGTAAATTGCTTGAAGATTTTCTTTATCTTTGTTCCCGTTTTTGCCAAGCTTTCTTCGTAATTGTCCCATGTAGTCCAATATGTCATCAGGAGTCCAGGGATCAGACAACCTGACACCGAGCATGACAAGATGCCAATTAATTTCTTTCACAGCGTCATCAATAATTTTCGTCTGTAGTGGCAATTCATCATTCTGCTTTTGAAGGTCCTCTTCGATTTTCCCAAGGCCACTGAGAGATTGACCTTTCCAAATATATGTGCCATTCTCCCACTCACCAGAGCTAAATCCATCGCGTTTCAAAATCGTCAAAGCGGTGATGACATCTTGTTTACTGCCATGCTTGCCTTTCAACCTCTCTCTAAGCTCTTTGAGCTCCGCCTTAATTTGCTCGACGGCTGTGCCAATTGCAGCGGGTTGACATTCGATGTCGTCAAGTGTAAATTGACTCGAGGCGTGCAACTTTGGGACCACTTTGGCAAGCTGAGTGTAGGTGGACGCCATTTGTGGGACGCAAAAAGGGCGTGGCAGGTGGGATGAGGAGGCTGTTTGGGGAGTGACGGCAAGGCGACAAAGGGAGGAGGGAAAAGGCAAAGCAGCGAGTAGGTTACATCATAGGTAAGCAGTTTGGTTAAGTGCTAGGTGAGCTATTTGGTTATGTGCTAGGTCAGCCTTTTGGTTAGTCAGTGAGTTAGGTGCAAGGCAAGGCACGAGATACAGTCACAATGAGAGACGTGACATGACACGGCAACACAAGGAATGTAAATGTAATGTAGCTACGATAATTACTGTCACGAGTGGAAGTCATCGTCGAAGTAATCGACGTCCTTGTAGAGTGAGAGCATCCTGCGGCTTCCGGCGAGCAGCGCCTTGACGTCGATGAGGTGGGAGGCCCTGGTGGTGAGAAGGTGGGAGCGGATGCGGAGGACGTCCATGCGGTAGAGTAGTGAGTGGGCAATGTAGAGCGTGGCGATGAGCCAGAGTGCTGTGATGGTGTAGAGGAAGGGCGCACGGATGCGGTAGAGGAACTGGTCACACTGGTCGAAGAGATGTGTGAAGTGGTCGGAGTGTAGGACTTGGCTGAGCTGCTTGGCAAAATTACGGCAATATTTTCTGTTATTGCCGTGCAAGGCTCTCGTGTTTCCAAATGTAAATCCGTATGCGTGGAACGTCGGCAGGACGCCGTGACAGCTCACCAGTGCCTTGCACTTGCAGTTGAGGTCGACGCCATGTTGGCCCGGGTTGCAGGGACACGTCGAGCACCCGGAGCTTGCGCAGTCAATGTCTTGAAAGGCGTTGAGGAATTGCTGGAGCAGCTCCCAGAATCGCCATGCGGTGTAGATGACCCACGACACATATACCTCCGCGTGCTTCTCGGGGAAGGTGTGGTAGGCGTGGAAGGAGAGCGGTTGGAGGTAGGGGGCGCAGGTCAGTGAGTCGGCGCACCGCGACCGGACGGTGAGACTCGACAGGTCCGAGTGGGTGGCTTGTAAGGTGTTAGTGACAGCGTCCGTTGGGGATGCGCCACTGTGGTCGTCGGCGGAATAGTATAATCTGGTGAGGGCGTCGGTCAGCTGCGCCGCCTCGGTGGTGGGACAGAGGTACAGAGAGACGCTGGGGATTGCCGCAGTGCTCAGGTGACCAGTGAAGTGGACGTTGTCAACGTACTCAGCGGACTGCCGGCACCGGAACACGTTGCAGTAGAACGCAAACATGTCACCGAGACTTTGAGGCGGCGAGGGGTCAATTGACGACAGGCAACGTAATAGTGTTGGCAGGGGCGACTCGGCACCACTGCACAGGGCGGTGAGCACGGCGCATATTCGCTCACCACTGCCGACAATAGACGCCGCCTCTGTCAGGTCCCAGAAGCCCATGGGCGTGACACAGGGCATGCCGGGGATGCGATAGAACACGTGTCGCACTGCGAGTCACAACCGACGGAGGCCAACTTATGCGGTAGGAAGCCCGCCAGATGGTCCATCAAATGGGCCTGTAGCGGGGATTTTGGTTGGCACGTTGACTGGCACATAGGTTGGCCATTTGGTCGGCACGTTGGTCGGCCATTTGGTTCACACATTAAGTGCTTGTTACATTGCCAGCTGGCGGCGGGGACGCTTCTGCCGTACTGGCAGTCGCGCCAGCCGTGGCCCGTGGCAGCATCATATTTGCATCGTGCGCGCAAAAAGTTGAGTGCAAGTAGCAAACATTTACATAAATGAGTCAGCATATGTAACAAATCGGCGAGGTCTGAGGGGTAGTGGAGGCCGCGTGAGTTGTCCCAGAAGTTGCAGGCGTAGGGGTAGTCGGCGTGGTCGAAGCCTCTGCCGTTACCGCAAATGGTGGTGAGCAGGGCGCTGCAGCGGTGCGTGACAAGGCTGAGTGCGCCTGGGATGGATCCCAAGCAATGCTTGACCACTGCATCACCCTCGCCCCTGAACAGGACGTTGCAATGCCCTGCACGCGCTCATAGAGCACGGAGTAAGGAAGCCCTGCGAACCACGCGAGAATGTCCCTGACGGTGCCGGGGTACCGCGGCTGAGACGGAACACGCAAGTGACAGAGACGCAGGTAACACTTGAGCATGTCGTGGAGTTCGTCGAGTGGCTCCATGATATTATCGGTGAGCTCTCTAATCTTCTGGCCGCTGCAGTCACTGTCGTTCCTGAGCTCGCCGTCCGGAACGCCCGCCGAGGTGACCCGGTAGCCGCGTTGCTGGAGGAAGGCGCCCAGGGGGGTGAATGGATTTATTAACATATGAGACCACTCATCTGCGCATTTCATTCTGAGCTCGTTCAAATCGCGGAACAGCGTGTCGGTTATTGTCAGCAGAACGAAGGCGCATTTGGAGGCCTCCGGGGTGTGCGTCTTTTTCGCCGCGTGGTAGAGCACGCAGTCCCCGAAGGCCCCGTCGTATGTGGAGATGTACACTGTTCTCAGTTCCTTCTCAAACTTGTCCGCTGCCTCCGCCACGCCGTCGAGTATCGGAGTTGTGACTTTGGCGAATTTCTCCGGCCGCAACGCTCCGACTGCCTCGGCGAGTTTATCGAGCATTTCGGGAAGTCTGCGGTCGAAACGTTTCCCCCTGCCGATGTGCTCTAGTAAATCCTCGAGCGCGTGGGTGACTCGATAAAGCCTCTCGGCGTAGTGATCCTCTGCCGGAGGCAGTGAGGGATTCTTCTTCTTGCTCTCCTCGCTGTGCACTCTCTTGATCTCTGTGCTGAGGTATCCCGAGAGCGCCAGGTGGAACCGCTTGAAGGCTGTGGACAGGGCGTCGAGTTGCAGCGTACCCTTTAGAGGAGAGATGTGAGACTCGAAGCGTTGCTGGAAATCATACACAAACCCCTTATACCCTATCTGCAGATCTCCATTTATTAACGGGGGTAAGGGACTTAATTCCTCTTCCACCTTCCGGGCGAAGGCCTCCAGCGCCTCCTTGATGTTGGCGGCGCACTGCTGCCTCGCGAAGGCTGTTAAGTCCTCGATTGCGGTGGCCACTTGGCCGTCGACGAACGCTGTGAGGGACGCAATGCATTCCCTTCCGAACCTGTCGGCGTCTTTATTAATGAACTCCTTGCAGGCCTTGATTGGCCCACTCACCAGACGGATCTGCAGGTTGTGCAATTGGTCTTTTATTCCAGTCAACTCATACTCCAGCCTGTCTTTTTTCACATGTTCCAAGTCCCTTTTTGCCTCCCTCGCTAAGGTACGAATTTCTGTGCACAGCTCTTTGAGTTTCTCCTTCACGTCCTTAACGTTCTCTGTTTTTATGGCTACGATGTCTGCGGTGATGTTAGTGAGGCCTTTGTCTGCATCGCCATTAAGTGTCCAGTTGTTTCCGCCGTCAGTAAGGCCATGGTCTTTCAGCTTCTTGAGCTTTTCGGTGACATTGTCATTCAACTGGTTTCTAAGTTTGTCAAGCTCAGTGGTGATTGACTGGACGCCACCGCCGATTTGTTCGGGTTGTTGTCCTAACGTATTTTGTTGAGCTTTAAGTTCACCATTTATTTTTGCGAGGCCAGCAACTGGGCTACCATTATGACTCTTCCAATTGGATACATTATTAAGCCCATTGTTCTGCAAATCGTTCAGTGTTGTAATGACATCTTCGTCGCTTGCATTGCCTTGCAACACACCTCGAAGGGTATTGAGTTCATCTACAATTTCTTGCTTGGCTTGATTAATAGTGTTAGGATACTGTTTAAACGGCCAATCTTGCAACCAATAAAGTGTATAATAAATGTCGTTAAGATTGTCCCCATCTTTATACTTATTTTTGCCAAGTTTCCTGTCCAAGCGCCGCAAATTGTCAAGGACGTCATCATTGACGCGATCATCATTCAACCTGAATCCGATCAATCTAAGTTGCCAATTAATTTCTTTTACAACTATGTCGAGAGCGTTTTCAATGATTTTCGTTTGTCCGGGTAATATAGCATTTTGCTCCTTGAGTCGCATTTGGATTTTTTTAAGCCCCATGGCTTTTTTATCTTCAGATGTCCACGCACTATTACCATCTTCAAGGCCATAATTTCTAAAGTTTTGCAACTTGTCAATAACGCCAAGTTCACCACCGTTCTCTTTCTTCAACTTCTGTCTAAGCTCTCCAAGCTGCGTCTTAATTTCGGAGGTGGCTGTGCCGATTGCAGCGGGTTTGTTCTGGACGTCGTTAAGTGTAAATTGCCTCGAGGCCTTTGACTTTTAGACCACTTTGGCAAGCTGAGTGTAGGTCGACGCCATTTGTGGGACGCAAAAAGGCCGACGCAGGTGGGATGAGGGAGGTTGTTTTGGGAGTGACGGCAAGGCGACAAAGGGACAGGGGAGATGACAAAGCAGCGAGTAGGTTACGTCATAGGTCATGTGCTTGGTCAGCCATTTGGTTAGGTGGTAGGTGAGCCGTTTGGTTAAGCAGTGAGTTAGGTGCTAGGCAAGGCACGAGATACAGTGGCGATGAGAGAGGTGACATGGCAACACAAGCAATGTAAATGTAATGTAGCTGTTATAATTACTGTCATGAGTTAAGGTCTTCGTCGAAGTAGTCGACGTCCTTGTAGAGTGAGAGCATCCTGCGGCTGCCGGCGAGCAGCGCCTTGACGTCGATGAGGTGTGAGGCCCTGGTGGTGAGGAGGTGGGAGCGGATGCGCAGGACGTCCATGCGGTAGAGTAGCGAGTGGAGGATGTAGAGCGCGGCGATGAGCCAGAGTGCGATGATGGCGAAGAGGAAGGGGGCACGGATGCGGTAGAGGAACTCTGGAATGGTCTCGTGCGCCAGCTTGTGGAGAGGGTTCAATTCCTTGACGGCGACTTGCAGTGCCTGGCAGAAATCCTCGCAGGTGCGCTTGCCTTGGTGGCCGCTGGTGGAGCCGGCGAGGCTGTGGACGTCCCTGAGCGCGAAGCCGTACTGGAAGAGTGTTGGCGTGATGGAGTCGCAGTCCACGATGGAGGGGCATGAATCAAGGTGCCCTGAGCCATGGCCCATTGGCCGTCGTTTGGCTGTGCATTGGTTGTCGCAGCTCCTGGCGTGGTAGACGGACGTGGCGTCGGCGCAGGTGCGCTCGCAGTCTTGGAGCAGTTGCTTAAGCAGGTCGTAGAATGTCTCCGTGAGGTACACTATCCACGAGAGGTAGAGGTGGGCGTGTTCCTTGGAGAAGGTGGCGCGTACGTCGTGGCTGAGGGGCTTGAGGTGGGGGCCGCAGGGGTGTGACGGAGCGGAACCTGGAGTGCCGTTGCACTGTACGAGGGAGAAGAGATCTCCGGTGAGGTGAGGGATGTCCGTCCCGGAGCCGTGGTTGCTGGTGCGGAAGATTGTACTGACGTCCAGTGTCACGCCCCGCTGCCGGAAGCACGCAGCGCCGCCGGCGTCATCGAAGGCTTCCTTCCGGTGCTCGCCGGTCTGAGTCCAGTTACAGAGGAAATTGTAGTAAAAGGCGAACAGCTCGTCTGGCGTGCGTGGCGGTCGGGTGAAGAGGCAACTCAGGGAGCCGCAGAGCCTGGCGAGGGGCGACGATGCGCCGCCGCAGAAGGCGCCGAGAACGTCCATGATGCGTCGGCCTTGGGAGGCACCGGAGGCCAGCCAGGTAATGTTGGATAGGCCCATGGGCGTCTTGCAGGGCAGGCCGGGTGACTTGGTGTCACAGGCGGAGCACTTGACACAGGTGTCCTTGGGTGTAACAGCGTGAGGCAGGAAGCCCACCAGGCCGTCCTCTAGGAACGACTGGAGCGGCGACTTGACGCCGCACTTGGGGTGTTGGTCACAGCTTTGGTTGCATATTTGGTTGTGTGTTTGGTTGCACTGTTGGTCACACATTTGGTTGGCACACTGCATGGTGTTGCACCTCCACGCTGAGCCACCGACGCCCCGGCCGTACCAGCAGTCGAGCCATCCGCCGTGCCGGGCGTTGTAGAGGCACCGGCGGTAGAGGAAATAGAGCTGGTGGTGGAGGCGTCTGAGGACGTCGAAGAGCAGGCAGAGCAGCGTCTCCATGTCACAGGGATACAGCAGGCCTCCGTGGTTGGTGTTGAAGTCCACGGCGTAGATGCCACCTGCGTGGCCGAAGCCTAGTAGGGTGGTGAGCACTGAATGCGACCGGTGGCAGACCTCCGTGAGTGCGTCGGTGAGGGACGCCGGTGTTATGACCCGCGGGTGGGCCTTAAGCGCCAGGCTGCCGAGGTCAGTGAGGGACACTTCGGATTCCCCGGCGTCCGGCTCGTCCGCCTCGAACAGCGACGGCAGTGCTTCGGAGTTGAGGCCCAGGTACACGGCGTTGTACGTAAGCCCGCAGCACCAGACGAGCATCTCGTAGATGGAACACGGCGGCCGGGGTGAGGGACACACTCTGAGGTGGCACGTCTTATAGTACTGCTGGAGGTGCGTGCAGAGGCATTTGAGGAGATCTAAAAGATTACAGGCGTTTTGGAGGGAGAGGCATTTTTTGAGGTGTTTGTTGTCCTCTGTCTCCTTAATGTTCTGGGTGACCAAGACAAACACGTCGCGGCCGTTGCACTCGTCGCGCAGCTCGCCGTCCTGCTGAGTGTGGGAGGTGGAGACCTTGTAGCCGCAGCGGTGGAGGAAAGTGCCGAGTTTACTGCTTGCATTAATGTTCAGATCCCTCCACTTGCCGTCTTTGCCGCACTGCTCCGCCAGCCTGTTGAAGGCGTCGCAGAGTGTGGGCAGCAGGGTGAGAAAGACCTTGGCGCACTGCTCACCTTCTTCATCGGTGAACTGTGCGCCGGCGTAGGTGGAGACGTACGCACATGTGAACTCGGCGGCGAACTGTGTGAGTCCCTCCACCAGGCCGTCCAGCAGGGGACTTGAGGGCCTGGCGAAGCTCTCAGGTCGCAGGTGACTCAGCGCTTCGGTGAGGCTGCGGAGCAGCGCCTGGAGTCTGTGGTCGAAGGTATCCTCAGTTCTAATGTATTCAAGCAACGCATTAAATGACAATGTGACTCTTACAAGTTTGTCTGTGTAGAGCGCTTCGGGTTCTTGGGGCACAGGGTTTTTCTTCTTGCTCTCCTCGCTGTGCACTCTCCTGATCTCTGCGCTGATGTATCCCGAGAGCGCCAGATGGAACCGCTTGAAGCCTGTGGACAGGGCCTCGAGTTGCAGCGCACCCTTTAGAGGGGATATGTGAGTGACGAAGCGTTGCTGGAAATCATACATAAACCCTTTATACCCCATCTGCAGATCCTCGGTTATTAACGGAGGTAAGGGATTCAATTCTTCCTCCACCTTCTGGGCGAACAACTTCAAAAGCTCCTTGACGTTGGAGACACATTGCCGGCGTGCCTCGTTGATCAATGTGTCTTCGGCTTCCTTGATCTCCTTGTCGACGAATGCGTGAAGGTCACGGATTATTTGCGCCTTGCCGTTGTCGATGAATCTTAAAAGGGCTCTGAGGTCTTTTATGGGACCATCCACCAGACGGCCGTGTAGCTTGTCAATTTCATCTCTTATTTGCTTGAGTTGCTCGCCAATTTTGCCATCCTTCAATTCATTAAGAAACCATTCGGCATCTTTTGCTAACATTCTAATCGCCGTGCACAGCTCCTTGAGTTTGTCCCTCACGTCCTTAACGTCCCTGGTTTTAATGGTCTCGATGTCTGCGGTGATATTAGTGAGGCCTTTGTCTGGTTTACCTTCAATTGTCCACGGTGTATTACCGTCATTAAGGCCACTTTCTTTCAGCTTCTTGAGCTTATCGGTGACATTGTTCTGTAAATCTTTCTGAAGCTTTGTAAGCTCACTGGTGATTTGGGTGACGCCACCGCGGATTGCAGCGGGTTGGTTTTCGATGTCGTTAAGTGTAAATTGCCTCGAGGCCGTTGACTTTGAGGCCACTTTGGCAAGCTGAGTGTAGGTCGACGCCATTTGTGGGACGCAAAAAGGGCGGCGCAGGAGGGACGAAGGAGGCAGCTTTGGGGAGTGACGGCAAGGCGACAAAGGGAGGAGGGAAAAGGCAAAGCAGCGAGTAGGTTACATGTTTGGTCATGTGCTAGGTGAGCCATTTGATCATGTACTAGGTCAGCCGTTAGGTAAGCCTTTCGGTTGAGTAGTGAGTTAGGTGCTATGCAAGGCACGAGATGCAGTCACAAGGAAAGAAGTAACAAGACATGACACGGCAACACAGGGAATGTAATGTAATGTAGCTACGATAATTACCATCATGAGTGAAGGTCGTCGTCGAAGTAATCAACGTCACGGTAGAGCGAGAGCATCCTGCGGCTGCCGGCGAGCAGCGCCTTGACGTCGATGAGGTGGGAGGCCCTGGTGGTGAGGAGGTGGGAGCGGATGCGGAGGACGTCCATGCGGTAGAGGAGTGAGTGGGCGATGTAGAGCGTGGCGGTGAGCCAGAGTGTGAACAGGGTGAAGAGGAAGGGGGCACGGATGTGGTAGAGGAACTCGGGGATGGTGTCGTGCGCCAGCTTGTGGAGAGGGTTCATCTGCTTGACGGCGACTTGCAGTGCCTGGCAGAGATCCTCGCAGGTCCGCTTGGCGGGGTGGCCGCTGGTGGAGCCGGCGAGGCTGTGGGAATCCCTGTGCACGAAGCCGTACTGGAAGAGCGTGGGCGTGGTGGAGTCGCAGTCCGCGATGGAGGGGCAGTCGGCAGTGTGATTGGAGCTCGGGCCCATTGGCCGTCGTTTGGCTTGGCATTGGTTGTCGCAGCTCCTGGCGTGGTAGACGGACGTGGCGTCGGCGCAGGTGCGCTCGCAGTCTTGGAGCAGTTGCTTAAGCAGGTCGTAGAATGTCTCCGTGAGGTACACTATCCACGAGAGGTAGAGGTGGGCGTGTTCCTTGGAGAAGGTGGCGCGTACGTCGTGGCTGAGGGGCTTGAGGTGGGGGCCGCAGGGGTGTGACGGAGCGGAACCTGGAGTGCCGTTGCACTGTACGAGGGAGAAGAGATCTCCGGTGAGGTGAGGGATGTCCGTCCCGGAGCCGTGGTTGCTGGTGCGGAAGATTGTACTGACGTCCAGTGTCACGCCCCGCTGCCGGAAGCACGCAGCGCCGCCGGCGTCATCGAAGGCTTCCTTCCGGTGCTCGCCGGTCTGAGTCCAGTTACAGAGGAAATTGTAGTAAAAGGCGAACAGCTCGTCTGGCGTGCGTGGCGGTCGGGTGAAGAGGCAACTCAGGGAGCCGCAGAGCCTGGCGAGGGGCGACGATGCGCCGCCGCAGAAGGCGCCGAGAACGTCCATGATGCGTCGGCCTTGGGAGGCACCGGAGGCCAGCCAGGTAATGTTGGATAGGCCCATGGGCGTCTTGCAGGGCAGGCCGGGTGACTTGGTGTCACAGGCGGAGCACTTGACACAGGTGTCCTTGGGTGTAACAGCGTGAGGCAGGAAGCCCACCAGGCCGTCCTCTAGGAACGACTGGAGCGGCGACTTGACGCCGCACTTGGGGTGTTGGTCACAGCTTTGGTTGCATATTTGGTTGTGTGTTTGGTTGCACTGTTGGTCACACATTTGGTTGGCACACTGCATGGTGTTGCACCTCCACGCTGAGCCACCGACGCCCCGGCCGTACCAGCAGTCGAGCCATCCGCCGTGCCGGGCGTTGTAGAGGCACCGGCGGTAGAGGAAATAGAGCTGGTGGTGGAGGCGTCTGAGGACGTCGAAGAGCAGGCAGAGCAGCGTCTCCATGTCACAGGGATACAGCAGGCCTCCGTGGTTGGTGTTGAAGTCCACGGCGTAGATGCCACCTGCGTGGCCGAAGCCTAGTAGGGTGGTGAGCACTGAATGCGACCGGTGGCAGACCTCCGTGAGTGCGTCGGTGAGGGACGCCGGTGTTATGACCCGCGGGTGGGCCTTAAGCGCCAGGCTGCCGAGGTCAGTGAGGGACACTTCGGATTCCCCGGCGTCCGGCTCGTCCGCCTCGAACAGCGACGGCAGTGCTTCGGAGTTGAGGCCCAGGTACACGGCGTTGTACGTAAGCCCGCAGCACCAGACGAGCATCTCGTAGATGGAACACGGCGGCCGGGGTGACACACTCTGAGGTGGCACGTCTTATAGTACTGCTGGAGGTGCGTGCAGAGGCATTTGAGGAGATCTAAAAGATTACAGGCGTTTTGGAGGGAGAGGCATTTTTTGAGGTGTTTGTTGTCCTCTGTCTCCTTAATGTTCTGGGTGACCAAGACAAACACGTCGCGGCCGTTGCACTCGTCGCGCAGCTCGCCGTCCTGCTGAGTGTGGGAGGTGGAGACCTTGTAGCCGCAGCGGTGGAGGAAAGTGCCGAGTTTACTGCTTGCATTAATGTTCAGATCCCTCCACTTGCCGTCTTTGCCGCACTGCTCCGCCAGCCTGTTGAAGGCGTCGCAGAGTGTGGGCAGCAGGGTGAGAAAGACCTTGGCGCACTGCTCACCTTCTTCATCGGTGAACTGTGCGCCGGCGTAGGTGGAGACGTACGCACATGTGAACTCGGCGGCGAACTGTGTGAGTCCCTCCACCAGGCCGTCCAGCAGGGGACTTGAGGGCCTGGCGAAGCTCTCAGGTCGCAGGTGACTCAGCGCTTCGGTGAGGCTGCGGAGCAGCGCCTGGAGTCTGTGGTCGAAGGTATCCTCAGTTCTAATGTATTCAAGCAACGCATTAAATGACAATGTGACTCTTACAAGTTTGTCTGTGTAGAGCGCTTCGGGTTCTTGGGGCACAGGGTTTTTCTTCTTGCTCTCCTCGCTGTGCACTCTCCTGATCTCTGCGCTGATGTATCCCGAGAGCGCCAGATGGAACCGCTTGAAGCCTGTGGACAGGGCCTCGAGTTGCAGCGCACCCTTTAGAGGGATATGTGAGTGACGAAGCGTTGCTGGAAATCATACATAAACCCTTTATACCCCATCTGCAGATCCTCGGTTATTAACGGAGGTAAGGGATTCAATTCTTCCTCCACCTTCTGGGCGAACAACTTCAAAAGCTCCTTGACGTTGGAGACACATTGCCGGCGTGCCTCGTTGATCAATGTGTCTTCGGCTTCCTTGATCTCCTTGTCGACGAATGCGTGAAGGTCACGGATTATTTGCGCCTTGCCGTTGTCGATGAATCTTAAAAGGGCTCTGAGGTCTTTTATGGGACCATCCACCAGACGGCCGTGTAGCTTGTCAATTTCATCTCTTATTTGCTTGAGTTGCTCGCCAATTTTGCCATCCTTCAATTCATTAAGAAACCATTCGGCATCTTTTGCTAACATTCTAATCGCCGTGCACAGCTCCTTGAGTTTGTCCCTCACGTCCTTAACGTCCCTGGTTTTAATGGTCTCGATGTCTGCGGTGATATTAGTGAGGCCTTTGTCTGGTTTACCTTCAATTGTCCACGGTGTATTACCGTCATTAAGGCCACTTTCTTTCAGCTTCTTGAGCTTATCGGTGACATTGTTCTGTAAATCTTTCTGAAGCTTTGTAAGCTCACTGGTGATTTGGGTGACGCCACCGCGGATTGCAGCGGGTTGGTTTTCGATGTCGTTAAGTGTAAATTGCCTCGAGGCCGTTGACTTTGAGGCCACTTTGGCAAGCTGAGTGTAGGTCGACGCCATTTGTGGGACGCAAAAGGGCGGCGCAGGAGGGACGAAGGAGGCAGCTTTGGGGAGTGACGGCAAGGCGACAAAGGGAGGAGGAAAAGGCAAAGCAGCGAGTAGGTTACATGTTTGGTCATGTGCTAGGTGAGCCATTTGATCATGTACTAGGTCAGCCGTTAGGTAAGCCTTTCGGTTGAGTAGTGAGTTAGGTGCTATGCAAGGCACGAGATGCAGTCACAAGGAAAGAAGTAACAAGACATGACACGGCAACACAGGGAATGTAATGTAATGTAGCTACGATAATTACCATCATGAGTGAAGGTCGTCGTCGAAGTAATCAACGTCACGGTAGAGCGAGAGCATCCTGCGGCTGCCGGCGAGCAGCGCCTTGACGTCGATGAGGTGGGAGGCCCTGGTGGTGAGGAGGTGGGAGCGGATGCGGAGGACGTCCATGCGGTAGAGGAGTGAGTGGGCGATGTAGAGCGTGGCGGTGAGCCAGAGTGTGAACAGGGTGAAGAGGAAGGGGGCACGGATGTGGTAGAGGAACTCGGGGATGGTGTCGTGCGCCAGCTTGTGGAGAGGGTTCATCTGCTTGACGGCGACTTGCAGTGCCTGGCAGAGATCCTCGCAGGTCCGCTTGGCGGGGTGGCCGCTGGTGGAGCCGGCGAGGCTGTGGGAATCCCTGTGCACGAAGCCGTACTGGAAGAGCGTGGGCGTGGTGGAGTCGCAGTCCGCGATGGAGGGGCAGTCGGCAGTGTGATTGGAGCTCGGGGCCAGTGGCCGTCGCTTGGCTTGGCATTGGTTGTCGCAGCTCCTGGCGTGGCAGGTGGCTGAGGAGTCGGCGCAGGTGCGCTCGCAGTCCTGGAGCAGTGCACAGAGGAAGTCGTATAAAATCTCCGTGAGGTACACCACCCAGGAGAGGTAGAGGTGGGCGTGTTCCCTGGAGAAGGTGGCGCGGACGTCGTGGCCGAGGGGCTTGAGGTAGGGGCCGCAGGGGTGTGACGGAGCGGAGCCTGGACTGCCGTTGCACTTGACGAGGGAGTGGAGATCTCCGGTGAGGTGAGGCATATTTGTGGCAGTGCCATGGTCACTGGTGCCGAAGATTGTACTGACGTCCAGTGTGACGCCCCGCTGCCGGAAGCACGCGTCGCCGACGGCGTCCTCGAAGGCCGCCTTACGGTGTTCGCCGTAATTATGCCACTCACATAGGAAATTGTAGTAAAAGGCGAACAGGTCGTCTGGCGTCCGTGGCGGGCGAGTGAGGAGGCAAGTCAGGGAGCCGCACAGCCTGGTGAGGGGCGACGATGCGCCGCCGCAGAAGGCGCCGAGGACGTCCATGATGCGTCGGCCTTGGGAGGCACGGGAGGCCAGCCTGGTAATGTTGGAGAGGCCCATGGGCGTCTTGCACGGCAGGCCGGGCGACGTAGTGTCGCAGGCGGGGCATGAGACACAGGTGTCCATGGGCGACAGCTGGTGAGGCAAAAAGCCCACCAGGCCGTCCTCGAGGAACGACTGGAGCGGCGACTTGACGCCGCACTTGGGATGTTGGTCACAGCTTTGGTTGCATATTTGGTTGGTCATTTGGTTACATATTTGGTTGTGTGTTTGGTTGCACTGTTGGGCACACATTTGGGTGGCACACTGCATGGTGTTGCACTTCCAACTGGAGCCACCGACGCCGCGGCCGTACCAGCAGTCGAGCCATCCGCCGTGCCGGGTGTTGTAGAGGCACCGGCGGTAGAGGAGATACAGCTGGTGGTGGAGGCGTTTGAGCACATCGTACAGCAGGCAGAGCAAAGCGTCCGCGTCGCCGGGGTAGAGCAGGCCTGCCGGGTTGGTGTTGAAGTCGCAGGCGTAGATGCCTCCGGCATGGCCGTAGCCTAGTAACGTGGTGAGCACTGAATGCGACCGGTGGCAGACCTCCGTGAGTGCGTCGGTGAGGGACGCCGCTGTTATGCTCTCCGGGTGGGCCACAAGCGCCAGGCTGCTGAGGTCAGTGAGGGACACTTCGGAGTCAGTAGAGTCCGGCTCATCCGGCGCCTCGAACAGTGACGGCAGGGCATCATGAGTGACGCTCAGGTACACGGCGTTGTGCGGGAGCCCGCAGCACCATTGAAGCATCTCGTAGATGGAACACGGCGGCCGGGGTGAGGGATGCACCTTGAGGTGGCACGTCTTATAATACTGGTGGAGGTGCGTGCAGAGGCATTTGAGGAGCTCTAAGAGATTACAGGCGTGTTGGAGGGAGAGGCATTCTTTGAGGTGTGCGTTGTTCTCTGTCTCCGTAATTCGCTGGCTGACCAGGACAAACACGTCGCGGCCGTTGCAATCGTCGCGCAGATCGCCGTCCTGTAGGGTGGGAGAGGCGGAGACCTTGTAGCCGCAGCGCTGGAGGAATGTGCCGAGTTTACTGCTTGAATTTATCTTGCAGTCCCTCCACTTGCCGCCTTTGCCGCACTGCTCCGCCAGCCTGTTGAAGGCGTCGCACAGTGTGGGCAGCAGGGTGAGAAAGACCTTGGCGCACATGGCGCCGTATGGCGTCAGCTTGGTAACGTTTTTGGCGGTGACGGACTTTGTGCCTTGGGATCTTACGGTCTCAGTTAAAGTCTCATTTTCTACCAAAGCAGCGGTGAACTGTGCGCCGGCGTATCTTGAGACGTACGCACATGTGAACTCGGCGGCGAACTTTGTGAGCCCCTCCACCAGGCCGTCCAGCAGGGGACTCGAGGGCCTGGCGAAGCTCTCAGGCTTGAGTTCACTCAGCGCGTCGGTGAGGCTGCGGAGCAGCGCTTGGAGTCTGTGGTCGAAGGTATCCTCAGTTCTAATGTATTCAAGCAACGCATTAAATGACAATGTGACTCTTACAAGTTTGTCTGTGTAGAGCGCTTCGGGTTCTTGGGGCACAGGGTTTTTCTTCTTGCCTTCCTCCTTGTGCTCTCTCCTGATCTCTTTGTGGACGTACGCCTTGAGCTCACCGTAAAAGTGCATGAACACTGCGGCCAATTTTTTGAACACTCTCTCCTTCGACTCAGATGGCAAAGTCCTCACAAACTCTTCGAACTTCTCAAATTCCCCTTGTGCACCTGCAACTTGAGTCTCCGGCTTCCCTTCAACCTGTTTCATAAACCCTTTATACCCCATCTGCAGATCCCCGTTTATTAACGGAGGCAACTCCCGCAGCTCCTCTTCCACCTTCCGGGCGAAGGCCTCCAGCGCCTCCTTGATGTTGGAGGCGCACTGCTGCTTGGCGAAGGCTGTTAGGTCCTCGATTGCGGTGGTTACTTGGCCGTTGACGAACGCTGTGAGGAAAGCAATGCATTCCCTTCCGAACCTGTCGGCGTCCCTGTCAATGAACTCCCTGCAGGCCTGAATTGGGCCGCGCTCCAGACGGATCTGCAGGTTGTGCAATTGGTCTTTTATCCCAGTTAACTCATCATCAACCATCTTCTCTTTCACTTCCTTCAAGGTGAACGCGGCGTCTCTGGCGGAGTTCTTAATCGCCGTGCACAGCTCCTTGAGTTTGTCCTTCACGTCTTTAACGTTATCTTCTTTTATGGTCTCGATGTCCGTGGTGATTTTAGTGAGGCCTTTTGCAGAGTTACTGTCAATATTCCAACTTGCTACATTGCCAAGGCCGTCACTTTTTAACTTAGTTAGCTTTTCGGTGACCTGTTCATTCAACTGCGTCTGAAGCCTTTTAAGCTCATTGGTGATGTCTTGGACGCCCTGGCGGATATTTTCAGGTTGTTGTCCTAACGTAGTTTGTTGACCATGAAAATCATCTTGGATGTTTTTAAGACTTTTATTTTCTCCATTTGTATTTTTAACCCACTTATCACCACCTAGTCCAGTGTCCTTCAAATTTTGCAAAGTGGTAATGACATCGTTGTCCTTGGTGCCTTGCAACTCCGTTCGAAGGGCAGTAAGTTCTTGTTTAATGAGGTCATTCGCTTTACCAATTGCGTTGGGATTTCTTCTAAACGCCTCTTCATGAAGCTTCTTAATCCCATTATGAATTCCCTGCAGTCCATGGCTTGTATCCTTACCGATCTGAAATTTCAACATCCTCAAATTGCCCACGACGTGATCAGGGCTGAATGTACTATCCACATCGTATCTCACAAGTGCAAGTAGGCTATGAACTATGTTTATGGCGTCTCCGATAATTTTGTTCTGCTCCGCCAAATCAACATTTCGGTTTTTAAGCGCAGCCTCTATGCTTCGTAGACTGTACGTATCATTCCACTTTCCGTTAAACGACCATGGATTTTTACCTTCCACACCGACATCTCTCAAATCTGTTAACCTTTCAATTACATCATCTTTTTTACTGCCATTCTTCAACTTCTCTCTAAGATCTTTGAGCTGCGCCTTAATTTGGGTGACGGCTTTCTCGATTGCAGCTGGTTGGTTAGTAAACTGATTATCATGCAGCTTTTGAATCGCATCTCTGATTGCTTCCAAACCTTTCTCAGCTCCCTCCAGCTTTCCTGAATCAAGCGCGCTTTTAAGCTTTTCCAACAAATCTCTTACACCATCAGCGTCCTTGCCCGGTGGCTGCGCATCCTTATTCTCAACCAATTTCTTGATCTCGTCAAGCTGTGTCTTAATATCGGTGAACGGACCGGTGAAGGTATTGTTATCAATTTTATTTGGCTGACCGTCACCAATAGTATCTATAAGCGTTTTCAGACCCTCCTTTTTGATGTCCCCGATCGCCAGTGGAAGTTGGCCTTCGTCTTTAATGCCGGTTAACTTACCGTCCTCAATCTCTTTTTGATCAACGTGACCATTATAACTATTAAAGTTTGAAGCGCCTTGAAGTTTTACATGAGTGTCTACATTTGGATCATCGGCCTTAGGTAACTGTTCGTCGACTTTACTGTAGAGGTTACTCTGGAGCTCCCGATTTATCTTATCATGGGATTTCTTGAAATTAGACATGAGACCATCTTCTTTAAGCTCAATTGTACCACCGTTACTAATCTGCTCAGCCGCCTTCCCAATCGCCGTCCTGGCCGCCTTCTTGATCTGTGCTTGAGCTTGTTGGTTGAAATCGTCAACGGCGCCGGGAAGTTGGGAGACCGCATCGGCAAGTGGTTGTTTGACTTTGGAAGTGAAGATGCTACTAATATTATCACCACTTCCATTCATGAATTCCCTCACCGCCTGCAATCTTTTGTCAACGGCCTTTGCTGTGCCATCTTGATTGGAAGGGAAATTGTTTGTCGCCTGAGTAAGTTGATTGTGAAGTTTATTAGTATATCCGAGAACGCTATCTAATTCTTGTGCGATGCTTGTTGAGTTCTCTCCGTAATTTCCCACCCTCTTGTCGAGTAGGATAGAGTCAATTTCGTTAGCCACCTGGCTGGTGGTGGCGGAGAGACCAAGGAGCGTGGCTTCGATGGTGGATTGAATTTCTGTGTCCTTGCCGTTGTTAACACTACTCCTCATCCCCTGGAAAATCTGGTTGGCAAGATTACCGATTCCTGAATCCCTGAGTTTCTGATCAAGCTTCTCGGCAAATGTCTCACAGCCTTGTTTCACAGATTCAATGGTTTTCTGGATGTTGGCGTTAGCTATTTTAACCGTCCCCTTACCTGCTGCAATTTCACCTTCAAGCGTTTTTCCAATCTGGTTGATAATTCCCTCACGCACTTGATAAAGCTCGGAAAAACTACCCCTCACCGTCACGCCGCTCCTACTTCTACTATTCTTTCTTTCTTCAATATACTGTCCAAGCCATGTTTTGGGCGGCTTCGGATCATCTCCCTTATTATTTCCCAAAATTCCTTCCGCCCAGCCGCCTACTATAGTATGAAAATTCACAAACCCCTTGGCGTAGCTTTTAATCAAACCTTCTGCGATGCCTTGCAGGCCTCTTCCTGCTGGCTCACCGTTCAGGATTTTATTGACCTCTCCCTTTATCTTCTCGAAAATCTTTTCCAGTTTATTTGCTTCACTCTGTATTTGCCCGCTTGGATCAAACTTTGTGTAAAGCCTCTCAATCGCCGAGTCAACATCACCGGTCAACCTCTTAAGTGGCTCTTGGATCGCACTTTTAAAATTACTGTCAAGTCCCGCCGTCAGCGTCACGATTGACTTATCACCGGTAACAGTGACACTATCCAGCCTACTCTTCGCCTGCTTAAGTGTCTCCAACTTATCTTTAACAAGAGCATTCTGGGAATCGTCTGGCAGACCTTTGCCGAGATCACTAATATTCCCCTTCAAACTCTGCAAATCCGTCTTCACTTTATCATCCAAAGTCTTCACTCCCAACTTCTCAATCACCTCTTTTATCCCTTCCTTAATATTATCTTTAACACTCTTCAAATCCCTCTTGAGATCTTCGTCCATTTTCACAACAGCCTCCAACGCCAAGTTGACATTATCCCCAACCGCCTGCTTAGCTTTCTGCGCCGCACTTAAAAGCTTTTTACTCTGCTCTTTTAATAAATCAGCTTGCTCATAAATCTTACCTTCTGCTGTGCCATCTGTCTTTACTTTCGTAAGTATCTCATCACACTTCTGCTCCGCCTTGGCAATGACACCCTGGGCGGCAGACTTCCACTTACCTATATTGTCAACTTCCTTTCCAAGCTCTGAATTTGCCTTCTCAATTTGCTTTCTAGCGCTATCAATTTCACCAATTTTTGTCATTACAGTCTGATCATCTTGCAACTTGTTATATACTTCTTCCGCATTTCCAATCGCCCCTTGAAGCACTTTCCCGGCCTGAGTCTTCCACGCTCCCAAATTGCCGTGGACACCATTCAGCTTCTCATGTACCCCTTTAATTACCTTATTGGCGTCAACAATCTTCTTAACATTCTCATCCAGAGTCTCATTAACGTCCAACTTCTCATACGCCTCCTTGGCCTTGTCCTCGGCAGCCTGACGGATGTCCTCCGCCGAGGTGATCCAGGTACCTAGCTTGGTAACTTGTTGGAGAAGAATGTTATTAGGGGTGTCAATTGCACCAATGTGATAGCAAATCACTGCCCCCTTAGGTCCACCATGATCCACCGCGAGACCTGGAACGACGGCAGTCGGCTGCTGAGGTGGATGGTCAAGGCGGCAAGCAAGGGGCGACTCAGGGCAGGAAGTACATTGTAGGTAATGTAGTGGGCTACGTAATAGGTGAACCTTTTGGTCATGTGCTAGGTGAGCAGTTTGGTTAGGCGATGAGTTAGGTGCTAGGCAAGGCACGAGGCACAGTGACGATGAGAGATGTGATGAGACACGGCAACACAAAGAGAGGGATGTAAATGTAATGTAGCTACGATAATTACTGTCATGAGTGAAAGTCATCGTCGAAGTAGTCGACGTCCTTGTAGAGTGAGAGCATCCTGCGGCTGCCTGCGAGCAGCGCCTTGACGTCGATGAGGTGGGAGGCCCTGGTGGTGAGGAGGTGGGAGCGGATGCGGAGGACGTCCATGCGGTAGAGGAGTGAGTGGAGGATGTAGAGCGTGGCGGTGAGCCAGAGTGCGACGATGGCGAAGAGGAAGGGGGCACGGATGCGGTAGAGGAACTGGTCACACTGGTCGAACAGTTCCGTGAAGTGGTCGGAGTGGAGGACTTGGCTAAACTGCTTGGCGAGGGTGGAACAATTCTTGTTCTGCGATATCAGCGCCGGTGCGTCCCCAAAGGTGAAGCCGTGACTGTACAAGGTCGGCATCACGCCCTTGCAGCCGACGATGGAGCGGCATCGGCAGCTGTGCCCCGGTGACTGGGAACTGGGGACGCCGTGGCTGCCCGGGTCACAAGGGTCCTCGTGAAGGCAAGCATCGCAGCCCCAGTCGCGGCAGGAGATCTGCTGGAAAGCGGTGAATAGGCACTGCAACAGATCATACAGTGTCCACGGGAGGTAGACGGCCCATGAGAGGTAGAGGTCGGCGTGTCGGTGAGGTAAGCAATGATACGCATCGCTGCACAGGGCATTCAGGTAGGGAGCGCAGTTGATGCTGGCGTCGTTGGAAAGCGTGCAGCAGTCTGCCATCGACAGGCTGGACAGGTCGGCATTCTTGGCGGTGGAATGTGGATCGTCATGACCGCTCCGACCGTTGCCGTAAGCATCACGCAGAGCGTCTGTAAGGATGCCGGGCTCGCGGTAGAGGGTCATGGACTGGCCGGTGATGGAGTCCGTGAACGCAGATTGAAAGGCGTCGATGGCTGACGGCAGAGCACTGTGTTGCCAACCACCAACGAGAGACGAGGCAAAGGAAATGTGCTCAGCCAGCGTAGCCGGCGGTCTGGGACAGAGGCTGAGCAGCGATTTGATATGCTCGTTGCCGAACCATTTGGTCAGCACTTTGCACAGCTCCTTGCCTGTCCTCGTACTTCCAGAGAAACCCCGGAACCCGAGGGGAGTGAGACAGGGCATCCCATTTGGTCTGCTGGGACACGTGTTGCATTGAGGCTCACAGCCGACGTTGCTGACCTGGTGAGGCAGGTGGCCGGGGAGGCAGTCATTGAGGTAGGACATCAGGGGCGATTTATCGGAGCACTCCGGGTGAGGGTTGGGCAGGGCGGTGAGTGGAGGATTGCACTGCCACGTGTATGGTGGAACGCCCTTGCCGTACTGGCACTCCGCCCAGCCGCCATGGTGAGCGGGGAGTGAGCATTGAGAGAACAGAAATCTGAGCACGACAAGCAATCGACAGAGGATATGCAGCATCATGTGCAGGCAATCGTCGGCGTCCTGCGGGTAATGCAGTCTCATGGAGTTGCTATAGAAGTCAACGGCGTAGGTTGTGGATGCGTCACCAAAGCCGAGCACCCTGGTGAGCAGGGCAGGGGAGTAGGAGGTGACATCGTGAAGGGCGGCGGCCAGATTTGTGGCGGTGACTGCGTTGGGCTGCGCGGCCATGTACCATTTGGTATCTGTGGAATAATCGTCGGCGTTGTTGAGCACGGATTTAACCTGTTGCTTAAGGCGCTCATACACCCTATTGTGCGGGAGGCCTGTCAGCCATACGAGCATTTGGTAGACGCTGCACGGCGTCCTAGGCGACGGTGGAACTACGAGATGACACGTCCCATAGTATTCATTTAGGTGACAACAGAGGCACGCAAGGATGTCAAAGAGATTATAATTATTCTGTTCATTTCGCTTAACGGCGGAGCATTTTCCGAGGTGTCCATTTTGGTCGGCGTGCTGCACCATCTCAGTGAGCAATTCATGGACGTTCTTACCCTTCATGTCGTCGGAGTTCTGCAGCTCCGCGTCGTTTTGGCCTTCGTCGGTGGACACTTTGAATCCGCGGCTGGCAAGGAAATCGCCGAGTTTACTGCCTGAATGAATTCTGTAGTCCCACCAATTTTGTGCCCGCCCCGTCAGCCCCTCGTTGAGCTTCGTGATCCCAGAGCATACAGTGGGCAAAATCGTCAGGAATATCTTCGCGCATTTTTCGCCGTCCGCCGTCACCCTGCTGTTCCGCGCGTCGACGAGCACGCGGCCCTCAAACGCCCCGTCGTATGTGGAGATGTACACTGTTCTCAGTTCCTTCTCAAACTTGTCCGCTGCCTCCGCCACGCCGTCGAGTATCGGAGTTGTGACTTTGGCGAATTTCTCCGGTCGCAGCGCTTCGACTGCCTCGGCGAGTTTATCGAGCATTTCAGGTAATCTTCGGTCGAAACGTTTCTGCTTAGTGATATGTTCCAGCAACTCCTCGAGCGCCTGGGTGACGCCGTAAAGCCTCTCGGCGTAGTGATCATCTGTCGGTGGGAGTGACGGATTCTTCTTTTTACTCTCCTCGCTGTGCACCCTCTTGATCTCTGTGCTGATGTATCCGGAGAGCGCCAGGTGGAACCGCTTGAAGCCTGTGGACAGGGCGCCGAGTTGCAGCGTACCCTTCTGAGGGAGGATGTGAGACTCGAAGCGTTGCTGGAAATCATACATGAACCCCTTATACCCTATCTGGAGATCCTCGTTTATTAACGGGGGTAAGGGAGTTAATTCTTCCTCCACCTTGGAAGCGAAGGCCTTCAGCGCCTCCTTGATGTTGGAGACACATTGCCGGCGTGCCTCCCCGATCAATGTCTCTTCGGCTGCCTTGATCTCTTTTTTGACGAATTGTGTGAGTTCTGCAATAATTCTTCTAGCTGCCTCGTCGGCGTATTTATCAAACTTCTTGAGTGATTGAATGACATTGTTCAGCGGGCCAAAGTATAAATCGTAAAGGTCACTGTAAATTTTCCTCAGCTCAGTAAGGCTGTCACTTTTCATACGCTTTAAGTCCCTCTTTAACTCGTTTGCTTCCGTCCGGATCGCCGTGCACAGCTCCTTGAGTTTGTCCTTCACGTCTTTAACGTTATCTTCTTTTATGGTCTCGACGTCTGCGGTGATTTTAGTGAGGCCTTTATTAAAGCCATTGTCGCTCCACGTTTTTTTACCGTCAGTAAGGCCATGGTTTTTCAAGTCATCTAACTTTTTATTGACCTCATCTTTCAGCTTCTGTCTGAGGCTGTCAAGCTCACCGGTGATATCTTGGACGCCATCCTCTATGTTCTTGGGTTGAGCGGACAAGTCACTTTGTTGAGTGTGAAGGTTATTTTCGATGCTTTTGAGGCTTTTTTGGGTATTATGTTTATTCCATCCTTTTTCGCCACTTAGTCCATTGGTCTGCAAATCCTTCAGTGTTGCAATGACATCACTGCCATTGTTGCCTTGCAACTCACCTTGAAGGTCAGTGAGTTCTGCTTTAATTGCTTCGTTGGCTTTACCAATTGCGTCGGAATTCGATGTAAATTCATTGCCTTGTAACCAATGAAGCATGTAATGAATGTCTTCAAGATTGGCATGATATCCTTTGTGACTTCTGCCTATCATTTTTCCCAACTCTGTAAACACACCTATGACGTCGTCATTGAAGTCTTTATGGTCTAAATTTATTCCTATCTGAAACAGTTGGTCCCTGATTTCTCTTATGGCATTAGTGATTATATCAGGTTGTTTGGCCAATTCCTTATTCTGCTCTTCAAGTTCCTTGTGGATTTTACCGAGACCGCTGAGAGGTTGACCTTTGACATTCATACCATTCCAAGGATTTCCACTAAGACCATTCCTTTTCAAATCTTCAAGTCTGTGGATGACATCATTTTCTTTATTACCGCTTTTATCTTTCAACCTCCCTCTAAGGTCTTTAAGCTGCGCCTTAATTGCTGTGACGGCTTTGCCAATTGCAGTGGGTTTGTTCTGGACGTCGTTAAGTGTAAATTGCATCAAGGCCTTTGGCTTTTAGACCACTTTGGCAACCTGAGTGCAGGTCGACGCCATTTGTGGGACGCAAAAAGGGCGTGGCAGGTGGGATGATGAAGGCTGTTAGGGAGTGATGGCAAGGCGACAAAGGGAGAAGGGAGATGACAAAGCAGCGAGTAGGTTACGTCATAGGTCAAGTGCTAGGTAAGGCATTTGGTTAGGTGCTAGGTCAGCCACTTGGTCAGGCAGTGAGTTGGGTGCTAGGTAAGGCACGAGATACAGTCACCATGAGAGACGTGACATGACATGGCAACACACACAGGAGTGTAAACGTAAATGTAGCTACGATAATTACTGTCACGAGTGAAAGTCGTCGTCGAAGTAGTCGACGTCCTTGTAAAGTGAGAGCATCCTGCGGCTGCCGGCGAGCAAAGCCTTGACGTCGATGAGGTGGGAGGCCCTGGTGGTGAGAAGGTGCGAGCGGAGGCGCAGGACGTCCATGCGGTAGAGGAGTGAGTGGAGGATATAGAACGTGGCAGTGAGCCAGAGTGTGAACAGGGTGAAGAGGAAGGGGGCACGGATGCGATAGAGGTACTCGGGGATTGTCTCATGCGCCAGCTTGTGGAGAGGGTTCAATTCCTTGACGGCGACTTGCAGTGCTGTGCAGAAATCCTCGCAGGTGCGCTTGGACTGTTGGCCGCTGGTGGAGCCGGCGAGGCTGTGGGCGTCCCTGTGCACGAAGCCGTACCTGAAGAGCGTGGGCGTGGTGGAGTCGCAGTCCACGATGGAAGGGCAGTCGGCAGTGTGATTGGAGCTCGGGGCCATGGGAAGACGCTTGGCTGTGCAGTCGGCGCAGCTCCTGGCGTGGCAGGTGGATGTGGCGTCGGCGCAGGTGCGCTCGCAGTCCTGGAGCAGTGAACAGAGGATGTCGTAAAAGGTCTCCGTGAGGTAAACTACCCACGAGAGGTAGAGGCGGGCATGCTCCTTGGCGAAGTAGGCACTCACGTCGTGGCCGAGGGGCTTGAGGTATGGGCCGCAGGGGTGTGATGCTGGAGATAGTGGAGTGCCGTTGCACTGTACGAGTGAGAAGAGATCTCCGGTGAGGTGAGGCATATTTGTAGCAATGCCATGGTCACTGGTACCGAAGATTGTACTGACGTCCAGTGTCACGCCCCGCTGCCAGAAGGACGCAGCGCCGACGGCGTCCTCGAAGGCCGCCTTACGGTGCTCGCCGCTGCTACGCCAGTCACATATGAACTGGTAGAAGAAAGCGAACAGTTCGTCTGGCGTCCGTGGCGGGCGAGTGAAGAGGCAAGTCAGGGAGCTGCAGAGCCTGGTGAGGGGCGACGATGCGCCGCCGCAGAAGGCGCCGAGGACGTCCATGATGCTTCGGCCTTGGGAGGCACGGGAGGCCAGCCTGGTGATGTTGGAGAGGCCCATGGGCGTCTTGCACGGCAGGCCGGGCGACGTAGTGTCACAGCCGGGGCACCTGACACAGGTGTCCATGGGTGTAACAGCGTGCGGCAGGAAGCCCACCAGGCCGTCCTCGAGGAACGACTGGAGCGGCGACTTGACGCCGCACTTGGGATGTTGGTCACAGCGTTGGTTACATATTTGGTTGTGTGTTTGGTTGCACTGTTGGTCACACATTTGGTTGGCACACTGCATGGTGTTGCACTTCCAACTGGAGCCACCGACACCTTGGCCGTACCAGCAGTCGAGCCATCCGCCGTGCCTGGTGTTGTAGAGGCACCGGCGGTAGAGGAAATGGAGCTGGTGGTGGAGGCGTTTGAGGACGTCATAGAACAGGCACATTAAATCGTCCGCGTCGCCGGGGTAGAGCAGGCCTCCGGGGTTGGTGTTGAAGTCAACGGCGTAGATGCCACCTGCGTGGCCGAAGCCTAGTAACGTGGTGAGCACAGTATGCGATTTATGGCACACCTCTGTGAGTGCGTCGGTGAGGGACGCCGGTGTTATGCTCTGCGGGTGGGCCTTAAGCGCCAGGCTGCCGAGGTCAGTGAGGGACACTCCGGAGTCCGCAGAGTCCTTCCTATCCGGCGCCTCGAACAGCGAGGGCAGCGCTTCGGAGTTGAGGCCCAGGTACACGGCGTTGTACGTAAGCCCGCAGCACCATGTGAGCATCTCGTAGATGGAGCACGGCGGCCGGGGTGAGGGATGCACCTTGAGGTGGCACGTCCTGTAGTACTCAGTGAGGTGCGTGCAGAGGCATTTGAGGAGCTGTAAGAGATTACAGGCGTGTGTGAGGGACAGGCATTTTTTGAGGTGTTCGTTGTCATGGGTCTCCTTAATGTTCTGGGTGACCAGGACATACACGTCGCGGCCGTTGCACTCGTCGCGCAGCTCGCCGTCCTGGTCAAAGGGAGAGGTGGAGACCTTGTAGCCGGAGCGCTGGAGGAAAGTGCCGAGTTCACTGCTTGAATTAATGCTCAGATCCCTCCACTTGCCGCCTTTGCCGCACTGCTCCGCCAGCCTGGTAAAGGCGTCGCACAGTGTGGGCAGCGTGGTGAGGAACACCTTGGCGCACATGGCGCCGTATGGCGTCAGCTTTGTAACGTTTCTGACGGTGACGGACTTTGTGCCTTGGGATCTTACGGTCTCAGTTAAAGTCTCATTTTCTACCAAGTCGGCGGTGAACTGTGCGCCGGCGTAGGTGGAGACGTACGCACATGTGAACTCGGCGGCGAACTTTGTGAGCCCCTCCGCCAGACCGTCCAGCACGGGACTCGAGGGCCTGGCGAAGCTCTCAGGTCGCAGGTGACTCAGCGCGTCGGTGAGGCTGCGGAGCAGCGCATGGAGTCGGTGGTCGAAGGTATCCTCAGTTCTAATGTATTCAAGTAACGCATTCAATGAGAGTGTGACTCTTACAAGTTTGTCAGTGTAGAGCGTTTCCGGTTCTTGGGGCACAGGGTTTTTCTTCTTGCCTTCCTCCTTGTGCTCTCTCCTGATCTCTTTGTGGACGTACGCTTTAATCTCGCCGTAAAAGTGCATGAACACTGCGGCCAATTTTTTGAACACTCTCTCCTTCGACTCAGATGGCAAAGTCCTCACAAACTCTTCGAACTTCTCAAATTCCCCTTGTGCACCTGCAACTTGAGTCTCCGGCTTCCCTTCAACCTGCCTCATTAACCCTTTGTACCCTATTTGGAGATCCCCGTTTATTAACGGAGGCAAGGGACTTAATTCCTCTTCCACCTTTTGGGCGAACAGCTTCAAAAGCTCCTTGATGTTGGAGAGATATTGTCGGCGTGCCTCCCTGATCAATGTCTCTTCGGCTTCTTTGATCTCCTTGTCGACGAATGCGTGGAGGTCACGGATTATTTGTCTGCCTGCTGTGTCGGCGTATCCGACGGTTTTTTTGAGAAAGTGCTGCGCCTCTTGAATGGGACCACTCAGAAGATTGCTCTGCAACTGGCCAAGATCATCTCTAATTTTCTTCAGCCAATTGCCAATCATATTATCTTTCATGTAATTCAACATATATTTCAGCTCCCTGCATAAGGGTCTGATCGCCGCGCACAAAGCCCTGAGACAATCCTTCACGTCCTTAACGTTCTCTGTTTTTATGGCCTCGATGTCTGCGGTGGTTTTTTGGATACCATTTAAGGTTTTACCTTCAATTGTCCACGGTGTATTACCGTCATTAAGGCCATGGTTTTTCAGCTTCTGCAGCTTTTCGGTGACTTCAGTGTACAACGTCCCTCTAAGGCTGTTAAGCTCATTGGTGATTTGGGTGACGCCACCGCCGATTTTGCCGGGTTGTTGCTCCAACGTGTTTTGTTGAGTGCTAAGGTCAGTATGAATTTTTGCGAGGCCTTTTTTATTCGGATCTTTTATCCATGAATTTCCACTTAGCCCAGTGTTCTTCAAATCTTTCAGTGTTGCAATGACATCACTGCCTGGATTGCCTTGCAACTCACCTTGAAGGGCAGTGAGTTCTGCTTTAATTGCTGAGTTGGCTTCATCGATTACTCTGGGTTTATTAGTAAATTGCTCCTTTTGCAGCTTTTTAATCTCATCATGAATCCGTTGAACAGTTCCATCCCTGGGATTGTTTTTTCCAATTGTTTTTCCCAACCATGTCAACTCGTCTGTGAGATCATCAGTGATGTAATCATGTTTCAACGCAATTCCGATCCTGGCAAGTTCACCCCTAATTTCAAGTATGGCATCATTTATGACCTTTGTTTGTCCGGGTAATATCTCATTCTGCTCTTTAAGGTCCTCTTGGATTTTCCCAAGACCACTGACTTTTTGACCTTTACCATTAATCGGTGTCCAAGTATTTTGTTCGAGACCAACTTTTTGCAAATCTTCTAGAACGTTTATGACACCATCTTCCGGCTTGCCGCTCTTATTCTTCAACTTCTTCCTAAGCTCTCTAAGCTGCGCCTTAATTGCTTTGACGGCTGTACCAATCGCAGCGGGTTGGGTAGTGAACTCACCGGATTGCAATCTTCCAATCGCCGTTTTGATCGCCTCGAGGCCTTTTTCTGCTGCGCCATCCAATCCGTTCTTGTCAAGAGCATCTTGCAATTTCTTTAGGTGCTGCTTGATGCCAAGTGGGTCCTCTGGTTGTGGTTTCTGCTGCCCATCTGGCCACTTATTATCCTTATTAACATGGTAGGCGATGACTTGGAGTTCTTGGGTGATTTTTTCGAGGGCGGAGTTGACGGCTTGTTTTTGACTGGAGACCTCTTTTGGGTCCTTGAGTTTAGCCTCCGTTGTGAAAGGCTCCATCGCCTGGGGGATGTCTTGTTCAGTCAGCTTCTTGTAGAGGCCATCTTTATCATTTGCTGGTTTTTCTCTCTTTTCTTTATAGGACGTCATTGTTTCTTCAACCTCTATATCGTTGCCTTTTTGTTTCATCGCCATTTTAACTTGCTCCTCAATCTCGTTCACTTTCTCCAGAATTTTATTGGTGCCTTGGCTGGGAGATGCGGGGGGGTTCCTTGTCGCGGCTTGCGCTTCTCCGAGATTCTCATGAAGTTCTTCAGTTGCCTTTTTGGCTTTATCCAGTTCGCTTGCGATATTTATGCCCCCAGTGCCGTCTCCGAGTAGCACCGAATTGAGCTCTTTGCCAACCTGGCTGGCAGTAGCGGAGAGACCAATTAACGCGGCTTGTGTGACGAGTTTAATTTCGTTTTGCAGCCTGTACTTGCCTCCGGCGTGCTTCCATCGGGGCCCCTTTGCAATACCCTCGAATATCTGGTCGGCAAGCTTCTGAATTCCATCGGACGCTAGTTTCTCATCAAGCCCACTAACAAATGCCTCACATGCATTTTTGACAGATGTAATGGTTTGCGTGATTTGGCCATCAGTTTGCTGGACCTGCGTTCTGCCTGCCTCAATTTCACTATGAAGCTTCGTCTTAATCTGCTCGATAATTTTTTTACTCCATGAAAACCCACGTATAGTACCATTCAGCAAGTTCACCGCTTCTTTCCCATTCCCACCCTTCTCGTCGACATACTTCTCAAGCCACTTCTTAGGCTCTTTCTTATTGTGATTCTCATTACTACCCAAAATACCCTCCGCCCATCCGCCGACTATTCTTTTAAAGCTCCACCCCTCGCTGAACTCCGTGGCATAATTATGTACAGCGCTGGAGATTCCCAAGATACCTGTGCCATTCGTCCATTTATCATCCTTCCCCTTTGTCCCTTCAGTCCCCTTAATCCCCTTCACTTTCTCCTTAATATCCTTAAGCATCTCCCCAACATGACTCTTCATCTTGCTCACAATATTATTTCTGATATTCTCCAAATCCTGTTTCATGCCGGTTTCCAACTCTCCAATGGCATTTTGAACTTTCTCAGTCAAATTGTTAACTAAAGGATACGCCTGGCTGTAAGCGCCCAAAAGGGCCGTTGCTTTCTCTTTCAACATGTTAGCATTCTTCTCTATTTCAGTTTGATTACCGTTTCCCTTGTGAGCTCTCTGCATTATCTCCTCACACTTATGCTGCGCCTTGGAAACAATCTCTTCCGCCGCCTTGTGCCATCTCTCCAAAGCCGTGACTTCAGTACCAAGGGTATCGTTCGCCTTTGAAATATCTGTTTTAGCATCTTCAATTTTCTTAATTTCTTTGCCAAGCTCTGTTTTTTGACCATCCGCCTTATCTTCTTGCAATGCATCATGAACTTGCTGCGCCTTTTGAATCGCCCCGCCAAGCACTGTCCCAGCCTGCTGCTTCCACGCTCCCAAGTTTCCATGAACCTTTCCAAGCTTCTCATGAACATCTTTAATCTTGTTATTTGCCGTCACAATCTCTCCGATTTTGTTACTCAGAGTCTTATTAACCTTCAACTTATCGTAGGCTTCTTTGGCCTTTGTCTCTGCCGCAGCACGGATCTTCTCCGCGTCGGTGATCCAAGTATTTGACTTTGTAACATGATGAAGAACAGTGTTGTTTGCAGTGTGAATTGCAACAATGTTATGACAAATCTGCCACCTTGTGTAGATCATGTTCCACCGCCAGACCTGGGATGACGGCAGTCAGCTGCCGAGGTGGACGACCAAGGCGGCAAGCAAGGGGTAACTCAGAGCATAAAGTACATTGTAGGTTAGGTGTTAGGTGAGCCTATTGGTCAGCTGCTAGGTAAGCCGTTTGGTTAGGCAGTGAGTTAGGTGGTAGGCAAGGCACGACGTATAGTCACCATGAGAGAGATGACATGGAAACACAAAGAGAGGAATGTAGATGTAAATGTAGCTGTTATAATTACTGTCATGAGTGAAAGTCATCGTCGAAGTAGTCGACGTCCTTGTAGAGCGAGAGCATCCTGCGGCTGCCGGCGAGCAGCGCCTTGACGTCGACGAGGTGGGAGGCCCTGGTGGTGAGTAGGTGGGAGCGGATGCGCAGCACGTCCATGCGGTAGAGGAGTGAGTGGAGGATATAGAGCGTGGCGGTGAGCCACAGTGCGATGATGGTGTAGAGGAAGGGCGCACGGATGCGATAGAGGAACTGGTCACACTGGTCGAACAGCTCCGTGAAGTGGTCGGAGTGTAGGACTTGGCTGAGCTGCTTGGCGAGGGTGGAACAATTCTTGTTCTGCGATATCAGCGCCGGTGCGTCCCCGAACGTGAGGCCGTGACTGTACAAGGTCGGCATCACGCCGTTGCAGCCGACGATGGAGCGGCATCGGCAGCTGTGCCCCGGCGACTGGGGACTGGGGAGGCCGTGGCTGCCCGGGTCACAAGGGTCCTCGTGAAGGCAATCACCGCAGCCCCAGTCGCGGCAGGAGATCTGCTGGAAAGCGGCGAATAGACACTGCAATAAATCATACAGTGTCCACGGGAGGTAGACGGCCCATGAGAGGTAGAGGTCGGCGTGTCGGTGAGGTAAGCAATGATACGCATCGCTGCACAGGGCTGATAGGAAGGGAGCGCAGTTGATGCTGGCGTCGTTGGAAAGCGTGCAGCAGTCTGCCATCGACAGGCTGGACAGGTCGGCATTTGTAGAAGTGGAATGCTGAATGCCATGACCGCTCCGACCGTTGCCGTAAGCATCACGCAGAGCATCTGTGAGCTTGCCGGGCTCGCGGTAGAGTGTCATGGACTGGCCGGTGATGGAGGCTGTGAACGCAGATTGAAAGGCGTCGATGGCTGACGGCAGAGCACTGTGTTGCCAACCACCAACGAGGGATGAGGCAAACCCGAAGTGCTCAGCCAGCGTAGCCGGCGGTCTGGGACAGAGGCTGAGCAGCGATTTGATATGCTCGTTGCCGAACCATTTGGTCAGCACTTTGCACAGCTCCTTGCCTGTCCTCGTACTTCCAGAGAAACCCCGGAACCCGAGGGGAGTGAGACAGGGCATCCCATTTGGTCTGCTGGGACACGTGTTGCATTGAGGCTCACAGCCGACAGAGACCAACTGGTGAGGCAGGTGGCCGGGGAGGCAGTCGTTGAGGTAGGACATCAGGGGCGATTTATCGGAGCACTCCGGGTGAGGGTTGGGCAGGGCGGTGAGTGGAGGATTGCACTGCCACGTGTATGGTGGAACGCCCTTGCCGTACTGGCACTCCGCCCAGCCGCCATGGTGAGCGGGGAGTGAGCATTGAGAGAACAGAAATCTGAGCACGACAAGCAATCGACAGAGGATATGCAGCATCATGTGCAGGCAATCGTCGGCGTCCTGCGGGTAATACAGTTGCAGTGCGTTGCTATAGAAGTCAACGGCGTACGTTGTCATAGCGTCGCCGTAGCCGAGCACCCTGGTGAGCAGGGCGGGGGAGTGGGACGTGGCATCGTGAAGGGCGGCGGCCAGATTTGTGGCGGTGACTGCGTTGGGCTGCGCGGCCATGTACCATTTGGTATCTGTGGAATTGTCGTCGGCGTTGCTTAGCACGGATTTAACCTGCTGCTTAAGGCGCTCATAGACCCTATTGTGCGGGAGGCCTGTCAGCCAGCAGAGCATCTGGTATATATTACACGGCGTCCTAGGCGACGGTGGAACTATGAGATGACACGTCGCATAATATTCATATAGGTGACGACAAAGGCACGCAAGGAGATCGAAGAGATCATAATGGTTCTGTTCAGTTTGCTTAACTGCGGAGCATTTTTTGAGGTGTTCATTTTGGCCGGCGTGCTGAATTGTTCTCCCAAGCAGTCTGCCAATTTTGTCGCCGGTAATATCGTTGTCATTTTGCAGCTCACCGTCCTGGGAATTTGGGCTTTTGGCAACGTCGTAGCCCATTTGGTGCAATAATACGCCGGGTCCGGAAGTTGAGTAAATTCTGCTGCTGGGATACCGCCGCGTGCACTGCTCCTCCAGGTACGTGAGATCATTACACAGAATTTTGAGAATCGTCAACAGTATCTTCGCGCATTTTTTGCCGTCCGCCGTCACCCTGCTGTTCCGCGCGTCGACTAGCACGCGGCCCTCAAACGCCCCGTCGTATGTGGAGATGTACACCGTTCTCAGTTCCTTTTCAAACTTGTCCGCTGCCTCCGCCACGCCGTCGAGTATCGGAGTTGTGACTTTGGCGAATTTCTCCGGTCGCAGCGCTTCGACTGCCTCGGCGAGTTTATCGAGCATTTCAGGTAATCTTCGGTCGAAACGTTTCTGCTTAGTGATATGTTCCAGCAACTCCTCGAGCGCCTGGGTGACGCCGTAAAGCCTCTCGGCGTAGTGATCATCTGTCGGTGGGAGTGAGGGATTCTTCTTTTTGCTCTCCTCGCTGTGCACTCTCCTGATCTCTGCGCTGATGTATCCCGAGAGCGCCAGGTGGAACCGCTTGAAGGCTGTGGACAGGGCCTCGAGTTGCAGCGTACCCTTTAGAGGGGAGATGTGAGTGACGAAGCGTTGCTGAAAATCATACACAAACCCCTTATACCCTATCTGCAGTTCCTCGTTTATTAACGGAGGCAAGGGATTCAATTCTTCCTCCACCTTCCGGGCGAACAACTTCAAAAGCTCCTTGATGTTGGAGACATACTGCCGGCGTACCTCTTTGATCAATATCTCTTCGGCTTCCTTGATTTCCTTGTCGACGAATTGTGTGAGGTCTCTGATGAGTTGCGCCTTGCCGTTCTCGAGGAATTTTAGAAAGCCTTTAAGCTCTCTTATCACACCCCTCACCTGCTCGCTCAGCAGATCACTAAATTTGTCTTTTATTTTCGTAAGCTCATTAAGGCTCTTCTCTTTCACTTCCTTCAAGGTGAACGCGGCGTCCTTTGCAATGTGCCTAATCGCCGTGCACAGCTCCTTGAGCTTCTCCTTCACTTGGTCGACGTCCCTGGTTTTTATGGTCTCGATGTCCGTGGTGATTTGAGTGAGGCCATTTACATTTGTCTTGTCTTCCGTCCAGTTATCACCGCCTTTTTCAAGGCCATGCTCTTTCAGCTTCTTGAGCTTTTTTGTGACCTTTTCATTCAACTGCTGTCTAAGGCTGTCAAGCTCATCGGTGATTTGGGTGACGCCACCGCGGATTGCAGCGGGTTGCTCCTTCAACGTATTTTGTTGAGTGCTAAGTTCACCATTTATTTTTGCGAGGCCTTTTTGATTTCCATCTTTATTCTTATCCCATTGGTCGCCACTTAGTCCATTGTTCTGCAAATCGTTCAGCGTTGCAAGGACATCGTCGCCTGGCTTGCCCTGCAGCACATTTTGAAGGGTAGTGAGTTCTGTTTTAATTGCTGAGTTGGCTTTACCGATTGTAGTGGGATGTGTATTAAACGGATCGTAGTGAAGGCTTTTAATTGCCTTTTGAATTTCTTGAAGATTTCCATTTTCTGCTTTACCTTGGCCAATCTTTTCTTTTAGTTTTTTCAAATTGTCCATAACGTCATCGTCGGTGTTTAGGTTTTCCAACTTGTATCCGATCTTTGCAAGTTCCAACTTAATTTTTCTTACGAGTATAGTCATGTTATCTCCAATAATTTTAGTTTGCTCGCCCAGTTGCTTATTCTGCTCTTGAAGCTCACCACGGATTTTCCCAAGGCCACTGAGAGGTTGACCGTTAACTTGCTTCCAAGTATTCTTGCCGTCGAGACCAACAGTTTGCAGATCTTGCAAAGCAGTTATCACATCATCCTTCGGCTGGTCAATACTATTCTTCAACTTCTCTCTAAGCTCTTTAAGCTGCGCCTTAATTTGCTCGACGGCTGTGCCAATTGCTTCGGGTTGGTTTTCGATGTCGTCAAGTGTAAATTGCCTCGAGGCCGTTGACTTTTAGACCACTTTGGCAACCTGAGTGCAGGTCGACGCCATTTGTGGGACGCAAAAAAGGACGTGGCAGGTGAGGGATGAGGAAGGCTGTTTGGTTGTGACGGCGAGTCAACAAAAGGTGAAGGGACAAGGCAAAGCAGCGAGTAGGTTACATGTTTGGTTATGTTCTAGGTCAGCCTTTTGGTTACACGTTAGGTAAGCCTTTTGGCTAGGCAGTGAGTCAGGTGCTAGGCAAGGCACGGTGTACAGTCACGATTAAAGACGTGACATGGCATGTCAACACAATAAGAGGAATGTAAACGTAATGTAGCTACGATAATTACCATCATGAGTGAAGGTCATCGTCGAAGTAGTCGACGTCCTTGTAGAGCGAGAGCATCCTGCGGCTGCCGGCGAGTAAAGCCTTGACGTCGATGAGGTGGGAGGCCCTGGTGGTGAGGAGGTGCGAGCGGATGCGTAGCACGTCCATGCGGTAGAGGAGTGAGTGGAGGATGTAGAACGTGGCAGTGAGCCAGAGTGTGAACAGGGTGAAGAGGAAGGGGGCACGGATGCGATAGAGGTACTGGTCACACTGGTCGAACAGTTCCGTGAAGTGGTCGGAGTGGAGGACTTGGCTGAGCTGCTTGGCAAAATTACGGCAATATTTTCTGCTATTGCCGTGCAAGGCTCTCGTGTTTCCAAATGTAAATCCGTATGCGTGGAACGTCGGCAGGACGCCGTGACAGCTCACCAGTGCCTTGCACTTGCAGTTGAGGTCGACGCCATGTTGGCCCGGCTTGCAGGGACACGTCGAGCACCCGGAGCTTGCGCAGTCAATGTCTTGAAAGGCGTTGAGCAATTGCTGGAGCAGCTCCCAGAATTGCCATGCGGTGTAGATAACCCACGACAAATATACCTCCGCGTGCTTCTCAGCGAAGGTGTGGCAGGCGTGGAAGGAGAGAGGCTGTAGGTAGGGGGCGCAGGTCAGTGAGTCGGCGCACCGCGACCGGACGGTGAGACTCGACAGGTCCGAGTGGGTGGCTTGTAAGGTGTTAGTGACAGCGTCCGTTGGGGATGCGCCACTGTGGTCGTCGGGGGAGTGGTGTAGCCTGGTGAGGGCGTCGGTCAGCTGCGCCGCCTCGGTGGTGGGACAGAGGTACAGAGAGACGCTGGGGATTGCCGCAGTGCTCAGGTGACCAGTGAAGTGGACGTTGTCAACGTACTCAGCGGACTGCCGGCACCGGAACACGTTGCAGTAGAACGCAAACATGTCACCGAGACTTTGAGGCGGCGAGGGGTCAATTGACGACAGGCAACGTAATAGTGTTGGCAGGGGCGACTCGGCACCACTGCACAGGGCGGTGAGCACGGCGCATATTCGCTCACCACTGCCGACAATAGACGCCGCCTCTGTCAGGTCCCAGAAGCCCATGGGCGTGACACAGGGCATGCCGGGGGATGCGATAGAACACGTGTCGCACTGCGAGTCACAACCGACGGAGGCCAACTTATGCGGTAGGAAGCCCGCCAGATGGTCCATCAAATGGGCCTGTAGCGGGGATTTTGGTTGGCACGTTGACTGGCACATAGGTTGGCCATTTGGTCGGCACGTTGGTCGGCCATTTGGTTCACACATTAAGTGCTTGTTACATTGCCAGCTGGCGGCGGGGACGCTTCTGCCGTACTGGCAGTCGCGCCAGCCGTGGCCCGTGGAGGCATCATATTTGCATCGTGCGCGCAAAAAGTTGAGTGCAAGTAGCAAACATTTACATAAATGAGTCAGCATATGTAACAAATCGGCGAGGTCTGAGGGATAATGGAAGCCACGAGAGTTGTCCCAGAAGTTGCAGGCGTAGGGGTAGTCGGCGTGGTCGAAGCCTCTGCCGTTACCGCAAATGGTGGTGAGCAGGGCGCTGCAGCGGTGCGTGACAAGGCTGAGTGCGCCTGGGATGGATCCCAAGCAATGCTTGACCACTGCATCACCCTCGCCCCTGAACAGGACGTTGCAATGCGCCTGCACGCGCTCATAGAGCACGGAGTAAGGAAGCCCTGCGAACCACGCGAGAATGTCCCTGACGGTGCCGGGGTATTTGGGTGATGGAGGAATGTGCAGGTGGCAGGCACGCAGGTAGCACTTGAGGTATTCGTGGAGTTCGTCGAGAGGCTCCATGATATTATCGGTGAGCTCTCTAATCTTCTGGCCGCTGCAGTCACTGTCGTTCCTGAGCTCGCCGTCCGGAACGCCCGCCGAGGTGACCCGGTAGCCGCGTTGCTGGAGGAAGGCGCCCAGGGGGGTGAATGGATTTATTAACATATGAGACCACTCATCTGCGCATTTCATTCTGAGCTCGTTCAAATCGCGGAACAGCGTGTCGGTGATGGTCAGAAGGATCATGGCGCATTTCGCAGCTTCCGGGGTGTACACCTTCCTCCCCTCGTGGTAGAGCACGCGGCCCTCAAACGCCCCGTCGTATGTGGAGATGTACACCGTTCTCAGTTCCTTCTCAAACTTGTCCGCTGCCTCCGCCACGCCGTCGAGTATCGGAGTTGTGACTTTGGCGAATTTCTCCGGTCGCAGGGCTGTGACTGCTTTGGCAAGTTTATCGAGCATTCCAGGCACGTGGCGGTCGAAACGTTTTTCCCTGCCGATGTGTTCCAGCAACTCCTCGAGCGCCTGGGTGACTTGATAAAGCCTCTCGGCGTAGTGATCCTCTGCCGGGGGTAGTGAGGGATTCTTCTTTTTGCTCTCCTCGCTGTGCACTCTCCTGATCTCTGCGCTGAGGTATCCCGAGAGCGCCAGATGGAACCGCTTGAAGGCTGTGGACAGGGCGTCGAGTTGCAGCGTACCCTTTAGAGGGGAGATGTGAGACTCGAAGCGTTGCTGGAAATCATACATGAACCCTTTGTACCCTATCTGCAGATCCTCGGTTATTAACGGAGGCAAGGGAGTTAATTCCTCTTCCACCTTCTGGGCGAACAACTTCAAAAGCTCCTTGATGTTGGAGACATATTGCCGGCGTGCCTTTTTGATCAATGTCTCTTCGGCTTCCTTGATTTCCTGGTTGACGAATTGTGTGAGGTATTTGATGAGTTGCGCTTTGCCGTTAACGATGAAACTTAAAAGGGATCTGAGGTCTTTTATGGGACCATCCACCAGACTTTTGTGCAGTTGGCGTAGACTGTCTTTTATTTTTGTCAACTCGCCGACCAAATTTTCTTTGACATCCTTTAAAATGTCTCTGAGATCTCTTGCGTTATGCCTGACAGCACTGCACAGGGCGATGAGATGATGCTTGACGTTATCGACGTCCCTGGTTTTTATGGTCTCGATATCTTCGGTGATTTTAGTGAGGCCTTTTGCAGAGTTGTTGTCAATTGTCCAAGTTTGTCCATTGCCAAGGCCGTCGGTTTTTAACTTAGTTAACTTGTTAATAACCTCTTTTTGCAAGACCTCATTTCTAAGCCTTTGAAGCTCACCGGTGATTTCTCGGACGCCACCGCCGATTTTTTCGGGTTGTTGTCCCAGCGTCTTTTGTTGATTGTTAAGGTCACTAGTAATTTTTGCGAGGCTATTTTTATTGCCATTCCATTTGTCCTTTCCACTTAGTCCATTGTTCTGCAAATCTTGCAAAGTGGTAATGACATCTTCACCTAGTTTAGAGCCATGCAAGTCATTTCGGAGGGTAGTGAGTTCATCTTTAATTGCTCCGTTGGCTTTACCAATTGCGTCGGAATTCGATGTAAAATCGTTGCCTTGCAACCAATCAAGTGTATTCAGAATGTCTTCAAGATTGTCATGATATCCTTTCTGGCTTCTACCAATCTTTTTACGTAACCACTCCAATCGGTCGATGACGTCATCATAATCGAATGGCTTATCCAACTTTATTTCTATTTTTGAAAGCTCACTCCTAATTTGGAATATGGCTTCTTCAATTCTTGCGGTTTCTTCGGGCAATTTAGCATTCTGTTCTCTAAGATCAATCTGAATTGTTCTTAGACTTGCGGTATTTTTCCAATCTTTCTTAGTGCCAAATGCCCAAGGGTTATTACCTTCGAGACCAACGTCTTTGAAATCCTGCAGTCTTTTAATGACGTCATCATCCTTAGTATTCTTCAACTGCTTCCTAAGCTTTCCAAGCTCCTTCCTAATTCTTTGGACGGCTCCTTCGATTGCAGCGGGTTGGTCTTTAAACGGTTTGGCTTGCAGCCCTTCGATCGCATTTTTAATTTCTTCCAGTCCTTGTTGGTTGGCGAACATAGATGGTTTACTATTGTTAACCATATTCCTCAACTCACTTAAGAAATCCTTGATACCTCTGTTTTGTTCACCTAGGAATGTACTCCCTTCATCATCAACCAATTTCTTGATCTCTTCAAGCTCCTTCTTAATTATGCCGAACGGACCGGTGAAGGTTGTATCAGTAATCTTGCCGGCTTGGTCACCAATAGTATTTTCAAGCGCTGCCAGACCCAGAGTCTTGATCTTCCCGATCGCCACTTGAAGATGGCCTTCATCTGCCTCTGCAGTGCCTTGTAGAGTACCGCCGGGTGTAAGGGCATTAATCTTACCTTGTTTAACGTGTTTATCATAATTGCCAAAATTTGCAGCAGTGATGATGACTTTCTCGGCTGTCACACCTTGACCGCCTGTCGGCGGGTCATCCTCCCCAATGTACTTGTTCACTTCCTTATTAAGGTCCTCTTGGAGATTATTTACAATATTTTGGTGTGCGCCGTGAAACGTGTTCATATTCTGCTCAACGCTTACCTGATTTTTACTACCACTTTCCATCTCGATTTGATTAGCCGCCTTCTCGATCGCCGTCTTGGCGGCATCCTTGATCTGCTCTTCGGCGGCGGAGTTGAAAGCGCCAACGGCTGTGGGAAGTTCGGAGACTGCATTCTGAAGCTGACCTGTTACATTGCTTTTGAATCTACCGTCAAGATCATTATTAATAAAATCCCTAACTCCACCGATCGCTGTGTCCACGGCTTGGGCTGTGCCATCTACAGGCTGACCGGGAGGATGTAGTGGAATAGTCGCATCACGAAGCTGGTTCTCAAGCGCTTCTGCCTTATCCAAAGCATTGTGCACGTTGTCGCTGAGATTAGCAAGTTTCCCGTCGAGACCGAACCATCGGACTTCATCGCCAGCCTTCCAGGCAGTGGCTACCAGAACGGGCAATATGTCTTTAATGGCGGTGATGAGAGTTGGGTTGTCGTTGCTAGGGTAATCATTTTTTATGAACTTGTTGTGCGTCCACAGCTCTTTCTCAATCCTCTTGGCTATCGCCTTGGCAAGCGGGCCAAGTTGTCCATCATCCTTAATCTTAGTCCCCAGCGTCCTGCCAAATTCCTTGCAAACAGCTTCCACATATTCCAAATTTCCTTTAATGGTACCTTTGGAGCTGCCGGTTTGGATTTCTTTTTTGACGTCTTTAAAGCTATCCATAATAACAATGCCCTTAAGCTCATTTCTTATTTCGGTTGCGATTCTACTGTCGAGATATGAATCGCTTCCTTTCGGCCGATTTAAGTCGTTCGCGTGAACCTTACCCTTTGAGTACTTTCCAACCCAAGTGTCCATCGGCTCATTTTGCAAAATACTCCTTCTCACCCATCCGGCGACTATGCCATCAAATGCGTCCCCATGCACGAACTTCTTAGCGTACGCCTCAACGCCGCTGACAATCCCCAGGAGACCTGAACCGTTATTTACACCTGTATTAGGTTTCCCCTTAATCTCCCCAACCTGCGTTTTAATATGTCCCAAAATGCTTTCAATGCTATTCAGGCTTCTTGTTTTCTCAAACTTCCCGCCAAGCGTCCCAATCGCCGAGTCAACTGCTTTGACTTTCTCGCTAAGCGGGCCTTGGATATGCGAAGTAAAATTCTGTGCAAGCTTCTCATTCGTCTGCAGCTCAATGTTTTTAACAACAGTATCCAAATTACCTTCTCTGGCAGACTGAAGCGCCGCCAACTTATCTTTAACAAGTGCATTTTCCCCATCTTGCGGCAGACCTTTAGCTAGCTCACTAATCCTCCCCTTCAACGTCCCCAAATCCGTCTTCACTTTATCACCCAACTCCTTAACCTTCAACGTATCAATCACACTCCCTATCCCCGCTATAATCTTTTCTTTAACACTCTTCAAATCCCTCTTGAGATCACTGTCCATGGCCACAACAGCCTCCAAGGCCTTTTGGACATTCTTGCCAACTTGCTGCTTTGTCTTACTTGCGGCCTCGAAAAGTGCAACACCCTTCTCACTCATCTCATTTGCATATTCAAAAATTGTATCACTTTCACCATCCTTTTTTGTCGCAACCCTCTTAAGTATCTGATCACACTTCTCTTCCGCCTTGGATATAACACTATCGGCCGCAGTCTTCCACTTACCTAAGTTGTCAACTTCTTTCTCAAGTTGCTCATTTGCCTCTTTAATTGACTCATTTGCGTTGTGAATACCATCAAGTTGCTCGCCAATTGGCTTGCTTTTCTCATCTTTTAAATTCTCATACACCTCATTGGCATTTGTAATTGCCCCGGCAAGCACTTTCCCGGCCTTAATCTTCCAGTCACTCAAACTTTTTTCAACACCACCAAGCTTCCCATGAACTCCTTCAATTGCCTTATTGGCTTCAACAATCTTCTCAACATTCAGATTCAATGTCTGCTTAACCTTCAACTTGTCGTAAGCTTCCGTAGCCTTTTCCTCGGCTGCCTTGCGGATGTTCTCCGCCTCGGTGATCCAAGTACCTAGCTTGGTAACATGATGATGAAGAATAGTGTATTTAGTGGAGGTGATGGCACCAATGTTACTACAAAATCACTGCCACCTTATGTCTACCATGCTCCACCGCCAGACCTGGGACGACGGCAGTCAGCTGCTGAGGTGGACAGCCAAGGTGACGAGCGAAGGGCTAATCAGAGGATCGAGTAGGTTAGGTGGTAGGTTACGTGCTAGGTGGGCCGTTTGGTTAGGTGCTAGGTTAGGCATTTGGTTACATGTTTAGTCAGCCTTTTGGTTAGTCAGTGAGTCAGGTGCTAGGCAAGGCACGGTGTACAGTCACCATGAGAGACGTGAGATGACATGGCAACAGAAAGAAAGATATGTAAATGTGAATGTAGCTACGATAATTACTGTCACGAGTGAAAGTCATCATCGAAGTAGTCAACGTCCTTGTAGAGTGAGAGCATTCTCCTGCTGCCGGTGAGCAGCGCCTTTACGTCGATGAGGTGAGAGGCCCTGGTGGTGAGTAGGTGCGAGCGGATGCGCAGGACGTCCATGCGGTAAATGAGTGAGTGGGCGATGTAGAGCGTGGCGGTGAGCCAGAGTGTGACGATGGTGTAGAGGAAGGGCGCACGGATGTGCCAGAGGAACTCGGGGATTGTCTCGTGCGCCAGCCTGTGGAGAGGGTTCATCTGCTTGAGGACGGTGCGTAAGACGATGCAGAGATCCTGGCAGGTGCGCTTGGTCTGGTGGCCGCTGGTGGAGCCGGCGAGGCTGTGGGCGTCCCTGTGCACGAAGCCGTACCGGAAGAGTGTGGGCGTGGTGGAGTCGCAGTCCACGATGGAAAGGCAGTGGGCAGTGTGATTGGAGTCCGGGGCCATGGGAAGACGCTTGGCTGGGCAGTGGTCGGCGCAGCTGTTGGCGTGGCAGTTGGACGTGGCGTCGGCGCAGGTGCGCTCGCAGTCCTGGAGCAGTTCCCTGAGGAAGTCGTAGAAAGTCTCCGTGAGGTATACCACCCACGAGAGGTAGAGGTGGGCGTGTGCCTTGGCGAATGTGGCGCGTAGGTCGTGGCCGAGGGGCTTGAGGTAGGGGCCGCAGGGGTGTGACGGAGCGGAGCCTGGAGTGCCGTTGCACTTGACGAGTGAGAAGAGATCGCCGGTGAGATGAGGTATATTCTGCTCGTTGCCGTGGTCACTTGTGCCGAAGATAGAACTGACGTCCAGCGTCACGCCCCGCTGCCAGAAGCACGCGTCGCCGACGGCGTCCTCGAAGGCCGCCTTACGGTGCTCGCCGTCATTATGCCACTCGCATATGAAGTTGAAGTAGAAGGCGAACAGGTCGTCTGGCGTCCGGGGCGGGCGAGTGAGGAGGCAATTCAGGAAGCCGCACAGCCTGGTGAGGGGGGATGACTTTCCGCCGCAGAGGGCGCCGAGGACGTCCATGATGCGTCGCCCTGTACCCGCACGGGAGGCCAGCCTGGTAATATTGGCAAGGCCCATGGGCGTCTTGCACGGCAGGCCGGGTGACGTGGTGTCGCAGGCGGGGCATGAGACACAGGTGCCATCTGCCGACACGTCATGCGGCAGGAAGCCCACAAGGCCGTCCTCGAGGAATGATTGAAGTGGCGATTTCACACCGCACTTGGGGTGCTGGTCACAGCTTTGGTTACATATTTGGTTACATATTTGGTTGCCTGTTTGGCTGGCCTCATGAGGGCACTGCTGGTTGGCACACTGCATGGTGTTGCACCTCCACGCTGAGCCTCCGACTCCTCGGCCGTACCAGCAGTCGAGCCATCCGCCGTGCCGGGTGTTGTAGAGGCACCGGCGGTAGAGGAGATACAGCTGTTGGTGGAGGCGTTTGATGACGTCGAAGAGCAGGCAGAGCAAAGCGTCCGCGTCGCAGGGGTAGAGCAGGCCTCCCGGGTTGGTGTTGAAGTCGCAGGCGTATATGCCTCCGGCATGGCCGTAGCCTAGTAACGTGGTGAGCACTGAATGCGACCGGTGGCACACCTCCGTGAGTGCGTCGGTGAGGGACGCTGGTGTTATGTTCCGCGGGTGGGCCTTCAGCGCCAGGCTGCTGAGGTTCATCAAGGGCACGTCGGAGTCCGCAGAGTCCTGCTCGTCCGCCTCGAAGAGCGATGGCAGGGCATCGTAATTGACGTTAAGATTCACGGCGTTGTACGTAAGCCCGCAGCACCATGTGAGCATCTCGTAGATGGAACACGGCGGCCGGGGTGAGGGATGCACCTTGAGGTGGCACGTCTTATAGTACTGCTGGAGGTGCGTGCAGAGGCATTTGAAGATATCTAAGAGATTACAGGCGTGTTGGAGGGAGAGGCATTTTTGGAGGTGTGCGTTGTTCTCTGTCTCCTCAATCTTCTGGCTGACCAGGACATACACGTCGCGACCGTTGCAGTCGTCGCGCAGCTCGCCGTCCTGCAGAGTTGGAGAGTTGGAGACCTTGTAGCCGGAGCGCTGGAGGAAAGCGCCGAATTTACTGGTTGCATTAATCTTCAAGTCCCTCCACTTGCCGCCTTTGCCGCAGCGCTCCCGCAGCCTGTTGAAGGCGTCGCACAGTGTGGGCAGCGTGGTGAGGAAGACCTTGGCGCACATGGCGCCGTAGGGCGTCAGCTTTGTAACGTTTCTGACGGTGACGGACTTTGTGCCTTGGGATCTTACGGTCTCGGTGAGGGTCTCATTTTCGACCAAGGCAGCGGTGAACGTCTGCCCGGCGTATCTTGAGACGTACGCACATGTGAACTCGGCGGCGAACTTTGTGAGCCCCTCCACCAGGCCGTCCAGCACGGGGGTAGAGGGCCTGGCGAAGCTCTCAGGTCGCAGGTGACTCAGCGCGTCGGTGAGGTTGCGGAGCAGCGCTTGGAGTCTGTGGTCGAAGGTATCGTTGTCCTTGATGTAGTGGAGCAAGTTGCTCAGCGCGTCGTACACATCGTTGAGCTTACTGTTGTACGGCTCCTCGGACGGCGGGAGCAGAGGATTTTTCTTCCTGTTTTGCTCGTCGGCCTCTCTTCCTATCTCCCCCAGGAGATACGTCTGTACTTGCTCATAAAGCTCCCGGAACGCAGAGGATAATTGTGGAACGCTCTCTTCACGGCCCGTGAAATCGGAACTCAAAGGGCCATACATGTATTTTATTAACCCCTTGTAGCCCAAGTAGAGATCTCTGCTAATTTCATTCGGCAAATCTTCTAACTCCTCTTCAACCTTCCGGGCGAACAGCTTCAAAAGCTCCTTGATGTTGGCGGCGCACTGCCGGCGTGCCTCCCCGATCAATGTATCTTCGGCTGCCTTGATTTCTTGGTTGACGTACGCGTGGAGTTCTGCGATAATTCTTTTAGCGGCCTCGTCGGCGTATTTATCAAACTTCTTGAGTGATTGAATGACATCGTTCAGCGGGCCGAAGTACAAATCGTAAAGGTCACTGTAAATTTTCTTCATCTCTTCGTCAAGCATTATTTCCTTGACCTCCTTTAATACAAACGCCACGCCTCTTGCTTCATGCTTTATATCACTTAAGAGCATTTTGAGTTTGTCCTTCAGGTCGGCAACGTCCCTGGTTTTAATGGCCTCGATGTCCGTGGTGATTTTAGTGAGGCCTTTAGCCTGGTGATTGTCAGTTGTCCAGTTGTTTCCGCCGTCAGTAAGGCCATGCTCTTTCAGCTTCTTGAGCTTTTCGGTGACTCCAGTGTTCAACTCACTCTGAAGCCTTTGAAGCTCGTTGGTGATTTGGTCGACGCCGTCCTGTATGTTCTTGGGTTGAGTGGATAGCGTATTTTGTTGACCTTGAAGTTCACCATTAATTTTTGCGAGGCCTTTTTCATTATCATCTTTTATCCACGGCTTATCACTTAGTCCACTGTTCATCAAATCTTCCAGTGACTTTATGACATCGTCGCCTGGCTTGGAGCCTTGCAACTCTTTTTGAAGGGTAGTGAGTTCATCTACAATTTCTTGCTTGGCGCCATCGATGGTTGTGGGATTGTCTTTGAACGGCACTTGTTGGAGCCAATTAATGTAGTCATGAATGTCTTGCGCATTAACGTGGTCCTTCTTTTGACCTTTACCAAGTTTCCTACCTAGCCACTCCAACTGATCTGTGATATCATCGTGGCCATGTGTATCATCCAACTTGACACCAAGAACTCTGAGTTCCCACCTAATTGCTTCTATCGCTCTCTCGATTTCACCAGTTTGCTCGGGCAGTATATTGTTTTCCCTCTTGAGGTCCTCTTGGATTTTTGTTAAACCCTTCGTTTTTTTCCAGGAATTCATACCTTCGAGACCTTTGCCTAGCAAATCTTCCAAGTCGTCAATGAGGCCATTCGTCCCGACATTTTTACTATTATTATCATTTTTCATGATAATTCTCAGTATGTCAAGCTCCCCCTTAATATCAGAGATGGCTGTGCCAATTGCAGCAGGTTGGTTAGTGAAAGTCGTTTGTTGAAGATAGTTAATTGCCTTTTTAATTTCTTCGAAGCCCTTTGGTGATGAATCAAACGGCCCATATATCAGTCCATTTTTAAGCTGTTCAAGATAATTTTTGACACCATTTTCTGTTGGGATTAATTCGCCAAAGAAATTTCTGCTTGTGTTAATAACCAATTTCTTGATCTCTTCAAGCTCTTTCTTAATTGTGTCGAACGGACCGTCGAAGGTTTGCGTATTAATATGACCGGGTTGGTCACCTATAAGCTTCTCAAGCTCTGCCAGACCCTCATCTCTAATCTTCCCTATCGCCTGTGGAAGTTGGCCTTCGCCTGACTCGCCTTTTAGATCACCGTCCTCAATCTCATTTTGATTAACGTGTTCATCGTAAACTTTAAAGTTTGGGGCACCTTCAAGCTTGACTTTTACTCCATCGCCATCCGGCAACTCTGTATCAACCTTGCTGTTCAGGCTACTTTGGAGCCCACTTTGGATAGGCTCGTAGGCTTCCTTAAACTGTTTCATTAGATCATTTGGCTCACCAAACTTTATTTCACTGCCACTGCTAATCTGCCCAGCCGCCCTCTCAATCGCCGTCTTGGCGGCTTCCTTGATCTGCTCTTGAGCTTCAGTGTCGAACTGATTAACGGCGGTGGGAAGCGCTCGTACGGCAGCATCAAGTGGTCCTTTGACATTGTTTTTAAACTTGTTGGTAATATTATCAGCGCCATGTGTTCCATTCACGAATTCCCTCACCGCCTCCAACTTGCCGTCCACGGCTTTGGCGGGGCTATCAGTTTGGCCGGAGGTGACGGGATTAGTCGCTTTGCCAAGCTTATCATCAAGTTCCTTGGTTACTCTAAACGCATCATCCAACGCTGTTGCGATGTTTTTATTGGTACCACTGCCGCCCATCCTGTAGTCGGCGAGTAGCACTGAATTCAGTTCGTCTGCCACCTGATTAACCGTTGCGCGGAGTGCTACGAGGCTGGCTTCGATAAGCGATGTGAGAGATTTATCTCTATTGCTTACCCGAATACCTTTACTTCCAACCGCACTCTCAACGGTTGGCGCAATCTCCTCGGCAAGCTGAGCAATTCCCCTACCGTTATTAAATTTCGCATCAAGCTCGCTGACAAATGCCTCGCACCCTGTTTTGACGGCTTGGACATAGTCAGCAATGTTACCATTTTTAGTTTCCTCAACCTTTTTACCGGCTTGATGTGCGTCGCCTTCAAACTTCTTCTTAATCTTTTCGATAATGTCTTTACGCAATGTTTCAGTTGCGGAGTCACCACCAGCAACCCGGATGACGCCGCCGCTCCGCTGCAACTTCCCAGCCTTTGCAGTAATCCAAGCCTCAAGCCACTTTTGCAAATTCTGATTATTCTTCTGTTCTGTCTTCTCCCCCCAAATCCCTTCAAGCCAGCCTTGGACTCTTTTCTTAAAGTTTTCACCGCCTGTGTCGCCGAATGCATTGGCATAGTGTTTTATTGCACCCTGAATCCCTTCAAGACCACTGCCGCCTCTACCATTTGTCCCCGCCGTCCCCTTAATCTCCCCAACCTTTCCTTTAATGTGCCCGAAAATCTTATCAATATTTCTTTCTCCGTTACGCAGCTGGAAATTCCCGCCAAGCGCCTCAATCGCCTGGTCAACTGCTTTGACTCTATCGTTAAGCGGACTTTGGATGTTATCCCTGAACTTAGTTTCAAGGCCCGCAGTTTCCTGCTGAATTTTACCTTTGTCCGAACCTGCAAGATTATACAGCTTAATTTTCTCCGCTGCAAGCTTAGACAATTCCTCTTTAACGAGGCTCTCTCCATTTGATTTATCAACCTCTGTTTTAAGCCCACTAATCTTACTCCTCAACTCCCCCAAATCACTCTGCACTTTCGCATCCAATTCTTTAACTTTCAACTCTTCAATCACCTTAGTTATCCCTTTCTTAATATTCTCTTTAACATTCCTCAAATCCGTCTTAAGGATGAGTCCATGGCCACAACAGCCTTCAAAGCCTCACCGACTTTCTGCTCAACTTGCTCTTTAGCCTTACTCGCAGCCTGCAAAAGCTCAAGACCTTTTTGTTTTAATGCATCAGCTTGCTTATAAATAACACCGTCAGACGTAGTTTGACTAACTTTCTTAAGTATCTGATCACACTTCCCCTGCGCCTTGGTAATAACACCCTGGGCGGCATCCCTCCAGTTACCTAAATTGGCAACTTCAGTGGCAAGCTCATTATTTGCCTTTTTAATTAAGTCATTAGCTGAGTTAATTCCTTCAACGTTTTTGCCAAGCGGTAAACTCCTTCCTTTACCGTCTATATCCAACTTCTCATACACCTCATTGGCCTTCCCAATCGCCCCTTGAAGCACATCCCTGGCCTGATCCTTCCACTCTCCCAAACTTGAATGGACACTATTCAGCTTCTCATGAACATCATTAATTCTGTCCTTAGCTTGCACAATTTTCTTAACATTCTCATCCAGTGTCTGATTAACCTTCAACTTGTCATAGGCTTCTGTAGCCTTGTCCTCAGCGGCCTGACGGATTTTCTCGGCGGTGGAGATCCAGGTACCTAGCTTGGTAACTTGTTGGAGAAGAGTGTATTTAGCGGAGGTAATGGCACCAATGTGATCACAAATCACTGCCACCTCATGTACATCATGATACACCGACAGACCTGGGATGGAGGCAGCCGGCCGATGAGGCGGGTGACCAAGGCGGCAGGCAAGGGGAGAGTCAGAGCATAAAGTACAGTGTAGGTTACGTGATAGGTGAGGCGTTTGGTTAGGTGCTTGGTCAGCCGTTTGGTTAAGTGCTAGGTAAGCAGTTCGGTTAGGCAGTGAGTTAGGTGCTAGGCAAGGCACGACTTACAGTCACCATGAAAGACGTGACATGACATGGCAACACAAATAGAGGAATGTAAATGTAATGTAGCTGCAATAATTACAATCAAGAGTGAAAGTCGTCGTCGAAGTAGTCGACGTCTTTGTAGAGCGAGAGAATCCTGCGGCTTCGGGAGAGCAGGGCCTTGACGTCGAGTTGGTGGGAGGCCGTGGAGGTGAGGAGGTGGGAGCGGATGCTTAGGACGTCGATGCGGTAGAGGAGTGAGACGAGGATGTAGGCGAGGGCGGTGAGCCAAAGTGCGACGAGGGTGAAGAGGAAGGGGGCACGGATGCGATATAGGTACTCGGGGATTGTCTCGTGCGCCAGCTTGTGGAGAGGGTTCATCTGCTTGACGGCGACTCGGAGGGCCAGGCAGAAATCCGCGCAGGTGCGCTTGGTCTGGTGGCCGCTGGTGGATCCGGCGAGGGTGTGGACGTCCCTGAGCGCGAAGCCGTACTGGAAGAGTGTTGGCGTGATGGAGTCGCAGTCCACGATGGAAAGGCAGTGGGCAGTGTGATTGGAGTCCGGGGCCATGGGAAGACGCTTGGCTGGGCAGTGGTCGGCGCAGCTGTTGGCGTGGCAGTTGGACGTGGCGTCGGCGCAGGTGCGCTCGCAGTCCTGGAGCAGTTCCCTGAGGAAGTCGTAGAAAGTCTCCGTGAGGTATACCACCCACGAGAGGTAGAGGTGGGCGTGTGCCTTGGCGAATGTGGCGCGTAGGTCGTGGCCGAGGGGCTTGAGGTAGGGGCCGCAGGGGTGTGACGGAGCGGAGCCTGGAGTGCCGTTGCACTTGACGAGTGAGAAGAGATCGCCGGTGAGATGAGGTATATTCTGCTCGTTGCCGTGGTCACTTGTGCCGAAGATAGAACTGACGTCCAGCGTCACGCCCCGCTGCCAGAAGCACGCGTCGCCGACGGCGTCCTCGAAGGCCGCCTTACGGTGCTCGCCGCTGCCGCTCCACTCACATATGAAGTTGTAGTAAAAGGCGAACAGGTCGTCTGGCGTCCGTGGCGGGCGAGTGAGGAGGCATGTCAGGGAGCTGCAGAGCCTGGTGAGGGGCGACGATGCGCCGCCGCAGAAGGCGCCGAGGACGTCCATGATGGCTCTGCCTGGGCACGCACGGGAGGCCAGCCTGGTGATGTTGGAGAGGCCCATCGGCGTCTTGCACGGGAGGCCGGGTGACTTAGTGTCGCAGCCGGAGCATGAGACACAGGTGCCATCTGCCGACACGTCATGCGGCAGGAAGCCCACAAGGCCGTCCTCCAGGAACGACTGGAGCGGCGACTTGACGCCGCACTTGGGATGTTGGTCACAGCGTTGGTTACATATTTGGTTGTGTGTTTGGTCACACTGTTGGTTACATATTTGGTTGTGTGTTTGGTTGCACTGTTGGTCACACTGCTGGTTGGCACACTGCATGGTGTTGCACTTCCAACTGGAGCCACCGACGTCCCGGCCGTACCAGCAGTCGAGCCATCCGCCGTGCCTGGTGTTGTAGAGGCACCGGCGGTAGAGGAAATGGAGCTGGTGGTGGAGGCGTCTGAGGACGTCGAAGAGCAGGCAGAGCAACACGTCCGTGTCACGGGGATACAGCAGGCCTCCGGGGTTGGTGTTGAAGTCTACGGCGTAGATGCCTCCGGCATGGCCGTGGCCGAGTAGGGTGGTGAGCACCGAATGCGCTTTATGGCAGACCTCCGTGAGTGCGTCGGTGAGGGACGCCGGTGTTACGTTCTGCGGGTAAGCTTCCAGCGCCAGGCTGCTGAGGTTTATCAAGGCCACGTCGGATTCCGCAGAGTCCTGCTCGTCCGCCTCGAAGAGCGATGGCAGGGCATCGTAATTGACGTTAAGATTCACGGCGTTGTACGGGAGCCCGCAGCACCATGTGAGCATCTCGTAGACGGAGCACGGCGGCCGGGGTGAGGGACACACCTTGAGGTGGCACGTCTCATAGTACTCAGTGAGGTGCGTGCAGAGGCATTTGAGGAGCTGCAAGAGATTACAGGCGTGTGTGAGGGACAGGCATTTTTTGAGGTGTGCGTTGTCATGGGTCTCCTTAATCTTCTGGCTGACCAAGACAAACACGTCGTGGCCGTTGCACTCAGCGTCGTCGCGCAGCTCGCCGTCCTGCAGGGTGGGAGAGGTGGAGACCTTGTAGCCGCAGCGGTGGAGGAATGTGCCGAACTGGTTGCTTGCATTAATCTTCAAGTCCCTCCAGCCTGCAGCACCGCCTTTGCCGCACTGCTCCGCCAGCCTGGTGAAGGCGTCGCACAGTGTGGGCAGCGTGGTGAGAAAGACTTTCGCGTACTTCTCACCTTCGTCATCGGTGAACTGTGCGCCGGCGTAGGCGGAGACGTACGCACATGTGAACTCGGCGGCGAACTTTGTGAGCCCCTCCACCAGGCCGTCCAGCAGGGGACTTGAGGGCCTGGCGAAGCTCTCAGGTCGCAGGTGACTCAGCGCGTCGGTGAGGTTGCGGAGCAGCGCTTGGAGTCTGTGGTCGAAGGTATCGTTGTCCTTGAGGTACGTGAGCACTGTGTGGAACGCCTCGTTTACCACGGAGAGCCTAGTGGAATACTCCTGTCCGTCCTGCCGTTTGGGATTTCTCTTCCTCTGCTCCTCGTCGTGGAACCGATTTATCTCCCTGTCCACGTGGTCCTCGAGTGACAAGTAGAAACTCATGAAAGCGGATGACAGCAGCGGAAGGGTTTTTGACCCCTTTTTTTTATGGACGTTGAGGTCATTTTGCAGGCCGTGCTCCACTCGGGCCATAAGGCCCTTGTACTCCAGTCTCAGGTCCCTGTCGATCTCCCACGGCAACTCCCGCAGCTCCTCTTCCACCTTGAGGGCGAAGGCCGTCAGCGCCTCCTTGATGTTGGCGGCGCACTGCTGCCTCGCGAAGGCTGTTAAGTCCTCGATTGCGGTGGCCACTTGGCCGTCGACGAACGCTGTGAGGGACGCAATGCACTCCCTTCCGAACCTGTCGGCGTCTTTATTAATGAACTCCTTGCAGGCCTTGATTGGCCCACTCACCAGACGGATCTGCAGGTTGTGCAATTGGTCTTTTATTCCAGTCAACTCATACTCCAGCCTGTCTTTTTTCACATGTTCCAAGTCCCTTTTTGCCTCCCTCGCTAAGGTACGAATTTCTGTGCACAGCTCCTTGAGTTTGTCCTTCACTTCCTTAACGTCCTTGTCCTTTATGGTCTCGATGTCTTCGGTGATTTTTTGAATGCCATTTAAGGTTTTACTGTCGGATGTCCATGGTTGTTCACCAGTTCCAAGGCCACTTTCTTTCAGCTTCTTGAGCTTCTCGGTGACCTCAGTGTTCAACTGCGTCTGAAGCCTGTTAAGCTCATTGGTGATTGACTGGGCGCCTTGGTCTATTTTGCCGGGTTGTTGTCCCAACGTAGTTTGTTGAGCTTTAAGTGCACTTTCGATTGTTTTAAGGCCTTTTTTATTCTCTCCGTGATTCCACTCCTTATCACTTAGTCCATCGCCCTTCAAATCTTCCAGAGTCTTGATGACATCGTTGTCCTTGGTGCCTTGCAACTCAGTTCGGAGGGTAGTGAGTTCTTGTTTAATTGCTGAGTTGGCTGTACCAATATCGTTGGGTTTATTAGTAAACTCAGTGCTTTGGAGCCCACGAATCACATTTTTAATTTCTTGAAGATTGCCGCTATCTATTACTTTACCTTTACCCAGTTTCCTGTCAAGTGCGCGCAACTTGTCCAGAATATCATTGCTAGTGAATACATCTTGAAACTTTATTCCGATCTTGCCAAGCTCCCACGCTACTGCGCCAATAGCGTCGGTAATAATTTTCGTCTGCACGGGCAATACCTTATTCTGATATGTGAGCTCATACTGAATTCTCCCAAGACCGCTGAGAGTTTGACCTTTACCGTTCGGTGTCCAATCCTTATCACCGGTGCCAAGCCCCTTGCTATTTAAATCTTCCAAAACGTTGATCACATCATCTTTATCGCCGTTCTCCTTCTTCAACTTGCTCCTAAGCTCTCCAAGCTGCGCCTTAATTGCTGTGACGGCTGCGTCGATTTGTGTAGTTTTGGGATCATACGTCTGCGTTTTCAGCTTTTCAATCGCTTTTTGGATGTCAGCGAGGCCATTTTCGAAAACTCCCGGAACCTTTTTTGTAAGTCCATCGCTGAGATCTTTCAATAAGATTTTAACGCCTTTTTTGTCATCTTTATATCCATCGATATAACCTTTACTATTTTCATCAACCAATCTCTTGATCGCTTCAAGCTCATTCTTAATTTTGTCTAACGGACCGGTGAAGGTTATATCAGTAATCTTGTCTGTGGAAGTATCACCAATAGTCTTATTAAGCGTTTTCAGACCCTGAGTCTTGATCTTCCCGATCGCCTCTGGAAGATAGCCTTCGTCCTTGGTGCCTTGGAGAGTTTTACCGGGCTTAATATTTTCTTGTTTAACGTGCCCTTTATACTGCTCAAAACCTTGAACGACATCTTTAATGTTAACACCATCATGCTCATCCCTCCCAATGTACTTCTCAACCTCTGCATCAAGTTTATCTTTGAGCTCCTTTTTGATCGGCCCGTAGGTTGTGTGGAAACTTGGCATCTTGTCCTTCATCTCATCTTCATTTGGACTAACACCTTTACTTATCACGTTGGCCGCCTCCTTAATCGCCGTCTTGGCGGCATCCTTGATCTGTGATTGAGCTTCAGTGTTGAAAGCGTCAACGGCGGTGGGAAGTTTTTGAACTTTCTGTTGAAGTCCATGTTTTACTTCATTTTTAAACTTGTTGGTAATATTATCGTCTTGTCCATTCACGAAATCCCTCACCGCCGTCAACTTACTGTCCACGGCTTGGGCGGTGCCAGCTTCGGGGGCGGGAGGTGAGGGGCCATTTTTAGTCGCCTCGGTAAGCTGACTGTCTAGATTCTTAGTTGCATCCAAAGTTTCATCCAATACCTGCGCGATTGATTTGCCGTCCACCCTGTATGTGCCGAGCAGGATAGAGTCAATTTCGTTGGCCACCTGGCTTGCAGTAGCGGAGAGACCAATGAGCGCGGCTTGTATGGCGGGTTTAATAGCGGCTTGAATGTCGTGGCCGCCGGAACTCCTCCGTCCACCCTCACTGGCAATTTTATCGTATATCTCCTGGGCAAGCTTCTGAATTCCATCGGACGCTAGTTTGTTATCAAGCCCTTTTACAAATTCCTCACAGGCTTCCTTGACGGATGTAATGGTTGTTTGGATGTTGTCGTTATCCATTTTAACCTCTGCAGCGGCTTGTTCAATCGCTCCGTTCAGCTCCGTCTTAATTTGGTCGATAATTTTTTTACTCCATGAAAACCCACGTATAGTACCATTCAGCAAGTTCACCGCTTCTTTCCCATTCCCACCGTTATTCTGAACATACTTCTCAAGCCACTTTTTAGGGTCCTTCTTATTGTTATTCTCATTACTACCCAAAATGCCCTCCGCCCAACCGCCTACTATTCTTTTAAAGCTCCATTCCTCCGGGCCAAACCCACCGGCATAGCTCTCCACCAAACCTTTCGCAATCCCATTTAAACCTTTATTTCCGTCCTCACCGTTCAGAATCTCCCCAACCTTTCCTTTAATGTGCCCGAAAATCTTATCAATATTTCTTTCTCCGTTACGCAGCTGGAAATTCCCGCCAAGCGCCTCAATCGCCTGGTCAACTTTATCGACCGCCGTGTTAAGCGGATCCTTGATCGCGGTCCTAAACTTACTCTCAAGCCCATCCGTCTCCGTTGTAATCTTGTTAATATGCTCCTGATTAAACGTATCCTTAGCTGTTGAAAGTTGAGAAAATGCCTGTTGAACAAGCGGATGAGTTTGAGGGTTCTGTTCCATATTTTGCGTAAGCCCACTAATCCTCTGCTTCAACGTCCCCAAATCATCTCTCACTTTCTGATCCAATTTCTCAACTTCCAAATCCTTAATCACCTTCTGAATCCCTCCCTTAATCGCCGTCTTCACCCCCTTCAAATCCTTCTTAAGACTTTCGTCCATTTTTACAACAACCTGTAAGGCTTCTGTGACTTTCTGCTCAACAGCCTTTTTAGCCGACTTCGCAGCTTCCAAAAGTGTCTGAGCATTCTCATTTATTGCTTTAGCGTTCTCATAAATCGGACCTGGAGAAGCTTTATCTGTCTTAACTTTCTCCAAAATTTTATTACACTTCTCATCCGCCTTGTCAATAACATCCCCGGCCGCAGTCTTCCAATCTCCCAGACTGGAGACATGGGTGCCGAGTTCGTCATTTGCCTTCTGAATTTCTCCTTTAGCTTGCGTAATTCCTTCAATCTGTGTTTTCAAATATCCTTTACCTGTTTGTTCAACATCCAGCTTGTCATACACATCCGTCGCCTTCCCAATCGCCCCGGCAAGCACTTCCCCGGCCTTAATTTTCCACGTTTCCAAACTACTAAGATGGCCAGTAACATTTTTATGAACATCATTAATTGTCTTATTAGCAGCCACAATTTTCTTAACATTCTCATCCAGTGTCTGATTAACCTTCAACTTGTCATAGGCTTCCGTAGCCTTAGCCTCGGCGGTCTTGCGGATCCCCTCAGCGGTAGAGATCCAAGTGTTCAAGTTGGTAACTTGTTGGAGGAGAGTGCCATTTGCGGTGTTAATTGCAACAATGTTCAGGCCAATCACCGCCACCTTATGTCCATCATGATCCACCGCAAGACAAGGATGACGGCAGTCAGCTGCTGAGGGGGATGACCAAGGCGGCAAGCAAGGGGCAACTCAGGGCATAGAGTACAGTGTAGGTTACATCTTAGGTTAGCTGTTTGGTCAGCCGTTTGGTTATGTGCTAGGTTAGTCTTTTGGTTATGTGCTTGGTTAAGTGCTAGGTGGGACGTTTGGTTAGTCACTGAGTTAGGTGCTAGGCAAGGCACGAGATACAGTCACCATGAAAGATGAGACATGGCAACACAACACAAAGAGAGGAATGTGAATGTAATGTAGCTACGATAATTACTGTCACGAGTGAAAGTCGTCGTCGAAGTAATCGACGTCCTTGTAGAGCGAGAGCATCCTGCGGCTGCCGGCGAGTAAGGCCTTGACGTCGATAAGGTGGGAGGCCCTGGTGGTGAGGAGGTGGGAGCGGATGCGGAGGACGTCCATGCGGTAGAGGAGTACGCCGAGGATGTAGACCGTGGCGATGAGCCAGAGTGCTATGAGGCAGAAGAGGAAGGGGGCACGGATGCGATAGAGGAACTGGTCACACTGGTCGAACAGTTCCGTGAAGTGGTCGGAGTGTAGGACTTGGCTGAGCTGCTTGGCGAGGGTGGAACAATTCTTGTTCTGCGATATCAGCGCCGGTGCGTCCCCAAAGGTGAAGCCGTGACTGTACAAGGTCGGCATCACGCCGTTGCAGCCGACGATGGAGCGGCATCGGCAGCTGTGCCCCGGCGACTGGGGACTGGGGAGGCCGTGGCTGCCCGGGTCACAAGGGTCCTCGTGAAGGCAATCACCGCAGCCCCAGTCGCGGCAGGAGATCTGCTGGAAAGCGGCGAATAGACACTGCAATAAATCATACAGTGTCCACGGGAGGTAGACGGCCCATGAGAGGTAGAGGTCGGCGTGTCGGTGAGGTAAGCAATGATACGCATCGCTGCACAGGGCTGATAGGAAGGGAGCGCAGTTGATGCTGGCGTCGTTGGAAAGCGTGCAGCAGTCTGCCATCGACAGGCTGGACAGGTCGGCATTTGTAGAAGTGGAATGCTGAATGCCATGACCGCTCCGACCGTTGCCGTAAGCATCACGCAGAGCATCTGTGAGCTTGCCGGGCTCGCGGTAGAGTGTCATGGACTGGCCGGTGATGGAGGCTGTGAACGCAGATTGAAAGGCGTCGATGGCTGACGGCAGAGCACTGTGTTGCCAACCACCAACGAGAGACGAGGCAAAGGAAATGTGCTCAGCCAGCGTAGCCGGCGGTCTGGGACAGAGGCTGAGCAGCGATTTGATATGGACGTTGCCGAACCATTTGGTCAGCACTTTGCACAGCTCCTTGCCTGTCCTCGTACTTCCAGAGAAACCCCGGAAGCCGAGGGGAGTGAGACAGGGCATTCCACTTGGTGCACTGGGACAGGTGTTACACCGAGGCTCGCAGCCAACAGAGACCAACTGGTGAGGCAGGTGGCCGGGCAGGCAGTCGTTGAGGTATGATTGCAGAGGGGATTTATCGGTGCACTCCGGGTGAGGGTTGGGCAGGGCGGTGAGTGGAGGATTGCACTGCCACGTGTATGGTGGAACGCCCTTGCCGTACTGGCACTCCGCCCAGCCGCCATGGTGAGCGGGGAGTGAGCATTGAGAGAACAGAAATCTGAGCACGACAAGCAATCGACAGAGGATATGCAGCATCATGTGCAGGCAATCGCCGCCGTCCTGCGGGTAATACAGTTTCAGTGCGTTGCTATAGAAGTCACAGGCGTACGTTGTCGATGCACTGCCGTAGCCGAGCACCCTGGTGAGCAGGGCGGGGGAGTGGGACGTGACATCGTGAAGTGCGGCGGCCAGATTTGTGGCGGTGACTGCGTTGGGCTGCGCGTCCATGTACCATTTGGTGTCTGTGGAATTATCGTCGGCGTTGCTTAGCACGGATTTAACCTGCTGCTTAAGGCGATCGTAGACCCTATTGTGCGGGAGGCCTGTCAGCCAGCAGAGCATCTGGTAGATGTTACACGGCGTCCTAGGCGACGGTGGAACTATGAGATGACACGTCTCATAGTATTCATTTAGGTGACAACAAAGGCACGCAAGGAGATCGAAGAGATTATAATTATTCTGGCCAGTTTGTTTAATTGCGGAGCATTTTTTGAGGTGTTCGCCGTCAGCGTCCTGAACCATCTCAGTGAGAATTCCATGGATATGCTTACCTTTCATACTCTCGGAGTTCTGCAGCTCCGCGTCGTTTTGGCCTTCGTCGGTGGACACTTTGAATCCGCGGCTGGCAAAGAAATCTCCGAGTTTATTGCCTATATGAATTTTGTGATGCCACCAATTTTGCTTCCTCCCTGCCAGGCCGTCGTTGAGCTTTGTGATCCCAGAGCATACAGTGGGCAAAATCGTCAACAGTATCTTCGCGCATTTTTCGCCGTCCGCCGTCACCCTGCTGTTCCGCGCGTCGACTAGCACGCGGCCCTCAAACGCCCCGTCGTATGTGGAGATGTACACCGTTCTCAGTTCCTCGACAAAAGAGTCCGCTGCCTCCGCCACGCCGTCGAGTATCGGAGTTGTGACTTTGGCGAATTTCTCCGGTCGCAGGGCTCCGACTGCCTTGGCGAGTTTATCGAGCATTTCGGGAAGTCTGCGGTCGAAACGTTTCTCCCTGCCGATGTGTTCCAGCAACTCCTCGAGTGCCTGGGTGACGCCGTAAAGCCTCTCGGCGTAGTGATCCTCTGCCGGGGGCAGTGAGGGATTCTTCTTTTTACTCTCCTCGCTGTGCACCCTCCTGATCTCTGTGCTGATGTATCCCGAGAGCGCCAGGTGGAACCGCTTGAAGCCTGTGGACAGGGCGTCGAGTTGCAGAGCACCCTTCTGAGGAAGGATGTGAGACTCGAAGCGTTGCTGAAAATCATGCACAAACCCTTTATACCCCATCTGCAGATCCCCGTTTATTAACGGAGGCAACTCCCGCAGCTCCTCTTCCACCTTGAGGGCGAAGGCCTTCAGCGGTTCCTTGATGTTGGCGGCGCACTGCTGCCTGGCGAAGGCTGTTAGGTCCTCGATTGCGGTGTCCACTTGGCCGTCGACGAACGCTGTGAGGAACGCAATGCACTCCCTTCCGAACTTGTCGGCGTCCTTGTTAATGAACTCCTTGCAGGCCTGCATTGGCCCACTCACCAGACGGATCTGCAGTCTGTGCAAATCATTCTTTATTCCAGTCAACTCATATTCCAGCCTGTCTTTTTTCACATGTTCCAAGTCCCTTTTTGCCTCCCTCGCTAAGGTACGAATTTCTGTGCACAGCTCCTTGAGTTTGTCCTTCACGTCTTTAACGTTATCTTCTTTTATGGTCTCGATGTCCGTGGTGATTTTAGTGAGGCCTTTTGCAGAGTTACTGTCAATATTCCAACTTGCTACATTGCCAAGGCCGTCACTTTTTAACTTAGTTAGCTTTTCGGTGACCTCAGTGTTCAACTGCGTCTGAAGCCTTTTAAGCTCATTGGTGATCAGGGTGACGCCACCGCCGATTGCAGTGGGCTGAGTGGACAACGTAGTTTGTTGAGTGTTAAGTTCACCATTTATTTTTGCGAGGCCTTTTTCATTGTGTTCTTTTTTCCAGTCACCGCCGCCAAGTCCAGTGTCCCTCAGATCCTCCAGTGACTTTATGACATCCTTGTCCTTGGTGCCTTGCAACTCACCTTGAAGGGCAGTGAGTTCTTGTTTAATAAGGTCGTTGGCGTCATTGATTTCTCTGGGTTTATTAGTAAAATCGTTGCTTTGCAGTTGTCTAATTGCCTCCTGAATGCTTTTAAGGTTGACAGTGTAATTTCTTCCATATTTACCCTTATATGTACCAAGATGCTTTGCTAACCTTGTCATCTGATCCACAACGTCATCATAGGTCACAAATGAATTTAACCGAAATCCTATCCTTATAATCTCAGCGCCTATTGCGTTTACGGCCTCGGTGATTTTTTTTGTTTCCTGCGGCAACTTTACAATTTCAGTATTAAGCTCACTCTCGATTTTCCCAAGACCACTGAGAGGTTGACCGTTCGGTGTCCAGGTATTCTTACCAAGACCTGCAGTATTTAAATTACTCAAAGCGTTGATGACATCATTCTTCTCATCAGGTTTTTCATTCTTCAACTTGCTCCTAAGCTCTCCAAGCTCCGCCTTAATTTGCTCGACGGCTTTGCCAATTGCAGCGGGTTGACTTTCGATGTCGTTAAGTGTAAATTGCCTCGAGGCCTTTGACTTTTAGACCACTTTGGCAAGCTGAGTGCAGGTCGACGCCATTTGTGGGACGCAAAAAGGGCGTGGCAGGTGGGATGATGAAGGCTGTTAGGGAGTGACGGCAAGGCGACAAAGGGAGAAGGGAGATGACAAAGCAGCGAGTAGGTTACGTCATAGGTCAAGTGCTAGGTAAGGCATTTGGTTAGGTGCTAGGTCAGCCACTTGGTCAGGCAGTGAGTTGGGTGCTAGGTAAGGCACGAGATACAGTCACCATGAGAGACGTGACATGACATGGCAACACACACAGGAGTGTAAACGTAAATGTAGCTACGATAATTACTGTCACGAGTGAAAGTCATCGTCGAAGTAGTCGACGTCCTTGTAGAGTGAGAGCATCTTGCGGCTTCCGGCGAGCAGCGCCTTGACGTCGATGAGGTGGGAGGCCCTGGTGGTGAGAAGGTGCGAGCGGAGGCGCAGGACGTCCATGCGGTAGAGGAGTGAGTGGAGAATGTAGAGCGTGGCGATGAGCCATAGCGCTGTGATGGCGAAGAGGAAGGGGGCGCGGATGCGGTAGAGGAAAAGGTCGCACTGGTAGAAGAGATGTGTGAAGTGGTCGGAGTGTAGGACTTGGCTGAGCTGGGTGCGGAAATTACGGCAATATTTTCTGTTATTGCCGTGCAAGGCTCTCGTGTTTCCAAACGTAAATCCGTATGCGTGAAACGTCGGCAGGACGCCGTGACAGCTCACCAGTGCCTTGCACTTGCAGTTGACGTCGACGCCATGTTGACCCGGCTTGCAGGGACATGTCGAGCACCCGGAGCCCGCGCAGTCAATGTCTTGAAAGGCGTTGAGCAATTGCTGGAGCAGCTCCCAGAATTGCCATGCGGTGTATATGACCCACGACAAATATACCTCCGCGTGCTTCTCAGCGAAGGTGTGGTAGGCGTGGAAGGAGAGCGGTTGGAGGTAGGGGGCGCAGGTCAGTGAGTCGGCGCACCGCGACCGGACGGTGAGACTCGACAGGTCCGAGTGGGTGGCCTGTAAGGTGTTAGTGGCAGCGTCCGTTGGGGATGCGCCACTGTGGTCGTCGGGGGAGTGGTGTAGCCTGGTGAGGGCGTCGGTCAGCTGCGCCGCCTCGGTGGTGGGACAGAGGTACAGAGAGACGCTGGGGATTGCCGCAGTGCTCAGGTGACCAGTGAAGTGGACGTTGTCAACGTACTCAGCGGACTGCCGGCACCGGAACACGTTGCAGTAGAACGCAAACATGTCACCGAGACTTTGAGGCGGCGAGGGGTCAATTGACGACAGGCAACGTAATAGTGTTGGCAGGGGCGACTCGGCACCACTGCACAGGGCGGTGAGCACGGCGCATATTCGCTCACCACTGCCGACAATAGACGCCGCCTCTGTCAGGTCCCAGAAGCCCATGGGCGTGACACAGGGCATGCCGGGGGATGCGATAGAACACGTGTCGCACTGCGAGTCACAACCGACGGAGGCCAACTTATGCGGTAGGAAGCCCGCCAGATGGTCCATCAAATGGGCCTGTAGCGGGGATTTTGGTTGGCACGTTGACTGGCACATAGGTTGGCCATTTGGTCGGCACGTTGGTCGGCCATTTGGTTCACACATTAAGTGCTTGTTACATTGCCAGCTGGCGGCGGGGACGCTTCTGCCGTACTGGCAGTCGCGCCAGCCGTGGCCCGTGGAGGCATCATATTTGCATCGTGCGCGCAAAAAGTTGAGTGCAAGTAGCAAACATTTACATAAATGAGTCAGCATATGTAACAAATCGGCGAGGTCTGAGGGGTAGTGGAGGCCGCGTGAGTTGTCCCAGAAGTTGCAGGCGTAGGGGTAGTCGGCGTGGTCGAAGCCTCTGCCGTTACCGCAAATGGTGGTGAGCAGGGCGCTGCAGCGGTGCGTGACAAGGCTGAGTGCGCCTGGGATGGATCCCAAGCAATGCTTGACCACTGCATCACCCTCGCCCCTGAACAGGACGTTGCAATGCGCCTGAACGCGCTCATAGAGCACGGAGTAAGGAAGCCCTGCGAACCACGCGAGAATGTCCCTGACAGTACCGGGGTACCGCGGCTGAGACGGAACACGCAAGTGACAGAGACGCAGGTAACACTTGAGGTATTCGTGGAGTTCGTCGAGAGGCTCCATGATATTATCGGTGAGCTCTCTAATCTTCTGGCCGCTGCAGTCACTGTCGTTCCTGAGCTCGCCGTCCGGAACGCCCGCCGAGGTGACCCGGTAGCCGCGTTGCTGGAGGAACACGCCGAGGCCGCAGCCGACGTTAATGTTGTAATGTGCCCACCCATCTGCGCAGCCCATTCTGAGCTTATTGACGGCGCGGAACAGCGTGTCGGCGATGGTCAGCAGAACGAAGGCGCATTTGGAGGCCTCCGGGGTGTGCGTCTTTTTCGCCGCGTCGACTAGCACGCGGCCCTCAAACGCCCCGTCGTATGTGGAGATGTACACCGTTCTCAGTTCCGCGACAAGCGCGGCGAGGCCTGAGCCTACGCCGTCTAGAATTGCGGTGCTCGTGTGCGCGAAGGCTTCCGGTCTGAGCTGGGACACCGCTGACTCCAGCGCGTCGAGCAGTCCGGGCACCCTGTAGTCGTACCGCTGCTGCTGAGTCAAGTGGCTGAGTAAATCACTCAGTGCTGTGTGAACATCGTTAAGTTTATCAGCGTAGTGATCTCGGGATTTGGGCAGCGAGGGATTTTTCTGAGCATTTTCTTTTTCGTTAACCCTCCTGATCTCTGCGTCGATATACAACTGCACTCTCCCGAAGAAGACGCCAAAGCGATACGATAAATCACGGACGCTGGTGGCATCTTTAAGCAAATCTATGTTTCTACTGTCCTTCCCTTCAACCTGTATCATGAACCCTTTGTACCCTATTTGGAGATCCCCGTTTATTAACGGAGGCAAGGGACTTAATTCCTCTTCCACCTTCCGGGCGAAGGCCTCCAGCGCCTCCTTGATGTTGGAGACATACTGCCGGCGTGCCTCCCCGATCAACGTCTCTTCGGCTGCCTTGACCTCCTTGTTGACGAAAGCGTGGAGGTCACGGATTATTCGCGCCTTTCCGTTGTCGAGGAATCTTAAAAGGGCTTTGAGGTCTTTTATGGCAGTATGCGCCGGGCCGCTTAGCAGTTGGCGCAGATTATTTTTAATTCCAGTCAACTCGCCGATCAGATTATCCTTCACTTCTTTTAAAATGTCTCTGAGATCTCTTGCGTTATGCTTAATAGCGCTGCACAGGGCGATAAGATAATGCTTAACATTGTCGACGTCCTTGGACTTTATGGTCTCGATGTCCGTGGTGATTTGAGTGAGGCCTTTGGCGGAATGTTTGTCAATTGTCCATGCTTCTTTACCGTCAGTAAGGCCATGGTCTCTCAGCTTCTTGAGCTTTTCGGTGACATCAGTATTCAACTGCGTCTGAAGTTTTGTAAGCTCCCCGGTGATCTGTGAGACGCCAGTCTGGATATTTTGGGGTTGAGTGGACAACGTAGTTTGTTGACCTTTAAGGTCACTTTCGATGCTTTTAAGGCCTTTTTTATCTTGACCATTAACATTCCACACCTTATCTCCACTTAGTCCATTGCCCTTCAAATCGTTCAGTGTCTCAATGACATCACTGCCCTTGGTGCCTTGCAACACTTTTTGGATGGCAGTAAGTTCTTGTTTAATAAGATCTTTGGCCTGTTCGATTTCAGTGGGATGCTGTTTAAACGGCTGTTCTTGAAGGTTTTTAATTTCATTATGAATTTTCTGAAGATTTCCTGGCTCCGGGGCATTTTTGCCAATCCTTCGTTTAAATCGCTGCAACGGATTTAGGATGTCATCATTGTTTCCAACATTTCGCAATTTGACTCCAATCACTGCAAGTTGATACTTAATATGTTTTAAAGCCTCTTCGATTTCTTTAGTCTGCGCGGGCAATACCTTATTCTGATATGTGAGTTCATACTGGATTTTCCCAAGACCACTGAGAGGTTTACCGTTCGGTGTCCATTGTGTACCATTCTTGCCGTCGATACCAGCAGTGTTTAAATCTTTTAATGTCTCAATTACATCACTACCCTTATCTTTCTTCAACTTCTCTCTAAGGCCTTTAAGCTGCAACTTAATTTGGGTGACGGCTAAGTCGATTGCAGCGGGTTGGTTAGTAAACTGATTATCATGCAGCTTTTGAATCGCATCTCTGATTGCTTCCAAACCTTTCTCAGCTCCCTCCAGCTTTCCTGAATCAAGCGCGCTTTTAAGCTTTTCCAACAAATCTCTTACACCATCAGCGTCCTTGCCCGGTGGCTGCGCATCCTTATTCTCAACCAATTTCTTGATCTCGTCAAGCTGTGTCTTAATATCGGTGAACGGACCGGTGAAGGTATCTGTAGTAATTTCTGCTTTGCCGTTCCTTGGACTTGGCTCTATCATATTAAGCTTTTCAAAAACCTCAGTCTTGATGTTCCCGATCGCCTGTGGAAGGGAGCCTTCGTTTTTTCCTTGTTCGCCGGTTAGAGTATCATTGACAGGTTGTGTAACGTGTTTCTCATAATGCGGAAAATTTCCTTTCTCAAGTTTAACTTTTTGATCACCACCTTGACCACCAGTCGGCGGATCATCCGGACCAATGTGGTCATCAACTTGCTTATCAAGTCTGTTTTTGAGGTTACTTCTTATCTTCCGTGGGCTTCTTCGAAATCTTTCATGAGATCAGGACCAAGCGTTATATCACCGTCCTCACTAATCTTCCCAGCCGCCTGCTTAATAGCCTTCTGGGCCGCATTCCTGATCTGCGCTTGAGCTTCAGTGTCGAACTTGTTAACGGCGGTGGGAAGTTTTTGAACTTTCTGTTGAAGTCCATGTATTACATTACTTTTAAACTTGCTGGTAATGTTATCATCACCATTCTTTCCATTCACAAAAGTGTTCACGTCCGCCAACTTCTTGTCCACGGCTTGGGCTGTGCCATCTGCGGGATCGGGTGGTTTGCCAGTTTTAGTCGCCTCGGTAAGATTATTGTAAAGCTCATCAACCGTCGGCTTGATTTTGTCCAAAATTTCGCCGAATCTGCCGGTACCTAATGACTTTATCTCCGTGGCCACCTGCTTCACACCGCCGCAGAGCGCAACGAGGCTGTATTTGACGGCTGACCGGAGAGCCTGGTCGTCAGCAAAATTCCGAACATTCTGCCCATTCATCCAACCCTTAATGCTTGGGACTATCTTATTGGCAAGGTGATCAATTTTGTCATTCGTCAGTTCGGCGTCAAGCTTGTCGACAAATGTGTTACAAGCGCTTACGATGGCAGTGAGATTGTCGACAACTTTCCCATCTACAACTTTTGCAATCTGCTTCTGCGCTTCCGCGATTTGGCTGTTAAGTTGAGGCATAATGTTGTTCTTCACTTGAACTTTAAGATCTCCTTCATTCCTCCCAACGGCACTAAGATTGCGATTATACGTACCAATCCAAGTCGTCACGGCTTTCATGCCCTTACCTTGGTTATTTCTACCCATACCCAAAATGCCCTCAAGCCATCCGCCTACTCTAGCATCAAACCCGGAATTGCTACCACTACCTTTAACGAACGCGTTAGCAAGCGCCTTCACTTTCGCAACAATTCCATCCAGACCTTTTTGGTCTCTTTCACTCCCCTTAATTTCCCCAACCTTTTCTTTTATATGCTTGAAAATCTGTTCAATACTATCCAACTTGCCACCATTAGGAAACTTCCCGCCAAGCGCCTCAATCGCCGAGTCAACTTCACTGACCGCAGTTTGAAGCTTACTCTGGATGTGCGTCTTAAAATGCCGTTCAAGATTGTTAGTCTCCTGTTCTATTTTGCCATCCTTACCAGCAAGTGCATCAAGTTTTGTTTTTTGTTCTTTAAGGTTAGACAATGCACCGCTAACAAGAATGTTTTTAATAGGCTCAGTATCTATACCATCTTTAAGCTTTCCAATATTCTCCCTCAACGTCCCCAAATCCTTCATCACTTTCTTATCCAATTCATTAACTTCCAACGTCTTTATCACACCGTCTATCCCTCCTTTAATCTTATCCTTAACACTCTTCAAATCCATCTTAAGGCTTTGGTCCATCCTCACAACAGCCTCCAACGCAGAGTTTACATTATCCTCAACAGACTTTTTAGCCTTAGTCGCCGCATCCAAAAGTTTTATTCCTGTTGCTTTTAATGTTTCAGCTTGCGTATAAATCGGACCTGGAGAACCTTTATCTGTCTTAACTTTCCCCAATATCTCCTCACACTTCTCTTCCGCCTTGGCAATGACACCCTGGGCGGCAGACTTCCACTTACCTATATTGTCAACTTCCTTTCCAAGCTCTGAATTTGCCTTCTCAATTTGCTTTCTAGCGCTATCAATTTCACCAATTTTTGTCATTACAGTCTGATCATCTTGCAACTTGTTATATACTTCTTCCGCATTTCCAATCGCCCCTTGAAGCACTTTCCCGGCCTGAGTCTTCCACGCTCCCAAATTGCCGTGGACACCATTCAGCTTCTCATGTACCCCTTTAATTACCTTATTGGCGTCAACAATCTTCTTAACATTCTCATCCAGAGTCTCATTAACGTCCAACTTCTCATACGCCTCCTTGGCCTTGTCCTCGGCAGCCTGACGGATGTCCTCCGCCGAGGTGATCCAGGTACCTAGCTTGGTAACTTGTTGGAGAAGAATGTTATTAGGGGTGTCAATTGCACCAATGTGATAGCAAATCACTGCCCCCTTAGGTCCACCATGATCCACCGCGAGACCTGGAACGACGGCAGTCGGCTGCTGAGGTGGATGGTCAAGGCGGCAAGCAAGGGGCGACTCAGGGCAGGAAGTACATTGTAGGTAATGTAGTGGGCTACGTAATAGGTGAACCTTTTGGTCATGTGCTAGGTGAGCAGTTTGGTTAGGCGATGAGTTAGGTGCTAGGCAAGGCACGAGGCACAGTGACGATGAGAGATGTGATGAGACACGGCAACACAAAGAGAGGGATGTAAATGTAATGTAGCTACGATAATTACTGTCATGAGTGAAAGTCGTCGTCGAAGTAATCGACGTCCTTGTAGAGCGAGAGCATCCTGCGGCTGCCGGCGAGCAAAGCCTTGACGTCGATGAGGTGTGAGGCCCTGGTGGTGAGGAGGTGTGAGCGGATGCGTAAGACGTCCATGCGGTAGAGGAGTGAGTGGAGGATGTAGAGCGTGGCGGTGAGCCAGAGTGTGAGTGCAGTGTAGAGGAAGGGGGCACGGATGCGATAGAGGAACTCGGGGATGGTGTCGTGGGCCAGCCTGTGGAGAGGGTTCATCTGCTTGACAGCGACTTGGAGGGCCATGCAGAAATCGTCGCAGGTCCGCTTGGACTGGTGGCCGCTGGTGGATCCGGCGAGGCTGTGGACGTCTTTGAGCACGAAGCCGTACTGGAAGAGTGTGGGCGTGGTGGAGTCGCAGTCCACGATGGAGGGGCAGTCGGCAGTGTGATTGGAGCTCGGGGCCAGTGGCCGTCGCTTGGCTGTGCAGTCATTGTCGCAGCTCCTGGCGTGGCAGTTGGATGTGGCGTCGGCGCAGTTCCGCTCGCAGTCCTGGAGCAGTGCACAGAGGAAGTCGTAGAAAGTCTCCGTCAGGTACACTATCCACGAGAGGTAGAGGTGGGCGTGTTCCCTGGCGAAGGTGGCGCGTACGTCGTGGCCGAGGGGCTTGAGGTATGGGCCGCAGGGGAGTGACGGAGCGGAGCCTGGACTGCCGTTGCACTCGACGAGTGAGAAGAGATCTCCGGTGAGGTGAGGGATGTTGGTGACGGAGCCATGGTCACTGGTGCCGAAGATTGTACTGACGTCCAGTGTGACGCCCCGCTGCCAGAAGCACGCGTCGCCGACGGCGTCATCGAAGGCCTCCCTCCGGTGCTCGCCGCTGCCGCTCCACTCACATATGAAGTTGTAGTAAAAGGCGAACAGCTCGTCTGGCGTCCGTGGCGGGCGGGTGAAGAGGCATTCCAGGTAGCTGCACAGCCTGGTGAGGGGGGATGACTTGCCGCCGCAGAAGGCGCCGAGGACGTCCATGATGTGTCGGCCTGAGAGCGCACGGGAGGCCAGCCTGGTAATATTGGTGAGGCCCATCGGCGTCTTGCACGGCAGGCCGGGTGACTTGGTGTCACAGCCGGAGCACGTGACACAGGTGCCATCTGCCGACACGTCATGCGGCAGGAAGCCCACAAGGCCGTCCTCGAGGAATGATTGAAGTGGCGATTTCACACCGCACTTAGGGTGTTGGTCGCAGTTTTGGTTACATGTTTGGTTGTGTGTTTGCTCGCCTGTTTGGCTGGCCTCATGAGGACACTGCTGGTTGGCACACTGCATGGTGTTGCACTTCCAACTGGAGCCACCGACGTCCCGGCCGTACCAGCAGTCGAGCCATCCGCCGTGCCGGGCGTTGTAGAGGCACCGGCGGTAGAGGAAATAGAGCTGGTGGTGGAGGCGTCTGAGGACGTCGAAGAGCAGGCAGAGCAAAGCGTCGGCGTCGCAGGGATACAGCAGGCCTGCCGGGTTGGTGTTGAAGTCGACGGCGTATATGCCTCCGGCATAACCGTAGCCGAGCAACGTGGTGAGCACTGAATGCGACGTGTGGCAGACGTCCGTGAGTGCGTCGGTGAGGGAAGTGAGAGTGATGTGCTGCGGGTGGGCCTTAAGCGCCAGGCTGCTGAGGTCAGTGAGGGCCACTTCGGAGTCCCTGGAGCTTTGCTCGTCCGCCTCGAACAGCGACGGCAGTGCTTCATGGGTGACGCCCAGGTACACTGAATTGTACGGGAGCCCGCAGCACCATGTCAGCATCTCGTAGACACTGCACGGCGGCCGGGGTGAGGGATGCACCTTGAGGTGGCACGTCCTGTAGTACTGCTGGAGGTGCGTGCAGAGGCATTTGAGGAGCTCTAAGAGATTACAGCCGTGTTGGAGGGAGAGGCATTTTTTGAGGTGTGCGTTGTCCTCTGTCTCCTCAATCTTCTGGCTGACCAGGACATACACGTCGTGGCCGTTGCAGTCGTCGCGCAGCTCGCCGTCCTGCAGGGTGGCGGAGGTGGAGACCTTGTAGCCGCAGCGTTGGAGGAAAGCGCCGAGTTTACTGCTTGAATCAATCTGCAAATCCCTCCACCTGCCGTCTTTGCCGCACTGCTCCGCCAGCCTGGTGAAGGCGTCGCAGAGTGTGGGCACCATGGTGAGAAAGACTTTCGCGCACATGGCACCGTATGGCGTCAGCTTGGTAACGTTTTTGGCGGTGACGGACTTTGTGCCTTGGGATCTTACGGTCTCAGTTAAAGTCTCATTTTCTACCAAAGCAGCGGTGAACGTCTGCCCGGCGTAGGCGGAGACGTACGCACATGTGAACTCGGCGGCGAACTTTGTGAGCCCCTCCACCAGGCCGTCCAGCAGGGGAGTTGAGGGCCTGGCGAAGCTCTCCGGCTTGAGGTGACTCAGCGCGTCGGTGAGGCTGCGGAGCAGCGCTAGGAGTCTGTGGTCGAAGATATCGTTGTCCTTGAGGTACGTGAGCACTGTGTGGAACGCCTCGTTTACCACGGAGAGCCTAGTGGAATACTCCTGTGTGTCCTGCCGCTTAAGATTTTTCTTCCTCTGCTCCTCGTCGTGGAACCGATTTATCTCCCTGTCCACGTGGTCCTCGAGTGACGAGTAGAAACGCATGAAAGCGGAGGACAGCGGTGGGAGGCTTTTTGACTCCTTGAGTTTCTGTACGTTGAGGTCATTTTCCAAGCCGTCCTCCACTCGGGCCATCAGGCCCTTGTACTCCAGTCTCAGGTCACTGTCGATCTCCCACGGTAACTCCCGCAGCTCCTCTTCCACCTTCCGGGCGAACGCCTCCAGCGCCTCCTTGATGTTGGAGACACATTGCCGGCGTACCTCTTTGATCAATATCTCTTCGGCTTCCTTGATTTCCTTGTCGACGAATTGTGTGAGGTATTTGATGAGTTGCGCCTTGCCGTTGTCGAGGAATTTTAGAAAGCCTTTAAGCTCTCTTATCACACCCCTCACCTGCTCGCTCAGCAGATCACTAAATTTGTCTTTTATTTTCGTAAGCTCATTAAGGCTCTTCTCTTTCACTTCCTTCAAGGTGAACGCGGCGTCCTTTGCAATGTGCCGAATTTCTGTGCACAGCTCCTTGAGTTTCTCCTTCACTTGGTCGACGTCCTTGGACTTTATGGCCTCGATGTCTGCGGTGATTGTAGTGAGGCCTTTTGCAGAATGTTCGTCAATATCCCAATTTTGTTTGCTGCCAAGGCCATCAGTTTTTAATGTATTTAATTTGTTAATAACCTCTTTTTGCAAGACCTCATTTCTAAGCCTTGTAAGCTCACCGGTGATGTCTTGGACGCCGGCAGTGATTTGAGGCGGTTGGTCATTCAACGTTTTTTGTTGACGTCCAAGTTCATCTTCGATATTTTTAAGGCTTTTATTTTTTCCAGCTGCATTTTTATCCCACTTATCACCACTTAGTCCAACGCCCTTCAAATCGTTCAGTGTTGCAATAACATCGTTGCCCTTGGCGTCTTGCAACTCCGTCTGAAGCCTATTGAGTTCATTTACAATTTGTTGCTTGGCGTTTTCGATGGTTGTGGGATTATCTGTAAATTGCTCTTTTTGCAACTGCTTTATTTTATCGTAAATGTCATGGAGATTATCTTTGGCCTTTATTCCACTTTTGCCGATCTTGTTCCCCAACCATACTAATTTGTCTATTACATCGTTAGTAGTGAATAAACCTTGCAAACTAAAACCAATTTTACCAAGTTCCCAGTTAATGTCAATGATTGCATTTTTTATTTTTTCAGTTTCCGGCTTCAACTTTTGAATTTCTGTGCTGAGGTCACTCTCGATTTTCCCAAGACCACTGAAAGATTGACCTTTACCATTCGGTTCCCAAGAATTTTTTTCGAGACCCTTGGTCTGCAACTCTTCCAGAGTTTTCATTACATCCTCGCCATTTTCATTCTTCAACTTCCCTCTAAGCTCATTAAGCTGAGTCCTAATTTCTTGGACGGCTTTCTCGATTGCTTCGGGTTGGTCTTTAAACTTGCCGTTGTGCAGACCTTCAATCGCCGTTTTAGTTGCGTCAAGGCCTTGTTTATCTACGCCATTAAATCCTGTCTGCTCAAGAGCGTTTTTCAATTTTGTCAAGTGATCCTTGATGCCATCTTCATCTTTTGGTTGTGGTTGGGGCAGCGACGGCGCCTTGCCCCGACTCCTATCAACAAGCCAGGCGATTTCATCAAGATCCTTACTTATTGCTTTGACTGGATTTTCGAAGGTTGTATTGTCAATTTTCTGATCGCCCTGAACTTTATCATCGATGACATCAGTGAGACTTTTCAGACCCTCCTTGCTAATGCTCTTGATCTTCTCGGGAAGTTGGCCTTTTAGGGTATCTGGATTATTGGTCTCATAGCCCTTGATGCTATCTTGCTCAACGTGCGAATTGTAATCCTTAAAATTATCTTTAGTAATGGTGATTTTATCTGGTTGAACAACTGTGCCAGTCGATCCAACCGGCTTATCATCCGGCAACTCAGCGTCCACTTTGCCTTTGAGGTTCTTTTCGAGATTCTCTTGAATATTATCGTGCGCGGTTTTGAATCCTTCCATGAGTTTATTTGCACCACCAAGCTCAATTGGACCACTCGATTTATCACTAATCTGCCCAGCCGCCGCTGTAATCGCCGTCTGGGCTGCAGCCTTGACCTGTGTTTGAGCTTCAGTGTTGAAAGCGGTGACAGCATCGGGAAGTCTGTCTACTTGAGCCTTAAGTGGCCCTTTGACCTCTTTGTTAAACTTGCTCGTAATATTTTCATCACCAGTTTTTCCATTCACGAAATTCCTCACCACCGCCAACTTACTGTCCACGGCTTGGGCGGGGCTTTCTCCGCCGGAGTTTTTTGTCGCATCGCCAAGCGCCGTGTCAAGTTTGTTAGCGGTCTGCGTGATAGTGTCCAGGATGGATGCGATGTTGGCACCGTCGGGACTAAGGAACACTGAATTGAGTTCGTTGCCAACCTGACGGGCCACGGCGGCGAGTGTGCAGAGCACGGCAGCGAGGAAAGCCTTTTCCTTACAATCGGTTCCGTGGCTGTTCCGTCCGCCGTTACATGTTGTACAGCCTACGCTTTCGCAGATGCATTTGTTGGCGTTGAATTTGTTATTCTGCATCTTCCGCTTGACCGCGTCGAATATTCCACTGAACCCATTACTGCGCAGCTTCTCATCAAGCGCTTCGGCGAATGTTTCGCAACCTTGTTTCACAGCTTTAATGCTTTTTGCAATATCTCCACCAGAGTCATTTGTTTTTTGAACCTTTTCACCAGCCGCATCTGCTTGGATCTTAAGCTGTTCCTTAAAAGCATTTGCGACGTTCTCCATGTTACTCTTCTCACCATCATCATACAAACCTTTCCTACCAACCATCATCCTCACAGCGCCGTTATGCTTCAAAACATCTTCCAACCAGCCTTTCACAATTTGGTTAAACGCCCAATTTCCGCTGAACGCTTTAAAATAAAAATCCACCTTACTCTTTATCCCAAGCAGGCCTGAGCCATTTTTGTTCTCCCAATCTGTCCCCGGCGTCCCCTTAATTTTCCCAACCTGTCCTTTAATATGATCGAAAATCTTATCAAAAGTCTTCAGTGTACCGTTGCTATCAAACGTCCCGCCAAGCGTCCCAATCGCCTCGTTAACTTCACGGACCTTCTGGCTGAGCGGATGTTGGATCGCACTATTAAACTTCTCACCAAGTCCCTCCGTCAGCTTCACGATGGACTTAGAAGGATCCTGGCCAGTAAGATCATCCAACTTATTTTTCTTCTCTTCTGCGAGCTTTGCCAACGCATCTTTAACGAGAGGATCACTGTTATCCCTTTGTATATTTTTGCCAAGATCACTAATCTTCCTCCTCAACGTCTTCAAATCATCTTTCACCTTTTTATCCAAATCATTAACTTTCAGCTCCTCAATAACTTTCTTTACCCCCTTCATAATTTCGTTTTTCACAGTCTTCAAATCCTTCTTTAGACTTTCGTCCATGGTGGCAACGGCCTGCAAGGCCTCAGAGACCTGAGACTCAACAGCTGTCTTGGCCGACTTAGCAGCATTAAAAAGTGTATTACCCTGCTCTTTCAACGTTTCAGCTTGCTCATAAATCGGACCTTTTTGACCACTTTTATCTGCGGTCTTAACTTTCTTAAGTATCTCATCACACTTCCCCTCCGCCTTGGTAATAACATTCTGGGCCGCAGCCCTCCACTTACCTAAAGCCGTAACTTCAGATTTAAGATCCTTATTTGCCTGTTTAATTGACTCATTATTTTTATGAATTTCACCAAGTTGTATACCAATTTGATGTGTACTGCTCTTATCTTCCAACCTATCATATACATACCGGGCATTGTCAATCGCCCCTTGAAGCACATCCTTGGCCTGCTGATTCCAACTATTCAAACTCCCAAGATGAGTGCCAAGGCTTTTATGAACTTTTTCAATCTCCCCCTTGGCTTTAACAATCTTCTTCACATTCTCATCCAGAGTCTCATTAACCTTCAACTTGTCATATGCTTCCCTAGCCTTATCCTCGGCGGCCGCACGGATCCTCTCCGCGTCGGTGATCCAGGTACCTAGCTTGGTAACTTGTTGGAGAAGAGTGTATTTAGCGGAGGTAATGGCACCAATGTGATCACAAATCACTGCCACCTCATGTACATCATGATACACCGACAGACCTGGGATGGAGGCAGCCGGCCGATGAGGCGGGTGACCAAGGCGGCAGGCAAGGGGCAAGGTAACACAGCAACGACGTTGCAGGGGAGACACTAGGCTAGTAGGTGAGTTAGGTGCTAGGTTACATCCTAGGTCAGCTGTTAGGTCAAGCAGTGAGTTGGGTGCTAGGCAAGACACGAGGTACAGTCACGATGAGAGACGTGACATGACACGGCAACACAAGGAATGTAAATGTAATGTAGCTGAGATAATTACTGTCACGAGTGGAAGTCGTCGTCGAAGTAGTCGACGTCCTTGTAGAGTGAGAGCATCCTGCGGCTTCGGGAGAGCAGGGCCTTGACGTCGAGTTGGTGGGAGGCCGTGGAGGTGAGGAGGTGGGAGCGGATGCTTAGGACGTCGATGCGGTAGAGGAGTGAGACGAGGATGTAGGCGAGGGCGGTGAGCCAAAGTGCGACGAGGGTGAAGAGGAAGGGGGCACGGATGCGATATAGGTACTCGGGGATGGTCTCGTGCGCCAGCCTGTGGAGAGGGTTCATCTGCTTGACGGCGACTTGCAGTGCTGTGCAGAGATCCTGGCAGGTCCGCTTGGCTGGGTGGCCGCTGGTGGAGCCGGCGAGGCTGTGGACGTCCCTGTGCACGAAGCCGTACCGAAAGAGTGTGGGCGTGGTACAGTCGCAGTCCGCGATGGAGAGGCAGTCGGCAGTGTGATTGGAGCTCGGGGCCATGGGAAGACGCTTGGCTGGGCAGTGGTCGGCGCAGCTGTTGGCGTGGCAGTTGGACGTGGCGTCGGCGCAGGTGCGCTCGCAGTCCTGGAGCAGTGCACAGAGGATGTCGTAAAAGGTCTCGGTCAGGTACACCACCCAGGAGAGGTAGAGGTGGGCGTGCTCCTTGGCGAAGGTGGCGCGTACGTCGTGGCCGAGTGGCTTGAGGTAGGGGCCGCAGGGGTGTGACGGAGCGGAGCCTGGAGTGCCGTTGCACTGTACGAGTGAGAAGAGATCTCCGGTGAGGTGCGGCATATTTGTGGCAGTGCCATGGTCGCTGGTGCGGAAGACTCTACTGACGTCCAGTGTCACGCCCCGCTGCCAGAAGCACGCAGTGCCGACGGCGCCCTCGAAGGCCGCCTTACGGTGCTCGCCGCTGGTATGCCACTCAGATATGAAGTTGAAGTAGAAGGCGAACAGGTCGTCTGGCGTCCGGGGCGGGCGAGTGAGGAGGCAATTCAGGAAGCCGCACAGCCTGGTGAGGGGCGACGATGCGCCGCCGCAGAAGGCGCCGAGGACGTCCATGATGTGTCGGCCTGTGGAGGCACGGGAGGCCAGCCTGGTAATGTTGGAGAGGCCCATGGGCGTCTTGCACGGCAGGCCGGGTGACTTGGTGTCACAGCCGGAGCATGAGACACAGGTGTCCTTGGGGGACAGGTTATGCGGCAGGAATCCCACCAGGCCGTCCTCGAGGAACGACTGGAGCGGCGACTTAAGGCCGCACTTAGGGTGTTGGTCACAGCGTTGGTTACATATTTGGTTGTGTGTTTGGTTGCACTGTTGGTCACATATTTGGTTGGCACACTGCATGGTGTTGCACCGCCACGATGAGCCTCCGACGCCCCGGCCGTACCAGCAGTCGAGCCATCCGCCGTGCCGGGCGTTGTAGAGGCACCGGCGGTAGAGGAGATACAGCTGTTGGTGGAGGCGTTTGAGCACATCGTACAGCAGGCAGAGCAAAGCGTCGGCGTCGCCGGGGTAGAGCAGGCCTGCCGGGTTGGTGTTGAAGTCGCAGGCGTATATGCCACCTGCGTGGCCGTGGCCGAGTAACGTGGTGAGCACTGAATGCGCTTTATGGCACACCTCCGTGAGTGCGTCCGTAAGCCCAGCGACAGTGATGTGCTGCGTGTGGGCCCTTAAGCGCAAGCTGCCGAGGTTCATCAAGGGCACGTCGGAGTCCGCAGGTCCTGCTCGTCCGCCTCGAAGAGCGATGGCAGCGCTTCGGAGTTGAGGCCAGGTACACGGCGTTGTGCGGGAGCCGCAGCACCATGTCAGCATCTCGTAGACACTACGGCGGCCGGGGTGAGGGATGCACCTTGAGGTGGCACGTCCTGTAGTACTCAGTGAGGTGCGTGCAGAGGCATTTGAGGAGCTGTAAGAGATTACAGGCGTGTGTGAGGGACAGGCATTTTTTGAGGTGTTCGTTGTCATGGGTCTCCTTAATGTTCTGGGTGACCAGGACATACACGTCGCGGCCGTTGCACTCGTCGCGCAGCTCGCCGTCCTGGTCAAAGGGAGAGGTGGAGACCTTGTAGCCGGAGCGCTGGAGGAAAGTGCCGAGTTCACTGCTTGAATTAATGCTCAGATCCCTCCACTTGCCGCCTTTGCCGCACTGCTCCGCCAGCCTGGTGAAGGCATCGCACAGTGTCGGCAGCAGGGTGAGGAAGACCTTGGCGCACATGGCGCCGTATGGCGTCAGGCTGCTGACGTTTCTGACGGTGACGGACTTTGTGCCTTGCGATCTTACGGTCTCGGTGAGGGTCTCATGTTTGAGCAAGTCGGCGGTGAACTGTGCGCCCGAGTAGGCGGAGACGTACGCACACGTGAACTCGGCGACGAACTTTGTGAGCCCCTCCGCCAGACCGTCCAGCAGGGGACTTGAGGGCCTGGCGAAGCTCTCAGGCTTGAGTTCACTCAACGCGTCGGTGAGGTTGCGGAGCAGCTCCGTGAGTCTGTGGTCGAAGCCCTGTGTCACGCAGAGGTAATTGAGCAGGGCGTTGACATCGCTGTGCACGGCGTCCCACTCGGCGGCGTAGGGCTCTTCTGACTTGGGGAGTGAGGGATTTTTCTCGTCGTCACTCTGCTTCTTTACCCTCTCAATCTCCTCACGGAGATGCTCGTCTAGCGGCGCGAAGAAATTCTGGAACGCGGAGGACAATGCTTGAAGCTCTCTGCTTTTCACGTCTTTGAGCCTATTAATGTTCACGCCTTTTTCGCCTTCCATATTATACACAAACCCTTTATACCTATCTGCAGATCCCCGTTTATTAACGGAGGCAAGGGATTCAATTCTTCTTCCACCTTGTGGGCGAACAACTTCAAAAGCTCCTTGATGTTGGAGGCACATTGCTGCCTGGCGAAGGCTGTTAGGTCCTCGATTGCGGTGTCCACTTGGCCGTTCACGAACGCTGTGAGGAACGCAATGCATTCCCTTCCGAACTTGTCGGCCTCCCTGTCAATGAACTCCTTGCAGGCCTTGATTGGCCCGCGTTCCAGACGGATTTGAAGCTTACGGAGATTCTCTTTTATCCCAGTCAACTCATCAAGGCTGTCACTTTTCATACGCTTTAAGTCTCTGCTTAACTCGTTGGCTTCCGTCCGTATCGCCGTGCACAGCTCCTTGAGTTTCTCCTTCACTTGGTCGACGTTCTCTGTTTTTATGGTCGCGATGTCTGCGGTGATTTTAGTGAGGCCTTTGTCTGGATTACCTTCATGTGTCCACGATTCTTTGCCTTCATTAAGGCCATGCTCTTTCAGCTTCTGTAACTTTTTAGTGACGTCAGTGTTCAAAGTTACTCTAAGCCTTTCAAGCTCACCGGTGATTGACTGGACGCCATCCTCTATGTTCTTCGGTTGGCCGTTCAACGTAGTTTGTTGAGTGTTAAGTTCACTTTCGATGTTTTTGAGGCTTTTATTTTTATTATGTTTATCCCACTTATCTCCACTTAGTCCACCGTTCTTCAAATCATTCAGTGTGGTAATGACATCACTGCCCTTGGTGCCTTGCAACACACCTTGAAGGTAGTGAGTTCTTTTACAATTTCTTGCTTGGCGGCATCGATGGCTGTGGATTTATTAACAAACGGATCGTCGTGAAGGTGTTTAATTGCATTATGAATTCCGTGAAGATTTCCATTTTCTGCTTTACCTTGGCCAATCTTTTCTTTTAGCTTTTTTAAATTGTCCATAACGTCCTCCTCGGTGTTTAGGTTTTCCAACTTGTATCCGATCTTTGCAAGTTCCAACTTAATTTTTCTTACGAGTATGGTCATGTTATCTCCAATAATTTTGGTTTGCTTGCCCAATTGCTCATTCTGCTCTTTAAGGTCCTCCTGGATTTTCCCAAGGCCACTGAGAGTTTGACCGTTGACTGGCCAGTCACCATTCACAAGACCTTTCTCTTTCAAATCTGTCAACCTTTCAATTACATCATCTTTATCGCCGTTCTCATTCTTCAACTTCTCCCTAAGCTCTTCAAGCTGCGCCTTAATTTGGGTGACGGCTCCGTCGATTGCAGCGGGTTTGTTCTGGATGTAGTTAAGTGTAAATTGCATCAAGGCCTTCAACTTTTATACCGCTTTGACATGCTGAGTGTAGGTCGACGCCAATTGTGGGACGCAAAAAGGGCGTCGCAGGTGGGATGAAAGAGGCTGCTTTGGGAGTGACGGCAAAGCGACAAAGGGAGGAGGGACATGACAAAGCAGCGAGTAGGTTACATCTTAGATTAGGTGGTAGGTTACATGTTAGGTAAGCCACTTGGTTACGTGCTAGGTGGGCCGTTTGGTTAAGCGCTTGTTTGGCCGTTTGGTTAAGTGCTAGGTAAGCAGTTTGGTTAAGTGGTGAGTTAGGTGCTAGGTCAGCCTCTTGGTTAGTCAGTGAGTTAGGTGCTAGGCAAGGCACGAGATACAGTCACCATGAGAGACGTGACACGACATGGCAACACAAAGAGAGTAATGCAATGCGAATGTAGCTACGATAATTACTGTCACGAGTGAAAGTCATCGTCGAAGTAATCGACGTCCTTGTAGAGTGAGAGCATCCTGCGGCTTCCGGCGAGCAGCGCCTTGACGTCGATGAGGTGGGAGGCCCTGGTGGTGAGAAGGTGGGAGCGGATGCGGAGGACGTCCATGCGGTAGAGGAGTGAGTGGAGGATATAGAACGTGGCAGTGAGCCAGAGTGTGAACAGGGTGAAGAGGAAGGGGCACGGATGCGATAGATGAGCTGGTCGATTTGGTGGAACAGTTCCGTGAAGTGGTCGGAGTGTAGGACTTGGCTGAGCTGCTTGGCGAGGGTGGAACAATTCTTGTTCTGCGATATCAGCGCCGGTGCGTCCCGAACGTGAAGCCGTGACTGTACAAGGTCGGCATCACGCCCTTGCAGCCGACGATGGAGCGGCATCGGCAGCTGTGCCCCGGCGACTGGGGACTGGGAGGCCGTGGCTGCCCGGGTCACAAGGTTCCTCGTGAAGGCAATCACCGCAGCCCCAGTCCCGGCAGGAGATGGCTTGGAAGGCAGTCTTCAATGATAGCAACAGCTCATATAATGTCCACGGGAGGTAGACGGCCCATGAGAGGTAGACGTCGGCGTGTCGGTGAGGTAAGCAATGATATGCATCGCTGCACAGGGCTGATAGGAAGGGAGCGCAGTTGATGCTGGCGTCGTTGGGAAGCGCACAGCACCTTGGCATCGACAGGCTGGACAGGTCGGTATTTTGGGCAGTAGAATGCTGAATGCCATGACCGCTCCGACCGTTGCCGTAAGCATCACGCAGAGCATCTGTGAGCTTGCCGGGCTCGCGGTAGAGGTCATGGACTGGCCGGTGATGGAGTCCGTGAACGCAGATTGAAAGGCGTCGATGGCTGACGGCAGAGCACTGTGTTGCCAACCACCAACGAGAGATGAGGCAAAGGAAATGTGCTCAGCCAGCGTAGCCGGCGGTCTGGGACAGAGGCTGAGCAGCGATTTGATATGGACGTTGCCGAACCATTTGGTCAGCACTTTGCACAGCTCCTTGCCTGTCCTCGTACTTCCAGAGAAACCCCGGAAGCCGAGCGGAGTGAGACAGGGCGTGCTAAGTTCGCTGGTAAGACACGTCTGACATACAGGCTCACAGCCGATGTTAGTAACCTGGTGAGGCAGATGGCCGGGCAGGCAGTCGTTTAGGTACGACATCAAAGGGGACTTATCAGTGCACTCCGGGTGAGGGGTAGGCAGGGCGGTGACCGGAGGAGCGCACTGCCACGTGTATGGTGGGACGCCCTTGCCGTACCGGCAGTCCGCCCAGCCGCCGTGGTGGGCGGGCCGTGAGCACTGAGTGAACAGAAATCTGAGCACTGGGAACACTAGGCGGAAGATGTGGAACAGCAGATGGAGGCAATCGTCGGCGTCCTGCGGGTAATACAGTTGCAGTGCGTTGCTATAGAAGTCAACGGCGTAGGTTGTGGATGCGTCGCCGTAGCCTAGCACCCTGGTGAGCAGGGCGGGGGAGTGGGACGTGGCATCGTGAAGGGCGGCGGCCAGATTTGTGGCGGTGACTGATTTGGGCTGCGCGGCCATGTACCATTTGGTATCTGTGGAATAATCGTCGGCGTTGCTTAGCACGGATTTAACCTGCTGCTTAAGGCGATCGTAGACCCTATTGTGCGGGAGGCCGGTCAGCCAGCAGAGCATCTGGTAGATGTTACACGGCGTCCTAGGCGACGGTGGAAGTATGAGATGACACGTTCCATAGTATTCATATAGGTGACAATAAAGGCACGCAAGGAGATCGAAGATATTATAATTATTCTGTTCATTTCG